TAAAAAAAATTTAAAAAGTCAAAAAAACAAAACCCCACAAAACCCCCCCCCCCCCCCCCCCCCCTCCTTCTCCCTCTCCCCCCGGCTGAGCTGGACTTCACGCCCTCCCCGATGTAGACATCCATAATAAAAAAACCCACGAGGGGGTGCCTGAATTGTGAAATGGCGAACAGAATGGTCGATGTTGGCATGCGAGCTATCCACTGGGGGCTTGTGGCATGGCCACGAATTCATGCATACGGGTTCGACATTAAGCAGGCCACCCTGCTTCATTGTTAGTTAGCCAGTACGGTTTTTGATGCAATAAATAGGGAACGGGCTAACGGCAGTTCCTGAAAGTCGAGCCCCAATGACGAGGATCTGGCAGGGTTGGGATTCCAAGCCAGGCTAGGGCGGGGGGTTTTTGTTCATTAGTTTGGAGCTCGAACGAGGCTGGTCACAATCTCATTTTCTTTTTTACTTTTTTTTATACTTTGTTCTCCGTCCGCCTCCTTTCTTTTTCCCTCGCTCTCTCCGGGCTCGCTGTTAACTCGTTGTTCCTGTCACTGTCCGAGACGCCAGCGAGAAGCTGCATGTAAATGACGCCCCAGGGCCAGGATGGGCGTGGGAAGAAGAAAGGATGAACGAGTATCCGTAAATGGAATAGAGGCTGATGCGTCGCTGCAGGTGCGAAAACCGCATTGGAGTGGAGCCTTTGAAACCGACGTTGCTAGGTGCCCTGGCGATGGGGTATGGATTGAGATGGATTGCCCACCGGATTGTGGTGGATTAACATACATGAATCGAATGTTTGGTCGCCCGTGATCCGCGAAGTTTCGGGGTGCGGAGTTTTGGGATTGGCGGGGCATGAGGGAACAAGGCAGTTTGCAATGATGCGATGGGCTGGCTTAGTACGGACGCTTGGAGTCTCGCGAGAGATCTCCAGGCTTGTGACTATGGACCAAGATGCTACAAACTCTGGGTCAACCCAGGAAGGTGCTACCCTAAAAGCACGGAGTAACAAGAGCGAAGGGCGGGAGCCGAACTGTGCCAGTGCGTCGTCCCGCCTCTGCTCCGCACATCCATCCATCCTCTTTTGTCCATGTGTGTTTCTCTATCTCTCCGCTTGTCTCCGTCACACTGCTCCTGGTTCTTGTCTATAACCTCTGTTTCCTCAATACCTACGTACGGATTACAGAAACCTAAGCTTACCCCTCACGTTGCACAAACGGGCGTCGGTCAGTGTAGGGGATTGCAACTGCGCCCAGTTGGGCTTCATCGACATCTCACCCTGGGACTAGGATTTGGACCTTGACCTTCGTTTTTGGCTTTGCACTGCGACTCTGTGCGTCGAACGGGGGTGGGGGGCTATGGGCTATTCTCCTGCTCGGAACTATGCTGGTCCCTGGGTAGATCAGGGTTTGACGCAGAGCGAAGTGAATTTGGGACGTTGGTATGGTTGTGAGAAACCACACCGTCTGTGCGCACGCGGAACTCGTTCACCAACTAAAGCCACATCACACACTCTCTGTTGGATGGGGTAATGCTTGTCTGGTGGAGACACAGGCATTCCCAAAACAATGGCTTAACGGAGGGATTGACCGTGGCCGAGAAAAATGGCCTTCTTCGTTTTCTGTCAATGCCTAGTGCCGGGAAAAGCCCTCTTTGGGCCTGATTGAAGAACGGGATGCCGATGAACTGGCGGTCAGCTCTGCACCCTCCCACTCATCCAGGACCAGGGCCCTTGCGGAACAAGGGGATCGTCGACAAACCTACACTGCGCTGCGAAGTAGCACCTAGGTACCTGGCCCTGTCGGCCGAGAGCCGTGTCTACATAGTAGCTGTCATGGATGTGCTGCGCAAACGCGCATGGTTCTACTTCTGCTTCTGTTTCTGTTTCTGGTGCTGGTGTTGGTGCTTCTGCTGGTTCTGCCGGTGCAGAGATGGCGCTTGCTTGAACCATGATCACCATACATGACCCATGTTTCTCTGTTCAGCCCACTGGCTACCACCCAACCAACCCCGAGGCAATCGATCTCAGATACAGCTAGTGCACCCCAGCACCCCAGCACCCCAGCACCTCACGCTGTTGTTGGAGAGTGGTTTATTATTTGGGAAGTGTGAAACAGTTGTCTCCCCAGGCCCTTCAAGCCACCACACGAGACAGCCAAGGTTCCTCCTCAGCAGTCACAGCTCCCTGACGAACCTCGGCCGCCTCCAGTGCACACTCCCGAGCGCCGGGTGCCCAAAGCCAGTGCGGCTAAGGTTATCACGGGCCACGGAATTCGCATAATTCGCAGGGCTCACTCACACTCGTGGCTGGCTCGCTGGCTGACAACCGTTCAAGAATTACCGAGCCAGAAATCAGGCAAGGAACGACCGGGGACAAGCATGCCAGGGACGAGGCGAGGAAACGGGCGCGGGGTCATGGCAGATCATCCGCCGGCTTGTTTCGACATTGCTGCCCGAACAAAGCATCACCGGTTCGTTCGTTGCGCCCGGCCACTCTCCGTTTGCTGTGCGAAGCGGCAGAAGACAGACCCTGGATCCCGGGCTACTGGAATCCGAACCTGCCTCGTAGCTGCATACACGTGTAGTTGCCTAGTTGTGGCCCTTGTGGCCTTTGTGGGCAGATCCAGGTCTAGAAACATTGATCGAGCCTCGCTTCCACGAACCGAGTAACAAAGCATCGATCTCCCCGCCTTGCATATATCAAGCCTTTGTTAATTGCCTCAGATTCGCCCCAGGTCAAGTGAGATGACATGTATGTAGGTAGTCGTGGGTTGGCTTTGCTACCTGAGCCTATGGGAGAGGGCTGTCCTGCCTATTCTCGTTAGTCGGTACCCCCCTTCGCCTTCCCGTGGCCATTGGACAGCAATGGGGGAAGCCTGACGATGACGGGATGCGTCCCACTTCTGGTCAGGAGTGGGCGACTTTGTGTTGGCCTTGCATATGGAGAGGTCTCGCCGCCACATCCGTTCACCACGGTATGGTTCTCTGCGCTGGCCATCTGTGGATGCACCGCTATGCATGCACAGCCTACGGAAGCCTTCGTAGGGGCTTTTTTTGGGGAGAGGGAGGATGGCTATTGGCGACGTCATGGGAGAAGCCTGCCAACACAGCGGGCATCCCATGGGTCATGCCATGTTCTTCAGCGGTGGTCCAGGCCCGGCCACTAAAGGCGGAGCCCAAGACGCCCCAAATGGCTGACCTGACCCGGCCTAGTATGCATTGTAGGTATTGTACATATCCGCCAAGCATCCACTACGCCCACCCCCCCAAGAGTCTTGGTCCTCTTGCCCAGTGTCCCAGTGTCAAGCCTGATCTCACAGCCCGGGAAACGGATCCAGACAGTGGCGGTGAACAGTAAGTACAGCGCCAATCTTGGGTTGCAAAAAAAAAAAAGGTATGCATATCATATGTTGCCCGAAGAGGCGTCGACGTGACACTTCCAGTGCGAAGCCGTGTCCCAGCGTGTGGAGCAGCGCGTGCGATCGCCAGTAGTGTCATGCGCCCGGCTTGATCGTTCACGCCCGCTTGCTCTCGGCTGCAGCTTGCTGAGCCGCCAACCTGGCTAGCGACATCATACACCGACTCCAATAGGTAGGTAGGTATAGGTATCTTGGTCTTGTCGATGTTGATGGAGTATTCTTACCCCATTTTTGCTTTTGTTTTGCCCTTTTCATCCCGGGATCGCGTTTGACGGGTACTAATTATTACAATGTGGCGCAGCAAACGCACAAAGACAATAATCACTCTTCAGGTTCTGCAGTCGACCTTGAAATATTGATTCGTTTATTGTCTGTCCGTTTGCTCCGCGGCTCTAGGGTTCGGGCATTGACATATGCCTGCGCCAACAATGTCCGAGTCCTTGCCGTTTGACAAGACAATTGTTGGTTTGCGACCAATGGTTAGTCGATAAAATTGAGGAGGTGTTTGGCGTTGGGATCCCGCCAAATCTCTCACGGGTGGAAGGGGTCACTGCATCGATAATGCCGCTGTCTCCAAATGTTGTGTCCCCTATGACATGGGTTCCTTTCGATATGGTTCTACCAAACGGAAGGCGCCAATCGTGAGTGAGCATTCTCACTGCCGTCCGCCTCGGCCCTTCGGTCTCAGCCCCGGTCCGTCAGCACCGTGACTGCTGCTGCCGAAAAATATTGCCATCTAGCTCCGAGATTGTCGAAAACATGGAAAGGAGAGTCGGGTGGCTCCATTGTGGGTTGCCAATACCGACCTCAGCCAATAACTACCTACCGTTGGTCGCTTTGTGGCTAGCTTTGTGGCTGATGCAGGGGACCACCATGCTGTTCTAGCCCCAGCCCGTTGTCCCGTTCCCACGGTTCCTTCCCAGTTAAGGTTTCTGTGGGGTCAACGACAAAACTCCGATGCTTGGAGCCTCACGCCCAACCACATGTATCCCGACACGACTGCCTGATGATATTGACCCCCTTCTAATTATACCACGTCAAAGCGACACCTATTACGAATTCGTGATAAGAAACGAAGAAGCATAGCGTGCTCTGAATCCAAGTAAACATTTCATTTCCATAGCCTAGCTTACCATTCATTTGGCGCTGCAGTGGAGCAGTCACGTTTTTTGCCCTCGTTCTCCTTCCTCGAGTGTTCCAAGTCAACAAGACCGAGCAGTTTTCTAGACTGCCTGCTTGCTCAGCCCTGGCTCGCAGCTTCAAGATATTGCACTCTCGCTGCTGAAACGATCCAGACCTCCATCCCAAGTCATGGAATTCCAGACAATGGCGGACGTGCCACTCATCGTGGTGTCGGATAATTCCTCAGCTGAACGCCGCATCACCCCATCATGGACAATTAGCCAGCTCAAGACTAAACTTGAACCTATCACGGGAGTGCCTCCCTCATCGCAGCGCATTTTCCTGAAGACATCGACAAATGAGAGGATAGCCATAGAGGCTCCGGACGAGGAGACTGGTCGTCTGACCGCGTTTCCTCTATCTCCATATGCCGAATTACACGTAAGTGAGACTCTCAGTATCCTAGCTTCACCCATTTCGCGTTATTGAGCTTGCGCTCGGCTTAGCGCATGCCTTTCTCGGAAGGTGTTGTGGCAAGCGCCATGCTTTTAATATCTCGTTGTTTCTCAAATACTGCTATTATCCTTGGTGCCGTGGGTTGTCGAGAGAAATACCTATATCTCCCATATTTTCGCGGAACAGCTGAGAGCCCGCTAGGTATGAAACCAGCACGCGACCGCCGGGGTTCGTGGCGCGGGGATTGTGTACTACGGCCTCTGTCCTCTTCAACTCCCGACCAGCTATGACCCCTTTGAAGTCATTCGCAGTCAATCAGTCAGAATACGCCTGTCAAGCCTCAGACTAACGGATTCCTCGCAGGTCACTGATACCCGCCCGCCCGGTGCACGGCCTAACTACACAGATACGTCTGGCGTTGAGAAGTATGTGATGCCGGCGGAGGAGTACGCCAAGAAATCAGATTCAGTTCTTGCCTGGAAGAAGGCACAGAAGCTGGGACGTTTCGATCCCGACGCCCCGAACCAAGAAAAAGCTAAGATAGCTGCGTTCGCGGAGGAAGTGGAGACCCGCGGTATCGCTGTCGGGAAGCGGTGCAGGGTCGGGGGAAACGATGCCCGGCGAGGTGAAGTCAAGTATGTCGGCGAAGTCAAGGAGATTCCGGGCGGGCTCGGTGCCTGGGTTGGTATTCAGCTTGATGAGCCGGTCGGCAAGAACGATGGGAGCATTGGAGAGGCCAGGTATTGGGGCCAGCCGTCGGAACTCAAGCGCGGCGTCTTTGTCAGGCCGGAACGAGTCGAAATCGGCGACTGGCCAGTCATGGATGACCTTGAGGACATGGAGGAAATCTAAGCCTACCTACCTAGGAACCTACTTCACTTGAGAGCTTCTGATAAACAAGCTGCCGAGTTGTTCTCATCGCCCACCGCTTCTCGCCGTACTGGCATCTGTCCCTATGTCGAGCGACTGATGTAATGAGACAGAGAACTAACCACGGTACTTGTCGCAGTCGGTTGACTTTTAACGATGCCCTGATCACGGTTCCTGTTGGGAACGGCACAGGATAGAGGACAGGGGCTCTTCTAAGAGGCCCAACACGCCATGGCTGATACCTAGCTCCCATATGACCCAGCTGCCAGTGCTAGTGGATGTAGAAGTTGTCCGGGATACTCGAGCGCATTGTCAGCACGATAAATAACGATTAACACCTACCGCCTGCAGGCTAGAATTCAGGGCCCTGCCCTGCCGGTGATTGGAGCACACCAAGAGCAGCTTCCGGGTTGCTTCTCGGGGAAACGCACGTCGCACATGTTTCGTTCACCCAACGGGAACCAAGGCTCGGCAGGCGAGTTGGACATAGATTCAATTCTCGGCACGATGGCCCTGCCATGTCAGCATGCTGCAGTGGCCTGCATATCCCAGCCGGAAGCTATCTTCAGAAACAAGGCTTAAAGGCATGTGTCGGCTTCGGAAATTTCTTCTGTCAGTTGCTGATCCTCTTGAGTGCCGAACCGGGTTGCTTGCATTCAGCCTGAGTTGCAAGCCTCGTCAAGACCTGTAACACTCCCTGTGTGAAGCTCAGACAGAAGCGAGCGAGCTTGGTTCCCCCCTTAGGCAACCATGGTAACTAACAGTGGGCACGTCGGTGACGCCACCAGCTTGCCGAGTTCTCGCCTAGGCAGAGCCTCCATCACTTCCCGCAATGCCCACCATCTGATGTCTCTATACGATGAGCTTAATTTCTCGAAACTCCGGGGGGCTGGTGACTCTAATCTCGAGCTTCGAACCTGTCAGCATGGGCCCTGCAGCTTGGGGCAAAATTTCCTGTGGTATTGGGTTCGCACAGGCAAGGTTGGACTCACTAACCTCCTGGAATTCCGAGAAATTGAGCCATGGCGATGCACTCACCTAACCAACCGCATTCATCACAACACTTGCCGATTACTGCCAACTATTGGTTACCAGGCAAAGTACGGGGTTGGCAGGTCGATCTCTTCAATGTGACCAAATGTATGCTTGGGTTGCCTTTAACGTGAGTTTAGCTCATGAGACAGTAAAGAGGAAGATCATCAAACACGACGAGGCGAGCAACAGGACAGACTTCGGGAAGCCCACTTCCTAGCAGCTTGTCTACGCGTGCAGAGAACAATGTTTCAGGCTGTCGTGCATTGCTAGAACAGCTTGGTACTCGCCGTTTCGCTCTGCCAGCACGCTGTATCAAACTTACTGGGGGAACACTAATACAGCGACGTCATTTTACCTCATGCAAAATGGCAGTGCCACAGGCGCCGGCTCCACGATGTCGACCTTTTGGCGATATCGTGGGAAACAGGAGTAAATAAACCCTTTTAATACCTTATTGAGGGTCAATTAACTCGCGTGACGTTCACATTTGACGCTTAATTTCGACGCTCACGTTTCCTCGACGAACGACTCCTCCGTCGCTGGCTCGGTTCATGAAAGAAGCTCACACGTATCTAACTCGGTAAGCCAAAATGGAGTAATGAAGATGTCCAGTTCGCAATGGCCATAGCATATTCTCTATTGGGACTCGCAATGCGACAGAAGATCGACCTCGTTCGTAGCCGAAGTGTTATGCAGGTACCCGGAGGCTCTTAGCAGGCATCGCGATCCGAGTATCTTGACCTCAGCGAAACCCTTGCCCTGGCTGTTAAGCGGCAGGCCAGCCAGGCTAAGCAGGGCAGCTCTGCCCAGCTTCAGTCAGCTGTGGCGCACTGTATCTCCTTAAAAAGGGCGGCCGCACGCATGGAAACTGACCCGGCGAAGGTCTGGCGGGAATCCGAGGGCCCGACGTGGATTGCATGAAGGCGCTTCCATCAGTTGCCGGTACAGGGCAGTTCCTGATGATGCTGCTTTACAAACAGTGGCGCTAAAACAGTTTTGGCGTCTCAGAAGCCAGTCCAAAACGCCCTCTTTCGCTGCTCAGGGCCAGTCTCGGATTGATGATCATGTATCACTGTGCGCTTGCCCTCGATACTGTGTAAAATAAGCACCGCTCAACCACTCCCATACTGTATAGATCCTGAGCGCCCGCTTGGGTCTTTGTGTGATACCTCCCCGATCTGCTGGCAGTGTTACCAGCTTTGTGGTACAACACTAGCTGCCCCTCCAGACCCCCCCGCACTTCCCGGCAATTCCGACCAGCTTGGTTGCCCGCCACGCCCAAGGGACTTTTTGCCCAGGATCCAAGAGTCTTGTCGCCGGTCTTCATGACCAGCCCTCAGCCAATCTGGGTCGCCATTGCTCCACCTCTAAGGCTTTGCATACTCACCTCGACGATCAAAAAGCCAAGAAACCAAGCCCAGTGAATCCGAAAGCCATGTTGTGGCACCCGAATTGAGATGCGACACTCGCCTCGCTCCTCCAAACATCCAGTCCAGCAGCGGTGGCCGGGCGTTTCCTACCATCCCTCTTCATCCCTTTACAACCTCACTCTCCCCCCTTCTCCCAACCGCCACTGCTCTCCACAATCTCTCCAAACATCCATCTCAAAACCGCAGCCCATGGCGACGTCGACCGTCGCCGCTGCTGGCAAGATGGCTCGGTTCTCGCTGGTCTTCGCCAGCGTCCTGTCCATGGCCTCCGCCCAAGTCGCCACCGTCTTCTCCATGGATAGCTTGCCGGACTGGATGCGCGAATCAGCCATGACTCTCCAGATTACCGGCCCCAGTGGCGTTATCGTTCCTTTCCCATACACCGTCGTCCCCTTGACCGCGAATGTGGGGTTGAATCAGTCAGAAAAGACAAGAGAGGTAGGCTAGAAGAGTCGATACGGCGGGGTAACACCCGATGGCTGTAGGGAAGACACGCTGACTCCCTGTCCGGCCACGCAGGCGATATGGATACGCGGGACCATGGTCTCGGCAACCTCGGCCAACTACGTCAACATTACCGACCCTGAGGACGTGGCTTACATTTGCTGCGATCCCGTGAACTCGTCTTATATCACCCCCAGCAACATGGTTAACACTCTGATGAGAAACAAGCCGAAGGCCATTCTTCTCTACAGCATGAAGGGGAGCTGTTGCGGCCTAGAAGTCTCCGATATTACGTATCCGACCATCTTCACCATGACAGACGGTTCCGAAGCCGCCGAAACCTTGAACCTAACTGATTCTACGGACGACGTAATGGGCACCATCGCGGGCAACGTGACCGCGCCACAGACCGATGGTGGGAGCCAACAGGCTGGGAGCAACTCGGCCGTTGCGATGAGCATTTTATACAGTATCACAGGGCTTATCACCCTCCTCTTCCTCATCATCATTGCGACCGGCGCACTCCGCGCGCATCGCTATCCAGAACGCTACGGCCCACGTTCCGGCTATGGTGGAAGGCCACGGCAGAGCCGGGCGAAGGGGATCGCCCGCGCAGTGCTCGATACTCTACCGATCGTCAAGTTTGGCGACCCGGCGCCTGCAAAACCAGACCCGGCCCACGAACTCGAGAGCCAGGCGGCCAGACCGTCGCATGACCCGAACATGGGAACCAGACTATCAGCCATCCCCGAGGAACCCCAGCCAACCCCGCAGAGGAGACCGAGCCGGAGCACTCTGCGCCGCACCAACTCGGACGCCAAGGCACTACCAACAACAGATGAAGAAGGCGGCAGCAGCAGCAGCGATGCTAAACAGGAAGGGGCTGAACATCTGGGATGTTCGATTTGTACCGAAGATTTTACCGTGGGCGAGGACGTTCGGGTCCTCCCGTGCGACCATAAGTTCCATCCAGCTTGCATCGACCCATGGCTTATCAATGTGTCTGGCACATGTCCGTTGTGGTGAGTTTTGTTCCTCAAAGTATACTCAGCTGGGTCGTGTAGGCGCTGACAGTGTTAATCTTGCAGCCGACTTGATTTGAGGCCATCTAATGGAGAGGCCGAGGATGGTACGACAGCCGATGCCCTGGCGCAACTACCTCCACCGCTAGAGATCGAGGGAAGTGGGACGGAACATGCCACGGGTCAACGCCGAAGATCATCTCGTTTGCTGGACCTCCATCGACTCCGACACGCCTCGGTTGAGGAACGCATCGAGATTCTAAGGCGCCATCGGTCGCAACAGCAAGAGTCGGCAACAGCAGCAGCAGCAGCAGCAGCAGCATCACATACGACCGCCGATCACGGAGCAGAGGGCTCGGAGCGGGGCAGCAGCAGAGCAAAACTGACGGACCGACTCCGAGAAAAGTTCCGGATCCGTACGAGGGCGCAGTCCCCTGGGAGGACTGCTCAGAATGGGGAGGGGCCTTCTTCCTGACCGGGTTTGGCCGAGTTGTGAAGGATACCTAATTTCTAAGTCATGATACCAACATAATGCTGTGATGCGGGTCATTGGTCTGGGGAGCGCATGCCTTCCTTTTTTTGTCTCCTCCAGCGACGAGACACTGGGACAGGACATATCGGCTGGATCCATGAGGGGGACGGTTAGACTGGCGTTTAAGAGGGTCCTTATTCACGGACCGGACAGCATTGCAAGGCGTTCAATGGGGTTTGTGCGGATATATGAGACAAGAGGTGATGGCAGCGCTCTGCAAAGCTGACCTTGCCCTTGGAAGGATCCGCTCGGCTGTCTGTATCTAATCGGCCGTTTTTCTTTTCTTCTGTGCCATTCAAAAGCGGCCTCGTGCAACCGCCGTAACAAACTGGGATTTGTTCGAGATGGAATAATGGTTCCAAGCACGTGGAACAGAATGGTTACAGGTTCGACTCGATAGATGAGATTGTGTGTCACATAAATACAAAAGAATGGAAACCAAGCAGCGAACTAGCAATGCAAGAGTCTAATTGTCATGAATCGAACTCATACGCTCAGTCCAGGCGGCCTCTTGTCCTTGAAAACCTCTCTCGCATGCTTTGCGGCTGCCATTGATTGACCATCCATCGATATATTCAACGAGAGGTCCAAGATCCAGACTCCGAGGCGCCGAATTAACGTTGATGTCGGTTGTGTGCCGATCAACCGCCAGGAGACCCCTGCACCGGCAGATGTGCCCCACCAAATTCCTGGGAAATGTGGAGGTTTGGGTCCCCCAGGGTCCGGGATCCATATGCCATGGGAAAGGCAGCAGCCATCCCATCCCGCTCCTCCCTCGGCTGGGCTAATCCTTCTCTATGCGCCGCGTTCTGCCTCTTACGCATACGCATACAACATACATCTCCACCCGTACCCATACCTGCTACAATCTGGTGCCGAGCCAGCTTCGTTGCGGACGCATCCTCATTCTGCATATGAGTGTAGATGCCAGGCCAGGAGCTGCCTTTGGCTCCGCAGAAAGGAATCTAGGCGTTTAGGCATCTTTCGTTCAATCCAATTAGTTACCAGACCCATAACCAGCTCTGCTCAGTACCTAGGTAGGTAAGGGTTTTATGCTTCGTAACAGCGAACTCGTGATCAGCAGTTGACCACCCGGCCATTGATTTCAGGCATTTATTCAAATGATCTTAGCCAAGGAGCTGGAAGCAGAAGGTTGCCAGACATGCCACACTTGAATACCTACCTGGAGGTAAAGTAGGTTGGCGTTACGTAGTGACTTGAGAACCCAGCATTGGGAGAACAATTACAAATATCAGCTTAGCAGTCCAACACTTCGCAGAGATATCCAGGGCCCAGACCAGTTGATTGTACCTATACCTGGTTTCTGAGGCTGAAGGTTGCGGGGAAAGGCGCACGTGAAGCCGACCTAAATGCGGCTAAGCAAGCCTAGCTCATCCGTTAAGGACGTGTGATTGCTTACCTTCCAGCGACAATGGAAATGTACAGTACCTCCTTTATGAGTCCCACCGCCAGCTCCTGACCGCTGGACTCGACTCGAAATAGACGCCAGACCCAACCGATGCGATCCGATGCCCTCCCTGGTGTCCGAGTTCATCATCAATCCTGTACTCCGCCAGGCTCGCCGGTTTTCGTCGGGTTTCTCCGCCGAACCCGAATCCGTCGAGAATGCCCCTTTGCCACTGATCCGGAATCAGACGAGGATGCCGAGGCCGGCTGCCTCAGGCCTTGCCCTCCCAAGTCCTTCGACAAGCCCTTCAAGCCTCTCAACAGTAGCCGGATGGGACATTGGTGATGGTGAAGCGTCGCCTTCAACACCCGGTCTGCCAGGCCACGTCGTCTCCTCCGTCGACCACGGCGCGAGCGGACCGCTGCCCGCAAGTCCTTCTAGCGAAGTGGTGTCCGAAACGATCCCATCCTCGCCCGAGGCGGCAGCGGCGTACGAGCGGCATACATTCTTACCAGAGGATGACGGCATGGGCCCCCTCAGGCAGCGGATACTCGCCATCCAGTCCCAGGACATAGCCTCAGAAGAGAAGGCTGGTCTGATGCATGAGTTGTTGATGGAAGGATATACTCGGTCACAGATTGTCTTTCAATCCAAGCTTTCTCCGCGCCAAGAATCCCCGTTGAGCACGAGCCTGTCCGAACAGTACCGGGCGACACGGCCTATGCAGACGCTCAATAAGTTCCTGAACCACATCGGGGAGGGGTTCATGCCGTTGAAGTTCCCGCTGCGCGAGGCAGACCTCCAGCCCACTTACGCCCCCCGGGTCCCCCTCGAAGACGGACAGGAGCAGGATGGCGATGTGGATGAGGCCGACGACATCGAGGGACGGCCGCTCGGCTGCAAACACTACCGACGGAATGTCAAGCTGCAGTGCGCGACGTGCGAGCGATGGTATACCTGCCGCTTCTGTCACGACCTGGCCGAAGACCACATCCTGCCGCGGAAGGAGACGAAGAACATGCTGTGCATGCTATGCGGCTGTGCGCAGAGGGCCTCAGACACGTGCGTGAAGTGCGGCCGCCCTGCTGCCCGTTACTACTGTGGTGTGTGCAAGCTGTGGAACGAAGACGCAAACAAACCGATATACCACTGCAACGACTGCGGCATCTGCCGGGTTGGTCAAGGTCTTGGCAAAGACTTCTTTCACTGCAATGTAAGTAGACCGGGCGAGGCGGATACGCGTAAGAATACTGACTGCGTACACAGAAATGCATGGCATGCATATCCATCGCCGTCTCCACAACGCACAGGTGTATCGAGCGGTCGACAGACTGCGACTGCCCTATCTGCGGCGACTACATGTTCTCTTCACCTAGACAAGTCGTGTTCATGCTCTGCGGCCACAGCATCCACAGAAAGTGCTACGAGGAGCACTTGAAGTCATCATTCAAGTGCCCCATCTGCAACAAGAGCGTCGTGAACATGGAGACGCAGTTCCGAAACTACGATATTGCGATCGCGACACAGCCGATGCCGCCAGAGTTCCGGTACGCACGAGCCAAGATCTTCTGTAACGACTGCAGTGCCAAGAGCCAAACGGCCTACCATTGGCTTGGTCTGAAATGCACCGTTTGCGACTCATATAACACGGTGCAGCTGCAGCTTCTAGACATGCCAGATGCTGGAGGTGAAGCATCGCGGGAGGACCTCGCGGCGGACATCCAGGGAGAACCGACCAGGGAACCCGAGCCGTCGGGTCTCCAAGACCTTGCATCTCGCGAGGCTCTCGCCCCAAGCCTTCTTCCGTGGCCGCGGCCTCTCCCGGGGCATCGCCCGGGGACGTCCCTTGGCTCCCACCAGGACCTGCCGACCTTCTCCCCGTTCCTCGTCCCCGAGCGGCTTGCTCGATCCGTGTCTCCCATACCGGGGCCCGGGCTCGCCGAGAATGCGCTACTGCACGGTCCAGCCGCGGAGACGGACGAGTCCGGCGAGGAGGAGGAGGAGGAGGACGCGCTGGGCTTCTGGGGCGGCGACGACCACCGATCGGCCGGGAGGTCCGAGGGCAACGGGGCCCAGGACGATGATGGTTCGGAGTGTGAGAGCGACTCGGGCGACGAGTGCGATTCCGACGCTGATTATGACGAGGGCGATGATGATGACGAGGAAGAGGAGGAGGTGATATCGCTGTTCGGACACAGGTGAACGACAGCCACCACTGGGCACGGTTCTGCAATGGGAGTCGCTTTAATTTGGATTCGGCGTTGAACTGCATACGGGAAGCAAGGGGGAAATCATAATGCGTTCCTGGTTGGTCTTCAATGTTAAAATCAGTGCATCCATGCATGAGGTGGGAATGATCGATCAATTGGTTTAGGGCTGGAGCGCGTTCACCGGGTTTGGGCATTGACTTGATGGATATTTTTTGCTTCTTACACACAACAAACAACAAACAGTACATGTCTTGGGTGCATCGACTCATTATACACACATAGAGAGAGACAGAGGTATCATTACTAGTAGCAATGGCAGCCGGCCGGATGGCCATTCGGCGCAACGCAAACATCACCCGCAGTCGGGCGGTGGCTTCTCCGCAAGTGCAACTTCATTCTTGGAATTCCATTCCGTCCTTGACATCCGTAATCGTGGGAACCGTTCCCAAAGTTCGAAATCTCACGTCGCTTCACCTCCGGCGAGACGCCGCCTCGACCTGTGTCTCGTGCGCTTCGTTGCGCAGCTCCTTCACCACGCTCTGGGCCATGTAGATGAGCATCTAGGGTGGTTCTTCGGGGCGGGTACGGGGGAGGGGGAGGGGGACTTACCGCGAGTGCTTCGGGGTTGACTCCGTTCTCAATCATCGAGATGCAGATTGACAGTGTCCTGCGATCCAAATGGCAGTTCTGTGGGGAGGACGAGGGGTGGTAGACGCGTTGTCAGCAATCGCGCCGTGCTCTCTTGGTAGCGTTGGGCCGCCCGTGGCAGTCAAGACTGTCTACTCACCAGGATTGTGGATATCTCGTGGAGGATGTCGACTGCCTGCTGCGCAGCAGCCTGCTTCTCACTCCTTTCATCAGCAGGCATTTTTTCCCCTTCGCACTTTCGTCTTGGCTCTCAGAATTGATTGTTTGGTGCGAACTGTGCGATGATTCGGTTTTCTGCTGAGAATCAATCGCGCCCCACGTCACCACCATTAGGTTTGGTAAGTGGGGGAAGCGCTCCTTGTGCTGAAGAAGCAGAAAGCGGCACGAATTTGACTTCCAGACATGATCGATCAACGTTCATAGCATGGAAGTTACCTAAAGATAGATAGGGCGACTTCAGGAAGATTATGGAAGCTCAACAATTATAACCAACACTCATTATGCGCAAACTCGAATAGGTAGTACAACCTTTGTTAAAAGAGCACCCTTTCCACAAGCAAATATCACCTCGACCCAGTAGCCCAATGAGGGAGGTACTGTACATCTGAGCCGAAGCCTCGAATCCCCTTATTCTTCCCCCCTCCCTTTTCAGGATTTCATAGCCTCGACAAACAACTCCCGCATCCCCTTGAGCAACACGGCCAACTCCCTAGTCTCGTTCACCCGCTCCAGGACGCGGTCCACCTTCTCCCTCTCGAGCTTGGGCCTACAGTGGCGGACATCGTAGTCCCTGGCGGCGGTGCAGAGCTCGAACCAGGCCTCGCGCTCCCACTCCCTCTCGTCGACGTGCGTGTAGACGAAGCGGAGGCGGTCGTCCTGTCCCGCGCCCTCGATGCGCAGGCACAGGTTGGTGACCCAGAAGTCGAGCTCGGGCACGTTGAACCTCGACTGCGCCTCGAGTTGCTGCGCGCGCGCGCGCTGCGCCGCCAGCCGCGCGTCAATGTCTGCCTGCGTGTCGGCGATCTGCTTCTTCAGCCCGTCGCGGTGCGCTAGCTGCCGGTCGCGCTGCTCCGTCAGCGTCGCGATCGCGCCCTGCATCTCCCGCGTCTCGGCCTCTTCCTTGGCCATCGTCTGCTGGTACGTGTTGGTCTTGAGCTGCAGGATCTCGACGTCCTTCTTCTTCATGCGCTGGTCCTCTATTTGTTTAATGAAGAAACCGGATTAGCTATATCTGCGCTGGAGGAGGGAGGAGGAAGAGGGCCGCGCTTGGGGCGGCGTCGACGTCCGTACCTTGAAGTTCTGCCACACTCATGCGGAACTGGTTCCTCTCCTCCAGGACGCGCTTCCGGCCCTGCTCGATGAATGCGTCAAACTTTGCCGTGAACTTGGCCATGCGGTCGCGCAGTTCGTCGAAGCCGAAGTCGACATTGGGCAAGGTGTCCGCGAGGGATGGCCCCGTGCTCGGCATGCCCTGCCGGCTGGTTGAGAGGGATGGTTCAAATGCTGATGCCATGTTGTGAGGTGTTACGGCAAGGTGTGCTGCGGAAATATTCAGTCCAGAAATGTTGACTTCCAGACGGACAATCGGGTGTAAGTGGATGACAAAGAAGAGATATGCGCGAGACGGTGCTCGGAAATAATATAAACATGCAGGGGCGGAGGCTGCGAACCGGAGCCTTATTTACAGCTTTTGCGTTTTGGGCTGTGGTTGCCACGGCAATGGCTCAGTTAGGTAAGAGAATTATGGCGTGGCAAATCCATGTTCCACACCTCCAGGATCCGCTCGACGACGAGACTTGATGGATTCCTTGAGTGAGAGTTCCTTCGGCCCAGTATCTTATCATCCTTTGTCCACGTAGTCCCTTGCCCCAAGGTTCTGAAAAGTTCTCCGTTCTGCCATCTCTGTCTGCCCACCGAGTTTGGTCCACCAAGAAAAGAATCCTCTCAGTGGCACATCGACATGTTGAAAGCGTCCATTTCTCATCAACCCACCGTTGTCATCTTACGCCCGAATGACTGACAAAAGGGGTCATGGCCGAGCTACAGGTCGTCCGCTGCCGAATGTAGCGGGCGACCACCGCTTGAATGACCTCACCTGCGGTCACCTCGGCAGGCTCACGTATATTCCTGCTGGCGCCCACAACGAACAGCAGACTGGGCGATTGCATACAACCCGGACCGTCGAGTTGAGTACGTGCTGGGATTTGACGTAATACCAAACTACCATGGATCACTGACCATAAGCAACCTAACAGCTCCTCACTTCCAGCAGATAATTCCATTTGAGCAGCTGTCCCGGCCAACGAGGAGTGTCTTGCCTGAATCCAAGTCAAGCCCGTGGCGCACCGCAAGGTCTCAGAGGAACTGGCTGCTCAAATCTCACCCGGAGACGTTATTTGGGAACCCTGATCTTGCTTCATTTCTGCCACGCGAAATCCGTAGCCTCAAAGCTACACCAGGCGCACCTCCCCCGGTCTCACCCCTGCTAGCACTTGGGGAGATTTCGGATTTGTCCAATGATACCAGTATAGTTGGACAGCCAGCGGCAGCTTTTGCTGCTGGAGAAGGCGGCCACATCCTGCAGATTTTACCACTGGCACAGGAGGAACGCAGCTGGGACGATGAAAGCCTGGCAATCCGCCTTAGCACTGCAGGGCCCACTGAGCGTGGGCAGTGGATTGATGACGGCACTCCTATTTCCAAGATCAAGTTCGCAGTTGATCCCCGAAGACATGACCAAATCCGCTGGATCCTGGTCCAGAAAGTGGGCTCCACGACAGTCCTCGAGCCCGAGGTCAGAAAGACACCACCCCAGGGGAGTCACCTAGGCGGTCTTGGTCGGCGTGGAGCATTGCAGATCTCCGCGAATCCTCTCTTTACTATAAGTGCCGACCAGACTGGAGGTGGCTCCCAGTCGGATGTATCGTTTAACCCGGCCTCAGATGGTGCACCTCCCCAGCTTGCTATCATTAATACTGGCGGCTACTGGAGTATCTGGGATGTAACCGGGAACCGGGTTTCGCGCCCAAAACTTCTGCGCCCGGTCCTCAGAGCATGCGGGAGTATCGACTCGGGCCTTACCCCGGTCCTACCCCTGGCAAGCCATGGAAATCATTCGGACCATCGAGTATCTTGGATTTCTCGATCAGAAAGGGGGCCTTCGGCGTGGAGTCGCCCTAGTGGTCTTTTCGATGAATTCAGTGGCGCTGCCAAAGTCGAGGGTGATCTGGGCCGGAAGCCGAAGGTACTGACGCGATCCGGCGATATTCTCGTGTGCAACGACACCTCCGTTCGTGTCTTTGGCATTGCCGAGGAGAAATTCCAAGCGGGCTTGAACGTAGCGCGGTCAGGCAAGGCCGAGCGTGTGCTCGATGTGCAGATGTGTCCTTTTGACCATTCTAAAGCCTTCGTGCTCACCACGACGACTCTGTTCTGGATCAGCAACGAGCCCGCTGGGACAACTGGTATTCGCCTTGCCGTCGTCATTTCATCTCCACACCATAAGAAACCAAATGACGGAACGCTTCGGCTCAGTGTGTCTCCTGAGGCGGACTTTGGTCATACAACTGCCTGCTTTGCTTGCGTCTATTCGTCCGGAGATGCCCAGGTTTCTGTCTTCTGGTTCACGAAGCCGACGACGGAGGTGGCAGCCCAGCTTTGTTCTCTGACCGTCCGTTTAGACAGTCCTGTTGGCCTGAATTCAATGACCATCTCTTCCTTGCCGTCCCTGCACGTTCAGGAGGAAGGTGTCGATGGCGATGAGAGGGCTTCGGCACTTTCCCACGCTCAGTTCTTCCAGTTGTTCATCCTGGGGCCAGACATGGGGCTGGAATATTCGGCTGTTGCTTGGTCATCTTTCCCATTCGGCAGTGTCCAACCTCCTACGATTAGGAGCGAGCCTCAACGCCCACGGAGCAGACGGAAAAGAACTATCCACCGTACATTTGCTGTACCGGATGGGACTGACGACCAAGTTACCTCACCGGCAGAGCTTAACAAGACCCCGACAGCCTCGGAGTTCGGGAGGAGGAAAGTTAAGAAGAATACGGTTGTCGACTTCACGTTTCTGAGTGGTCGCCTCCAGCAGATTACTGGCGATCACATCTCGCGCGAGTCCTCTCCGTCCGCACCGCCGATGACTCCTTTTCCTGCTATCCACGCAGCAATCGAGAGAGGTATTGCTGAGGGACACTCGTCAATTCATCTGCCGTGAGTGCATGGGAACAGTAACTCCCCCAATAAGGAAGGGAAACTAACGTTGGGCATAGCTACGAGATGGCTGAGACGCATTCAGGCCGACCGGATGCTAATTTCCTACAGCAAGCCTGGAAGGACTATTGCAATGAACTCCAGCACGGTTTTCAGACTGGGAGCATATTGGTTGTTGACCGGCAAGCATATGTGTTCCACCCCGATAGCCAGAGTCTGAGCCAAAGCATCGCGAGCCTGGGACTGCTTCCAGAGAAAGCTCCGGAGCTCTTCCGCCAGAGGTGGCAAGATATTGTCCAGCGTGCTACTGCTGAGGCGTATATATCGCTGCTCGGCCTTTCAGTCGCACCTCAGTTAACCCCGCCGCCAGACGGTGAAGACGTGGAATCCGAAGGTGCTGCATCCCAGCCAATGTGGCTGAAGTCCGAGCCTGACCTTCCCGGGTCTCCTGCCGCTAGCTTATCATCTCGGTCAGGCCGCCGACGTGGTTCATCAACCGGGCCGAGTAGCACGGCAGGGGCAGACACGGACCAAGTGATTACACGCTTGCGGAAGTATCTTCCAACTGTCGCGGGCATTCCACCTCGAGCAGGCGGCCAGCCGCGGCTTCTCTCTCACTGGCCAGAGCAGCCTGGAAGTAGCATTGGGGACTATTCATGGAATCCCGAAGAGTCGGGCGCAGACGAGGAAATACGACGCCAGAGGAGGAGGAAGGAGGAAGCCCGCCGCCGAAGGCTCGCGAGACGCGTCACCAGCTTGCAACCCGATGAGAGGGGTGAATCTTCGACGCAGCCACTCCCGCGCACCGCAGGGATCTTCTCGTCCCAGGATAATTACCCTCAAACTCAAGGGTCGACGTCACTCTTCTCCAGCCAACCAATGTCGCAAATCATTCCAGGGCCACACGGAGGTCGACCGCCACAGTTGAAGAAGAAGAAGCCCAAAGTCAAGCGCGGATTCAGGTAGTTCCATGATTGTGGTGTGGTGGTATTTCAACATGAGCTCGGTTGTCTTGGTCTGCGTTTTGCCTCGAAAGGAATGCTCCATTGTGGTGTCTGTCTGTAGTGTAAAGTTCTATTCGGGCCTTCAGCTCAGAAGTAACTTAATGCCATCGAAGAATGGCAATCAAAGCAGTAAATTTGCCACAATAGTCCCTTAACCTCTCTTGCCAAGCTCTAAACCTGGTTGTGGTGCTGTATTCTCGACTATATGTCTAAGCATCGAACAAACCAGTAAACTTATAATTGTTAGTGCGCATACCTCACAACTCTCACCACACCAGTTTACACCCATCGAATTCACCACTTCGCGAAAAATGTCGCATCATTGCCATGACGAGCATGCCGAGGGAGGCGGTCACCATAGTCACGATGGGCATGATCATTCGGATGATATAACGCCGGCTCTCCAGTTCTCGCTCTACCAGCATATCAACTTTGACGAGGTCACAACTCTGAACGAGGCGCAATATGGCTCCGGCAAGGCCATCGTAAAAAAGACATGGGCAGAGCGACTGGACGAGGAGCCCGAGTTGGTTAGTGACTTGGATGAGCAACTCATCATCAACGTCCCGTAAGTCGAGGCCCCTCTTCGCCTGCAAAATAAGAAACAAAAATAAAATAAAAACGCCCCAGGCCTAACAATATAACGCCCCAGCTTCACCGGGCAGGTCAAGCTCCACGCCATCTCCCTGAGGACGTCCAACTCGCCGAGCGCGCCCAAGACGCTCAAGGTGATCATCAACCGCGACGACGTCGACTTCGGGTCGGCCGAGGAGCTCGAGGCGACGCAGACGTTTGAGCTCTCGCAGACATCCGAGGTGCAGGAGCTCCCCGTGCGGCGGGCCCGGTTCGCCGCCACCCGGCGCCTGACCCTCTTCTTCCCGGACAACTTCGGCGACGGCGACGAGGACCAGACCCGCGTCGGCTACCTCGGCTTCAAGGGCGAGTGGATGCAGCTCGGCCGGGCGCCCGCAAATATCATCTACGAGGCCGCTGCGAACCCGAGCGACCACGCCGTGAAGGGGACGTCGGCTAACCAGATGGCTAGCCATCTTGGTGGTCGGGATCGAGGCCCGTGAGGAGCGTGACGGGGTGGACGGATAGAGGAAGGAAGGGAAGCCGGGCCGGAGTTGAGGGCTGGGTACATTGCTGAAAGCAAAAGCATGGCGTCTTCTTTGGCCACACTACAGTAGTCTACCACTAAAGAGTAGCTATCTATTCTTTTCCTCTCTCCCTTTTTCTCGAGTTTACAAACGGGCCTCGCCCCCTACATGAAATCATCTTCCCAGCTCATATCACGGTCCTGGTTGCTGGTTGCAGCCATGTTCTCTTCCGAAAACAGCTCGTCGTACGCATGGTCCTTTTGCCACTTCTTTTCCTGCCTCTCCTTCGCTATCAGGGCTTCTTCCTTTTTCTTTCCGCCTGGTGAGCTTGGCGATGTTCTGAACAGGCGGGGCTCTGCAAGTGAACTTACCCTCTGCTGGTGCGCGGCTTGATCACGCTTTCGGAGTTCCTTCTGCCGGTCGTCCCTCTCTTGTCTTAGATCTGGGATCCTCTCGATCTTCGTCTTGTTTAGGCGGTTGACGATAGGGTTCTCCCGTTGAGGGACTATAACTCTAATGACCTTTTGATCTCCCCCGCAAATCAGATACCGACAAGGTATGCCTGTCGTTGGATGAAATGGGGTGGGAAAATAAATACCTTTCTTTGGTCTTTGAAGCCAACCTGTCCGACAGCCATGCTGCCATCCTTCTTGAGGTTGGACCACGGTGTGTAGATGACGGTGACGTTATCCTTCTTATTGCCTTGTATATTTTAATAACAAGAACATGGCACTTGAAATCACGAGGGGACCAACCTTCGATCGAGTTGGCTTTGGTCAACTGGGCAAGGTCGGTTACGAGGTCTTCGGGAATGGCATCCCAGGCCTCGCCCTCTCTAAGCCTGAGATAGATATGGGCACTAGACAACTTGTCTACGTGGAACTAGAGCACGGGGCAGAATGAATAATGAGTGGACAATGCAGCACCAGTCCTGAATTGTGTGTTCATACCCTGTGATGGAGACACGTTCAGGAACAGAGCCATGGCTGAAAACGAGGCAACAACAAGCTTACCAGACATCTTCCTCCCAGCCAAACTTGATCAACTCCTCGTCTGAGATTCGCGTGTCAGTTAATTCATGGTTGCAATGCCTGAAGACGAGGTTATAGGAACGGTGCCTCCCCACTTTCGAATTTGTCTTTGCCCACATATACGGCCGCCGGGGGATCAACCACCGTTGACGTGAAATAAAAAACCATCTTTGGATTTTCTCCTTTTCTCTTCTCGCATACGATGTGAAAGCCCCGATTATGTAGAAGAGTATGCGACCTTAAAGGCTCGACGTTGACTGAGACTGCTGAGGCAACGGTGCGTGAGGAGATGATGGACGGGGTCCTTGATATTTGATATTGCCAAGTTGGTCTGTGTCGCCCGCCTCATAGAAGCTTGGGGCGCTTCCCGAAATTTTAGCACCACCACAACCACGAAAAGCTTCGCAACGGCCAAGTTCACCAAGCCAGCCCAACGATACGATACATTCCACGGCACAATCGACTGCCAATCCAGCCCAGCACTCAAACCGGGTAGAGAGCGTCGAATCTAGAACATGGCGCCCCGGCTGCCAGCCCGCTGCTGGCGGCAGCTCCAGCAACCCTCCTCCTCCCTCCTCGTCCTCTCACAACGCACGCCATCGACGTCGACCCTGCACCTCCTCCCGCGGACGACCAAGCGCGGCGTCAAGTACGGCTGGAGCACGCTCCCGCCGCGCCACAAGCCGCGGCGGTTCAACCAGGTGACGGCGGGACTACCGGTGCCGATTACGGGCCCCGCGGCGGCGCTCCGGCGGCGCGAGAACACGACGCCCGTGCGGACGGGCGTGCTGGCGGTCAAGAAGGGCATGACGGCGTTCATGGGCCGCACGGGGACGCGGATCCCCTGCACGGTGCTGCAGCTCGACCAGGTGCAGATCGTGGCCAACAAGACGCGCCAGAGCAACGGCTACTGGGCCGTGCAGGTCGGGCTCGGGGCCCGGCGCGCCGTCAACGTCGGCGCGCCCATGCTCGGCTACTACGAGGCCAAGGGCGTCGCACCCAAGAAGCACCTGGCCGAGTTCATGGTCCGCGACGAGTCGGGCCTGCTTCCCGTCGGCGTCCAGCTGCAGCCCGATTGGTTCCATATCGGCCAGTGGGTCGACGTCAGGTCCAACAGCCGCGGTATGGGGTTCGCCGGTGGCATGAAGAGGCACGGCTTCAAGGGCCAGGGCAAGTCGCACGGTAACTCGCTCAACCACCGCACCATCGGCACCGTCGGCCCGTCCCAGGGAGGCGGCTCTAGGGTTCTGCCGGGGAAGAAGATGCCCGGCCGGATGGGCAACGAGAGGGTTACGGTTCAGAACCTCCCGGTGCTCCTAATCGACAATGATCTGGGGATCGTGGTGGTCAAGGGCTGCGTCGCGGGGCCGAAGAACTGCGTCGTCAAGATCCAGGACGCCGTCAAGAAGCCGCCGCCGCCCAAGGAATTCGTCGACAGCACGCGCCAATTGCTCGACGAGCGGTTCCCCAATGCGGAGGAGCAGTTGACGGCCGCGCGGAAACGGCACTTGGAGCTGAAGGAGGCGAGACGGCAAGGGAGGATAGATGAGATGCTGGCTGTGGGAGTGGCAGAGGCGCCGGCGCAGACTGAGCTGGCGGCTTGATGTCATGTAATATACACACACTTGATATAGGTATTGTACATCTAGATCCGGACCTTTTTCTTCTTCTCTCGATCAGGGGCGCTGAATTACCCCCCAGTCTCATATCTTCATGCCTCCATGACATTGGACGGGGGTCTATTTCCTGAATCCGCGAGTCGCAGAGACGTCCTCTTCCGCGTCCAAATCATCCAAGTCACCACCAACTCGTATAGCGCTGAACGGGTCGGCCCCGTCGAGGAGATCAATATGCCTCCCGTCGGTCGTCTCCAGGCTCCACTCTGTTGTCTCGAACATGCCCTTGGCCGTGGGCCGGTTGCTGGCGAACCGCATCAACCCCGAGTCCTTGGTGCCTTTGACCTTGAACTTGATGTCTATCCTGCCGTGGAGCTGGTTTATCTCGCCGCCGATCCACGGAATCTGGTTCTTGAAGTAGATCTCATCGCCGAGATAGTCCCTCGCCTTCTGCGAGTGCCGCAGGGCATACATGGTCGAGCTGACGACGGGACTGGAGAGCTTCTGGTAGTTGAAGATGGCGACCGAGCAGGCCGCTACGATGGCCAGGAAGGTTGGAAGGGTGCGATACCAGCGGAAGCGCGTCGCTTCCACATCTGCGATCCGAGAATTAGCAAATCGCCGGCGGCTAACTTGGTTCGAGGTTGACAGAGCTTACTTGGTAAAGCCCGATCGGGCCGTCGTTCCATGAGCGGTCCATCGCCAGGTTTCGGCGCCGCAACCAGACCTCGGCGGGGTATGAGCACTGTCGGAGGTCTGGACGATCTCAACAGGAGTAACCTCCTGTGAGCGATCCTGGAGAACATGGCTGCAAAAATTACCAAAAGTCTACAACTTCAACGGTTGTCGTAAGTAACTCCCTTAATATCGTCAGGCCATTTGGTAGGTAGCATAAAGTGGGTGGTACAAATTCTCGGACGTATTCAATTATCGCAAGTTTCCAACGACCCGGTATAGCGATTTACAACTCCGGCAGGCAACAAGACCCCTGGCACGGCCGCCGCAACGTCATAGGGCTGAAGCTTCAGCAACCTTCAAGACCTAATCTGTACACTACCTACATCTGGAGCTCTTGTCCGCGGGCTAGGGCAGCGGCCCAACAGAGAAGCATATAAAGATGGATAACATCAATAACGCCACGGCTCGACTCCGCCGCACATTTGCCTATCCAGCCGACGACTCCTCATCGACAGGCGAGCCGGACACCATGGACGAGGAAGGTGAGTGCTCTCTCTCCAACCCGAAATCCACCCGCTTCCACGGCGCGCCCAAATGAACAAGGCGATAGCCATTCCACCCAGATATACTAACACTATTTTCCCTCCCCCTTACAGAGCAAGAGACCCTCATCGCAACGCTCGCAACCCAAAACGCCCAACGAAACTCCCAATTCCGCCTCCTCCTCTTCCTCCTCCCCCTCCTCTCCGCGATCCCCCACCTCCTCACCCTCCTCTCCCCCTCCTCCCCCGCCCTCCCCTCCCTCCTAGCCCTCACCTCCCTCTCCTCCACTGCCTACCTCCTCCACCGCCTCCCCGCGGCCTCGACAGGCATCCCCGCCCTCGACAACCGCGGCCGCGGCCCCGCTCACAAGTCGTCGCCCCCGCCTAATTGGGCCGCCGCCGCCGCCGCCGCCGCCGCCGCCCGGTCGCCGCTCGAGACGTACCTGCCGTATCTGAACCTGGGGCTGTGCGCGGTGCTCGTGGTAATGGGTCTGCTGGCGGGGGGGGCGCGGGACGGGGCCCGTGGCGCCGCTGGGTTGGTCTGGCTGGGGAGTCTGCCGGGCTTGGTGTATGGGGTTGTGCTGGTTTCGAAGATGGTCATGGCGAGTGTGGATCCTGAGAGGGAGCTGGGTGGGTTGAGGTATGGGTACAAGGGTGCTTAGATGGAGGGTGGGTTCGTCACATGTTGGGGTTGGGAGGTTCATGGCGCAGGTATTACTGGTGTTGGCTTGGGGCCTTGTATCTTTTGCCTACGGTCGGTTGGTTCCCTGGCATATTTAGGTAGTCCACCCGAACTGTAATCAAGACAGGAGGACAATATTTGCAAAGTCTCCAACATCCCGCCCGAGTCCCTTCCCTCCTCCCAACACTCCCGCCACGGATGCTTTGCCTTTCGCAGCAGATGTTGAAGCAACCTGCAATAACGACAAGCTTTTTGACATTTTTTAGGTGACAGGACAGGCCGAATTACACATCTATGGAATCGCTGAATCGCAAGACGCCGTTCCCTTTCAGAAGCCCATCTACCCCCTTTGGTAGTCTCGGGTAGGGATCGGCCAGCGGGCCGGCCTCGGGCTGCTTCTCTGCCGACTTGTCCACGACCAGGGCCAGGCCCTGCGACTTGATGGCGTCGATGAGAGCTGGGACCATATCCTGTGGAGACAAAGTCAATAACTGTACCATTTCCCAATCGTATCAAGGGGTGGTGGGGGAGATGTGCACAACTTACCAGTAAGCGAGAGCAACATATCAGACCCATAAAGTTGTTGCTCTGCGCAGTCCTGACAATCTCCTTGATGGAGGCGGTCCTCCTCCCGCTGCTCTGCAGCTCGTCGGGCGCGGCGGTCATGTCCTGGCGGCCCAGATCGTTGCACAGGAAGACGGGGAAGTTTGGCTGCTTCCAGTTGAGCGCGGTGCAGATGCTGGGGTGGAAGGAGCTGAAGACGACGGAGCGGACGGCGTCGGGGGACTGGGCGCGCTGGGCGCGCGCGTGGTCGAAGACGACGGCCAGGACGGCGTCGACGAAGGCGTTGACGTCGGCGCTGGGGCCCAGGCGCATCGTCCGCTCCTCGTCGGCCGTCGGGTGCAGGACCTGGATGTTGACGTGCATGCCGTTGGGCAGGAGCGACAGCGCCTCGTGCAGGCTGATGCCGGCCGTGGCCAGGACGCGGTAGACGTCTACCATCTCATCCGACGTGCACGACGGGAGGGACCCGAGCGCGCCGCGGCCGCTGGACTGCGCCGTGATGGTGCTGAATTGCTCCAACGTCAGCCGCGCAACCGGCACCTCGACGCCTCCCCAGCCGACCGTCCACGTCGGCCATAATATCGGGACGCCGTCGCTGGTATGCTGGACATAGAGACGGACGAAGTCACCCGACAGGCTCGACCCGGTCACGAACGTGTTTGGGTTCGCGTCGAACTGGCTGGTGGCTTTCCAGTACGTCTCGAAGTCCGTAATCTCTAGCGGCGTTCCCCGGAAGGGCTTGATCACCTGGGTATGGAAGCTGATCTGGCCGATGGCTCGCAGCCGCGGATCAAATAAGGGGAGACAGCAGCTCCCCGAGCTGCTGAGCAGTGCACGGAATGTGTTGGGCAGGGCCACCGTCTTGGCAATGATCTTTGCTCCGTAGGTGGGGAAGACGTCAAAGTCGAGTGTGAAGGATTCGAGGTTGTCGATCTGGAACGAAACGAGTCGGGTATCTTCTTGGAAGGGAAGCATGATGTTCTTGGGAATCAGGTCGGAGACTTTGGATGAAATGGTGAGGCGAGCAGCGGGATATTTGCTGTCGTGGAAGAATATCAACGGCTGTTCGCCGGCTTCTTCGAAGCTGATCTGAACCACGGTCTTGGTATCGAGGAAATTGTGGCCGTATCGCCGAAGAGGGATGATCGGCGGCGGGAGTTCGAGAATGGGAATCGCATCCGGGTCCAGAGCCATGGGCAGGGGAGCGCTGCTACCATCCATTGGCGCAAGAGGGCCTCCAATCTGCGACGCTAATGGACTCGCCGCTTTCCCTCTGTTGAAAGGGGTGAGGAGCCTCATGCATTCTAGGTGACCTTCCCATGCGGCGTAGTACATGGCGGGGAGATCTTTCTCGTCCAGAATGTTGGCATCCGCGCCGACGTCCAACAGCGCCTGAAGGCAGGGCACATTGCCCTCGCTAGCCGCATGCACGAGCGGCGTCCAGCCGTACAGCTTGTCGACTTGGTCAAGGTCCGCGCCGTAATTCTTCAGGAGCAGGAGTAATTCCGGTGTCTGTCCCGACCGGGCGACGAGGTGTTGTGGGAAAAGCCCCTCAGCGTCAGGGAGGATGCGAGCTCCATGCTTCAGAAGCAATTCCACAATGGCGACAGAGCCGTGTTCGCATGCGAGGTTTAGAGGGACGTGGTCGGTTTCTGAAACTGGATCTATCCGAGCCGATTTCGAGAGCAACCACTCGACGCAATCAAAGTGTCCATGGATGATGGCATGTATCAAGGGGGTGAAGTTGTCATGGTCGATCAGGTCGATCGTCTTTGGGTCAACTAGAGGGCACCATTTTTTTTAGCAGGATATTCTGGACAAGCCTCGCACCCGCCTTCAACCTACCAGATAAGAGGTCATCCAGCATATCGAGTCTTCCATGCATGCTGGCGTAGTGAAGCGGTACCCGTCCATACACGTCCGTCCGAGTGACAGCAACGCCCCTGGACAGGCCACAGTTGAGGACAAAGGTGTTCCCGTAAATCGTCGCTTGGTGGAGGCAGTTGCGTCCGTTGATATCGTCCTCGGACTGGACATCCACCAGCCCAGTTTCAAGCAGGACCTTGAGGGATTCATGTGGGCCCTCGTTAATCGAAGCGAGGAATGTCCGGGTGATGCGTTCCATGAGAGAAATGTCCATCGTGTTGTCCGGGTCTGCGGCGGTCCGCATTCGGCCCAGCAAGTCCCGCAAGGAGTCGAGGTTGCCAGCGAGGACTGTCTCGAGGAGGATGGTATCGGCATCGCCCTCGTCGGTTCCCAAGAGGTGTTGACTGCTCACAACATGGTCTGGCCTCGCGTCAAAGCTCACGTTATCACCCTCGGCCCACGCACCCAGTTCCTGTAAGCTAGTGGTGGCCTGGTCGGAGAGCTCGCTGATGACGGTGGCATTGAAGAACGGTTGCACCTCCACTGCTCGTGACAGATACAGCTCCTTCGTTTTTGACTTGGCCGTCTTATCCCATTTCTTGAGGATCTTGGAGAAGGCAGTGCCGTTGATCTCGACGAACTGTTGCAGCTTATTCAGGTCGTTGGCGAACTGTTGGAACCCTTCTTGGAGTGTGGTGAACTTGGCGGAACGCCGCGAAACGCCATTGTTTCGGGAACGCAAGACCTTTTTCTTGTCGAGAAGGATCTTCAGTCGGACTTTCAGCTTTGGGTTGGTTGTCAATAAAACTCGTCCTCCCACTGGCAAGGGGTGGCAATGGTTGGGGCATACCTCGGCCTCCTTTTGGAGGTAGAAGGCATTGACCTTTTCTAATTCCCGTTCCTGTGCTGGGGTTAGCAAGCCCTGAGACAGGCTCATAGCAACGACAACGGCAGTCTGCATTCATCTTACTAATTGGAAGAAGAAAGTTGCTTTGTTGGCCTGGAGGGCTGCTTGGGAGTCGATAACCTCGGGCAGGCGGTGAGGATCACTCTGTGCACCGAGGGTTGGGGTGGCGGATAGTTTCTTGATCAGCTAGAATTTCATCAAACTGTCAGTGGTACAGATCGAGTTTCTATCTATGGTGTACACGCATTGATTTCGGTATTCTCTAGTCTAAAGAATTACGGCCCAGTCCTCCAGAAGGCAGGCCTGGGTCGGGCAACACGAGAAAGGAGAATCATACCTTCTTCAAAGCCTTGTAATTCACAAAGCTGGCAGCATACTCGGGGACCTCGAGCTGCCGCTTCTGAATCTGCTTTCCAAACTTCCTGCAGTATGTCTCAGTACGTGGCTTCGGATCTGCAGGGAAGAGCAGGGAACAGAGTCAAGGGGGGGTGGGGGTCAGACGGAGACTTACATAGCGGAGTAGGGGGCACCGGGCAGGGCTTATTAGGATAAAGCTGGGATTTGAGCGAGGCGTTTGAGTAGAAGTTGGACCTTCTGTCCTGGCCATATGCAGAAGAGGAACCAATGGTTACGGAAGGCTAATCCCGGTTGCTCTCCAGCTCATGGAACGCAGAACAAGAGGGCACGGCACTGGGTGGTCACGCGGGCCGCGTTGTGATCGACGAGTGCGCTCTGCTAAACGGCAGTGTGAGGCCCATGAACTAGGTATGATAACAGGTGGGGTACGCCGTGGAACAGGTTGAAGGGGTAATAGGCCGTCCGAGCCCTTGCATGACCTGCCCGATCAGGTTCTGTCTTACAAGCTCGCACCAACAGGTTGCTGGGACCGGGTATAGCCAGGCCTGCAGAGGAGCTCATGCAGAGACACTTTAGGTATTGTAGGAGTGCGGAAACCTGCTCACCCACACGCAAGGCACATGGAAGGACGGCCACTGACAGGAACAATGCTGAGGGCTGGGTGGAGTCAGAGTTACTTACTTCAGCTCCCAGGTACGTTAAGATAGAGAGAGATCCTTCGAGCTGATAGGGGCGGGGGTTAAGGTTCTGTATATTCGTAAGTTTCGTCCAGATAGTAGATCGTGATGGTCAAAGGTGAGCCTAACCTAGGTAGCCGAGAATCTCCCCGTGGAGTTGGAAAGATCCTAGAAAGTAAGCAAGATGGTGCTGGAATCGAGGATGGCTGCTGCTAACCAACAAAGCAAAGCTCGAGTCTGAATCCTGAAAGTATGTGAACTACGATGTTGAAGACACCAGATATAGGAAGAATGCCTGCCTCCGGAACTGTGTGTTAAACAGGGACAACCAAGGTTGGACAGCAGAAAACGGCAACCCGAAGTCATTCATCCAAAAGTTCCATCGAGCCAGCGAAGAATTAGGGTTTCACTGGTCACTGGACCTCCTAACGAAAATGCACACTTGAGACATTGGGGAAAGCGCCGTTCACTGCCAATGAAGATCCGCAGACAGGATGCAGGCGACTCCAGGTGAAGCCAACAGTCGATACAGGAAGGGAGGTCCCCGATACGTATCTAGCCGTAGCTTTGCTCTCCAGTTGGCAACCCGGCCAATCGGAACCCATGGTTCAACCTCGTGCTCACTCTCGTCTTTCTAACTGCTTACCTAAACGACGAGGCTGAGATGTCAAATGCAACGCCACGCCGATCGATAATGGGTACCGAGATGGTGCGGGGCAGAATTTTGCATGTCATCAATTGTTCATCTGGTTTTCGGGAGGGGACCTGGTTCCCTGGTTCCCTGGTTGTTTGTTCGGCCTGTTGACCTCCCTTTCCTCAAAACACTCGCAAACTCGTCAAGATGCCAAATGAAATTGTACTTATTCTCTCCTCCACAAAATAAAATCACACAAGTTCCATCGCTGTTACCAGTTCCCTAGGCGCCATGCGCAACCCGCGATTCACTTGCCCCAAACAGCATCCCCGCATCTCCCTACTCCTTGGAGTCACTGGCGGCTCCGGCCTTTGGCTTTTCGTCGACAAGACTATCAGACATTGCCTCGGCGGCAGCCCTCTTGAGCCTCTCTGAGTCCTCCATCTTGATCTCCTTGCTCGTAGTCTTATCCTTGGCGTCTTTCTCGTCCTCGCTGTCTCCCAGGCTGAAAGGGTCATTCTCTGCGACAGGGCTAGGCTCGACTGTCGATAACGGCTGCCATTTGCTGGTCTTAGCAGCGCCAGCAGCGGAATCCTTGGGCGGAATCCGAGGCGAGGCATCGTAGGCATCAATGTTGTCGACCTTCTCACTGAATGCAACCTTTCTTCCATCACTGGACTTCGGCGACTTGGACGGTGGGGGAGGTTGGAAACGGTTGGGGTTTGCGTAGGACTGTTGAGGCTGGATCGGAGCTATGAGGTGGTCAGCACCGGGGCCGCCCAAAGAACATGGCTGCGGAACCAGGACACTTACTGCCATCGCTATTGAACTTCATACCCGCAAAATCGTCGCTGAGCAGTTCTGGGTCGGCGTCGTAGCGATCGTAATCTGCGCTCCTCCGGCTCTGGTCTCGGCTCGGCCGGCCGATGAAGGAGCTTCCCCCTGGTGCGTTTTCGTCATGCTCACCCTCGTCAAACTGCTCGTCCAGCTTCTTCTTGAAGTTCGTAAACCACGTATTGACCATGCTCTGCGTATCCTGGAAGCCCTTGCGGAGATTCTCCTTGATGACCGGCAGGTCGTCGTCGATGAAGCTGTGCTCCCGGTCGTACATCTCGTTGGGTTTGAGGCCCGTCTGCTGGCGCCCGCGCGGCATTCTAGGGTCGCGGCTCGAGGTTCTCGCCTCGTACTCGCCAACGCTCCTGTAGTGTTCCGCGAGCTGGCGGGCATACAGTTCGTCGGCCTCCAACTGTGAAGTGGTAGGCGCGCCCACAGGTCTCGGGGGTGGCGGGGGCGGCTGCTCCTCTTGCTGGTGCTCGTGCTGCACGGCATCTGGATCTGTCATCTCCAGAAGTGCATTGAAGGCTTGCTCGATACGACCACCACTGGCTGACAGGACGGCCTTAATAACGGGCACGTCAACGGCGGGGAAGGCCTCCTTCAGTATCAACTCGTTTTTCTGCTGCTCGCTCATCGGCCGGGGAGGTTTTGGTGGAGGCCCCTCTGTTGATCCTGCTGCTGTCGTTGCCGGAGTCGTGGGGTTGGGTTTATGGGCACCGTCCTCGCCCAAGACGCCTGATTCCTGGATGTCGTCGTCGTCCATCTCGAGAGGTCGGGCTGTTGTTGGTGACTCTGGACCGTTTTCGGGAGTAGGAGATTTGACCTGGCATTTCCACGTTCGAGGGTTAGAAACAAGAAAACAACGCATAAATTTGCCGCAGTGTTTGAGAAGCAAGGCTCAGCAAGGCGAGACTCACCGTGTCGGGCGGCGCAGACATACTGATCGTCGGGATGGCCGTCTGCCTCGAAATACGATGCAACGTGGTAAGATATAATCGATTTCACAAGGCGGAATGATAAATCTCTGCTGTTTCTAGGCGGGATAGTGATGTCTTGGCCTTTTTCGTATCGCACTTGAATACTGGCGAGGTTGATATCTGCTGTTGACGCATGTGAGCAGGCTACGATTGAGGGGCTTACGTAGCCGCGCCACATGCAACGAAGTACCCTACGTATGCTGCCCTGGCTTACGGCTTTTAGTGGACGCCGCACTGGAAGCCACTCTGCCACCTCACATCATATGCGTAGACCGGCCTCAAATGACCGCATTATCTGGCCAATCAGAGCCGCAATACCCCCCCCGACTTACTACGCACACCCCACATTACCACGGCTGGTTTCGGTTCAGCCACATTCCGTTGATAAGGCATACCGATAAGACCTCTGACGTCTCGTCCACCCGTCCCGCTACGATGAGCAGCTTCTAGATAGTGGTTCAGGCAGGAGTCGAGCAAGAAACTCGATCGCCCGCCCGCGATTGTTGATCTCGTTCTCATGTCACCATGGGAAACAATCCTAGCCGGGTTACGGCGCAAGACAAGTAAGGAGACAATCGAGAGCCCAACAGCCTGCTTGTGACCCCGCACCCCCCCAAAGACACCAGTTAACCCTCCAAAACCAGGGCCATCCTGGATCTGAAGAACCAGCGCGACAAGCTACACCAGTACCAGCGACGCATAACGATCCTCACCGACCGGGAGACGCAGATTGCGAAGCAGATGCTGGCGCAGGGAGACCGGAAGAAGGCCCTACTCGCATTGCGCCGCAAGAAGTACCAGGAGTCGCTCCTGGCCAAGACGGACTCGCAGCTCGAGCAGCTCGAGCAGCTGACGTCGAGCGTCGAGTTCGCCAAGATCCAGAAGGACATCATCTTTGGCCTCCAGCAGGGGACCAAGGTGCTCAAGGAGATCCACGCCGAAATGGGCGGGGTTGACCACGTGGAGAAGCTCATGGGCGAGACGGCAGACGCCATCGCCTACCAGAAGGTGCGTGCCTACCTACTCCTGCTCCCTAACCCCGCCCCCCCCCCCCCTTGGGAGGGGAACTGCCCCCGCGGCCGCGACTACGGCTTGCTAACCTACCACCTTGGCAACAGGAGGTCAGCGAAATGCTGGGCGGGAAAATATCTAACCACGACGAGGAGGAGGTGGAGCAGGAACTCGAGGCTTTGGAAAACGAGGTTCGCAACGCTCGGCAAGGACTCCCCACCTTGCCGGAAGCTCCCAGCAAAATATTGCCGGGCCACGAGGCAGATATAGAACCCGAGCCCGACGCCGACAGAGAGCCCCGGCAGCCAACGCGGATTAATCAAGGAGAACGGGAAGCAATGTTGGCGTAATGGTGTTGTGGTAACGCGTTACGCTACAGTGCTGGGTTTAGGTTTATGTTACATAGAGGTTGGCCTGGTACATGCACTGGGATAGCGGCGTCAGCCCGGATGGCCATTTATCAGGGGATTGGTCGTTGGGATCGGGGGTTTGGGAGATGAATCTTCATTACAAGCCTAGCTAAACAATGATATTATAGAGGTACAGTATGTACATTGGCGTTGATAATAACCCCCCGGCCAAGATACTGCATTATTGCATGACTCGAGGCTCTCTTCCCTTATTCTAAACACATTCAGCCCCATATCGACTTATCTCAAGGCATGGAACCGCGACCCCAGATATATAGCGACATTGGGGCACGATAAGGCGTCGCCAGCAACCAGATATGTACTCGATAAACACTTGGCGTCGAACCACGCTGGGAGTCCAAAAAGTCCTCTCTACACTGGTTGCACGGTGAGCCCAGCAGAAGCGGCGAGCTCTCAGCTGATATAGATGACACCGTCTTGCGCTGACCTTTTTTGCTCCGGAGGGATACAATGGTCGTCGTCAGCGAACGACACAGGAACGGAAGAGTTGTTTCTTTGCTGGTATATGTGTTCATGTTCGTGTGGTCGTACGCGTTGCTCATAGTCTCGATTGGGGTAACTGCAACTTGTCAATATTTTGAAATAGCCTTTGCTGCCATGCCGCAATAGACTTGCCTGTGATCAACATATTCAACCCGGACAACCCTCTCTTCTCTCGGCAGATTGACACGGGCACCTAACGACTGTGAGGCGCCCCGTGTATATTCGCGCAGGTGTGATGGTTCTCCTAGCCCGTCCCCATATCGAGAATGGATGTCTTTGGGGGGTGGCCAAGAATAATCCTTACTCGCAGGTGCCACGTGGGGCCGGGGAAAGACATTCGAAACCGGGATGAAATCAACGGGCATGTGTCTCTCCACATCCCCTCCTCGGGCCCGATCACTGTATGGCGAAGCGAAGCGAGGGTCGGCATGGCCCCTCAGCTGGTCATGGGGGTGCCGTCGAAGTTCGATGATCCCGTGGTCGGCTGGCGTCGTTCGATCTCGATAAACGGCATAGGGCTGCGGCTGCCCCACAGCCCTTCCTTCTAGTTCTGGCCTCATCCCATAGTCGCCGAAGGAAATTGGACGCAATTCCTCCCTTCGGACAGATCTAAGCTGCGATTCGCGGTCGTCAACCAACATCGGGCGCGAGTCCCGTCGGAAGGTTGCGGCATGGCGGGTTCCTTCATCTTCGACCATGACGCGGTTTGATTCCTGTCGAAGAAACCCGTCGTCTTCAGCAAGAGTGGAACTTCGGTAGTGCGTGGCAGGAGATTGCCGGTGCGCAGCATTGAACGGCCCTGCAACTGGATAGGCCACGCTTGGGACTCCGAAATACGTGGTAGGGGCGCGAGAGACACTGTAGCCCGCTGAGCTTGTGGGGATGCCATTCGACTCACGACTAGCCTGAACCCTGATGAAGTCCCGCTGGTCATCTACCATACGACGCTCATCAAGGAACTCCTCGCCGTATGAATCCGGAGCAGCACTCCGCCAAGCTGGCCGAGCCACAGGAACAGCCAATCGGGCAGATAGGTGCTCGGAATGTTGAGGTTCTGAAAGACGAGGGAGTCTCGAGGGTTGGTACGAGAAGTGGGAAGTCTCAGGAGACCTTGATTCGATTGACCGCACCAGGCAGTCTTTGAGACTCTCATCTCGATGGCTTACCACTGAGCGTGAAGCAGTTGGGGGCTCAAGTGCGTTAACACGGGACCCAACTACAGCCCCAAAGCTGTTGAAGCTCGCACTCCCGCCTGTGCGGCCATCCCTAGCTAAATACTGCGGATGAGAGGTAACAACAGTACGTGGATTGCCATTGCGCGGAAGGTATTCAGCGTCATCGTATGGAATCTGTGCGTGGTATGCCGGATAAGGAAGACCATACGAACTTGGCCTGGCATGATACGTTTGCAATACGTTGCTTGTTGGCCTAACCGTGGACACTTGGGCAGCAGGAGATGCAGGCTCTCGGGCGCCAAGCTGCTGTCGCTCAACAGCCTTATGCCATACCTGGTCTCTAACCGCTTGGTACCGCAAGAAGCCCCGGTGGGCCTTCCTTGCTGCCCTCTTTTCCTCTCTGGCCTCTTTTGTCAAGCGACGGGACTCCGGTACTTGCACAGCTCTGTCCTTAGCATGGCCTGCATTAACAAGAACAGAGGGGCTTTGTGGGTTGAGGGGCCCCTGGGTGTTGAGGGGCTCCTGCGGGCTGGCAATGGCCAGAGCCGGTTTAAGGCGATCTGCAGGGGCAAGTTCTTGGATCGAACTGGCCTCAGAGGACTCGGACTCTTCAGACTCGTCTTCGTCATCCTCGTATTCGTCATCTTCCGAGTCAGAGATCACCACGACCTCTCGAAGAATCTCGTCAAGCTGGTCACGGCCAGTCTCTTCGTCTCCTCGCCACTTGACGAGAATATCGAGACACAACGATTCTACCGCTTTCCTCGCGTTGACATATGTCGTCTCACGCAACAGTTGATCGTACCGAGTATGGGTATGCCGAATGTGGGCAAGCACGGCAAGTTGTACACGCCGTGACAGTGTGATATCAGGGGCCAGTCCAACCAGACGCATGCCATTCATAGTCGCGCCCTGAGGAAGGGAAGGAAACCTGTTCGTATCATCGATAAGTGACGCGGGGGTGTGGTTTACTTACCTTTTTAAAAGAGTGCTGGATGATGGTCTGGCGGTCTCCGTTCGGTATCCGGGGGAATAGATCCTTTATCGCCGCATCAGCTTGATTGTTGATCTCTTCCTGGTCTTCGGGGATGGGCTCTGGGATGCCGGGGTTGCCCGCAAGAGGAAGATATTCGAGGTCGCCAAGGGATTCGCGAGCTTGCTCGACAATGGTTTGCCTGACGTGGTGGCCAACACGGTTCAACGCGAGGCTAAGCTCTTTCGAATCACCGCCCTTAGATGCCTGCGGCCTGTTAGCACGGGGAATAACACGGTCTTGTTACGGGCTTCCTGAACGGACTGAAACAATAAAGATCATGGCATCTTGCGATCGAGAGAGTTCCTTGCATGCTGTTGTCAAGGCTGGATTTCCTATGGGAACGAACTCGAAGCCGGGCGGAGGGTGCTTGTTTGTTGTGATCTGTTCTGCAGTGAGACGGCCATCCGTAATCTTCCAGGTTGTTATGTATACCTGAAATTCGAGCTTCTTCTTCTTGTCTTTGTTCTCGACAAACTCAAAATACGAGTGATGCTTGGTTTTGGGCTGCGCAATCTGCGGCCTTGCAACCAAACCTCTCGGCATAGGGCCGGTCCAGTCATGCAGGACGCCTTTTCTGTCCCGGCGGTGCCTGTCCTTTGCATGGTGGCCAGAGGGGACACCGGGGCCGTCCTTCTTTTCTCTTCCCATACTGAAAATTCAGAGCCCTACCATCATGTACGATCATGGAAGTACATAAGATTCGAGAGTTTGGAACGACGGGCAAGGTTAGTGAGCAGACGGTCTACCCGTGGGCAGGGTTTGAGGGCTCTCGGACAGAAATCTCCTTCCTGTGCAGCGAAACCGTCCCAGATGAGGCTTCCTTGGAAGGGTCAATGAAGACAGACACTTGCCAGATCCAAAGGAAAGTGTGGAGAGAAAGGAAAATCAAGTCAACGGCAGGTTTGGAGGAAATCACGATTCCACTGAGAGTTTCCGAGGAGGTAGTCGGAGACTCAATCCATGCGGCAAACAAATCGCGCTATTAGGTTGTTTGTACAGTGAACAAACGCGTCACCAGGACTGGGCGTACGTGCCAAATCGGGCACGCCTTTGGCTGAGTGAATCTGGGAGAAGGAGAAGGTGACCAGGAGCTGAATAAGTCCTGATTTATTCAGGCGGTCGAGTGAGCTGCGCCTCAGGCAGCCACGGTTGGGCGTAACTTGGGTGTTTAGGCGTCAGCCCGCCTTACTAATCCATGCGAGTTACGTAAGGAAGGCGAATATTCCATACACCCCTTCGACTCTTCAACCTCCTGCCCAGATAGCATCAGACTCACTTCCTAACTACCGACAAATACCTAGTGATCTCCTACCTACAAAGGTAGGCTTTTTGATTCTACTTCATGGGTTGGAAATCCACCTTGAGAGCCTAAGGTTGGATCGAGTCGGGAAGAAAACGGCGTTAAACCGGGTCACAGGTGTCTCCTGGTTGTAAGTGGGATACTCGGAGTCGGGTGGTGTCCAACCAGCCAATATGGCAGACTTGGATCTTGACTCGTCCTTTATTCCGGCCTTGTACAAACCTGCCGCTCTGCTTCCCATTACGAAGCACCGTGAAAGCCTCCTCTATCTCATTGAGACCCATCCTGTCACCATCGTCGTTGGTCAGACTGGCTCCGGGAAGACAACGCAGATACCCCAATTCCTCGAGAAAGCTGGCTGGTGCGCAGGCGGGAAGATCATAGCTGTCACTCAAGTAAGGATCCGTCGGGCTGCCAATGCCGTTCCTTTGGAGAACCATCGAACTGACTCGAGAAGCCGCGACGTGTTGCTGCGACCACGGTTGCTCTACGAGTTGCAGAAGAAATTGGGTGCGAAATTGGAAAGGAAGTCGGATACTCAATACGCTTTGAGGATGTGACGTCTGCCTCGACGCGCATCAAATTCCTAACCGATGGCCTTCTCATTCGGGAGGCATTGGTCGATCCCCTTCTTTCACGATACTCTGTGATTATGGTGGACGAAGCCCATGAAAGATCAATCAGCTCTGACATTTTACTGGGTCTTCTGAAGAAGATCCGTAAGAGAAGGCCGGAGTTGAGAATTGTTGTCAGCAGTGCGACCCTCCAGGCCGATCAGTTCCTCCGCTTTTTCACCGAAGATGGTGGGTACGAAGGGCCCCCTGGCGGAGATGCTGGGGCAATAGGGTCTATCATCAGCCTCGAGGGCAGGACATATCCTATTGATGTCCTTTACTTGGCATCTCCTGCCGAAGACTACGTGGAGAAGGCGGTGTCAACGGTATTTGACATACACACCACAGAGCCCAAAGGGGACATACTTGTCTTCCTTACCGGGAGGGAAGTAATCGACTCCGCTATCGAGGCGGTATCGGAACGGGTTTCACGGCTGCCTCCCAAGTCTCAGGCGTTATTACCACTGCCTCTGTACGCTGGCCTATCGACAGAGCAGCAGATGTACGTCTTTGACGAAGCACCGGAAAATACCAGGAAGGTTATATTCTCGACGAACATTTCCGAAGCCTCCGTCACCATAAACGGTATCGTCTATGTTGTGGACTGTGGGTTTGTCAAGTTGCGGACTTACGACCCGAAAACCGGCATTGAGACATTGACAGCAACGCCAGTGTCCAAGGCCTCAGCAGCGCAAAGGGCTGGACGAGCCGGACGAACCCAGCCAGGAAAGTGTTTCCGACTCTACACCGAGGACGCGTTTCAGTCTCTCCCTGAGGCCAATGTCCCGGAAATCCAGCGATCGAACCTAGCTCCGTTTATCCTGCAACTCAAGGCACTCGGAATCGACAATGTTCTCCGCTTTGACTTTCTCACGCCGCCACCCGCAGAGTTGATGGTGAAGGCTCTGGAGCTCCTGTACTCGCTCGGCGCACTGGATGAGTATGCCAAGTTGACGAGGCCTCTCGGGATGAGGATGGCAGAGCTGGCTGTGGAGCCGATGATGGCAAAGGCTCTCCTCTCTGCCCCAGGCTTCGGCTGTTTGAGCGAAGTTCTTACAATCGCTGCGATGACGAGCCTAGGGGGGAATGTGTGGGTCCAGCACGACGGCGAGAAGAGGAAAACGGAGAGCTCGAAAAGGAAGTTCGCGGCCGAGGAAGGCGACCACCTCACGTTGCTCAACGTCTACCAGGCATTTGTGACCAAGGGTCGCAAAGAGTCACGATTTTGCAGGGACAATTCCCTGAATTTCAAAGCCCTGACCCGGGCTGTCAGCATAAGAACACAGCTCAAGCGCTATCTAGAGCGATTCGGCGTCATCGTAGACGAGTCTCTGACAGCCCCGCCAGCGGAGAACAAGGCCGAGCAGATACGACGATGCTTGACTACGGGCTATTTTGCACACGCCGCGAGGATGCAACCAGATGGGACCTTCCGCAACGTTTCAGGGGACACCGTCCTCCACGCTCACCCGAGCTCACTGATGTTCAACCGGAGAGCTGACTGGGTGATCTTCCATGAGGTCTTCGACACTGGCAGCAAGATCTTTGTCCGAGACATCAGCAAAATCGAAAAGAATTGGCTCCTGCAATACGCTCCGGACTTCTATCAGACCAAGTCTGGATGATAGACAGCTCAGAAGATGCTGCCAGGGGACGGAACTGACTCTCTCCCTGGCAACAGCATGTAGGCGACGAATCAAATCATAGTTGAGGCGCTGGCGATGAGATCTATCGTGCTACACTGGAACTAGAGCCGCACCAGGAGTCCTTCTAAGTCCTCATCCTTGGGACTCCAGAACATGTTGTTGCGGTTTCAACCCGTTTCACTGCAGCATGGGAACATCAACTTCAAAGCAGGACTCTATCAGCTGGGTCGGTTCCATGTTCCCCGCCATGTGACACCTCATCTCGGTTGATTTTATTAGTTAGGATCCAACTGGGGGCATCGGGGCCTAGCCCCCCTGGCGTTGAGTAACAGACCGTGGCTACGGATTACACAGGGCCACAAGCGGAGATTAGCGCCACATTTATCCTGAAAATGCAAGCTGCAAGCCGCACCGATGTTTCGGTGCGTCGTCCACTCAAATGTCCAGGATCAACTGGGGTGCCTGGCTGGGCCCCGTCCCGCTTTTTATTGAGACGAAATTAGCAATTCTATTCGTCCACCAGCCCACAGCCGTATTTTGATTGGCCGTGTCCCTATTCGTCCCCTGGGTGCGATCCCCCCCCTAATCGAGGTCTAATCCTAATCCAAACTCCCATTTTCAATCGTCTCTGGACATCGTGGTTCACTTGCTTTTGGTTTGCAAGCAAGCAGGCGTGCCATTCTTTTCGCTCACGACACCGACGGGTATTCTGTGCCCGTTGACCACACTCATTTATTTGTTCCGCCTTGGAATCGTCCGCTCCTTAGCTCGTAGCCTGCTTGCTTGCTGCTGCTTCTCGAGTTATCCCGTCTCGTTTCGTTTCGGCCCATCACTAATAGGATCGCCTTCTATCGTTTTCTCCCGCTGTACCGAACTCAAGCTCCTCGCGGACAACATTCCGTTTCACGACTACAATACTATGACAACATCCTTTACAATCCGCTGACGTTGTTCTTCTGCTATTTCTGCACCGATCTCGACTTACACGAAGTTCAGCCGAACCAGCTTTTCTGTTGATCTTGTTTTCTGGTTCTGTTCTATCTTTTCGAAACTGGGCATTTGAGAGGGACGATAAAGCATTTGGCGACCATGGAGGGCGCTGCGATGCTGAGGGTCGGCTATGCTCTTGGTCCAAGAGTATTGTTGAAAGCTCAACAAGCCAGCGACACGCCGCAGAGCCGGATGCTAGGGCCCAGGACGGCCAGTGAAGATGCGCCTCGAACATCGAGCACATGCCTCCCCGGCAACAACTCGAACGCCTGCGAGAAGCCAATTGGTAGCTCAGCCATGACTCTACCCATTGTTCTCGGAGTATTGTAAGTGACTCGCCCAGTATCGTCCTTGTTTTGTTGTCCTAATCAGAAATGCAGGATTCCCCTTGTCTCGGCCATGTGCGTTTTGATCTTCCTCCACCGGAGGAACATGAAAAGGCAAAGGAGAGAGGATGCCATGGATCCTCACAAGTCGCTGGATTTTGGCCTGGGAGAGAACTTGGACAAGGGCGGCAAAGGCAACCGGAAGAGCATCCTGGGCATGGGAAAGGACCATTCCCGGTACCGGCAGATGTCGATGGACATGAACCTCTCGAGCCCCTACCTTCTTCCTTCACACCTGCACAGTTCCCGGGAATCACTGCATTCTTTGGCCAAATCGCTCCATCAGAACGAGGACCCCTATCGGCCAGTGGCTCAATATGCAGGGAGCGATGCTGTCTCTACACGGTCGCTTCCAAAGGGCCGCGACCGCGACGGGTCCTCGATTTACACTGGCTCGAGCAATGACCGAGACTCGGCTGCTCGGACTCATTCGATGGCCGCCTCTGGCGCATACATTGCTCCCCCCCGACAGAACTCGCTCCCCAAATCGCCTCCACCGCCGCCAGAGCCCGTGCATATGAAGCCGGCCACCACAATCCCTGAGGACTCTGATTACCCCCCGTCATTGCCGTTGAAGGACCCATTCCGTTCCCCCACGGAAGTATCACTACCCGACTTCAGCTCAATGCCCTATCCCGCCGGGGAGCCAGGCTCTTTGGCGATGCCGACCGGACCAGTGATCCAAGACCCTCCTGCTGCAGCACAACGAATCGCTCGAAAACCCATGTCTGGTTATTCCGCCAGCGCTTCAGTAGTCGACGCAGAGCTGGATATGGCCGACAGCGAGAGTGTCCTGGGCCATGCAGGCCAACCCTCGATTGGCCGCGTTGGGACGTCTCACAATGCCCATAGTCAGAGCCCGTCGATTTCATCGCATCGCATGTCGCCGCCAACAGTTCAACCCCTATCAGTTGGTTCGCACCCTCAGCTTTCATCACCACCTCCGGTCGTGGGCGCAATCGTGGAAGAACCAGAAGGATATAATGATCACGACTATCCGCAAATGGCACACGACGGGTACCATCAGCAAGAGTACTTTGACTCTGAGGACCGTGGGCGGAGCATGCAAAGAGAATCGATGAACTATCAAGCCGCCCAGACAGGCCTAGGTGTCCCGGTGCAAGACACCCGTCGACTCTCCGTTGGACTGCGTCCTCTGCCCCCAGACGATGTTATCGAGTCCGAAGACCCCGAGACCCGGGCAAACCGCATTCGATCATTCTACAAGGAGTACTTTGACGATTCGAAGCCCGATCCTATGCCCGCCGTGAATCCGTCAATGGGGAATCTACAACATGGAAGAGTAGACTACTATGAGGATTACGACGGGGGCTACGTTGGCGATGCACCGTATTACGATCCAGCTTCCAATTCCTTCGTCATGCCGTATGCCCAGCCGGTATCCCGGCGAGCAATGACACCACCGCCCTCAGGTTCAAGATTCCCAGGCCCTCGCGGCGGTCCGCGTCCGCACCATCACGGATCAGTCGGTGGGATGAGCATGCCTGGCGGACGCGGCCCGCCGAGACCCGGCTCCGCATCATCGAGCAACTACGGACCACGGCCAGGTTCGTCGGTGTCGAACGCATGGGGAAGGCCTCGGGCGGGCTCAGCCATGTCTGGGCGCCCTCGGAAGCCGTTCGTGCCGCCTTCGACACTGACCACGCTGCCCAACCCGTCCAGGCTCCGAGACGACTCGGTTGCACTCCTCGGCTCGATCGAATTTGCACCGCCAGAGACATTCAAAGACCGGGCAGCCGGCCGACCTCAGAGCCCCGCGGGCGAGCGCCGTCCATACCAACTCAATGTGCCCATCCATTCCCCCTTGGTCAATGCCTTCGAGGAACTACCTACATTGCCCAGCCCGTAAGCACCCTAACTTGGCTGGACAGCAAGTGATTTGAGCTTATTCTAACAACGTGATAGCCATCTTCTTCGCAAATCGAGCACCTTCACCGGCCTTGATTTTGCCCCTCCACGCAAATTCACCGACTCGGACTCTCGGAGCGAGACCGGCTCTATCCGTAGCAATCGGAGCGGCATGTCCACGGCCCAGTTGAGTGCCATCCGCAGTGGGGCTGGTCGAGTCAGTCGGCTTCCGGAAGACAGCATATTCACTGCCGCCCAGGTGCAGCAGAAGCTCAAGCCTTCATGGACTATGCGCGACTAGGCGGCTGGTCCCCCCCTCGTCGTCTTATGTTTATAGACTCTTCTGGCATGGGCATGGTCTCTATTGCTTTTTTTTCTTCTGTCTCTATAAGCATATGAGGAGAGGGCCTCGGGATCCCAGACCCCAGACTTCTTCGCTGAAGTCATGAGGCTGGTCCACCCATTGTCTGCCAACTGGCGGGCATGTGGGACGGACATGAGGCCTGACCACTTGCGTTGCACTGGGACACGGGAGTAGCGGTGCCTACCCAAATCCACTGATGGGGCGACATACTGGTAATGTCTTGTGTTTATCATCTATAGAGGAGCATTTTTGGTGCGCAAATGACGGGGGAGAATATAATCACAACCCCGCATGGCACTCACGATCGCACATGCGCATGACGATAAATCCACTTAACCTATAGACCCGGGTAGCCGGAAGACAATGTGGTTTAATGAAAACGTTCAACTGTCATCTTATTCCATTTTCATACTATTACTGTGTATTTTTCATCGTCCATTTGACTGTGAAACCGGCCGCGCGGGAACATGACTCAGGCATCCGCTTACTGGCAGGATTATCGGCATGCAGTCGTTAATAGGCCGTGCCAACTTGTGCCAACGCCTTTCCTTGGACACTCGAGGACTAAATAAACAATAGGAAGCTATCTCGAATCTCCCTCGCAAAATTCTACGCCGTCCTGCCCCCGGGTCCTGCCTGAGACCGGGGCGGCACTTGAAGGCTACCTAGGTACCTACCCGCTATTCGCACCTGGTAGAGGGCACTGGCGCCACGCCGGAGGTCATATTCAGAGCTGTGGTCGATGGAGCGCCAGGTTTTCTATTTTTGAACCCGCGCTGATCACTCATCCTGCGGATTGCAGACCAATGGGAGAACATCGCCACACCCGCCTTGGATTTTGTTGATGGAGCCCGTCTCCACAAGCTGTACGCAGTAAGCACAGCCATCCGGCTCGATGCGAATGGTGTGGTGCGCTATTACGTTCAGTCCCCTGGTTGGTCGCTAAATCGGTTAAGTGGCCACACAGCGAACGTTCTAGGAAGGGGCCAACGGCGTTCGTTCCTGGATGACGTTGGTGACCTCGAGAACTGGGAATATTTTTTGCCGCCTTGCCTTTCGGACAACGGCCAGAAACGGCATTGGTTTCCGTTGACCGAGCAAAGATACGAGTCGATGCTCGCTGTTCGGTGCGTAATCATTGCTCCCTTGCTCCATATCGAGAAATCCTCCGCATGCAGCACTTCCTTTGAACAAATACGGCATCGGCGCTAGACCGGATTCGGATAGCGCAACTTGCCTTGGGTAAAGATCTAGACAAAGCCCCGGAAGGTTGGTCAGGCCTGAGGGGTAGGGTAATCCGCAGAACTCTTAAATAGCAGGACGCCGGAGAAACGCCTCCTTCTACTTGCTGGATGCTAATAAATGCCTTTTCATCTTCCACTCCTTTGACCTCTGTTACTGTGCTTCAGATACAGACATATCCATAACAGCCGGAAAAGCCCGACTCGACCCGCAGAAATCACGACCAAGCGCCGAACCAATAGTACGGGGCTAGTCATTCGTGGACTCGAGTCCGGGACAGACCGCCGCGACTAGCTCAATGCGAGCACAGCCACGACTCGCACAACGTGGTAGCCACATCTTAGTAATTATACCAAAGACCCCCATTGCCTTTGAGAACGAGTCAACGAACACTTTTGAGACGAGAGCAATTAGGCGCCTTGGCGACTTACTCGTGGTGGTTAGGAAAATACTTCTCTGCTCGCGCAGTTAAAGCCGACATTCAGGGTGGTTGTGAAAATTGAGATAGTAGCCGGAAACCGAGGAACTCCCAACATCCGGATCTCAGTTCGCCCACCATCGTCCCATTCATTGCCAACGAAAATCATAGAAGTTGTCCCGGGACTGATTAAAACCACAATAACGGCGCCAGAAAATTTCACCGAGAAAATAATTGGAACGCGAAAGTGAACAGACCCAAACCAGACTGAAAGCGTTGAAAGTTGCGATCCACCAATCTCGGAGCTCGTCTGCCAGCATCCAGAAACAAGTCTCGACCAATCCGCCGCGATACGACCCTACTCCGCCGCCAATCCTCACCCTCTTACGGCCTAGGTGTGCTTAGCTAGGGTCTGAGGGAATACGGGGCCCTTTTGCTTCCTTCTCTTAACTCGCCTTTTTTTGGCCCCACGAGGACTGACAGACAGATTGCTTCGATCTCCTCCCATTCTCTCACCGTCCGGCGTCCGGTTCCCGGTTCTCCACTTTACATTCCTCTTTGCAACAAGAAGATTGTCCTTCTTCGCCCTCCATTCCAGTCGGTCTCTTTTAGTTTTCATTTGGTCTGTCATAACACTCCTAGCCTGGATCTCGACCGTCGCTCTTTCGTCAGGCGCCTGGACACAAGACCGCCACGTCAAGGTCATACGGTGCTCAGCCATTCGTTTGGTCTTAGCCATCGCGACTCTCAAACACCCCCTTTCCGCACCACCCTTCGAGACAGCCTCTCCTTCGCCCCCTTAGCTGAGTTTTGATAGAGGATCCATCCCTGTTTGAAGGTGTGTAGCCCAATTGCTACCCGCATACCGGTCCTGTCTGTGCTTGTTCAAGCTGTATCACCCTTGCGTGTTCATGTTGTGGTCTTGAATCCATCGCTCTTCGTCCTCCTACCACAACATTTTCATCCCACACCAGCTTCTTTTATCGACGATCTCGCCATGTGTCCCAAACTCTGTCCTATACTGTTTATGCTTGGACCCGTCTCGTCGCTAACATGGCCCTGCCCTTAAGGGATTATCCTCGTCGGCTAAGGCGTCAAACCTTCATCATGGCCACCAACAATTCAAGTACGATCAGCGCGCAGGCATCGGATCCGCCTGGCTCGCCGACGCCCAGTCGGCCCCCGAGTTCTCCTGCTAACCCGCCAGCAACAGCCTCGACGCCAGACCCTACAACCTCTCGTCCTCCAACCTCTTTGCCGACCTCTGATCCGCCTATCACCTCGTCCCCGCCACCAACAACAAGTCTCCCGCCAACTTCCGAACCTCCGACCCCAACAACCTCAAAGGAGCCCCCTCCATCCACGGAGCGGCCTCCTACTACTTTTACTAGCTCATCAATTAGCACGGAACCCGGAGGAGGACGGACGAGTACAGTTGTCACCACGATTACTTCATCCTCTCCCACCCCGACAGATGCTCCAACTTCGGCATCGGCATCATCCTCCCCCACCCCGACGGGCGGTGCCATCAGCCCGAGCAAGGGCGGTGGAGGTGGACTCAACGGTTCTGGCAAGATAGCGGTTGCTGTGGTAGTCCCTATTGCCGCAGTTGCGCTTCTCGTCTTGGCTGCTATCTATCTGTGGCGCAAGCGGAAGCAACGGAAAGAGGCCGAGGAGCAGCGGCGCAAGGAGGTGGAAGACTATGGCTACAACCCCAACGCCGACCCGGCCATTCCCGACGTGGCTGCCGCGGGCGGGCCGTTTGAAATGAAGGAGGACGGTTCGTCGGGCTATCGCGGTTGGGGCAGCACCACCCTTGCAGGCTCGACAGGCAGGAAAGCGTCGACGACAATGTCGGGCGGTGCGGCCGGAGCGGCTTACTCTGACGCCACCTCGCCCACTCGCGGCAACATCTCGGATACCCGCTCAGGAGAGCCGCTGATGCACGATGGGTCCCAGTCGCCCGAGGGTGAAATCCTGGGAGCCATGGGCCCGTCGGCGGCCGGGAACCGCGGCGACGTCCACCGGGGTCCTTCGAACGCGTCTTCCTCGTACAGCGCTGCTGGGCGCTCTGACGGATCCGGCGAAGGCGGAGTCGGCGTTGCTTACGGCGGGGGACCCGGGTATTATGACCAGTACGGGAACAGCAACCCGTACTCAGACGGTCGGCAGGGTCCGACCGAGCTCGGCGCACAACCCATCATCCGCGATGTCACCGCACGGCGCAACACGCAGATCGAGAACTCGGCCCACTATCCCCAGCAGACTGCTGGCATCTCGCAAAATTTCTAGCCCTCTGCGACCCCTAAAAAAAAGGAATCGATTATGATGTCTCAGTCGGCTCGACTTTTCTTGAATACGATATATACCCGTCTCCGTTCAAACATACGCCTTCCGCGACACATCCCTGCGCGTCGTTGCGCGTCGACCTCCAGTCCTTTTATCCCCGGCGTTTTACGGCTGGACAAGCAACAATGGATCAATCCACTTTCCTTATCTGTCGGATCACATAATAATATTGCCCTCGCAACCTCCGGGGGACGAATCACTGACCCGGCAAGAGTACATCCCCGATTCCTGCACATATGGGCCCAACGGACGTGCCTGGCTCGGAGATCCTTACACCGGCGCTCCCATGGACACTCGACGCCAGTTACTTGTGCCGATGCCCATCGCGCCATGTCATTATAGGGTATAACAACGAGGCTTGGATTGAAGCGTCGAGGAAGGTGCGGAGAGGATCGGCGTGGGAACCGTGGCCCCGTATATATAAGCGAGACGAGATGTTTTGGCATACGCTCCGCGCGTGGCGGAGAAATGAATATAAGGATGCTGAGTTGGTTGGTCGCAAGGGTGTCGGCAGGATTTATCTAGGCGGTTGGTTTATTTTACTTCTCTCGTTGGACGCAGGACACAACAAGACAAGCTTCCACACCTAGCTGGTATGGTTTGTTGTCAGTTTTTTCGAGTCTGGAGCCGAATATAGTATAGTGTGTTGGTAATTGCATTGGTTGGGGGAATGGGCATGGAGGCAGCCTTGCGGCCATTGTGCTTGTTGCCAAGGGCAGATACGAACTGTAGATAATTTTGCAATTGATACTTAGCTCGCGACCATCAGCACTTGTTGCTGTTGGTGATGCTTTTGTTACCGCAACTCTAATTGACGTCCAGGAATTTGTGAAATAGGCCAGCAGGCCTAACTGAATGATCACAACACTTTGATAGGCATAGCAGGAGGGCTGTCAAACAGCTGCTTTGACAATCACCTCGTCGCAATATTAGGAGTGTATCAGATTAGTGGTCACCCGCAATGCCAGAAGGCTACAAAATCCTCGTTACAAAAACTAAATAGAGTCTGTTATACAAACACTCCATACATGCATAGTCTCTCCTTCCCCAAGCCAGCTAAAATCGTCACACACACACACACACACACACACACACCCAACCCCAAACTCACAGCTTCGCCCCCCTATCCAACGCCGCCCTCGCCCTCCCCACCCCCTCGCTCAACTCGATCCTCTCCCACCAGAACCGGCACCGCTCCACCTCGGCGGCCGAAAGCGTCTCCGGCCGCGCCGCCGTGCCGGGCCTCCGGGGCCCCGGTCGGCTGCGGAACTCGGGGGGCTCGCGCTCGTCGTTGCCCTCGCCAAAGACCATGACGTGGCTTTGCCCCGGTCCCGATCCCGGTGCCGCGAGAGGGGACTCGAAGGGGGCCCACCGGACCGTCGTCGTCGTCTCCGTCGAGTTGGCGTTGGCGGTGGCGTTGGCGTTGGAGTTCGTCGGCGACGGGACCGGGTTGGGATCGCCGTCCCTCGAGACGATGAAGTTGACCCACGCGCCGTGCATGGCATCGGCGATGTTGCGGATGCCGGGCCGCGGCCCGCCGCGCCGCGGGGCGACGACGCCCATGTCGTGCGCCACGACGGGTGCCTCGTCGCCGTGGTTGGCCGTGCCCCACGTGCCGGTGGCGGCGTAGCGGTAGACGTAGACCGGGGCCCGGCCGGCGCCGGGGCTGGCGCTCCTCTCCTCGGTCACCCCTCCGTCTGGAGACGGGTGGTGGGACGACTTGGAAAAGACCGTGCTGCTGCTCGGCCGGCCTGTCGCGTCGTCCGCGGTCGATAGGAAGTGGGCCGTTTGCAGTACCGGGCAGATGTACGCGAAGTGGCTGTACGCGGCGTCCAGGCGCGCCCACTGCCGGCCCATGCCCTTCAACACCGTTTTATAGGGGCTGCTTGGGTTGGTGACGGGGTCGGGATACAGGGCCTCGAGCGCCTCGAGGTCCTGCGTCCTGAGGCCCGGGATGAGCGTCGTGAAGAACTTTCTGAAGTCCTCGTTGCTGCCCGCATGCTGGGGCACGAACATGGTCCCCTCATTCGTGTTGAACCCGGTCAGCACGGGGATGCGGAGATGGTTGCCTTCGCGCCACGACTCGACGGGCAGGTCGGGGATCACGGAGGCTGGAATGGCGCCCCCGTCATCGCCCGGGCGTCCGATGGCGTGGCTGGAGTTGGACAGCGAGTTCGGCCCGTCAATAACGGGCTGGAACGGCCAGCAGACAGTTGCGTTGTACCGGTCCCAGATGGCGCGCGAGGCCCTCGTAATGGTCCCCACAGGCAACTTGCGAAGTGTGGGGAAGACATCTTGCTCCGGAACGCCTGCGATTCCGGCGGCGATGAGAAATTCGCGGAACTGCTTCAGGTGGCGCGGATGAGTTGGGTAGAGGACAGATCGGGCGGTTGTTGCACCTGACTCGAGGATGGCCTTGGCGAAAGGCGCAGGAGTGGAAGACCTGGAGTAGTACATCAAGTGGTGGCCGATCTGGATTAAAGTTAGATTGCCCTATACAATGGACGGTTGCGACGAAACTATAAATGGGGGCGAAGGGGCAAAGGGGCAAAGCATAAGTAGACACCGCGCCAGAACATCTATGGAATTGCGTGCACCTACCGAATGAGCACCAGCACTGAGACCCATGAGCGTGATATTATCGGCGTCGCCTCCAAACGCAGCCACATTATCCCGAACCCAGGCAAATAACAGCTGCTGGTCCTTGAGGCCCAGATTCAGCAGGCCCTCCCTTGCAGTGACAGCTGACGGCAGGAAGCCCAGGGCGCCGACGCGGTAGTTGAAGTTAACGGCGATGATAGGCTCCTTGGCCCACGAGACAAAGCTGGCCATGTTCCTCTCGGTGCCCACGCCGCCGTTGAACCCGCCGCCGTGGACATAGACGACGACGGGGAGACGCCGGTCCGCCGGCCGTGCGCCCCTGGGCCGGTAGACGTTGAGGTTTAGGCAATCCTCGCCCTCGATGGTGACCTCGCCGGTGGCATTGGTAGCATTGCTGCCGGGGCACGACTGTCCGAGGGCTACGGCTTCGAAGGTCCCGTCGGACGGCCCGATCGGAACAGGTAGCCGGAAGCGGCTTTCCCCGGCGGTCGTCTCGGCGAAAGGAATGCCACGGAAGGCCTCAATTGCCTTCGGGTACGAGTCGCTCGACGGAATGGTGGCGCCAATGTAGGTCCCCTGGCGTAGTTTTACGACTGGGGCGCTGGACACGGCCGGCTCCGACGCGGGCATCAGGGCGGTTGCGGGAAGCGAAGAATTGGAGTTTGACCCGGCTGTCGCAGTCGCATCAGTGTCTGGCTTTGCCGTGACGTTGCCCTTCTCCAGATCACTTAGAGTAAACGCTGAGGATGGGGATGGCGAATTCTGGGGGCCATGGCGGAAGACGTAGAGCCAGGCGACCAGGGCGACGACTGTAATTGCCGACAGTAAGGCAGTGGAGAGGAGAAATCGCCGAGGGCGGCTCTTGGAACCCATGAAATCGGCAGGGACAGTGTCTTGGCTAGACATCACATATTGGGCTTCCAGACTCAGCACTAGATGGGCAAACAGTGCGGTGGATGGAATCAGACGAAGCACTTACTGCTCGCTGTTCTGACCTCTGTCCGAGGAGAACAAGGCGTTGGACAAACAATCCCTTTGAAGCCACAAGCGATTCCAATGTCCGGTATCCCAGGACCAACGATTTCCCCACGCTCATCCGTTCCCGATTTGACAAGGGTAGCTAATAAGTTGGCATCCTAGTTGCGCCGCCCCTCCACAAATGTGACCGGGGTATGCGCCAACATTGACCAACCTTCGTCAATGATCATATCAGTGATATCACAGACATCACTTAGAACCAAGTAGGAAGTGTACCCAATTGTTTTGAATGATGCGATTTGTTTCTGTCTCCTTGCAAGCGACGGCCATTTGCGGCAACCAATATACGGAGACTCCTCGCTAACCCTGTCCATGCCTTTAAAGGCCGCGAAGAAGCAAATACCCCCAAGGGATCAGTATGCGTACAAAAACTCCCAACCTGTGCCTGCTATGCATATAAACGCAGGCTTTGGCCTGAGAAGGAATAAAAGGGAAAACAACCAATAAAACAAAACAAAACAAAACATATAACTAGACAGGAGCGGAATCCCACTGTATGACCCTCCTTAAAACAAACTTTTGGCGCACCATCAAGCAATACCTATCGGAAGTGTGACGTCCCTATTTGCCCACATTCTTTTCTTGTCCACAAAACAAAAAAGGAGGCCACCTCAAGCTGCCAGCTTCTTTAGCCTCTGCTTCTCCGCCCATTCTCGGCTGAGCTGCCGCGACCGCTCCGCAGCCTCCTGCCGGGCGTGCTTGGCGGCCGCCTCCCTTTCGCGGCGCTCACGCTCCCGGTCGACCGTGAAGCTGTTATCGCGGACGTAGATACCCTTGCCCCGCAGCTTTTGCTGCTGCAGTTCCTCTGCGCTCATCGTGCTGCGCTTGCCCACGCTGCCGTGGACGCTTCCTGTCGACGCCGATGTTGCCCTGCTAACCTGAGTGATTAACGGCGAGCCAATGACGCTGTTACGGCCGCGCGATGGCGCTTGAGAGACAGTCCGCGAGGACTCGCCAGTGGATAGTGCCGACCCGTTTGCCGGCGTGATGGCGATCGAGTGCCGCTTGCTAACAGTCGACGGCGCCGCTCTCGCCGAGTTCTCAGCCAGGGCTCCTTTGTTCGTTCTTGCGCGGCTGGCGATGGTCTCACGCGGCAACGTGCTAGGTGCCATGCTAGACCGGTTCGGCCTGGCCTTGAATTGACGTCTATTCCGCTCATCTTCCTCTTGCTTCCTTAGCTTCTCTTCTCGGTCCAGTCTCTTCTGTCGCGAAATGGCTTCACCCGGCAGCTCAAAAGTGGGCCTCGTGAGTGGCTTGCTGGACCTCGGCCTTGCAGGAGAGGCTGCTACACTGCCTTGCTCTGGAATTGCCTGCATGGACAGGCGAGCCTCGCGCTGTTCCTTGAGGCGCCGAGCCACAGCCTCGCCTGGGAGCTCGAAGGTTGGGACGGTCAGTGGCTTGCTCGACCTAGCAGGCGGTTTGGGTGGAAGGAGGCTTGTGGGCCGGGCGATTGAGGCCCGCTTAGGAGGAGCCTTTGACGCTGCCTTCTCCTCATCTTTAGCGGATGATGTGCCATTGGATTTGCGGACTGGGCCTTTGCTCTCTGCAGCCTTCGTCCTCAACATGCTGGACCCTGGCCGCGAGGCAGACGTGCCACTGGCCGATCCGGCCCGCTTTGGCGCCCCGTCGGCCGACGAGGAGGCTTTCGTGCCCTGCGCAGTTGCTTTGCCTGCTTCTGGAGACAAGACACCTTTGAGTCGCGCTACCTCGTTTATAGCCTCGAGCTGTTCTTCGAGTTCGTCGAGCGCTTCGACGGAGTCCTCAATTCGAGACGCCAGGTTCGCCGGCGGCAATGCAATGATATGTTCCACAATGTCATCGTTCTTCCCACCGAGTACGATTTCAGACGTCCTGCGGGCCTTTTCGCCGTTGTCGTCGGTGTTGGCCATCTGTTGGGAGCCTGTGCGACTGACATTGACTCCGGAGTCGGTCATGTTTTCTGCAGTCCAAGGTACCGCTGTCTCCGCCAAGCCCGAATCCTCATCACCTTCGATCTGGGTTGCTATAAGGGTGTACGAGTCAGCTGACTGATCTTCTCTATGTCGCCCTCCTCCGGATTGACTGTTGCGCTGGACAAGATTGCAGCCAAAGTAGAGCTTTTTGCGCCCGGTCGAGTCTTGAGAGTCTCGAGCAGCGTTACTGTGAGCTTTGTACTTCGTGGCTGAACCCTGGCAGACTGGTAGGGCGACCACCCACTCGAACTGACCTGCGAAGTGTTTTGACAACTGCTCTTCGTTGGTTGGGAGACGACTTCTTGCAAGGGCAAGGGGTAGCGGATGTTGATGATGTAGCTCTGAGATGGTTGGGGAGTTAGCTTGGTATCTGAAGAGTCGCGTTGGGTGGGCTCTCCTGGGTTGACAAACCTAAACCTTCAGGTACCTGCACGGCTGGAGAGGGTTTTGTGGTTGTTTGGATCTGGTTCAGTGTCTGGCCGTTCACCTTCTTGGCGGGAGTGCGAATATGTAGTTTCTCAAGCTGGAGAGCTAACGACTCTGGAGTGGCGTGGGTCCCGCCCTCGTGAAGAGTATTGACAGCAAGCTCGCCAAGAACAGTAGCACCGGTGGCAGAGACTCTCGAGGGAGTGGCGGCTGTTTGATCGGTGCCGCAATCGTTGTCGTGCAGGATATCGAATTGGGTGGCCATGATGATTAATTGATCACGGAGTAATCCCGAGTCCAAGGGTCCAAAATAGGTCTGGTCAGACACACAGGGTAATTAGGTCACAGGTAACAGGGGTTCGTCCCATTCAATGGCACCGAGCGCACGGGCGAGACACGTCTGATGACAAGGGTGGGGAGCAAGAGGCGGGGAAAACGTTTGATCTTCGATGGGGCAGGGCGGTTATGTGAACTGGCCGAAATACGTATCCTTGGTGGTGATCAAATATGTTCTTAGCAATTGGAAAGAATAGAAATCGACGGGCGAGAAACAGGACAGGTGGGGTGTCGGGCGTAGATATGTACCCAAGAATTTATTCCAACTGGGGCTTTGTTTACTTGCTGTTGCACGCGCGCCGCGCCAAGGGGCCACATGTGAAAGTGAAGTACCGGGATGCGGGGCACATTCCACATTGAATACTTGGCTGGACGCTGCTGCCACCACCGCCGCTACCCCTTGGGAATGCCTTCCCCGATGCACCGTATCAGGAGCTTTGCAGCCTAATCGTGCCTTCCCCCTTCCCTTCAACAGCTTAGACCGCGTTGATGGATCTAGAACCACCCAAATTCCGTCCAATACTATGGGATGGAAGCTTGTCCGGCTGACTAAGGATCGCGGTCAGCCCGCGAGCCAAGACCTGTGTCCTGCGCAACACTCCGACTGCAAGTTACCGCCCTTTCGGTGGGGCAACTGGCACCCGCACCACCAGTCCGAGAAGTGCCTGGGCTCTCCAACCGTAGGTACCTAGTCAGGTGTGGAAAACGGCTAGTTACATGTCGCCCGCCGCGGATTTGTGGGCGTGTGAGTGGGTGTGCTATGCTATGTTCCGCGAGGGATGGGAACCTTCATCGGCTCGAATCCTCGGTGCTATCGGCATCGTAAGAGTCGGGAGAGAAGCCTCTACTCTTCTTCAGGGGGGGCTGCTTCGGCGTGGGCTTGTAAAGCAGGCGCATGCTCTGTCGGGATTCGCACAAGAGTCTGAGGAAGAGGAGCCGAGACCTCATCAGTAGCCAGCTGGCCCTCCTCGGGTGAAGGCTTCGGCAATTTGGCTTCGTTGAGGGGTAAGAACGCGCTCTCGCTATCAGAAAATAAGGTGGGGTTTACACACCAGAAGCCATGTTTATTGCCCTCAGCACGTTGTGCCAGTTGCTCATGACCAGCGCGATTGCTTTGAAAGCCACCGTCAGTCTAAAACGACGCTCAGGGGCCGTTGTGGCTTATTCAAACCTTCTGTCCCGTCTGAGAGGGTCGCAAGCTTCTGCTCCAATTCTTCCATCTGCGAAGCCGCGGCAGCGCTCAGCTCACGCAGTGACTTGAGGTTCTCGAGCTCGGCTTTCTTTTCGTTGACACGCGCGACTAAAGCTGGGGGCGGCCCGCTATTTGGGTTTCCGGACATAGACGGCTGCCGAATATGCGACGACAGCGCTCGCGCAGGGAACGAGGACATTTTGGGAGCGGTCACCTTCGTAGAGATGTTGGATCGAGGTAGGGAGGTAGGCGAGTTGGCGACTCGTGGAATGTGTGGTTTAGCCTTGTCGGGATACCTATGTAGAAGCATCGGACGCGATAACCCACCAAGATTAGTGGGGCTGTCCGCTTGCCCGGCCAACCCTGGTGCCATGCACAGGTTGCGTAGGGGCCTGTGAGACTAACCTCTTTTAGGAAACGAAGTAAACATCCCTACTGTAGCCTTGACGAGACCGAAATTATTGTTCCTCCCAACCCCATGCTCCTGAATGTGCCGCTTGGAAAGGCGATATTGATCGATTCCCACGCTCCCGCACTTCACAATTCCATACACCTGGTGCTCTACAGTTTTACGATATCGCATAATCCGACCCAACAAAACCTCCTCGACTCTTCTTCCCCATCATGAATGATGGCTAGGCTCAACGAACCTCCTGTGTCTACGGACAGCTTCGAAACGCGTATGCTTACCTGCTGAACTCCAAAAAGCCTACACAGCTAACCCTCGTATCTTCTCCAGTCCGGCGGAAGTTTCTGCGACAGAACCGAGAGATTGTAAGGATCAACTCCAACCAATCGCAGCGTATAAGGGAATTGGAAAATGACTGCGCCCGGATGCTCTCCGAAAACCTCGACCTTCGCGGTCAAGTCTTTCATCTGCAGAAAGAGTTGGAAACCAATTCTGCCCAACGGATTGCCGATCATGCGCTCCAAGTGAAGGCCAAGATGGAAACCCAACTCGAGGAGCTCGGCTCTCTTCTCGCTGGACTGGGCCTCGAGCCACCAACAAAGCGGCATTCCCACTCTGGCCGCAAAATTGCCCACGCAAAATCAGGATTCAGCCGTAGTCCACGGCAGAGGAAGCTACGGAATGCGGCGAACGACTCTGAAGCGATGCAGGAAGGACGCCTCCCCCCTATCCACGAAAACAAGACATATCCTCGGGCGACCTTGAAGTAAGTGTCTAACATCGGGAAGTTGTCGACTTCTTGAACTGACAGTCCCGTAGCAGTGAAGAGATACAGGCATTATGCTCTGAGGCTGCAGATGCTGCAGATTCGCCTGTTCTAGGACCCCCGCCAATCTCCAGATTCGTCGACGAGGATCAGGTGAAAGTCGAATCTCCCAGGAAAACGGCTGACAATATCAAGCTGGAATCGGAGATCCATGACCCTACCGGAAGGGCAGAGGCCGCCGCGCCACCGCCGAAACTCGATTTTTACAAGGCACCGGCATTTGATAGGGGGACGAAACGATCGGACGAAACATCAGAGCCTGTAAAGACTGAAAGGCTTGCTCAAGAAACAACCCCTTCACTAGTCTCACAAACGCTTAGAGCAGGCTCTAAGAGGAAGCTCGGCGACGAAAACCATGTTGTCAAAGTGGCCAAATCTCCAGGGAAGCCGAATTCAGTTGGGTTCAGCACAGAAAGGCTTGGGCACGGTCAAGACCTGCAGAGGCAGAGAAACATAAGGACCCTCTCGACAAGTGGCCGGGCCCACAAGGAGAAGAAGACACAGGGAGCTGGGCCAGCCGCCACCAATCCGCGAAGAGCACTTGCTACAAAGAGCACGAATGAAGATGTCGCGTCTCCAAAGAAACAGGCAAGAGATGCCAATTTGGAGACAATCAAGCCGGGGAAACCACACGGCCTAAGGAGCGAGACACCGAAAGAACGATCAGCTCAAAGGAAGACTCCTGCTCCCGTCGATATCCCAGAACCTCCGACAGCACCCACGGTCGCCACGATTCCGGCACCTGAGACTCCAATCCCGGATACGCCTCTGATTGTCCCGGAGACGCCAGGTCATTTGGCGCCTAGAGATTCTACTCGGGATACGCCACCACCCTCTGACATCTCGTCAATGGGGGAAACATCGCGTCCAAGTCGGCGGGTGAGGGCATCTATTAGCTATGCAGAGCCAAATCTCAGGGACAAGATGCGCCGCCCATCCAAGGACCTAGTTGACGCCGTGACCGGAGAAGGCAAATATATTCACAGGTCAGGCCAACCGAAGCCCGACGACCACGGCCCCGCCTCAATATCAACAATGGGCTCCGAGTCCGAAGTCTCGGGCAATTGGAGGAACATTCCGGCGGCCGAGGCTTTGGCAAAGGAAGCTGCTCGGAGACAAAGCGTTCTGAGCCCCCTAGCTGCAAAAGAGTCGACAGCAGACCCAATACCTACAACCATCGTTACGGAGAGAAGGAAACGTATATCCTCAATCGGTACGAGGGAGACGCTGAGCCCAATGGAGACATCAGACAACAACAAGTCTAGCTCAAGCTCTCGGGATATCCCTACGCCAGCGACGGTATCGGCAACTGTGAGCCATGGTGGCGATGTTTATGACTTCAATACCTCGTCCCCTATGTCTAACACGAAAGACTCACACGACGAGGATGAGGGAGACCCCGGGACCATCACCGTGCGCCAGCCTTCGAAGAGTTTGAGGCGGTCTTCAACGTCCACCAGGGATATCTCTTCTGGCTCAGACATGTTTCCCACGGTGAAACCCCCAAAGGCCCCCTCGTCGAGAAAGCGGGCGTCTATGGTTGCATTAAAGAAGGGTCCGATGTTACAATTCGACGATCCAGATGAGTCAAATGGGGATGACGAAGGCCCAATGGCAAGGGGCAGGTTGTCAAGGCGAAGGAGTATGATGCTATGATAGAATGACCACTGGTACAGCGACTGGCGTTGGCGTTTTCTGGATAAGACTGCTGTTCACTCTCTTCATAGACGTTGCACAGGGGGTGTTTGGACTTTTCATGTACCATACGTACGTAATCCAGATGTTTGACGACGATACCATTGGAGTTTTCAAATGGAGCCTTTCTTTCCCCGCCTTTCGGCATCTCTAACCCATCCATATCTGCTCGGGGACCAGATTGGCGCTGAAATCCCAATTTGCATCACGCAGTACATCCCGCCACCGTCAGTACAGGACGCATTCGTATCCGAACGAGGCATTCAACTCTTTCGCCGTGCCAAGTTTCAGCATGTCGAAGACCCGGATCAGTCGACATAAACACCAAGCCTCCCAAGCTTCATCTACCTTGAACCAATGATCATGATGAGGCCCCCGCCGGCTCGACTGGCTTGGTGTATGTAACCTTCTCCACAGCGACATTCTCGACACCGTTCGCATCCTTCCGAAGTTGATACACGTACAACGTGAGGGAAATCCCTTGAACCTGCAAAATAGTCAGAATCAGGCGCCCTAGTCGACAGGGTATGGAGGTGACATACGTCCATCAAGCAGAAGCTGGGCACGACATCTTCGGATGAGCCGGCCGAAAAGGCCCCAGTGGCACTCCCCGGGTTCACAAAGAACTTGTCCATGTACTCGAAGCACTCGAACTTGTGGGTGCCGCCCCAGCAGAGCACGTCCACGTCCAGCTTGTTCGCCTCCGCCAGGAGCAGGTCAGGCTCATTGCTAACCAGCGTGAAGCCCTCCAGGAAGCCTATCCGGATGCTGCCGTGGGTCACCACCTGTGTGAGCGGGAGCGAGGTTGCCTCGACGTCAAAGCGGCCCTTGACGATCTTCAGGTCCGGCGCTATTGTTCGGAGGTACTCGTATGTGTGCTTGTCGGTGAGGTTGCCGAGGCATAGTGTCTGTCCAATCTTGCCTGGCGCGAGTAGCTTCCTGAACTGGAAGGGAGATGGCACCCGGTCAGCCGTGACCAAGGAAGGACGAGACTGTTGAAGCTAACGGAGCACGTACCTTGGCAGGGATATCGAGGGCTCGGTCGGGGATGTGGAGGTCGCCAATGACAAGTATGAGAAAAGCCATGGCAAAAGGCTTTGGATTGGGCGGCGATCTTCGATTTGTACTCGTAGTCGTAGTCCAACGGTCAAAGCAGATGTCAAGGTGTGTACTCGGGAGGCAGGTAGCGGTAAAGAGCCCCGGTGACGGGCAACGTCGAGGCGAATGAAAGATGCAAGTTCAATAACATGGAACTGTCTCACGACATATTGCTTCCCGTCGAATCTAAACAATCACCTATCAATAAGGTGCGATGACCTGGGGCACAATGCAATTCGAATTGACCAGTTCGTTCCTAACCGGGCATGGAAGCTCTGGCAGCTTGAACTGGAGCTGACGACAGTTATTTGGTACCTAGGTACCTCCCTAGGCTGAGTGCTGTGGCGCATGATGTGGCTTCAATTACAGGGGTTCGGCCTCTACCCCAGCCGTGGTACATTGAGGCTCAAGCCCGAAGAAGCTCCCGGTGTGCAGCTGTATTTGCCGGGCTGTCCAGGGAGTCCGTTCCCCACCGTGCAACCCCTCACTCGCCCGAAGACGGAGATGAAATCTCCTTGTCGGCGAAATGGGCTGCGAGTGTTGATGTCCCGGCCAAGGTCCCGGCCAGTCCAAATACATAATCTCCTCAAATCCAATTGGTCCTGGAAAGAATAACCTTTTTACACAGGCTTGTCATCGTCCCTCGATTCTCTGTGTGTGCCACCTTAGCCTGGTACAAGGAGAGATCTTCACTCACCCCTTACCGACCTATTCCGTCATCCGCAGTGGCTTACACACCCCATCGGCTAAGGCTGCTTGGGGCGGCTTCTGGAATGCCCCGCAGCACCCCCTCCATCTCCTCGCCCTCCAAGCGGCTTTCTCTCATCTCGAGCCACTTCGCCGACCAGCAACCCCTTGATATACCGTCTGGCACTGCCCTGCTTCCAAAGTCACAGGCCCGTAAACTGTCCAAGTCTGCCATCATGTCTTCCCAACCAGACCATCCAACACTGCTCATTCCGGGGCCAATTGAGTTCGACGATGCTGTCCTACAGTCGATGAGTCATTACAGGTGCGTTCACTTCTCAATTTCAACGAACAAACTTGATATCATTGTTCGTGGGCCTTCAGAGACTGACGGGCAGCTTTGTATACAGCGAGAGCCATGTCGGGCCCGGTTTCGTCGCGACTTTTGGAGACACGCTCTCCATGCTCCGGAAGCTATTCCAGACAAGCGACCCTGCCGCGCAACCCTTCATCATCTCTGGCTCCGGCACACTTGGTTGGGATATCGTAGCTGCGAACCTGGTCGAGGCTGGCGAGGATGTCTTGGTCCTTAGCACCGGGTACTTCAGTGACGGGTTCGCCGATTGCTTGAAGGTGTACGGGGCCAACGTGACAGAGCTCAGGGGCCCTGTTGGGGGCCGGCCCCAACTCCCAGAGATTGAGAAGGCCTTGTCTGAGAAGAAATACAAAATGATCACCGTCACCCACGTCGACACCTCCACGGGTGTGCTGAGTGAGCTGGAGAACCTCTCAGCCCTGGTCCGCAAGGTGTCTCCGGACACCTTGATTATCGTCGATGGAGTCTGCAGTGTTGCATGCGAAGAGATTGCGTTCGACAAGTGGCAGCTCGACGGTGTCGTCACTGCCAGCCAAAAGGCCATCGGCTGCCCAGCCGGTTTGTCGATATCCATGTTCAGCGGCCGGGCCATGAACGCACTCCAGAACCGCAAATCCCCACCATCGTCGTACTTTGCGTCGATGAAGAACTGGGCTCCAAGTGAGTGCATATCAGCAGGGCTTAGATCGGGAGAGCGTGGGTACTAACGGGACCAGTTATGCGAAACTATGAGGCCAAGAAGCCGTCCTACTTCGCAACTCCCTCGCCGCAGCTGGTTCACGCTCTTCACACTGCATTGACCCAGATCCTCTCCAAACCTGTCTCGGACAGGTTCGCGCGGCACAAGGAGGCGTCAGACAGGATCAAGAAGGCGGTGGCGGAACTGGGTCTAAAGCAAGTTGCTGCAGACCCCGAAAACCAGGCTCATGGCATGACCGCCATCTACCTCCCCGAGAATGTCAAGGCTCCCGAGTTACTGCCGAAACTGGCCCAGAAAAAGGTTGTCTTTGCGGGCGGCATCCATAAGGAAATCGCGCCAAAGTATATTCGTTTCGGACACATGGGTGTCAGCGTGGTAACTACTGCCCTCACTCCACACTAGACTGAATATTGCTGACAGAAAGTAGCTAAATCCCGAGAGGGGTGATGTTGAAAGGGCTCTCGAAGCCCTGCGCGATAGCCTCGCGGAGTGTGGATATCAGAAGGCATAGGATGGTATTGAGACTAGTGGCCGGTACTAGAGTCAGTTACTGTTGCGGACGAAGGTCACAACATGCCCAAGGATCTACATTTCATTCGATTCCGGGCCAGGCATTAGAAGTTTCTAGATAGAGGCAACTAAGTACCCAATGAGTAGAAGATGATCATCCACACCACAAAGGCCCTCTTGCATCATAGGCAATTATAGAAGATGGTGCGCTCAGCCTGTTGGAATCGTAGAGGATGCCAAGTATGATACAAGCATATTGGATTTCTAGCCGCCTACTTAAATTAGGCGCGCAATGTATCTAGGTTGGATCGAGATGATCCAATGCATCCATTTCCTCGGTCCCGTCTCGGAACGGCCGGGGCGGGGCCTCCCGGAGACCAGGCCGGAAAAATGAAAGTCCTAGGAGCTAGGTTACCGGGGTTTGCCTGGTGTCTTACCTAATGAGGGGCTGTATCAGCGGAAGGCTGTGTGGCTGGCGGGGCAGAGGAGCTCTCAACCCGACCTTCGTAAGTTCATCCTACCTACCTCGCCATAAACAACCTAAGCTTCCCGACTTCACCACACGACTCCTCCACCCACATCTCCTCAATCAGTCTTTGAGAGATTTATCTGGCAGCTCGACAGTTGCACACAGATTGCCTTTCTCACAAGCCCTTTACACCTTCCCCGCACACGCGCCATCGCTTTCTGCCACCGCCTGGAGGGCTATCAGCAAGGCAGCTATCTGCGACCATGGCGGTCTCCATCGAAGAGTTGGATGCTACCGTCCGAGCCTTTTACGAGGGCCGCGGTGAGCAGGTAGGGCTTGCCTTCTGCCTACTTGCACTGTCTGATTGTATACTGATATTTCCTCCGCAAATTTAGCAAAAAGCTGCCGAAGCAGCTCTGAACCAGGTAAGTTCCTACCTCGCCATCTCGTGATATCGGTCAATCCTCCCGCTAACCCAGTCTGTAGTTTAAAGAAGACCCCGATGCTTGGCTTATGGTTGACAATATTCTCTCAAAGGCGACATATGAGCAGACGAAATGTATGTGGGCTGTAATCTACGGTTATCCAGGCGGACCATGATGTGCTGACAAATAACAGATCTTGGGTTGCAAGTCTTGGACAATGTCATCATGACAAGATGGAAAGTGCTTCCTCGAGAGCAATGCCAAGGTCTGCACTTGACTGTCGTTGCACTGCCGAGATCCCCCCAACTAACATCCTGTAGGGATCCGGAACTTCGTCGTCCAGTACATCCTCCAGTGCTCCAGCTCCGAGGAGAACCTGAAGACCGAGCGCACCCTACTCAACAAGCTGAACCTGGTTCTTGTCTCGGTGCTGAAGCAAGAATGGCCCCACAACTGGCCGACGTTCATCAACGAGATCATCTCTGCCTGCCATTCGAGCCTGTCGATCTGCGAGAACAACATGATCATCCTGCGCCTGCTATCAGAGGAGGTGTTCGATTACTCGGCCGACCAAATGACGTCTTCCAAAACTCGCAACCTGAAGACAACCATGTGTGCCGAGTTTTCCCAAATCTTCCAGCTCTGCCAGGAGATCCTCAATACCGCGACTCAGCCAAGCTTGGTCAAGGCCACCCTCGAGACTCTCTTACGCTTCTGTAACTGGATCCCACTGGGGTACATCTTCGAGACACCTCTGATAGAGACGTTGAGGACGCGATTTCTCGAGGTGCCGGAATTCCGAAACGTCACCCTCCAGTGTCTGACCGAGATTGGTGGTCTACAGACCGGCGGGCCTAACCAGCCCAACACCTATGACGAAAAGCTAGTCGCCATGTTCACCGAGGTCCTGACGACAATCTCCAACTTCATTCCCTTGACTTTGGACTTGAAGTCTACATATCCCCAGAGCAACTCTCGGGATCAGGAGTTCATCCAGAACTTGGCACTCTTCCTGTGCAATTTCTTTGGAATGCACTTGAACGTGAGTTTCTTGCCCCCTGAACACACTCGAAACGAGTCCGGCCCAAGTACTCACACTACCCGCAGCTCGTCGAGAATCTACCCAACCGTGACTTCCTCACCCATGGCCACTTTTACTTGATCCGGATTTCCCAGATCGATGACCGAGAAATATTCAAGATCTGCCTGGACTACTGGCTGAAGGTGGTGCAAGAACTGTATGAGGAAATGCAGGCTCTGCCCATCACGGATATGCACCCCCTTGCCTCCCTCCACAGTCTCCAGACAGGCAGTGGTGCCCCAAACCCTGCGGTTCTCGGAAATTTCCCCCTCCGAAAGCACAAGTACACCGAAATCCTCTCCAACCTCCGCGTCGTGATGATCGAAAAGATGGTCCGGCCAGAAGAGGTGCTCATCGTCGAGAATGAGGAAGGCGAGATCATCCGCGAGTTCGTCAAGGAGAGTGACACAGTCCAGCTCTACAAGACAATCCGGGAGTGCCTCGTCTATCTCACTCATCTTGACGTTGTCGATACCGAGACGATCATGACCGAAAAGCTTGCACGCCAGGTAGATGGCACCGAGTGGTCATGGCACAATTGCAACGTGCTCTGCTGGGCCATCGGCTCGATATCGTTGGCCATGAACGAGGAGACGGAGAAGAGATTCCTTGTCACAGTGATCAAGGATCTACTGGGGCTGACGGAAATGAAGCGCGGAAAGGACAATAAGGCGGTTGTTGCCAGTAACATCATGTACATTGTTGGCCAGTACCCCCGCTTCCTGAAGGCTCATTGGAAGTTCCTTAAGACGGTCGTCAACAAGCTCTTCGAGTTTATGCACGAATCCCACGAGGGTAAGAAGATACTCGTACCGCCGGCATACGCATACCACGCCGCTAAGCTAACTTCCATGACAGGTGTCCAGGATATGGCATGCGATACGTTCATCAAGATTGCCAAGCAATGCAGACGCCATTTTGTCGCCCTCCAGCCTAGTGAGCACGAACCGTTCATCGACGAGATAATCAGGAACTTGGGGAAGATCACTTGCGACCTGACGCCCCAGCAAGTGCACACCTTTTACGAGGCGTGCGGCTATATGGTAGCCGCCCAGGGCAATAGGAACCAACAAGAGCGCCTTCTCGCCGAGCTCATGAGCATTCCCAATGCGGCATGGGATGAGATCATTCGGCAGGCCACCAACAATCCCGCTATTCTACAGGATGCCGATACCATCAAGGTCATTGGCAATATCATGAAGACCAACGTCTCGGCCTGCTCCTCCATCGGCCCTTACTTCTATCCTCAAATCGGACGCATCTACCACGACATGCTCCAAATGTATCGTGCGACCAGCCAGCTGATATCCGAGGCTGTTGCTCGAGAAGGTGAGCATTCCTGCCGGATTTACCGTTGAGGGGGGCATTGCTGACACTCTTTGTAGGAGAGATTGCGACGAAGATGCCAAAGGTTCGGGGGCTTCGAACGATAAAGAAGGAGATCCTGAAGCTCATCGAGACCTATGTCGACAAAGCTGAGGATCTACAGGCCGTACGGGCCCAGATGGTTCCTCAGCTCCTGGATTCGGTTCTGGTTGATTACAACCGCAATGTTCCCGGAGCCCGCGATGCTGAAGTTCTCAAGGCCATGACGGCTATCATCGCCAAACTTTCTGTAAGTTGACGTCCACCTATGGCATATACAGTGCCCAACTGCTTGGAAGCCTCCTGGTTCCATTGCTAACTCTTCATACAGGCCCTGATGGAGGACCAAGTGCCCATCATCATGGAGAACGTATTCGAATGCACCCTAGGCATGATCAACAAAGACTTCTCTGAATTCCCCGAGCATCGTGTGGAGTTCTTCAACCTCCTCCGAGCCATCAACCTGCACTGCTTCCCAGGTGAGTAAAATCCAACCAGTTGGAGCTAGTCCAGTGAGTCACTAACCCGTTGCAGCCCTGCTCAAGCTGGACAACAGGCAGTTCAAGTTCGTCATCGACTCTTGCTTGTGGGCCAGCAAGCATGACAACCGCGATGTTGAAACCGCTGGACTCAACATGTGTCTGGAGCTCATCAACAATATCGCAGAGAAAACGGATGTGGCAACTTCGAATGCCTTCTTCAACCAATTCTTCATCCCGATTCTCCAGGATGTCTTCTTTGTCCTGACCGACCAAGACCACAAGGCCGGCTTCAAGACGCAGTCGATGTTGCTCATGCGCATGTTTTACTTTGTGCTACCCGCCGATGGCTCGCCGCCCAAGATTCAGGGGCCGATCTATGGGGCTGATCAAGCACAGCCCGGCACCGAGAACCGCGAGTTCTTGGCCAACTTTGTCGGCACTCTCTTGAAGAATGCATTTGGGAATCTGACAACGTGAGTATCGCGTATCGCATCTGCAAATATTGTTTTTGAAGTTGTACTGACTTGGGACAACCACAGGCCTCAAATCCAGGCGTTTGTCGAAGGGATGTTTGCGTTCAACACCCAGTATGACAAGTTCAGACTGGCATTGCGTGATTTCCTCATCTCCCTGAGGGAGTTCGCTGGCGACAACACCGAGCTCTTCCTGGTCGAGAAGGAGCAGCAAGAGCGAGACGCAAAGGCTGCCGAGCGTGAACGACGATCCAAGGTCAGCGGCCTGCTCAAGCCGTCTGAGCTGGAGCAGGACGAGGACGAGCTATGACTTAGGGTAGAACTCAGGAGCGAGTTTGGTCCAGCCCCTGGATCTAACCGGGCATCACCAGCAGCTCGGGACAGGCCACTGGAAAGCCAATCGGATGGCTGGGAATTCTATGGATTGTGATGGCCATCTTCTCGCCTGTCGGCACCGGCTGACCACTAACCTTTTTCTTGTTTGTTAACCTGTAGTGATACCAATAGAAGGCTCGGGACCTGTAGCCAGTGTGGAAAAGGCGACCTCGATCCAATCTTGATCCAGTCTCGATCGAACCAGCTTCAGAAGTAGTCAACACTATGGTCTCTTCTAGCTCGGAAACAAGATTTGAGAGAACCCCGCGTCGGGTTTCGTGGTGCTAGCATGGCGGAATGTCCAAAAAAAAAGGGGTGATGGACGCGACGTCCCAGCAAAGGGGCGGCAAGTTGTGCGTACGGCCGAGTTAGAGGAGCCTTTCTCGGAAGGGATGAGAGACATGATGTAAATAAGTGGATGAATAACGAGTACATCCAATCTTACTGCCAGAGGAACCTGCACTCTCTTCTGACGTTGGTACCTGACTCGACCGACCCCTGACAAGTTAGCCATCACCATCCGCTATCCTCGAGGGATCCATCCACCGTGGACATCAAGACGCCATCACATAGTTCCCTCCACCAGTGATCTCGCAGGCACGCCTCGAGTGTCCTCGTTGAGACAACTGGGTTCAGAACGAGGTAGGCCCACATGCGCACAGGAGAGGCTTGCTTGCATGCATGCTTGGATCGGAAGACATCCGGAAGGCATGCCGGTAGGATCATGCTCTCTGTCCCCCCAAGGGCTCTCTCTCCTCCTCTGAGAGGTCGAGAGGTCGGGCCGTGTTTGCCCCTGTTTTTCGGCATCGTCCCCGGTGCTTCACTGTTACTTTGAGGGTTATCTGCCACGTATTCAGACTCCTTGATGCCTAACAGAGAGGGTGGATCCTAGGGAGAAACTGGGAAGCGAGGATGGGGGAAAAGGAAAGCAGTTACTGCGCCAGTGGGAGAAAGGTATCATCTATTTCCTCCCCTACCGCACTATGGCGATGTATCAAGTGGAGAAGGCACGCTTTCTCTACGGGGCGGGCGATCTACGGATGGGCACTACGACATGGACACATGATAGGGACGGCCAGTGGTAAACAAGTCCAAAAGCCTGGAACCGGGCCTCGTAGGTATCCGGACATTTGTCACAACCAGACCATCCCAGCCACGGCTTACAATGTGGCGGGCGTGCTGGACGTGCATGTCTTCGGATGAAAGGTCGCAAGGGGAGGGCATTCGTGATCAACTGGGGAAGGGGTGTGTATCAATGTTCGTATTTCCGATGGCTTTGGGGTGCAGATATATCACCGGGTAAGAAGATTGCCATGGACTCGCACGCCGGCAATGCTTCAAAGGTACTGAAGAAGGTCACTTGTCCAGTACTCTACTCGACCTTGGACCGTTCTGGAAGCACTGATAAGACGGCTGCTGCCATCCTTCTAACTACCTGACTTGCTACGTCAAGAAGGGGAAAGGAGATGGTTGCCACGCATTGCCCAATTCGGCGAGTTCAAAGCCAGCTGGGCCCATGAAGAAGAAACTGAAGAGGTAGGCTGGCCTTTGGTAGTATTCGACAGCTTGAACCTTCGCCCCGGAGGGTGGGCATGATGGCATGATGCCTGTCCCTCTCACGCGGCTTGGGATACTTGAGATAAGGCGTCCGGCCAAGCTGAGAAATGGGAGCCCGCAGACGTTGGTTGGGTCGGCCAACCCTGTTGGCGGCAAGACAGCGACCTCAGCCTGCAGACAGGCATCTTGAAGCTCAGTCAGTCCGGCGCCCAAGATGGAAGCGGTTATAGCTGACCTTGGATGGGTGTCAGTCAAAAAAGTCTCGTTATCAGCCCCCATTTAACCGCCGTAATCTGGCAAGGGGGAGGGACATCTGACGTGAGCAGATAACACACATGTGAGATACCCATAGTATACATCCATCTGTGAGTTGCGGGGAGGCAGCCCAATCTGCCATCATTCCATTTTCAGTGCCTCGATCGGGAGGTTGCATTGAAGCCCTTCCCTGATCCGGCCAGAATCAATCTACCGTCTCTGCTGTTACACGAGGAGAGCTTTGCGCTTGCACGGAGGTGAGAAGGAGACTTGCCCAGCTCGTGATTGCCGCCGCACCAATCTCGCGCCGTCGTTTGTGATGCCCTCCTGCCACACCCCCTTTGACCGAAGTCTCACCTGACTCGGCCACGATACAGGGGGGGGGACCATCAAATATTTTCGTGGGTCATCAAGGGAAGCAGGGGTGCGGTCCACGAACTTGCTCGCTGGGTACCGCACCGAACCATGGATCGTTCAAACTGATTCTTTCCCCTGCCAGGGAGGGGCCTGCCCAGTCGTTACCAAGAATGGCCTCGCCGCTATGGCTATGGGGGCTAGAACCATACTACGGATCCGTACACTACTGCATAGTACAGCCTTCGGGGCGGGGGGGTACCACTTTGCCACGTGAGCTATTGTGCGCGCGCGTTCGTCAACAGCCAGAATCACTGCGGCTTGACTAGGTCGCCCCCCTAGGAGCTTTTGTTCCCTCAAATCCAGACGGGGGAGGACTACCTCCTCTCATGGTCTTTAGGCAGCGTGTATCAAAACCATGCTAGATGTGACGAAAAAAGGGGAAGACGCATCCAAGGCGGCTGGTCCGTTCCCATGGGAGCAGCCTAGGACTCGCCGGTTGGGCCTGGTTGGTTCCTCTGGTTCTGGTTTGCGCAGTCCGTGAGCTCGCCGTCTGCGGGTTCTGCGCCACCACAGTCGAGGCAACCTTGGTCCTGGGCGCCTTTTCCCTTCTTGGCTTCCCATGCTGGGGGGACGGACGACAAGAAAAGTATGGGGAAGTGAAGACCAATGGCAGCGGGGAACCAAGGACAAGCAGTTGGTGATACATTGCCTTGGATAGCTAGCTCCTTTGCTCCTGCACGCTTGAAGATGGCAATATTCTCCGCTCCCGTTTGCCTAGGTTGTAATCTGTAGAGCCATGGGACCTGCCAGACTATGTAACCCCCCGCACCCCCAGACTTGTGACAAGACTGAGCCCGTTTGGCCAGCACGTATCCGTACATACCTACATGCACTAGTGTAGGTACACTCAAACCTGTCCGGCCTAGTGTTGGTTCCATTACAGGGTCCTCGACACTGGTCGAATCAATGTCAAGAATGACCCCGCAAGCCGAAAGTAATGGAAACAAAATGGCTTCCAGTCGGCGGGAGCAACCAGCACTGGAGATGCGGAGAGTTGCACGAGACGTCAATAGTGACTTGTCAGAGTGATTTTTGGATGCTGTCACACAAGCCTCGACTTGATGTACGGATATGCAGAGTATTGTCCCAACAGAAATCCACGCAGCAGCCTCTTGTGTTGTTGGTTGCCCGAACTTTCTACTCGGATATGACAGCTGATCACAATTGCATGCTGCTGTATCCGTACCACAGTACAAAGTAGTACTCGGGCTGGGGACTCGTTCTGCCCAGGACCCCAGCCAGCCGCACTGGCGGCGGCTTTTTTGGTGGCAGGGGCGCTGCCAATGTTCAATAAAACAATCCAGGCAGTTTCCGCATCCTACACTACATAGCCAATTACATAATAGAGATGCGCGCTAATGCAAGCCCCAGGACTTGCAAGAACCTTCTTTTGCTAAACCACACAATATATATTCGATATGCAGCATACGAAGTGGTAGGTAGCCTTGAAACCGAGTTTCATCAAGGGTGAGGCTGGGAGGATTCTACTCAACCTGAAAGCCTAAATAAACATCTTTCTCTGTGCATGCGCTACATTGGGCAGCCCGGCATAAGAGAAATAATGAGGAGTTTTGCACTTCGCAGTCTCATGGAACGGAGCAGCAAGTTGATGACCCTGTGGTGTCTGGCAAAATCTGGGTGAGATAACAATGCAGAAGTTAAATTGCCCAGGGACCCCTGGGCGGCTTTTCTCGCGATCCAAGATCTGGTCTTTTTGAAGCACAATCTTGGCTAGGCAATGCGGGGTCCGTTCTCTGGCTTTGTTTGGCAGCTACTGTGTAATTACACACTTTCTCGTGTAGTGTCCGTTGTAGCGACCAGGCTCCCTTGCTGCACAAAGATGCGAGTTTCGATTCTCTCCCTGTCTGTCGAGCTGCTTGCCCCTTCGTCTGGCATTGACCAATAGCTAAAGCCGATCCTCAGGCGCCATGGCAAGCTGCTAAGTTTCTTTTGATGTACGCCGGGGTCTGATGCAGCATTTGACTGGGTAATTTTAATACATATTTTCGGCGCCTACCACAACTCTTTGACCTCTTGACAACAACTTTACTGCGTACGAACAGTGGCGGCCCTGAAATGCTGAAATGTGTGCGAGTCTCCACCACCTACTGCTAATAGCCAGCTAGTGTGGAAAACTCGCCAACCTGCCCATGATCTTGGCTAGGAGATTTTCCATCTCCGCGAAGATCTTATTTCCTCTAGTGTACCTATGTACGCGTGTGTAGTATAAGCGGACTAGACCCCACGCACTAATACGCTAAGCCGAATCCACCTGGCTAACCGAGGCCTGCCCCTGCTTCTCCGCAATTAATGTGGACACACCCCGCACATTTGGGCTTGGCACGCGAGCGCAACTCGTGCATCTGGAGGAGGGATCCAAATCCAACGTCGGAAGGGATAATGAGTTGATCAAGTGGTGTAGCCTCGAAGATAATGGGAGTGTACGACTGTAGGGCAAGGCGCAACCATGGATGTATGCCTCTTTGCTTCAGTTTGTTTGCGGTTGACATGGTATTGCATGACGACTTAAACCGCCTAAATACATACATATAGCTCCTTCGGAGGCATATTAGGGTTAGGGTTTCCCTTGGCCTTCTACAATCCGGAGGTCCGGGGTTGGCGACACTAATATTGTTGAACGGTCCCCAAGTGCCATTCATGAGTGGCTGCTTGGCTTCATCTTAACCGAGATCGACTGGCCCAGCGAACGTTAGCAGCCATAATCCCTTGCTAGCTGCCAATGTGGGTACAATGTACGTATTCAAAATGTGTTTCCCTGCATAAGCCAATCCACAACAAAACACACTAGCGTAAAACGGGTAGATCAGGAGAATTGGTTCAGAGAGAGACGTCATGCAATGAGTGAGATGGACACTAGACACTAGTTGAGACTTAAGTGTCCAACTATTTTCGAGGATGCACAGAGATGGTGTCCAGAATTGCCTGGCACCTGACATAAATGACGAATCCACCCGCCTTCAAGGTGGATGGAGGTCAAAAGAGGATGCATTCACACCATCACCACACAGGGTTTGTATCAGAAGTTTTTTACGAGTTTTTGGGTAAACACTTTCCATCTCCCTTGCTGCAGTGTTCCGGGGGCCCGTGTGAGTTCCGTCTCCGATCGTGACTGCTTCAACTTATTTATTTACTTCGGAATATCCCGTACTCTTCCCAGCAATACATACCAGCGGCGGGTGTAAAATAGATGCGCATCTCAGTTGGGGCGCAGGCGAACAGACGAACTACCCACGTACGTAATATGGTGCCCCATCTGGCCAATTATACCGAGTTTTGAAAATTATGAAGACGATCGGGTGCTCCCCGCATCCAAAAACCATCCACACACTTCATGCCCTTGAAGATGCATACCAGCGAATCACTGCTCTTGGTCGGTGCAGCCAAGGCTGACAATCGGTTGTCGCGGTTGTCTTCCAATGGAAAGTGAATAGCCCCGTTGCATCATACCCAGTTCTTCTTCGAAGTAATCTGCCAAGAGTCCAGGGCCTCATTCCAGTCAAATCCTCCAAAACGGCTAAAACCCACGATGATCATTTGAGAGAGACAGCAGGGACTATCAGAAGACCGCTACGGTACGAATCTGTCTCGAAGCAAGACCTAAATATAGAGCAAAAGACGGTCGGCTCTACTGGACCCACTGCGTATCAATATGTAAGTAGTGAAGGGAGGTAGTTCTGCTACAGGTATATGAGCACATTCGAGTCAAACACTCCTACAGTCCAGTTCTGAATCCGCGTGCATACGGGGGAGACGATGAAGAGGATTTGTTTCCTGCGCCTGGCATTCCTTAACGGTCTTCTATTGGCCGACTCCTGAAGAGGTGCAGCAAATTTTCGAGAGAGAGTTGAGGGAACGTAACAATTTGATAGGTGGGCCAAATGCATGTCTGTCTCAAAGTCAATACAGTTGGCAGACGCTGCGGGGTAGGGATCTGCAACAGTGATTCGCTCTCGGTTTTGAAGAGCGGGCCTGCAAGCAAAACTGAGAGTAGCTTAGCGCCAACGACACTCTGCGCATGACTGTGATGGATGACGATACCAGGCTCTGCTCTGCTCTGCTGGCGGCTGGAACAGGTTGCCAGCAGGGACAAAAAAAAAGCCACCTCTGGGATAAATGCTCTGTACCAAAATAGTGTAGGTTGCCCAAGACACACAGGAAGTATTGCTGAAGGGTCCTGCTGTGAGCCTATCCCCCCGTAGATAATTTTATCTCTCTGACATACCCTTGATCGACTTACATAGTATACTGAACACTCAGCCATAACAATGACTACCTTGATGGGCGGCGCATTATGCTGTTGCGCACCTTCTTCAGCAAGACCTACAGCACTGTGCCTTTATGCGGATGATGGCTGGCCCTGGATATTTGCGGCAGAATGCAGGTCGACGCAAAAGGCGAATGCGACACGGGGAATGCCGATATACCCTGGGAGATTTATTACGGGCGTACGCACACGCTGTAGGTCCAGCCTGCTTGCCCAAGCCAAAGTTGCAGGGAGAGAGCTCCCCTGCCGTCCGCCAAATTAGGTACCTAGGTACTTATCGAGAATGTTTCTCTCATCTTCTTCAAGAGTCTCGAGAGGGAGTTGAAAATTTTTCACATCAGCCACGAGTCCCTCCCTGATAGAACATGTGAGCCGCAAAAGAAAGCATTCGATCAGGGCAAGCCGAGAAGAGACCTGCTGCGTGTGATTGGCAAAACACATGATCGCTGCAGATGATGAGGCAGCAAACTAGTTGCTATGTAGTTAGGGCAAGACACAATGGCGATGGCGAGCTGCAAATGGCGAACCACGAAACCGAGATGTGGCTGCACTGGCTTGACTGGATGGCCTGTTTCGATTTGGTTGGCGCCATTGCTACCTAGTGTACGTAGTAGTGGCATCAATCAGGACAGGCCAAGCAGAAGCCTGGCCTCAGACCCACATGCCTGAGGTTGAGTCGTCGAGCATAAAAGCGGCCTAACCATATATGGTCAAGCCGCTCCATGACACCATCAGGTCATACTCCACTGTGTACGGCAACCCCCATGTCATGAGAAGATTTTTTTTTGCAACCCCCTCCTCTCCGCCCTCACCCTGGTCAGCTAGAATGGCGCTAACTTGGATTAGGACGACGAGTGCAGCTGCAGCTGCAAGCCCAACCCACACCCCTGTCTTAGCGGAGCTGGGGTCCTTCAGGTTGTGTGGGTTGTATGGTGCCAATGGTCATGGGTCTCTCTGCCCATCCTGGCTGCTGCTCACAACAAACGAGGCCAGGCTGCACCATCGACAAAATACATAAAACGCAGCCTGCCCCTGCTCCATCCGACCCTCGCTCGACCTCAGCTTGCCTGATCAGACTGCCTCGTCAAAAATCTACAATCCTTGGATGCAAGACTTGCACTGCTGGGGAACTCCACCCAGGATATGAGTCAATCGTCGACATTGTTATAATAATCCATCTTGCCCTCGCCCTCACGGCCTTGCCCAACCCATCCCTTCAACTTCTTCCTACTTCGCCCAGAGACCTTCTCGTTGACTATCGACTCGAACAAGCCTCGTCCTTCGCTTCTCGCTTCCTCCCAACAGCCTGACCAGATACCTTACCTCGGACACGAGCCCACGTCGACCTGCTCCCACCACACCACACACAGCATATACAAGCCACTGCTTGTCAAACCCCCATCAACATGTCTTTGGACTGGACACATCAGTTTTGCCTTGCCTGCGACAAGCAGACCGACGGAGCGACGTACTGTTCTCAGTCCTGTCGATTGGCCGACTACGAGAAGACGTCCTCGACGGCGAGTTCTGTGCCGAGCTCCCCAGCTTTCAAGAGCCCTTCCTTCGACTGGACCTTTTCCAACCCGATGACCACGAGCCGTGTGCTATATCTTCCTCCGGCCTATGACTTCAGCAACTCTCAACCATCAGGGACAGCTGCCCGTCGAGCCATGAGCTCTCGGACAGGGCAAAACCTGGGCCCGTCCAACCCGCTCCTCTCGCCCTCAACCTCTCATACCAGCCTTTGCTCGATGAAGAGTAGCTCTTCGACCGACTCGAACCAGTTGTCTGAAAGGGCAACACGGGAGCTTCAGGCCTATGCCCGCTCCTTCGATTCCCTGAGGCTCCAACGCAGGCGGTCATACTGAGAACCACGTCACTACTTCGACAAAACATTTTCCTTGTCAACCAAGCACTCCACTATACCCTCACATATCAGCCTGTCGTCTTCTCATACGGGCCATACACGACTCAACCCTACTCTCATTCAAACTCGGAACACACCTGGGACCGACTCTATTTTCTACGACTTTTGTATAAAAATGGCATAAGCGGAGCACAGCATCATAAAAAAGTTTTGGACGTCACTGGAGCTGGGTTTTATTTTGTTTTCCTTTGTTCATGGGCTTTTGCAGGAGGCGCAAGATTGGCCAATGGGTACGGCACTACATCTCGTGTGACTTAGACACACGTTCGGGGAAAATGTCATTTTGCTGTAAGCATCCGCGTCTGGCAGTTTGGATGGATTTATGGCATGGATACCACCAGCTTTCTCGAATCTGGTACTGGCATGGGACTGGGGACGGCGTTGGACATTGGAACAAGCGTCATGTGTACTACAACGCTCTGTTGGTACATGAGGACGATGACACGATTGGAACATCTGTATGATGGGGAATTTTCTCCCTGGAGGCTGGACAAGAACAAGAACCACTATTGATACAATGGCGTTCGAGCATTTGTAGCAATGTGTATAGAGTGAAGCGCCGCAATCCAACATGAAAACCCTGCTGGACTCTACTCTCTATCTTTTCTCATCACAGAGCCCAACAGTGAAATACCTATGATCATCAATGTCTGGGTGGGGACCACACAGTGGAATTCTTCTGGCTTGAGCCGGGAAAGTCCCCTGTTGCACATTCAGAAGCAACGAAATTGTCGCCGTTACAGAAATATGCCGGTCACAAATTTTTACTTTACCCCCTATGTACTACCTATGCAGAGAGAGGTGCCGGGCTCTACGTCCGGGCCCAACCGCTGGCAGCCCACGGGCATCAGACGGTCGGGGCCCGAAACGCGGGCCTCGAAGCGTATTTTTTGGGTGGGAGGGGCCCATGTCGCAAGCCAAAGACGAGTGGCCAAAACATGCAAAATTTTGTCAGACTGATGCCTAACTCCCTTGTGCGCCTAGGCGAAGGGAGTCATCTGTCTGGGATACTAGGGAATAGCTCAACGTCAAAGCTCACCCCAGACTCATCATCAACTAGTGCCCTCCAGAATAGCGCCTCGGCCCTCTTTCGGGCCAACATGGGATTTGCCTCTCCCCACCGGAAACGAAGATTGGCATTAACGTTAAATTCTCCTAAGGCCAATCAGGGGAGGCGAGGAACCGGGGCCGGCCGGGGGAAGCGTTGATGAGATGAAGGGAAAAAACTCTGCTCTTCGTGGTCCAGTAAAAATGGATTGCTATTTGCCACAGTTAGAGTGGCATACCCTGTTCAACAACTTCACACACACCCATTGCGTGCCTTGAATAGTGGATTGCGAAAATTTTGCCCGTCTTATTAACAGATTCTGAGACAGTCGGCCGCAATTTGCTCATTAGTCGCTTGAATTGCACAACGGTGCCTCCCAGCGACGGGAGCTTGTTTCAGCGAGAGGGGACAGCCACAACCAAAGCACAATGGGACAACCGGTGGGCCACAAATAGATCGCTAAAGGTTCAGAGACAGCAATAATACCACACATCACTCGCCACATATATGTACATACATATTAATGCTGCAACAGTACCTACCTCAAAGTCGGTCGTTGTGTAGCGTCATAGGTACTGTAGTATCAGACTCTGCTCTGATAACGCCATGGGGATGGTGGCTAAGGGTGTGATCCCCCCATCTTCCAGCGGTTCGCAAGAAATCTGCTCATACTGGCTTGATTAACTGCCCAAAGCACCAACCAAAGGCAACTTTAGGTGACGTCGATAAATCCACTCTGCGAAATGAAGCTGGATGACACATCGAGGAGATTGAGAGGGGCTTGTCAGGTTACACTAGTTCCTCGGTCCTGGCAGGTTTGTTCGGTTTCACTGCTACTTGAAACCTGCGAAGCCCAGCACTAGGTAATTGACGACGTGCAATATCGTGCCGGTCCCAGGGCGAATGACAACCATGACAACCCGTCCCTCTCAGGGCCCTGAGACATTACATAAGCCCAAAGGAGGCTCGCTATTCGCAGGGTTCCAATATATCGGATAATTTTTATATTCAATGATCTTCGAGTCTTCAGATTGACGGTCTATCGTTGGAGCTACCCTACCAAACAACAACACATCTCATCCCGTCTCCACAGCCCGTATGCGCGTATGCATTAATCAATGTGTGTGTCATCTTCCCAGCGACTCCTTCCCAGGGCGGCCGAACCAGACTTTGCCCTTGGGGTGTCTTCCCGGTAGGTTCCGCTGCCGTCATGCCATTTCAATCTGCAGCCCACTTCCGCATCTTGATCGCCCACGCCCGCCCGCCCGATCAACATTCCCTGGGGCGCAGACGACGTACGAGCAGGAAAGCCCTGCCGCCCGGCCAAGCCCGTCCGTACTGGTTAGATGGAACCAGCTCCATTTACGGAAGTATGTTGCCCGCCAAAAGAAAAGGACATGTCAGCACCAGAGAAGGCCCTATGTCCTTGGATCCTCTGTTTCTTTGGACGAAATGTTACCCATTCGGCTGCATTCCCTCTACACCCTTGCGAGGACCTTGCGAGGAGATTGCCTGCCGAACTGCCAGCGAGGGACAGGCTCCTTGTGGGCCTGTACACTTACTTGCAAGTTCTTTTCCATATTTTTCTTCGCCTTTCTTTTTCCCTTCCCTGCTTTTCGACTGAGAACGGTGGGTCGAAACGATCCTGATGCCACGCGAGCGTTATACTTGCCAATTGTAGGGCTCCACCTTGCCTCGACCTCGTGTCAGCTCGAGGCTCGCCCTACACATACCACAGTAGGCCTTGGGCAGGCAAGAGAGAGAGCTGCGGGTTCTTCAGCCTTTCCAGCCGTTCTCACTCAGGCATGTCCGACGCCTCAATTGCAGACGAAACATGACGGGCATGGTGCTTGTGCCTACGTGGCGGCCTCCTGGCTTTCTGGAATGTCAGCACTCCCCGTGGCAGCCTTTTGCACATTCCTCGCACCTGGCGCTGTGTCCCGCTTACTATATCCCTCTTGTTCCGGGGTCCTCATTGGCGACAAGCGGTTTCTGAAACCGATGTGGCAGACCCTGTGCACCCCGGGCTCGGAACTGCATGATTCGTTTGGTCAGACCGGTATGCAGCGACCCAAGTTACACGTCTCGCGAACCAATCTTGTGCCTCTAAGTGGGGAGGAATGTTCCGGATCGAAGCGATCATCGCTCTTCGCCTTGGTGGAAAGGGCTGACAACCTGTTTCGCAAACCTTCCAGAACATCCCATTCCAAGTGGAAGAAATATCTCCCCGGGAGATCTACGTGGACCCTCTACCAATTTTGAACCCGAGAATGGAATTGCAAGTTGGCAAAGACACCCTACTCAAAACGGAAGTGAACCCTGTGCATCCGTGTCTAGTCGTCCTGGCCACGGGACCTCCGATTGGGAACAACATTCCAGGACCAAGGCAGGCAGGACAGGAGCGAGAGCGGAGCCCAGCTGCGGGTGCCATTCGAAAGTCGGCTCTGGTGGAACTCGATCCATGGACCCAATGGTCCGAGGCACGGCTTGCAATCGTGTAGCACATTGGGCTCGATCTTGGCCTCGGACTGTTCTTTCGATAACTCGCCTCTAGGGTCTCGCCATCGAGTCCTATACTAGGTCAACGCCCCTAACGAGGTTCATAGGTAGAGGAGATGCCGAGGAGATATCTACTTTGCACTACTGTTTTGGCGACGGAGGAAACCTTGCGTCTTGGCCTCTCATCGGCCTCCGTAGTGGGGATTTGTCTTCTACTACTACAGTCCAAAGTGCACTAATTACGCTGACATCATCGAAGAATCTCGACCTATTATGCCGTCAGCAACGCCATTGCCATGGACTGCCAATTGAGGCCGGGCCTTTGTGGGGGGGCACTCAATAGGGATCGCAACGGTCTCCAAAACTCTGGTCGAGTCCTTTCACCAGCAACCCCAATTTCCAACCACACGTCCGGCTGGGCGGCGCAAAGCGTGTGTATCTCACTCGCCATGCGGAAGTTGTGTTCCACCTCCTTGTCGCTAAGGAGGTGCTTGTTGAAACCCGCGCTTGCCAAAGGGGGCCATACTGGAAGCTGAATAGCACGACCGCGATCCAGCATCTCGAGTATGAGGCCTGCTTCATCCCATAGTTGACCCCACAATGAGTAGGGCGCGATTCATCAGGATGACCGCCTTGTTTGACGGCCCCACCCCATCCGCAATGCGCTCGCCTTCCACGGGGCCGGAGACAATGCCCGCCGTAGTTGGTAGACGGCTTGGGCGTTGTGGAGCTTACACACATCCTGCGTCAGCATATCGAGCGGGGGTGCCGAAGACACTCCAGGCCTGCCCGCCCGGCGATGGTGTGTATGGCATGGGAATTGTCCGGCCGGAACTGTTGGATCGCGCTGTGGATGTGGTAGCCCGCTCATGGTGACCGCTCGCCGCCTCGTAGCGGGCTTGGCGTTGCCGGCTACGATCCGACCTCCGAGGAGACGTCCAGCAGGAGTATGTCCCTCGCCGTCAAGGTGCCGAAGTGCCGGCCCAGGGGGTTCATCCACATGAGTCTTGTGGGTCTGGAATGGGATCTAACTGCGAGTCAACCACGAGACGGACGTGCTAGAGACGGCGAGACATGAGACTTAGAAATGAACAGCTTTACCGGTTTGCAGACATGGCGGCCGGAAGCAAAAGGGGCGTAAGCGGGCCAAATCTGAGGAAAATAGTAGCAGCGATACATTGGAACCACTGCAGGGGCTCAGCAATTCCGCTTTGTGTGTTGGTTGGTGAGAACCGAGTTTGAAGAGCAGCAGATTTACTGCTAAGGAGCAAATGGCACCATGATCAAGAACGCAAAACTAACTCCTTGCTCATAAGTCCACTTCAGCCGTGAGATATTGAAAAGCTTATGCTTCTTGATAGTTGGATCACCCAGTTAATGTTCGAGTGATCTACAGGGTTTCCGGAGTGGGTCCTCCGACCGGGAGAGGTCCGACCCGGAAGAGATGTGACCTTGGGACCAATCGCGCAACTGTCTTTCTCTGCTGGAAGTAAACGTCCCAAGAACTCGGACGAGGTTCCTCGTCTGCGCATTCCTGTTTATACCATTCTAGCGCTTGAATCGCTTGTCCATGATCTCTCGCGGCTCTTGTAAGCTTCCGGAGACTTATGCCGACGTGTTATGTTCTAGCTAGGAAAACCTCTTTGGAGACCTTGAGGCTCGGGATAACCAATTTTATGATTCCATAGACCGTGAATTTGTCTTGGATACAACATGTTCGCCAGGAATAGACAATGTCACGGAGCAGAGCGAAAGATTGGACATTGGGCAGCTCAAGAGAGCACATCAAAGTTACCAATCAGATCTTTCAAATGCCCTGGATGGTGAACTCCCAGGGGTTTTCTATGACTGAATAACTCTGAAATTAGATGCATGACTAGCAAACAGACTGCAAGTCTGTTTTGAATGATGGCACAAGTGGAGGGTGGACTCTGTGGTAGCTTTGACCCTTCTTCAGCGAAAAGGTTGAGCGATATGGGCAATGAAGTGAGGAACGACCCCGGATCACTTGTATGAAGTACCTAGTTAAAATGTTTAAAATGTGGGATAAATATGCCCAAGAGGTTGTCGACTCTGTAATACTTACTAGTTGCAAGGCTGATGTCGATTCACAATGTGCAAAATAAGAGGTTCAGCCTCACCGCGGGGTAGTAAAAAGCACGGATAAACAATGCACCGTGGTACCTTAGCTCCAGGCCTTCGCACCCATGTCACAATTTCTAAGGTGAACTTTTCGAGCATCTCCAAGCATCCCACCCTGAAGTACTTGCAGCTCAGCAACTCTTCCGTGGCCAAATCTCAGTCTTGCCTCCAGTTTCCTCACCCTCTATAATACCCTGATCCTTGATATCTCCCTTTTTAGAAATTTATCCTTTGCCCTCTGGTGGCATTCGCGAACCTACCAGACACCATGCAGGCTCCAGTCTTGGTCATGAGTATGTTTACTTCTGTTGCCCTGTAGCTTGGCTGGTCATGATGGATCGCTAACATGACTGCCCAGACACCCAGGGTGGTGAGAGGCAGACCGGGAGGAAAGCTCAACTGTCGAACATTGCTGCGGCCAAAACGTATGCTTCTTACGCAACATCGCGTCTCTTAGAGCGGTAGCTAATAGGATACAGTGTCGCCGACATTATCAGATCATGCTTGGGGCCCAAGGCGATGTTGAAGATGCTCCTGGACCCCATGGGTGGCATTGTCCTTACCAATGATGGCCATGCCATCCTCCGAGAGATCGAGGTGTCTCACCCTGCCGCAAAGAGCATGATTGAGCTGAGCCGGACACAAGACGAGGAGGTGGGAGATGGCACGACGACAGTTATCATTCTAGGTATGTGGGAAGCATATTAATTCCTTCCTTCCAGGTGATGCTAACATGGACAGCCGGTGAAATACTTGCCCACGCCCTACCCCAACTAGAGCGAAACATCCACCCGGTCGTCATCATCTCTGCCTTCAAGCGCGCATTGAAGGATGCACTTGAGATTATCGAGGATATCTCCCTCCCCATCGATGTCAAGGACGATAAGGCCATGTTCAACCTGATCTCATCCTCTATCGGCACCAAGTTTGTCTCGAGATGGTCCGAGCTCATGTGCAGCTTGGCCCTGAATGCGGTGCGAACAGTGACGTGGGATACTGGCAACGGCAAGCGGGAAGTTGACATCAAGCGATATGCGCGTGTTGAGAAAGTTCCTGGCGGGGAGATCGAGGATAGCAGAGTCCTGGACGGTGTCATGTTGAACAAGGACATCACCCATCCTAAGATGCGACGGAGGATCGAGAACCCCAGAATCATTCTTTTGGACTGCACCCTCGAATACAAGAAAGGAGAGTCACAGACAAACATTGAGGTCACGAAGGAGGAAGACTGGAACCGCATCCTGCAGATTGAGGAGGAGCAGGTGAAGGCCATGTGCGACTCGATTCTCGCTCTGAACCCCGATCTTGTCATCACTGAGAAGGGAGTGTCTGGTAAGATCTGTAGAGCCTTCCAAGCTCGTGCATCCCATACTGACTGTCGCAGATCTTGCGCAACATTACCTGGTGAAAGCCAACGTGACTGCCCTTCGCCGTGTCCGCAAGACGGACAACAACAGGATAGCACGGGCCACAGGTGCTACTATCGTCAACCGGGTGGAGGACCTGCAAGAGTCCGACGTGGGCACCCAGTGCGGCCTCTTCGAGATTGAGAAGATTGGAGATGAATACTTCACCTTCCTCACCAAGTGCGAGTCTCCCAAGGCATGCACCATCCTCCTGAGAGGGCCCTCGAAGGACATCTTGAACGAGGTTGAGCGGAATCTTCAGGATGCCATGGGTGTAGCTCGCAACGTCATGTTCCACCCGAGACTATCACCAGGCGGAGGTGCAACTGAGATGGCCGTCTCGGTGAGACTTAACCAACTCGCCAAGAGTATCGAGGGCGTCCAGCAGTGGCCGTACAAGGCGGTGGCAGAGGCACTCGAGGTCATCCCAAGGACCCTGGTTCAGAATGCCGGTGCCACGCCCGTCCGAGTCTTGACCGAGCTGCGTGCCAAACACGCTGAGGGCAAGAGCACGTGGGGCATCAACGGCGACACCGGCGTGCCAGTAGACATGAAGACTTACGGAGTGTGGGAGCCCCAGGCCATCAAGGTCCAGAGTATGAAGACTGCAATTGAGGTAAGACTATTTCCTATCTATCACCGGCTTGTTTGCCAATCCAAGAAGGATGACGAAGCTGACACTATTCTAGGCCGCCTGTCTCCTGCTGAGAGTTGACGATATCTGCAGCGCTAAGAAGGCGCAGCCGGGAGTTGGGACTGGAGTCGGTGGCGGTGATGATTAGACGGTCTGCAAAGTCAGTTTCATGGGAATGTATGATGTCGTGACCCTAGCATACCCCCCTGTATTAAGGCAGCAGCAGCATTTTGCCATGGATGGATGGTAGATAAAAAAGTTTCCTCAAGGGCTGGAGCGTCAACTACGCAGTCATCATTTGTGGATATAATGGAAGTATCGCTGCCAGGTCGCAAAATCATTCTTCAGTCATCGTCGTGAATCAGAAGGCCTGGTGTATCAGTGGGAGCCGCCGCCCGCACTTCTGCGACGCTGCTCTCGTGGTTTGGCTCCGGGACAGCAGATCTTTGAGGCGCGCCGGCCGGATGACTGTCGCCCCGAGGCTTGAGCGACGATTTCCCGGGGGCTTCCTTTCCCTGGTCTCCTCCCCCTCCCTGCTCCTTGTTCTTCCGGAGCTTCAGCTTCTTCTCCCTCTTCTCGCGGTTCCTCCTCGTTCTCTCCGCGTCCCTGGCCGCGCGCTCCCTCTTGGCCTTCTCAAACTCGTCGTCCTCCCTCTCCCGCCGCACATCCTCGTCCATCTGCCGCAGGCGCTCGTACTCGCGCCGCCGGCTCGCCTTGTAGACGTGGAACTCGCCGCTGCCGGCGCCGGCGCTGGACCCTTGCACATTGGTGACGATCTCGGGCGGGGCGGCGAGGCGCGGCCGCGACTGGCCGCCGGCGCCCGGGATGCGTATCTCCTGGTCCGGCCGCGCGAAGAGGGCGTCCACGGTCTTGGCCTGCGCCGTCACCGGGGTCAGGGCGCGCTTCTTGACCGGGCGCTTCGAGCGCGGGTCGGCCGACGTGGGGATGCTTTCGGGGCCTTCGCCTGACATGCTTGGCTGGCTGGCTGGCTGGCTGGGGGCGTGTCCTTGTGGTAGTTGGCCTAGGATACGCGCCTGTGCACCACCCCCCGGATGTTCAGGAATTGGGGTTCGAGGTGGGACAGCAGGTGGCCGCCTCTCTGTTGACTTTTGACTTCGCGTCGGGGCTCACTGGCAGACAAGATGTTTAGTGCCAAACAAGGCTTCGAAGAATAGCCGCCGTTTCTCGGTTCGTATGCACAAGCTTGGTATGGATTGGATCGTTGGAGAGATAAAATTGTCCGGGTCAGCTGGGCACTGGCGCATGATGAAACGCCTGGCCCCATAAAAACCGCCAAGCCGCCCAGGCACCACCGCCTTGGGCACCTTGCCCCTCGTCGCCACTGATCGGGAGGGCTCTCGTCCAATCAACTGCCGGTTGGCAAGCATTGTGCCATGGGAATCTGGCCAGGGCGATAAGAAATCGCTTCTTTTTGGCAGAAATGCGGCCATTGCCTTGGTAAAGGAGAAAAATGCCCGATTGCTGCCGAATAGAAACCTCCCGAGAACCTGACCAACATACACATCTCGTACGAGCCATTGTCCCAGCCTGACGTCCCAAGCACTCTAGCAGGCAAACAGGCGCCAAGGATACCCAGCGACGGTGCATGTGACCTTCGTTTGTCACCTCTCTCTATTAGTCACAGGCAAGATACTTAGGTGCTTAATATAAACGCCTCCCATGGGCCTGAACGATCAACTGAGTAAAGACGAGCAAACTAGGTTACCGACTTAAAAGTCATTCTACTTCCGGAGTTGCTTGTCATTGTGCGATCGATTGCTTTGAAGTATCTTGCCCGCAATTCACCCTCTATAATCCTGACCCTCTTCGCTGCCCAAGACTTGGTAGCAGTCATCCCATTCTACATCCGATCATGGCGAAGCCAAGGCTTCTCATTCTGATCCGACATGCCCAGTCTGAAGGAAATAGTACGTCTAACCATGATGCAGAACTCCTTAGCTTCCATCGTCCTGCCATGGGAAAGGGACCCTGACCGTGACTAACTACTCCTCCGCCGGCAGAAAATAGGGAGATACACCAGACCATCCCCGACCACCGAGTGAAGTTGACACAGGAGGGATGGCAGCAAGCATACGAGGCTGGCCGCCGGCTGCGGGCCATGCTCCGAGCCGACGATACGCTACACTTCTTCACTAGTCCGTACCGTAGGACGCGCGAGACTACAGAAGGCATCCTGGCGACCCTGACAGCGGACCAGCCCGAGCCCAGTCCTTTCAAGCGAAACAACATCAAGGTATACGAGGAGCCGCGCCTGCGGGAGCAGGACTTTGGCAACTTCCAACCTTGCAGTGCCGAGATGGAGCGCATGTGGCAGGAGCGCGCAGACTACGGCCACTTCTTCTACCGCATCCCCAGCGGCGAGAGCGCTGCCGATGCCTACGACCGTGTCAGCGGCTTTAACGAGAGCCTGTGGCGGCAGTTTGGCGAGGACGACTTTGCCAGCGTATGCGTGCTCGGTAGGTAGCAGAGCATCCCAATGGTTACTGCTTCGAGTTAAGAGAGGCCTTCAGCTGACCATGACGAACCATTCTGCAGTCACCCACGGCCTCATGTCCCGCGTCTTCCTCATGAAGTGGTACCACTTCAGCGTCGAATACTTCGAGGACCTCCGGAACGTCAACCACTGCGAATTCCTCATCATGCGCAAAGAGGAGAGCGGCAAGTACATACTCGAGAATAATCTGCGAACGTGGTCCGAGCTACGGCGGGAGAGCGCGCTCCTGGAGGCCAAGGAGAAGGGGGAGGACAAGGACAAGGACAAGGAAGCAGCAAAGAGAAACGGAACCAGTAAGGACAGCTCCAAGCTAGTCAAGGCCCATTCATCTGCTGCTTCTCCCCGCGTCGAGCCCCGTCGACGATGGGGCGGCTGCCCCAATGGTTGCAATCACGATCAAACCTTCAAGATCCGCCAGACGCTGGCTGACCTGGTGAAGAGCGACAGCATCACCTCTAGCCACGAAACCAGCAGTGGCGCGGCAGTGACGACGGCGGGGGCGACGAACACCACTACCCCCCTCACCATCACCACCAGCGGCGGGCACGCTAACCACGACCCCAGCATCCCCAACCCGTCCTTCAACGGCAACGGCAACTCCACCACCATCGCCAAGCGCCGCCCGGCCGCCCGGCGGTACCAGTCCCAGAACGGCGACGCCGAGCCGACCGAGGAAGCGGGCCCGCAGATCGACGTGACCAAGGCCCGCGACGAGATCGTCTCCTCGCCCGACGGCACGCCGTCCTTCATCTCGGTCGAGGACCGGCTGCGCGCCCACGAGCGGAGCCCCCCGTTCCCGCCGCCGCAGCCGCTCCTGCACCACGTCGGCCGCGACTTTGGCGGCACGTACAGCGGCCACAACAGCGTGGCCGCCAGCGACGCCGACGCCGACACGTCCGAGGACGGCGCCGGCGCCGGCGCAGGCCGGCGCAGGCGCGTGGCCCGGCCCAAGGCGGCGGCGGTATCGGTATCGGGCTTCCTCGCGCCCGACAGCGACGACGCCCGTGGTATCTCGCACCGCCACCACCCGCACCATCACCACCACCGCGACCGGAGCGGCATGGGCCGCGGGACCAGGGCGAACAGGCTGGGCGATGCGCCCCACAGCAGCTGTCGCAGTAGCAGTAGCAGCAGCAGCAGCAGCAGCAGCAGCAGCAGCAGCGACGCGGAGCCGGAACCCGAGCCCGAGGCCGACGGGGAGCCCGAGCCCGAGCCCGAGCCCGAGGACGAGCTCGCCAAGCAGGAGAGGGAGGATAGGAGCATCCAGGGGAGCGTGTATTGAGGCCCCCTGTGCAGTGCGTGCCTGACACCCCGCACTCCCGGTTTCACGCAATATGCCTTCCCTCCGTCTCGGGGGACAAGAGGGAGGTGGCGGAAGAGTGTTCTGTCCCTAAAACGGAATGGATTTAGTTGATTTGGCGGCACGGGGTCTTTTCCCCTGGCTTGGAAGGACCTTTACGAATAAGAACGAGCATGAAAGGGGTTCGGCGGGGTTTAAAATAAAATAAAATAAAATAAAAAAAGGTGGGTGTATCCTTGAGAAGTACAGGTTATTTCTCTTGATGATGGTACGGTCTCCTTTTTTTGCTCCAGAGTTTCTCATTTTTTTTTTCCATTTTTTCCCATGGGAGATTCGGGTCATGCGACTTGGTGGATGGATCAAGCCTCGCTTTTTGTTTTTGTGGAGGATATACCTAAGATTGTTTTTTCGTGACTGAAAAAAAGAGTTCCGTCTTCTGGGGAGAGAGTAATGGTTGACAGGAGGAGGAGGGCGAGGAGTTGGCTTGCTTCTGGGCCTGTTGAACTGCTCGGCCAGGGGCTCCGGGCAAAACAGCCCCGTCAACTCGGTTGGGAAATGAGAAACTACACTGAGTTTGACAAGCGTTCTATTATGCTTGCGCTTTTGACTATCCCATTCTGCGTACTGCTGAAGCGTGGGTTGATACAGGATATAGACTGGTCTTACTCGACAAAGAATAGGGACGATAATAGGAATGATAAAAGACTGTTGTCCATCATATATGCCCGCCTCTTGATTCATATGTTTCATACATATATAAAACTCGAGGTCCTATATCCCGAAAGTATGCGATCCCCCCAGCCCTTGCGAGAGCGTCATATCCAATGCCAAAACAATACAAGCTACGCTCAGAAATATATCCCGGACTCCGCAGCCCGGCAAGCCCATTGCAAAGGTCCCATCCAGGACCATGCCGTTTCCCCTACAGTGCCTTTCCCAGAGAATTTCATATTAACCTAGTCGTAGGTGGGTATCCCACACCCGGCGCAAAACCCGAACGAGTCTTCCATAGCATGTCGTAATAGTAAGAACCAGCTCTGTCTATTTGGGCATAATTCACTCCCTCCCTCTATACCCCCCTCCTCTTCATCACTTCTCTCCATCATCGTAGAAGTGTCATGTATCAACCACCACCACTACCACACACTTATCGGCGTGACTTCCTGGCAGACGGTCTAAGTCGCTGTGATTGCTGTCTCTGCAAGTGACTTATAAGAAGCAAAGCTTGAAATAGGGCGATGAACACCAGCCGTCCATCGGCGAATGTGCACTACCTAGTGATCCCGCTCCCTCGGGGAAACGATGCTCGTAATCAGAAAAAGAAAAGTAAAAAGAATGAGAAGAAAATCCGCTTGATAGAAATGAAGGGAGATTTGGAAACGCTGATGATGTTGATGATGGGCGTTCAAGAATGGATTATGTGGTATGCCCGCTTTTTGAACTTATTTTCCACCTTGGAAGAACTTGGACAACGCAGTGCTAAGTTGGATGAAATCGACGGGCTTGGTGACGTAGTCGCTGAAGCCCGCGGCGATGCACTTCTCCTGGACGTCTGACATGACGTTGGCCGACAGTGCGACGATGGGCATGTCGGGGTACCCATTCGACGCCTCCCAGTCTCGAATCTCGCGGCACGCTTGGTAGCCGTCCTTTCGAGGCATGTGGAGATCGCACTACAATGCCAATACGCGTCAGCCAGGGCCGCACGAGGAGAGAGAGAAAAAGGGGCAGCGGGTGGGGGGGAGGTTTCGACCTACCAGTATCAGGGAATAGCAGCCGTGTGGCTGCGAGAAGACCTTCTCGGTGCATTCGACGCCATCAGCCGCCACCTCGACTTGGACGCCGACCTTCTTGAGGTACTTTTGGAGCACCTTCTGGTTTACCAGGTTGTCCTCGACAACGAGCACCTTGTATCCCTTGTTGCCCATTCTCTTCTCGACCTCGATGTAGCTCTGCTTCTGATGTTCCACGATCCGCTGCGCCGTGGATCGGTTCCTGTCGATGCTGAGGTCACGTTCCTTGCCCGGGTCGAAGATGACGGCGAACCGAGATGGCTTCACCGGCTTGTAAATGTAAGTCACCTCCTTTTCCGACAACAGCTCTTCGTATCGGGTATTGGCAACCAGCTTCGTTACCGCCTGCCTCTGCACCGAGTCGGTTAGGATGAGGATCGTAGTCTTGCCAACCATGCCCGACTTTACGACTTGATCCATCAATGCGATGATTTCTTCGGGCGACGGCAGGTTGACGACTATGTGTGTGAACATGACTGGATCGTCGCCTCCAGTAAAGGCCTTGGATTCTTCGATGGACGAGAGAGCCGTGATCTGATGGGGGATGTCTTTGGGCAACGTCATCTCGATGTGCTTGGTTGTAGCTTCCCTACTGTGCGACTGCGGACATATTATGAGGATCGAGTACATTAGCGGCCGGAAGTCTCCGACGATGCCAGGTGGCTGAAGTGCACCAGCGAAGTGTGCCACTTCAGAGGCTATTCTTTCCGACGGCATCTCCAGCTTCATCTGCGAGAGGTCCTGCCCGCTGGCCCTAGCTGCTGCGCTGAAGCGCACCAGGCCGGCATTGACTGGAGACATGGAGGACCGTCCCGTTGTCTGCGTCCTGCCAGAGTTCACCGACGGATCTGAGCAGCTGCTCGAGGTCAGGGTCGGAGATACAAACTCTGGGTCCGTTGATGGACTGGTGGTGGCTGGAGATTGTCGAATGACTCTGTTTGAAGGGAAGTGCTTAAAGTCGCGAGGAATGTCGTCATGTGGTGTTTTGGGAGCTTGCTCGCCGCGAGGACTCGACGGCGCCTCGGGATGATCCAAGTCGGTCGGGAGGCCAAAACGGGCCGTGAAGGTGAAGGTCGAACCTTTCCCAGGAACGGCAGTACCATCCATTCTCCCACCGTGCAGCTCTACGAGCTGCCGTGAAATGACGAGACCCAAGCCGCTTCCTCCGTATTGTCGAGTGCTACTGCCATCAATTTGGCTGAAAGGCTTGAAGATCAGCTCGGCCTCCTTCTCTGTGAAGCCCCGGCCCGTATCGACAATGGAGAACTGGAGCATGATCTCATCGTCCCGGAGAGACTCATCCTCAGGAGTAAAGACCTTGCACATGCTGAAAACCTCTCCCTGACTCGTGAACTTGATGGCGTTCCCAATGACGTTGAGGAGGATTTGGCGGATGCGAACCCTGTCACCCTTGACCCAAGCCGGAACGTCTTCCTCGACGACATAGTTTAGCTCCAGTCGTTTGGCGATGGCCATGGTGGATACAAGCTCGTTCACGTCTTCGATTAGGGACCGAGTGTGGAACCATTCGTGGCTGAGTTTCATCATGCCAGCGTCTACCTTGGAGAGGTCAAGGATGTCGTTGATGATCATCAACAGGCTGTTGGCGCTGGTTTGGATCGTGTTGGTATAGTCCCTCTGCTCCTCATTCAGGGTCGTATCCTGCAGGAAGCTAACCATGCCGGATATGCCGACAAGGGGCGTGCGGATCTCGTGTGACATGTTGCTGAGGAATCTGCCCTTGGACTCCATTGCTTCCTTGAGCTTGGCCTCGAGGAGCTTGTGGTCATTGATATCAGTTGCGGACCCAAAGTAGGAGCTGGCCCCGTTCCCAAAGTCGACGTTGTCGATCTCGACGCATCTGATCAAGTGCCACCGGTACTCGTCGACCTTTGATCGCAGCCTAATCTCGGTCGTGTACGAGAGCCGCCCATTGCTGTCGGTTGCGACCTTGATGACGCCTTGTTTGGCCAGCTCCGTGAGATTGGCGCTCGGCAGTTCATAGACGGAACCGCTGCTGGAGCTGTTATTTCTCGAGAGGGCCTGATGGACACCCCGCATGTTGGACTCGGGATTGGCGTAAGAATTAACGGGTACAGCCGCCGACGCCGCCGGTCCGCTCGGTGTTGACGGCGGCCGTGCCTCGCTTCTCAGCTCGCTCTGGGGCATCGGCGTCGGCGGCCGATCGATCGGAATGCGACACTTTGCAAGATCCTCCGGGTGGACGTAGTCCATAAAGCCCAAGCCCAAGGCATCGTCAAAGCTCTGGCCAGTGTATGACAGCCATTGTTCGTTGGCGAACGTTATGCCCTCGTCCTCAGTGGCAGTGAAGATGATCTGGGGAATCAGGTTGGCGAGTAACCTGTGCTTAGCTTCCGACGCCTCGATCTCCTCCTTCCGGGCAGCTCTGAGTTCGGCAATGTGCTGGTCGTGGATGTCCATGTACGATCCGAGGAACTGAATGATAACACCCCGTTTGTCTTTGGAGGCAACAGCCCGGGCGTAGAACCACCTGTATGCGCCATCGAAGCGGCGAATACGCACAGTCCGCGAGAACTGCTCTCCACTTCGGACGGAATGGCTCCAGGCACGGAGGTATTCTTCTCGATCGTCGGGATGGATGCTCCCCCACGGGTCTGCTGCCAAGTCCCCGGAAGTCTGTCCGCGATACGTGAGGAATCTGCTGTTGACCCATAGGATCTCGCCAGTCTGCGGCAGAGCCACGAAAACGTGGGCCGGGAGAGAATCCAGAATGAGACTCTTCAATCTGTCCGACGGAGGCGTCATCTCCGGTTGTGCAGCCGCAACCGAACCACCTCGAGACGACGCTGCCGGCCGAGAGATGGGTTTGCTCCCAATCGTAGAACTTGGTGGAAGAGATTGGAAGGTTGTGGCAAAGTCGGCACCGTAAGAATGAAGCTGCGTATGGCGGCGCTGAGAGGTGGGCGTGGAAATGGCCGTCCTCTTCTGAGCTTCACCAGCAACTGCCCGACCACTCCCGTTCTGTGGCGCTTCATCCTTTGCCTCTGTTTGTTCTTTTGCGTCTGTCGTCGTCGACACACTGCGCTGATGTGATCGTGGGATGCCAGCAGACGGGGGGCGCTCGTCCGAGTGTGTCCCTCCGCCGCCGCCACCGTCACCCCCGGCCTGGCCATCAGACACGGCAGGGCCAGGTATGACAGGGGTATGGAGTTGGGTCTTCCCGCTGGAATTGCGCAACAATGACTTCTTCTCAGCGCTTGAGCTCTCCTTGGAATTCCTCCCTATTGGCTGTGGGGTGCTGCTTAACCCTGGTTTGGGTTTCGTGCTGAAATAGCTATCCCCACTAGCCGGTGCCGGACTGGACGCCGAAAGCCGATTGTCCATGACGAAGCCGAGCGCTGCTGGGTCCCAGCATGGAGTATCAAAGGGGGATCCGATAGTGCCGCGGGATGGAGCAGAGTCACTGGGACTGGTGATACTGCCACCAAGAGGATCGCGGGACAAGGGGTCTTCGGACGGCATATATCCCAAGGTTGCCAGCGCCGTCGGGTCGGCCAAAATTCGTCCATCGTGGCCAACCGCCCCAAAGCCTGAAGGATGTGGTCTGCGCTTTTGGAGGCCGTTCAGCTCGACCTCCAGATTAGTGTAGTGGCGGCAGAGCGAAAACGAGGTCGCGAGATGGGGAGCTAGCTGGTCTAGGGATTGGTGAAGATTCGACGGATATGGTATTATCGGGCTCAGGATTGAGAGAATGGCTATGGGAGCCTGCTTTTGCTCAAGGGGCGACAGCTGCGGCGCTGCTGAACCCCCGGACTCTTCAGTTCTCGACTCAGATGTCCCCTTTGAGTACTTCTGTTCCAAAAGGGTGTTGTCGAGTTTGAAGGAGGGGTTCAGTTTCGAGAGAAGGACGTGCGTCAAGGGGATGTGCAAGACAGTCCAGGAATTGTCGACTCCGATAGCCTCTGGAGGGACCATGGTTGAGTAATCCTCCGGGCCCGAAGAGGGGTTGAAAGACTCCTCGTCGACCATGGCATCGGTGAAGAATGGGTTCTCTGTCGGATCGGCCCGAACAGCCGGGGACGGAGCCGGTGATTGCGACCATGGCGATGGTGGTGCTTGCTCAAATTCCTCGAATTTGGGCATCGGGGGGAGAGGATCTTCATGTTCGATTTTGGCCGCTATTCCAGCTGCTTTCTTCTTCTCGCCAGCCTGGGATTTCATTCCGCGGCCAGAAGAAACCGGGTTGCTGCTCTCAAACAGGGGGAGAATGCCTGACACCGACTCGGGCCGATATTTCCCAGCTTTTTTCCTCATCGCTTCCGGGGAAAGTTGGTTCCGAGAGGCCGGGTTGCTCTCAGAGGGATTGTCCTTGGAACTGGGATTGAGGTAGGGATAATTCCTTGTCAGCGCAATCACCCGCCCGCGCTCGAGCACACGCATGACGCCGTTGTGGTCGATAAGCGGGTCTGCTTCGTAGTCAAGGGCCTGCAGCACGTTGAGCACCTTGCCTCGGTCTTGTCCCGGTGATGCGAAAGGAGCATCCCAGCTTGCTATGTCCTGTTGTCCCTCGAGCGCGTCGTGCTCCTCCAACGCCTTCCTGTTCAACCCCTGAAGTTGATCCTCGCCGCCGTCGCCATCATCGTCACCGTCCTCGGAGGCTTCCTCCTGTCTGAGAGATGACGCAGGGTAGGAGCTCTTGCTCCTCGAAGGAAGATTCGGGCGACGATTAGCCGAACTCCTCTCTCTAGGAGTAGTCTTCTTCTTTTCTTCGTACGATGTGAACGAGTGCCTGCTTTGCAATCCCGGGCGTATTGCGCCTTTTTTCTTCGCTGGCTCGTCGGCTTGTGACTTGGCCTCGGAGAAACCATCGTTGCTGCTGACATTGAAGCTCGAACCTCTCGCTAAATAGCCAATACTTAGATCGTCCTGGTGAGGGTTGTAGGTCGCCTTCTGCCCCCAGGGCACGTTCTCGATATCGGTCGAGTCTGCGGGGATGGCCAAGGTGATTCGCTCGGCTTTGTAGACGTCGGTCATTATTTGCACAACCGTGTTCCACCATGCATCCAGCCCGGGCTCGGCAGATAGCATTAAAGTCAAATCATAGAGGTTGGGGCTGGGAAGTTCGCATCGGGCGCCGGCTTGTGCGTACCGGTCGGCCGGGAACGACATGGTTGAGCTCGGCGCCGAACGGTCGGACAGCACTTTGCCGTGTAGACGAGGGTCCTCGAAAGGGACATTGTGACAGGCGGGAGGCAGTGTTGCCGAGGATAATGAGTTGTGGGAGAGGTGGCCTGGCGGATGGCCAGAACCTGGTGTCGTCATATGTGGAAACGAATAGGAGTTTCCGGCTAACAGGCCAGGAACTGTGCCGCCCCTGAGGGTGTTTCCCGACCCGGTCGAGATACTTGTCTGTTCGGAAGATGACGCTGGCGATATGTTGGTCTCATCCTGAGCGGCGGGAGGAGAGATCATCGTGGCGTTGGCCGGCGGGTTTCCCCCTCTTGCAGAGACTTCTCTCCTCTCTATATCCCGTGCCAAACACTCCCGGTATCGATTCAGTTGCTTCTGGGTATCTGCTGGATCCACCTCTTTCGGTTCTGTCCCTTGATGGGGCCCATCGTCTGGTTTTATCCCCCCCGGTATTTGGATGCCGTTGCCAGGCGAGTCTGAGTCGCCGTCCACCAGCGTTTCCTGATTGGGCCAGGTGGGCTGGCTAGCAGTGCCAACAATCCCTTGACTGTCACTGAAGTTGACCGATCTCTGCGATGCTTTTAGTCCGGGTGCAGGCGCATTTAACGGCGGCCCAGGCCCAGCCCCCGCCCCCGACGTGTCCGGCATTAGGGCTCGTACGTCAAACCAGTGCTCTGGTGACCGATTCAAAGCATCGTCAAATCCGTGCGACTTCGCGAGATCGCTGTGCTTATCCAGCAGCCGCACCGTCGTTGGGCCAGTTTCTTGTCGCTGTGGAGCGGGTTGGTGGGAGGAAACGCCTACTTGGTCCTCTCGCGTTTGCGAACTTGGCATTCCTCATTCGGAAACCCGTCGTGAGGGCGTCAGAAAGAGTCCGGGTTTGGAATCGACGAGATGGTGATCAGATGCAATGAATGCCGCGCAGCGAAACCTAGCTCGTCGCAGAGGGACAACGCGGGAGGCGTGATGGAGGAGGTGGCGGCCACAAAACTGACAGGGGCAAGACCAGTGTGCAGGTTTTTGGAGAACGGAGTGTGTTGGTGGAGATGGTGTCCCCGATAATCTAGTTCCCGCGTAGTGCTTGGCCAGGCACTATGACGTTACAGCTCGCAAGGCGATGTCTTGCCTAACGACCCCTGACCCTGGAAGAGGGACCCTCGACTCGCAGTCGGTTGCTTTTGTTCTGATCCGACAAAGTCCGGAAGAGGCCATTCAATAGGCAAGAGAAGGAGCAACCAGGCCTGAGCTGGTCCGGGTGTGCTTGGGGATGCAGAGGGATGTGGTACAACTTTTCTTCATGATTCCACGGGCCTTGGTCATTAGGAATTCGCTGCATATTAAAACATGGCACAGAAGCAGGGCAAGGCTCCAAAAACAGCCGTTTTCCAAAAAAACGGTGGTTGTCTGAGTTCCTGATCCCGTTTCCATTTTACCAGGCACACAAACCCGGAAGCCTGTCTGTAGGGAGGGAATGCAAGATCCACTTCTCAGAAATGCCAGTTCAACATGGAATCTACCATGCGTACAGTCCTGAACCCAGTGTTTTTTTTTTTCTCCTTTTGATAAAACTCGTGGATTCTCAGCAAAACGGACTAATTCCACGGAAATAGCAGAATAGTACCAGAGACGACCCGTTGAAGCTTAGTTGTTGCCCGTTCATTGCCCAACAGCAAGTCACAATCGCTTTCCTTGGTCTAGTCATGCTAAAATTACCCGCCCATCTCACCTCACCTTCCCGTCGTTACCAGCTACGGAAAGCCACCGGTGAATACGAGTACAATGGAAAGTATATACTTCGTATACCTGACCTGCTCTTGCTGTCACTGCAAACCCCATCCTGTCCTCTCTTAGTTTGCATGCGACTAATAAAGCGGCCCCTTCTTCCTATTTGGCCCTTAGCTGTTCCCTCCGCTTCCAACCAGCTGGATAACAGGTCGGGGTCCATCCTGCGACTGTACCGACCGGACCTTCTATCCACCCCCCCGACGCGGAGCTGGAGGGACTTTTCTCCCCTGGGCCCTATGGCCTATCAGGTTAGGCCTACCACGACCGGAAAGCTGGAGCTCTGATGATGTCACGTCGACCCTTGGGTCCCACAAGAAATGATTCGCGGGACTTTGACCGGGTTGTTGATTCGAATCAGCCCATTATTATGGGCTTTATGGAACTCTCATGATGCGATTCCCTTGAGTGATAGGAGAATTGTTCCGCTCATAATCCAGAGAGAGAGGCCGCACGAGGGCGCAGGGCCTTTGGTCCACTGCTGGCTACCACCCTCTATACCTCACCTACAACGTACGGGTGCCTATTCCAACTTGAATGCAGTAAAAAGGACCCTGTTTGCTCCGCCTTGTTGTACAGATACGCAGAGCTCTTGGTGCCAATTGGCTAGTGATCAGCGGCACCTTTCGCATGACCAATTTCCAAGGGCCTTGGTCAAATCCTTGGAAATGACGTCAATTTGAATGGGTGACGTAGATGGCGCGTTGGCACTAGATTGGTCCAATAATCTGTACCGTCTCGGGTGCCACCCCTGCAGAACCCTCCTGATCCTTGCCATCGATCCCGTGCCTCCCCACAATTGTTGGCAATTTCGGACACCATCCTGGGGCTAGATAGTCCGCCGTCCTTTGGTAGGTACCTAGATATTCTGCACCAGGTGATTCCCACATTCCCAACTGTTGCAGGACGGAAATGAGGGTCGATAATAGACCATTTTATTGTAGTGCATAAAGCGACCTGGAATTTGTGATTATCGACAGCATGACTATCGGGCTCCGAGGAAGCTCGACGCAAAAAAGGGCTGGCTGGAGAACTCAGAAAGTACCGCCCCTGACCTGAGGCTTGTGGAATCTGAAAGGCCCCTTCCTTTTGTCGTACCGCCGTATCGAATATGCATTCGTCGCCGGACGGAGCAAGGCACCGAGTTCCGTTCGATGAGAGGTAGTGGAGCCAAATCCGGCCTGTTCCGACCCGGAAGGACCCCGATCACAACGGCTGACAGCCACGTGGAAGCCCTTCCGCAAGTATGGTACCTACATGCAGCCATTGACATTGTGCTTCCAGTCACGCCGGGAGCCCACGATGTATTAAGTACATAACAAATCTACACCTACCTCTACGTAGGTACCTAGGGACCTACCTTGATTGGCAATGCTTGCTCGATGCGCCGCACACATCTCTCGCATACTTCCTCCCTCGTCCAAACAAACGACAAACCCGTACCCAAAGTCCCAAGAATAGCACCCCGAAGTAAACCCAGCTTCCTCTAATGTCCAGAGAGGCACCGAGGGAGATGATTGTGTCTATTTGATGCCGCGGGCAGGAGAAACTATGCAGCCCTACCCCTGCTTCAATTTACGCGTGTCGATCTCAGGCAATGCCTGGCCGCGCTACCCCGCATGGAGGACTGCACGTACCATCACACTACCTACCTACCTGGCAATGATTACGTACGTACGGAGCAAGCTATGACCACCTGAGAGAGCTTGCGAGCACGGGCACGGGGTTGAAGACGCAATTGACGTGCTGCTCTTCAAATTCAGCCGGGAGTCAACACGGAATGGCGAGGGAAATATTTCATCCTCTGCCTTAATATATCAATGCAACGAGTTTAAAGTGGCTCAATCAACTTGCTCCAGTGCCGGTGACCCCAAATAGCTAGACAATCGCGACTCGAGAGCCGACCCAGTCACGGCTGCCAGCATGGCTCCCAGCCCAGACCTCGAGACTCCAACGGAGCCCCAAGCAGGCTCTCGCGACGCAGAGACTGGCTTCGACGAAGAGACTCCACTTATTGCTCGGGAAAGCGCAGGGCCTCCCACTCGGGCCGTGTCTGCTGGCGGGGTCCTGGCCCATCCCCGGACATGGACGTGGCAGCGCTGGGTAACCTATCTGGCTGCCCTTGTCATAGTTCTCATATTTACCTTGACCATTGTCTTTGGAGGTACCGCCAGTTACACACCCCTCCTGCCCGGAGTGCTTCGTCTAATACTAGTATCTGCTCCTAGTGTTTCGATCCCGCAAGATGGAGTCTGCCACCGCGCTCTGCCTCACTCCAGCCTGCATCCACGCAGCGTCCGAGATACTCTACAACCTTTCTCCGAACTACCAGAATGTCGATCCCTGCGCCAATTTTGATGAACGTACGTGCGCCGTATACTGCGGGCTCGAGGAGGCAGCGACGAGAGGCCGGTGCTGACTTGAAACATAAACCTTCTAGTGGTATGTGATGGTTGGAGAGCTCGCCACGACATGAGGCCAGACCAAGGTTCTCTGAACAGCTTCACCACGATGGCTGAGGATGGCCAGATGATCTTGAGGCATATTCTCGAGGCCCCTTACCCCGATTCTTCCAATGTGCGCATCCCCTCCAAAAATGATCCTAGGATTGTGTAGTAACTTTGCCAGCATTCGTATTTCTCCCCGGTGAGACTGATGGTTACAACGAGTAACGCCGACGAGGATAACTTCAACCAACTTCAGAGAGCGTACAACGCATGTATGGCCGAGACCGAGATTCAGAAACTCGGCATTACGCCTATTCAAACCCTGCTTGGCGACCTCTCCAAACTCCTCGCCGTAGACGACTCCGCATACGGGAATGGTGTTCCTATCCAGTCCCAGGACTCTGATGGAATATCTGAAGCAATCTTGTTTTTGGAGAAGTTGGATATCCCAAGTCTGCTGAACTTTGGGGTTGGTGCAGACGACAAAGATCCTGTATGTGGTCACTTCAAATCTTCAAATTGTGCCCCAAGCCATCTCCCCTTGCCCGAAGCCTGAACTACGGGCTCGTCAAGAATAAATTCCTCTCGATCTAACGTTGGTAGGACTCTGTCGTCGTCTTTGCTGGTCCTCGATCTGGCGTGGGTCTGCCCTCCAAGACTTATTACCTGGACAACGACATCGTCTCGCAGTACCAGTCAGCTATGGCTGAGGTTCTCAATGCGGTTCTTCCTGGCTCGGCGGCTCGTTCAGCGGCAGACAAGTTGGCTGCTGCTGTGGTGAAGCTCGAATCTCAAATTGCTGCGGCAACCCCTGAGCTGGAGGACCTTCAGGATGTCACGGTTGGTATTCAACCGCTGCCACCTTCTAAGATATGACTAACCATGGTTACAGAAATCGTATAATCTTATGTCTTTGAAGGATGCGGCCGCATTGGCACCAATTCTAGGACTCGAGCACGTCTTGACGTCTCTGGCGCCCTCTAATTATACGCTGGACAAGCTGATCGCGTCCTTCCCGGATTACTTTAGGAATGTGTCGGACATCCTGGCCGCCAACTCAAAGGATACAATCCAAGCTTTCCTTTCCTGGAAAGTGATCCAGTATACTGCTAGCTCTGTCATAGCCCCCGAGGTCAAGCCATATACGCGGTTCATGAACCAGCTCGCTGGAAAGGTTTGTGCTTGCCCCGGGTTCCGCCTCGCGTCGTCCTACCCCTTCTAACCTTTCTACAGGACCCAGACGCTGCCCCAGAGCGATGGAGGACATGTATCAGCCATGTTAACGGTGCCCTCGGATGGACCTTGAGTCGGTTCTACGTGGAAGCCGCTTTTTCGGCCAAAGCCAAGGACCTAGGGAACCAGATTGTGTCGGACATCAAGGAGCAGTTCACTGCCAGGATCAAAACGCTTGACTGGATGGATGATGAAGTGAAGAAACTCGCTATCGATAAAGTAAACGCTATTGTGCAGAAGATCGGTTACCCAGAGAATGTGAGTTTACCGCCCAGTTCCCGCGACTTAACAACGTCGGATACTGATATTTCTAGTCTCCAAACATTACGGACCCAGCCATCTTGAGAGACTACTATGCGGGGCTAAACATCGGCGACGAATACTTTGCTAACGGCCTTTCCGTTTCTCGGTGGAGCGTTAATCAGTCCTGGAGCGAGTTGGGGAAACCAACGGATCGGGAGCAGTGGGGTATGACTGCGCCAACAGTCAATGCCTACTACAACCCCGCCGGGAACGAGATCGTGTTTCCCGCCGGCATCATGCAGTTCCCCGTCTTTGGCAGTGAGTTGCCGAACTACATCAACTACGGGGCCTTCGGAGCTGTCGCCGGGCACGAACTCTCGCATGCCTTCGACAACAACGGCCGGCATTACGACGTCCATGGCAACCTTACGGATTGGTGGACGGAGCACACGGTCGAGGGCTTTGAGGCCAGGGCCGAGTGCTTCGTTGACGAGTACTCGAACTTCACCGTCGCCGGCCCCAACGGTACGACACTACACGTCAAGGGGAGGCAGACCCTCGGCGAGAACATTGCCGACGCTGGCGGCCTCTCGGCAGCGTTCAATGTCTGGAAAAAGCGACAGCAGGGGTCTCCTGATCTGGATTTACCCGGACTTGACTTTTTCTCTCAGGAGGTACGTACCTTCCAGTTCAGAGCACATAGCCATTTCCCGGAGTCTTGTGGAAGTCCCAAAGTGCCGTTGTTCAGGGGTATTTTCCCAAACCGCGGTTTTCTTGAATCCATTTATTTCGACTCCCGTGTGGTACCACCACCTGTCGAGGGAACCTTTATTAACTAACCTACTTAACTTTATAGCAACTATTCTACATTTCTTATGGGAACTTCTGGTGCTCCAAGTACAGCGAGCAAGCACTTACCAGGACTATCTACACCGACGAGCACTCGCCGAACTTTGCAAGAATCCAAGGAGCTGCCATGCTTAACTCCAGAGGCTTCCGTGAGGCGTTCAACTGTCCAGTCAAGGAGCCTGTGTGCGAACTTTGGTAAGTTGGGTTAGAGAGCAGAATAGGATATGGTAAACCAAAGGTTTTATTGGGGCCACGCTCTCAGTAATGTTATCGCCAATAGCGCAGTGTATTGTTATTATTACGACGCCTGTCCGATATTAGGCTTGGGTCTAGTCAAGAAGAATGAAGGTTATCGAAACACACAAAGACATTGACCATAATCCTGCAACGCCGGACCCCCTCACAATGCTTCAGGATTTGCTATCGAGACTGCCCCCTCTCGCCTCAATTCAACAACAATCATATATTTGGCAAACAGGGCACCGAAAGTTTGACATCAGTCGTCACCGTATTCCCCCCAACCCAAACATCGGCTAAAGGACGATCACTGGGAGCGGCGCAAACCCAGCTTCGTGACGGAGATGCGAGGGAAAACGCCGACGACGACCAGCGCCGACGCGACGAGGACGCTCCACAGCTTGATGCCCAGCACGTTCTCGCTGTAGGGGGTCCGGGTGGCGGTGGCGACGGTAGCCAGCAGGAGCAGGTAGACGGCGTAGCCGGACCAGCGGTGGTACCGCCACAGCGACCTGGCTGCGGCGTCGCCGCCGAGCACGGCCGGCACGGCCCAAATGAGGAAGCCGAAGAGGTACTGCAGCAGCAGTAGGGCGCCCGTGACGACGCCGAGGTAGGCGTGCGGGCTGTGGAAGTGCGCGGCCCGGTCGGTGCCCTTGTTGGTCTCGATCACGGCGATGCCCGAGGCGAGGAGCAGGAAGGAGACGAGGTTGAGGGCCGCGTGGGCGCGGGCGCCGACCAGCTTGCCCTCGGCGGTGCGCGTCGGCTGGAGGATCAGGATGGCCTGCGTGATGGTGAAGACGCCGAGGGACTGGAGGAGCGGGTGCGGCGAGACGAGCGGGAGGAGGGGGTTGAGGAAGACGCCGGCCCAGACGACGGCTAGGAGGAGGAGGGCGCCGGCTTGGGCGATCCAGCCAGTTCCTTCGGAGGGGGGAAGATGGTCAGCTGGAAAGTCCCTGGCTGGTGATCTTCTCCCTTGGGGGGCTTTGTTTTTTTTTTGGGGGGGGGGGAGGTGGTCAGACAAGACAGCAGCTCATAACGACTTACCTAGCCAAAGATTGCTGATCAGAGGGGCACCTTGTTTCTGCGCTGCATCGCCAGCCCGTCCAAGGAGGGGCTCTGTTTCCGCCGCGCCAGTGTCAGCGTCGGGGATGCGCTGGGGGATTCCCGTTGCAGAAGCCATCTCTCAATATTGATTATACAGATACAAGAGAGGATAGCGACAGGCAATTGACTTGGTATACTGGTCCAAGATGATCAAAAGAGACTGTGCTTCATCTAGACCTTCTTCATAAGAGGTTGGAAGGGGGGAGAGAGGATTGCGTGGAAAGAAGCTGCCATGACGGCACTGTTAGCTCTGACCTATCGGCGCGTCCCAATTTCATATCCGCCGAACGAACCCCGACAATGCGGGGTCGCCCAGTCGGCATTCCGGCATTGTCAGTGGACGGACAATCGATCCCCTCTGACGAAAGGATTCTGGGCCGAGTCAATGGTATTGAAGCTGACCGTTCTCAGGGCCACCAACCGAGAGATGGGACCGGAAAGGCGTTGTCCGGTTTCTCTGGCGGGTGTAAGTGAAGATGTGCCCTTTCTCAGTTAGCATCAACTTCGTTACTTACGATGCTGTTGCTTCTTACATTGATTGGTTCGTTGCGGCGGGGTTTTGCTTTGGGCTTTATCGGATGTAGCCGACTTCCGCTGATGTCATGTGGATCATACCGAACCCTTCTGAAGCCAGAAGTAGACGGGGGATCATCTACACTAGCTCTCTCGTCCCTCGTCTAGTATCGGCTTCATACACGAGAGATTAAGAAACTTCACAACTTAGAATCCAGATCCCCAACATCTCGCCGACATGGAGGACATCGAGTACAAGCTTGACAATGTCAAGACAACTCCCGTTGCTGCTGGTGATATCAACAAAACCTTCCGCTCCAGTACCATAGGTAGGCAACACATTTTTGTCGAGTTGTCTGCTTGTCTAGAGGTGCCTCGAGCTTGGAAAGGACGCGAGCCGTGTATTCAGCAGAATGCTAAGAAAATCAACGGTAAAATAGATCTGATCTCGGCAGCGTTGGGTGGGAAAGTGCTGGCTTTCTCAGACCAATGGTTTGCTGATGCTTCAAATTTGCTGACCCCAACTGCCCCCATCAGGCAGGCTGGAAAGATGGTCTTTACGGGGGCTTGGTATGATGGATGGGAAACGAGACGGCACAACCCGGCCCCTTTCGACTGGGTCGTCATCCGGTTAGGCGTTGCCTCGGGCACCGTTGAGGGTGTCGAGGTAGATACCGCCTTCTTCAGTGGAAATCACGCCCCTGCGATATCAGTCGAAGGCTGCTTCAATCAGAACGATGATGAGGTTGTGTCCTGGAAGGGCGACCGCGGTGGATGGGAAACGATACTCGGCATTCAAGAGTGCGGTCCCTTGCAGAGGTTCGGGTGGAAACTCAACGAACCCAAGCAGAAGCAGTACACACATGTGCGGTTGAACATGTACCCGGACGGAGGCATTGCCCGGTTCAGACTGTTTGGGCACGCCGTGCCGGTCTTCCCGCAAGACAAGGATGCCATCTTCGACTTGGCTGCGGCCCAGAATGGGGGCGTAGCCGTTGCTTGCAGCGACCAGCATTTTGGCACCAAGGACAACCTGATCTTGCCTGGACGAGGTAAGGATATGGGGGACGGGTGGGAGACGGCGCGATCTCGAACCAAAGGCCATATTGACTGGACCATCATGCGGCTGGGAGCACCGGGATACATCCAGAGTTTTGTTGTTGATACGGCTCACTTCCGGGGCAACTTTCCCCAGAAGGTGCGCCTCGAGGCTATCGACTGGGCAGAAAAGGGGTCAGACCCGGGCTCTGATGCAACCGGGTGGCTCGAGGTTGCGGAGCCCATCAAGTGTGGGTCTGATAAGGAACATGAGGTGGCTTGCTTGACCAAAGACAAGCCATTCACTCACGTCAAGCTGATAATGGTTCCGGATGGAGGAGTGAAGAGGCTTAGAGTTTTTGGGAAACGAGTAGGGTGAACGGGGGCCAGAGAATCTGCAATGCGAAAGAACATCGAACAGAGACAAATCGACAGACAAGGAGGAAACCGGGAGGCCGAAAGTAGGACCTTACATCTAGCTAGATATATGCTATGTTGCTGCATAGGTTCCATTCTATGTTCCTAGATATTTTTGTAGCGAGGTCGGTCCAAGTCGGACATGAGGTTTGCGTAGCGGGCACGGACCATCTTGGCCCCCGATATGCCGATCAATGATCAAATCCACAAGTACCGCAGTAGGTAGGCAACATCCAATGCTACTGATACCCTTGATTCCCAACAACCCTACCGAATCCACGAACCTTGAACCAGCGAATTTACCAAACAGGGTGACCACTGGACCGAAGAACCCCCACCGGACCCTGGACTGTTTCCCTACCCTTGTATTCCCTCCAAAGTCCTTGAACGCATGAGGACTTGATGGATGCAACCGGTCAGCTCACCAGAAACTCGCACTTGATATGAACCTCCCTCCGCCATGGATCTCGGCGAATCTAATGGCGGAAGCCCTGGAGGCCTCGACACCAGCGGAGATGTACCGATGGAGAAGAAACGAGCCCTGCCAGACGATCTCCCAACCTCCTTGGATGACAGGAAGCATGTCTCGGCCGAACTGGTGCCCGAGATGGAACTTTACGACGGATGGCAAGGTTGGTTTCCCATTCCGCACCCAACCCCTGGCAACACCTTGACTCACACTTTCCCCATAGGTCAATCGCAGTTCTTGACATCTCCGATGCTAGCCAAGCCCCTGACCTTTGGCGACCTTAGCCTGAACGACACAGCCTACGACGAGGACGCCCCCAGGGGAGCACAAGATAGCGAGGCGCGGCTGATGGAGATGCTTGCTGCCCAAGCGGCACATTCAGTCGGAGTTGGCTTCGAAGATGAAGATGCTATAGCTTCGGACGAGAAACTGTCGGAGACGGAGAAGAAGGATCTCTTGCAGAAGGCGTTGACTATGGCCGCTAGCAACGGCAACGTTGAGTCAGTCAGAAAGATTCTCGGCGGGAAGGGCAAGGAATACGTGGACGTCGATACCCCAGATGAGGATGGCACGCCGCCGCTAATATATGCGAGCTGTTTTGTGAGCGATTACCATTTGGACCCCTGATCTCTCGGCGCCCTCGGCTGACATATATAACAGGGACACGAAAGTGTGGTTCAAGCTTTAATAGATGCGGGAGCGAGCGTTGACAAGCAGGATCGTAACCAATGGAGCGCCTTGATGTGGGCTATGACAAACCGGCACAAGGGCATTGCCAAGTTGTTGCTAGACAATGGTGCGTCACCCGAGGCGAAGACATCGTCAGGTCGGACAGCCTTCGACTTTGTTGCGCCAGACAGCGATATGTCGTTCTATCTCCATGACAGTGGCTACGGAATTGGTAGTGCTGGCACTGGGGATGACTTTTACAGTCCCGGGTTATCGCAGGATAAATTCGAAGAGGAGTTGGCGGAAAACGAATTGCGCCGGCGCATGATGATGGAGAGTGCCCGCGACTTGGAGGTTGACCTTGGGAACGTCGGGATGGATGACCAACCTGAGGTGTGTTTACCCTTCGAAGCCCCGAGTTCTCGCCTACCGGTTTGCTAATTTCCAACAGCCTGTCGATGAGTTCGAAGAGGAACAGCAAGAGTTTGACTGGTCCAGGTGCCTACATGACCAGATGTTCGTCTTCCAAGAAAGCGAGCTGGAGCGCATCTTGCATATTACCATAACCAACATGACGCCCCAACGATCACCGTCGCAGAAGCCAGTCCCAGCGAACATGATATTCCTGAGTGCGAGATATGCGCATTACCATTCCAGCCCCGAGCTCCTTGCCAAACTGCTCATTTCTGCCATGGACAAGATCAACGATGTGGTCGAACGATACCAGTGGGACATGACCATCCTCGCATTCTGGATATCCAACGCGACCTTGTTATTGCATTACCTCAAAAAAGACGCCGGCTTGCTTGAAGCTACCTCGGAGTTTCAGGCCCAGCTCGCGGAACTAATCAACGAGATTTTTATCCTCATTGTCCGGGACGCAGAGAGGCGACTAGACAAGGTGCTTGATGCCGCAATGTTGGACCACGAGACCATTCCCGGATTCGAGGACATTACCTTCCAAAACGAATGGAAGATTTTCAAACGGAAGACTCAAGTCAAGGAGGAGCCATTGGAGAAACGCTATCGCCCACCGTCGCCGAAACAGCGAGCAAAGCCTGCTCCTCGAAACGTGACATCCCTGCTCTCGTCAACGCTGTTCGTGTTAGATCTGTACGACGTTCACTCGGTAATCACGGCACAGATCATCTCACAGCTCCTCTACTGGGTCGGCGCCGAGCTCTTCAATCGCATCATGTCGAACCGGAAATATTTAGCGAGAACAAAGGCGATGCAGATCCGGATGAACATATCCATCCTGGAGGATTGGGCGCGCCAAAACAACAGGCAGCCGGAGCACTATGAACATGGCGAGACGAAGTCCTCGGGAGAGACCACTGTGGAGGCAGCGAGGCGGCACCTGGCCCCCGTGATCCAGCTCTTGCAGTGGCTCCAGTGTTTCTCTTCACTTGGTGCGGATGACCTGGAAGCCCTGGTCGGGACCTTGCAGCAGCTCAAGGCCTTGAGCGCGCAGCAGCTGATACACGCGGCATCGCACTACCGTTCCGAGGTTGGAGAGAAGGGCCTTCCGAAGAGTGCTATGAAATATCTCGCTGCCATCCAGAAGGAGGCCGCTCTCCGCCGGGAACGGCATCGCAGCAGCACTGCGTCCCTGAAGGTCGGCTCGGGAGGCGACAGCGCCCCGGTAACACCAGCCAAGAGTAGAGCAAACAGGGAAAACGGGCTCGAGACGCCCGGCAGCCAGCAGGGCACGCCGCGGACAAACGACGAGTCGCAGGACGACGAGGAAGACGACGCGCCCAAGCATCTTCTTTTTGATCCGTCTCTCATGCTGCCGTTCACGCTGCCCAGTGTTACCGACATGCTCATCAGCTACGGCGCCGGTTTCGGTGGCATGAACCGGGAGCGTGAGCGGAAGTACATCCCCACGGTTCCGCCCGAATTCTTGGATAGGCTGGAGACGACGGGTGCCAAGAAGGGCCCCATGTTTGGCGAGAAGGATTGGGAAAATGAGGAGGTTTGAAGAACAGCCAGCTAGCCGTTGGGAAAGCGAGGTGAAATCATCATTTGGGCCTCAATCCTGCACGAGGGGCATGATGTCTCAAGTGTCGCCAACCTGCAGAAAACACCGGGTTTGTGGCAACGTCGGGCACCGGATGAGAAATGATGAAAAGGGCATGATAGACTTTCTTTTTCTATTTCTCTACTTTCTCCCCATGTAGACAGACGCACAATATGCAAGGGATGGGTTCGGTCATGGAGCTGGGTTCGGCATCCAGCATGCAAGCTGCAAGGGACAAACAGTTGGCGACGCGCAAACGGGCGGGACTGGATGGCGGTATGCATGTGAGGCAAAGTTGGGCCGTGAGACGGGCAGACGAGGCATCAGAACGACAAATCAGCACTCGGGGCAGGGAAGTGCCAAGCGGTACCTGGCAGCATCACGGGAAGAGGTGCTGGGATCTGGAGTCCAAATACAATTGAACACGACATTACCTAGGTATTCAGAGGGGGAAAATGCGAAAAAAGCAAATGCCAAAGCGGATGCCCGAGGCTGTACTCGTGGCGTTGTCTGTCGCGAGTCACACACCTTCAGACTCTTGAGACCCTGGCCTTCCCTCCCATGCTGCGTACAGGCCAAGCCCGTGGCATCCATCCATGCCATGGTTCGTCTGCTGTCGATTGTGGAGTCCAATAGATCAGCTAACGGATGCTCTGCACAAATTCCCGGTGCGCCCAACGAGGGCACCAGATTTCCAGACCAACCCCAATATGGCGCGGAGGAATTGCGTGCCTAAAGATGCGTTGGCTAAATTGCCACGTCCTGGTCGCTCCAATCACGCTCCCCAATGCTGAAGGAAACTTTTTTGTCCCGTTTGGCTAGTATGGGTGTATTGAGTCGTGGCAACCCACATACATGCCACACCAGATAGGCCCCCAGGTAGTTAGTTGTTGACTCGTTCTAGACGTGGTGCCAGCCAGCCATCGTCGAAACTAGGTAGGCCGCGCTCTACGGCGGGCCAGACGTCAGGCAGTGAAACCCCCACTCTTTTTAATGGGCGTACCCTGCCGTACCTGCTGTATTGATAGCTACCTAAACAATAACATGGGGATAGAAGACAACCGCCGGCAGTTGTGCTTGTTTATCACGGCGTGGTGTGAAAGTTGACTTGCCACAACATAGAGTAAATCCTCTCCCGCCCCTACGATGCAGGGATGGAAACCAGGGCCAAGGCAGCCCCCGCTGGTTCCCAGGTACGGAATAGCCTCACGTCATGGTAGTCACGTGCTCTCGCTGGGATGTCCTACCAGACCCAAAGCAAGGCGCAAAGCCATCACTAGGTAGGTTATTTCAGGTGCCTGTATATGAGTCGTAGAGAGAGGCCAGGATAGTTTTGACACTGACTTGAAGGTTGGTTGACATGGTCTAGACTCTAGACACGGGATTCCCATGTGGCAAAGGTCAGGCGGGGGAGAATTAATATACACGTTGACCAATGTAGGGTGAGTCTATATAGTCCAGTGTGAGTATGGCACGGTTGCCCCTCCAGCGTGCCGTAGTGTGACAGTGGGGTGTCCAATTCAGGCAAGAAGCGGAACAGATGGAAAGCGGTGGGATTGACACATCAGTTGAGGGGAGGATACACGTGGAGAAGGGGAAAAGGAAGCACGGAGGAATGCTTCCAGACAGAAAGAATAAACTGGCCCCTTTTGTCCGGCCTCCCGCTCTTGTTCTCTTTTCCTGGAAAACTGTCCTTCGAAGCTCTAGCTGTGCCCGGTTATCAATTCGAGGTAGCCCCCTCAGTCGGACATTTTCAAAGCACCTCACCACTTAGACGAACCTCAACTCGGTGGGGGCTCTCACCACTGCAGACACTCGCTCGCCTGGGTATCTCACCCAGTCAAGGCTCCCCTGTCACTAGTCCTCTGTCGTCCGGTCGCCTGGTCGTGGGTGTCGAACACCAAGCAACAGTTGGCGCCGTTGGCTGAATCCCTGACCACTGCCGTCGCCGCCGATTCGCAGTATCATTCTTTGACAGCAACTTTGCGGCCATGGCTCCCCGCAAGTTCGCCAGCGTCAACCACAAAACGAGGCCGGCCGGTCGAATGGCCCCGTTCAGAGACGACACCAACCTGGTTGCTTTTCGATATGAGCAGACCAAGCAGGCGGAACCTCCGATTCCATTCCCTCCTCCGAGGAACCCTCTACGGGGGATACGCCCTCGATCATCCGTCACCACCGCAACCTCTCCCATCATCATCCCTCCTCCTTCGGCAGCTCCACCCCAAGAGCAGCACCCCATGTTTCGCACCCAGCATACGCCGGTAGAGCGGTCCGATACGTGGAAGCGGGATTCTGGCCTGGCACCTACCTCATCGTCCGTGACGATCCGCGTGGATTGTGACGACGACTACTTCGGCGAGAAGGTTGTCGACGAGCTTCGCGGCACGACCTCTCTGGACGTCGGCGACGACAAGTTTACAGTGCGGCAGAAGGATCAATCCCATCTCCCTCCTACATCGCCGCTCATTGCAGAGTGTGCTCAGGAAGCGGAGCTGGTTCTGCCGACACGCACAAACTCTGCTTCAAAGAGGTTAGCAAAGGCATTTGGAATGCGGAGCTCAAATTCCACAAAACGGTTGAAGAAGCGGGGCGGGGATGACAAGGTTGCATCGCTGGTGTCCGCGTGGGGCTCGCTAAAGTCTAACCCCGTGTCGCCTAAATCTCCCAGGTCTCCCACCTCGCCCACCTCGCCCATTCAGGAGCCGCCCCAACGACCGCCAAGACCTTCGGAAGGCTTGCAACTCCTTTCGCCCCTACAAATGGAGACCACGTTCAGCCCCATCACCACCCCGATCCCCACCGACAGCCTCTTGGACGAGGAGCTTAACCAGCTGTCCTTCTCGAAACGGGGCAGTATTATGTTCGGCGGGAAGCGCCCATCCGTCGGATTAGCCCAATCCTTGATGGACAAGTTCAATGAAAGGACATCATCATCATCCCTGGATAACACCAACAACCACCACCACCATGGCGACGCGACAAACTCCCAGGAAGGATCGTCGAGGCCGAGGCCGATACCGAACATCAGGCTGCTGCCGGTAGATGTAGAGAGGGATTCACAAAAGGTGAGATCGCTCTATGATTCCGGCGAATGCCTCGATTGGAGAGAGGGGGGCCGAGCTCCAGCTCTTGCTGGCCGTCTCGCGCCCGCAGAGGATGCCCCAGCAGACGAGGGAGAGAATGTCGCGTATGGATTTCCTTGGCTCTCTGACATCTCGTTCCCCCTTTCTAATCCAATGCTGACCATGCCTGAACCCCGTAACACAGCGCTTCTCACCAACCAGCCCAAGAAGCCCCTACCACGCATACTCCACTTCTCGGTACGCCACGTGCGGCCAATTCGTCGCTGCGACGAGATAGCGCGGCGCGGAGGGAGTTTGAGCTGGCCGGCGGCCTGGAGGACTGGGAGGATGTCGACGGCGCGGATGTCGATCGCTACGGTTTTATCTGTCCCAAGGGGTCAGGATCGAGGGCGGAGGCCGCACTGTCGAAGCCTTCTGAAGAACAGTCGGGGCCCGCGAGGAAGAGGAACGTCCTATCTAAGAGACCCGGAACGTCGAATTCGGCCGCGGGCTTCGCGCCGGCGCACGAATCCGGCCGCAATGTCTCGGCACGCTCGTTAAACACGCAAACATCCGAGTTCTCGACCGCCTCGAGGCGGTCGGCCCGATTGACGATACGTCAGGCCACGAATCGACTGCCGCACAACAAGGAGAGGAGGTGGATGGACGAGGCCGGCGAGATGCTCAGCCTCGCGCCCGGTCTATCCGACATCGTCGAGGACGAACATGCCGGCAAGCTCGCCGAGGCCTCGAAGCGGAAAGAGTCGGAGCGGGCCGAGAAGTGGAGGAAGATGGCGAAGGTGATCAAGAACGGCAAGGACGGCGAGGGCATGGAGTTCGAGTTCGACACCAAGAGCCAGAAACTGGTTGACCGGACCTGGAAGGGCATCCCCGACCGATGGCGGTCTGCGGCCTGGTATTCCTTCTTGGCCACTAGCGCCAAGAACAGGAGAAGTAAGGAGACGGACGAGCACCTCGTTGCCGAGTTCCACCGCCTCCAGGACACGAGCTCGCCCGACGACGTGCAGATCGACCTCGACGTCCCGCGGACGGTAAACAGACACTTGTTGTTCAGGAGGAGGTATCGGGGTGGCCAGCGATTGTTATTCAGGGTGCTGCACGCCATTGCACTTTACTTCCCAGAGACTGGCTATGTACAGGGTATGGCGTCACTGGCGGCCACGTTGCTTTGCTACTACGATGAAGAGAAATGTTTCATCATGATGGTGCGCATGTGGCGATATCGCGGCCTCGAGCGACTTTACCAGCATGGTTTCGATAGCCTGATGGATGCCTTGAAAGACTTCGAACAGCGCTGGCTGGGTGGAAGGGCCACCGCTCGTAAGCTGGTAAGTTCACAGTCTAGGTAGCCTTTGCGATGTCTTCACGTCACTAACCCTCTCTGCCTTAGGCCGAGCTATGCATCGACCCGACGGCATACGGCACCCGCTGGTACCTTACGCTCTTCAACCTCTCAATACCTTTCGGGGCTCAACTACGGGTCTGGGATATCTTCATGCTCCTCGGCGAGGCTAGCCTGGAACCGCCAAGTGCCGGTACGTCGGACCTCGGGAAGGGCAAGGAGGGCAAAGAAGGCAGAGAGGAAGACCCCTCCGCCTCCCTCGACATACTCCACGCGACGAGCGCCGCCCTGATAGACGCGCTGCGGGAGGTCCTGCTGGACTCGGACTTCGAGAACGCCATGAAGGCCCTGACGTCGTGGATCCCGATCAAGGACGAGGAGATGTTGATGAAGGTGACCCGCGCGGAGTGGAAGCGGCACCAGGGCAAGAAGAAATCCTAGCCAAAGGCGCGCGCGCGAGCCGCCTGCTCCAACTTCGTCATCCAGCCTCGACCTGAATCGGCGGCCTGCGATCTCTCTCTCTCTCCTTTGTAACTTCCCCTTTGTCATCGGTGACGGGCAAGGCGTTCCTGGTCTCAATACCCTGGTTTTCCTTTCCCGTTTCGATGGCTTCATCGGTCTCGGACGGACGAAAAGTTTCCTTTGTTGGATTTGCTTCCTGGGTGCGGCGGCGACAGCCGAACAGAGCTTTCTTTCGGGTATTGTGACTCGAGTCGAATGAAATTGTACTGTGCGATCCCTATGATACCCTGCACTTTTCTCGGGATGGGGAGACGTCTTGGTGGGGGAATGGGAGGGTGTGAGTGATTACAGACTATACAAATTGGTGTCCTCCGGTGAACTGCTCCGGGGCAACGAACGGAAAGCGATACGCCTAAGGACGAGAATCAATCGATCGCTATTGCTCTCTCATATCTGTGATCCATGAAGCCATTGGCATCACCATCCTTCCTATACGGGGTCGTCAAGTACGAAGCACGAAGTGCGCTCCAAGGCGCCATAGCCTCCCATGTGCAAGGGGATTGGGCACGTAGTATCAAGACTCTCGGTGAACTTATAGAAAACCTGCCTCAGCGAGATAACTCGTCTGTGACGCCCAATTGTGAGAACTTGGTATAAGACCGGAAGGAAATACAGGGGACATGGAAAGTGTCGCCCTTTTGACAGGGCCTGCTGCAGATATCAATCCCCTCTACTATTACTTTGCTGGTATCATCACTCCGTATGCCTATCCACATAGATATGACTCTCCCGACGAGCTTGAGGAACAAGGGATCCATCTAGTCGTTAGGGAGGAGAGATATCGGTAGCCGAACGACGGCCGAATCTCGGTGCCCTTGATGAATTGAATCCGACCCCTTGCCGGTTGACAGATCGGCCTTGTCCGCGGCCTGGATGTTGGTTTGACCCCCAATTCCCTTCGATTGTAATTATTTTCCTTTTTATTATTACTATTATTATTGTCAGAAGATAGGTACAGTACATTCTGTCTTTTCCCCCAAATGATTCAGCGAAGCGTGGATATTTTGTTGCAAGTGATATGTGGTTGGATGTCTCAGGGGTAAGAGCAAAAAACCATCTCATCCGATCCGCAACTAAACCTCATCAAGGGCCGAGAACACATACCGCTATGGTCAACCCATAAATCTACTATACAAGTGAAAATAGCTAGGGAATTCCTTTTTGGGTAGTTCGCCGCCTGCAGTCTCGAGCTCCCATCTTGATGTAAAGCCGATATATGAACCCCCCGGCAGGCTATTCGGACAGGAGGAACAACATACTCTCGGAAGATTCCCTCGAACAGCTAGGTCTATGGGGTGGAACAAGACAAGACTCCGCTTCCAATGGGTGTAGCCTTCCGTCGAAGCCGTTACGATCAATCACTGCCAAGTTCTAGAGCCAAGTCGAGAGTTCCCCTGGTCCTTGCCACGTCACGGCTTGAACTAACGATAGGCCAACTCCTTTGAGCCAGGATTAAACCGGGAAACCAGAGACAGGCTCGGCGGGCGCTTAAGCGGAACCTTACAGAATATAAGCGGCTCAAAACGACGTAGTGGTCGACGTAGTGGTCCCCGGAGGGAGATAGGTACCATGGCCTACCCAGATTAAGGTTGACTATATCTGGGACAGAATAGCCTGTGACATTTCCAACCCGCCTGCCCCTTGCATGATCCTCGAGGTACGGACGTGGCGCAGCGAGGGGAGGTTGGGCCTCCGAAAGGTAAGTGCTCAGCGGACACAGTTACGAAATGCCAGGTCTGAAGTGCAGACTCGGCCCCGCAGCGTCGCATCAGAACACATCTCATGTACGCCCGTACTGGGACATGAGGTAGCATTGCAGTCTGAGGTGAGAGACCATTGCCGTGCTTCTCGGTGAGCGAGTCTGACTTTTCCAGCATGCACATGCGGGCGAGAGAGGCCGGGTGAGACCCCCAAATTCCCAGGGGCAACCCTTACCCGCGAGAACAACGGGTCCCGGTCCCAAGATGGAGGAGCTTCCCATTTCGAGACCAAAAACGGTCGCGCCTGAAAGACGATGGGAGGTGCGGGAAAGCTGGACAAGGGATAAAAATAAACGCCGGCATCGCACCCGCAATCACGGAAAACGCGCCTAGGGAGCCTATGCGAATACCTGGGGGGCATGGGGAAGGGAGAAAGGGGCCGGCAAGGGGAAAGACGCTCGCCAGTAGGCCTGAGGAAACGCCGTAGCGAGCGAGGGACCACTCGTCATTTTGGCTGCAGGGTAATATCGAGCCGTCCTCCTGCAAGTCATAGTGCTTGCACAAACAAGTGTCTGAGAGGACAGTGGAGACACACTGTCCGGCCTCTTAAGCCTCTTTCCATCCTTCGTTTTTTCCCGGATCCAACGGCACACACCCCAATCATGTCGGCTTGGAGTGCCGCACGGCCAGCCCAGCCTGGCACTGACCTTGGCACGGCACGATGAACGGCTCCTGGCGCGAGGGTTCATGGCGGGATCGACCCGATTTTGGTCGGCGACAATTCAATCGGGCATAACTTCGGCGACTGGGACAGACAGGCGCCCAGACTTATTAGGGTTAAGAGAGTTATGTTAGGACGGATCCATGCCCGGAGAGGCTCCATGGGGGAGAGTGTATCCAAATTTGGAAACCTCCCTTTCGTCCCGTCTCTCTCCACAGACAAGCAAATAAACAAAACAAAGCAAAAGGAAGGAGAAGGAGAAATGAAACCTCCTAAAAAAGCCCCTATATTGATTTTTGTGAAGCCGGCATTGACAGAAGCACTGGAGAAATCTCGGAAAATTCCAGAGATGAGAAAGCAGGCCGAGGCGGAGACCAGGGGCGCAGGAGGAATGCAAATACCGTGCCGTCAATTTTGATCGGAGGGGGAGAGTGCTTCCAAATTGTCTGGTACTAAAGATCTGCCTTCTGGAACCGTGTATGGTGTCATTTCTCACGACCACGGTGCCGTGTGTCGATCGCCTCATATCCGCCCTCTTTATTTTATTTTTTAATATTTCTTTAGTCATTCACTCAGCCGCCAATGAACCCGTGGAGCGAGGGATGAATGGGCGTATTTGGCGCCGTCCTATGATAACAGGCTCGCTATTATGATCAGCTATGGGGGTGACGTCCCGCGCACGATGGCATTGAAGTGCAAAGCACAGGCAGGACGAAGCGACGAGGGAAAGGGGACCCGACCGACGCCGCAGCATATTTGGTGAGACGAATTCCAGGTCGCCGATCTGGCGGCATGTGCACAGCTTCTGGAGCTGAGTCCATGTACGCTCAGGCACCGGCGAGGATGTTGACCCGTTGGTTCGTCCCCTGACCAGAACCAAACTCTCAGGAGGGTGGGGGGGGCATTTGGCCAAGCGACGCGTATGTGGCCAAGCGACGCGTATGAAGTCCATCTTTCCGCAATTCGGAGCCGAACAGGCTCCTCGGTTCCAGGTACGGCAGAAGAGCTAAAAAGACGCGAGGGTGTAGGTCGGTCGGGCTCTGGGGCGAACTAATTATACCTTCCAGGGTCCATGCGTTTCCAATACCCAACCCAGTTGGTCTGTGGACAGCACTTTATCGTATCCGGCGTTCCGCTCAGACGCTTGTGCCGCCGCAAATCGCTTCTGGTGTCATGGGTCTCGACAAGGCGCTTGGAAGAAAGCGTTGTCGAGCAGGCGAGCAGGGGCGCTGGGGGCAATTGTTTATTTTTTGACGAGCTGGCCAATGTTTGGCCAGGTCTGTGCGGCAGGCCGGCGCCTGCGCAGCCCTATATTAAGCAACGCCATTCCGTTTCTGGCCAACAGGCGCGGGTGAGGCTGCTTTGTCAGCCAATGGAGGGTTAGATACCGTAGGTTTCAGTCTCGGTTGGCGAATCAGAAAATTACCCGATGGCCCACATGGAGTGATACCGTCTTACAGTAGATCTTGGCCGAACAAGAATAGAAGCCGTTGCGCCCTTGCCTTTTTCAGATTCTGTCACAAGATCTGTGATCGATTCAGAGCGGCAGAGGCGCTAGGAAAAACGACTACTCATTACTGCCGGTCCTGTGAGTCCTGTGACCTTGTCGTCAAAAATCCACCCTCCCCTGTCTGCAGCCTCGGTAATGTGCGAGGAATACGGTGTACCTAGTAGCATCGGGGACCTCACGTCATCTGAAACCAGCTTGTCAGCCCTGTTCATCACCCCAGATCCAATAACAAGCGAAATAAGGTCGCACCCAGTACGGATAACAGTGTATCATATTGATAAAGATCGCTGTTGGGTCAGGGAAGCCAAGCTCTCTGGGTTTTGTTGCGTTGTTAATTAGTGTAGAGCCATTGGGCTTCCTTCATTGCCTCGTCGACGGAAGGGGTATCGAAGTATATACACGCCCCAAATCTACTAAACCGCGCCAGATATAATAATACCAGAGGGTTTAAGAAAAAGGAGAGAAGAAAGATCCATCGTTTTGCTCCTTGCCATCCAATGTAAGCGCATAGCCAGCGTGTCCCGTGAATAAAAAAGAAGAAAACATCTAGATATACACACACATCCAAAACTAATACAGGTAAATACATATGGGTCGAACGGAAAACCGGTAGGAACCTGGCACAGAGGCCGAGGAAGATGCGATCCCAATGCTGATGCCAATGTGTGCTGTGTACGCGCCAATTGCCCTAGTTTTGAAGGCAACACAGTCCGTAAAATGCCAGAGAGGTAAGTCATGCCAAATTGTGCTCATTATCCTGCTGGATATGCCTCAGTAACCCACCCCTGTTCCTTGCCTTTTACGCAGTAGTGTACGCCTAAGGACTGGAAATCAGACCGAGGTGGGGCTCGTCGCGAAACAAAAATCGAGCTAAACCAGGGGGGCGTTGAGAAAAAGAAAAGAAAAGAATGGTGAAACGTGCACCCTCGAATGAAACTCCAGCTAAATCTTGTCGCGTTATTACGTGGCAGGCGCTCCACCACGCGACTGGTCTTCCGATAGCCGAGGTGGACTTCTTCGAGCCTTGTCGTCGTAAGATGCCATTTTCCTCGAAACCGGTGGCGGCGGCGGTGGCGGTGGCGGGTAATGCCTCGGCTGCGGCGCCGGTGGATTGTCCGCCAACAACGACGAAACAGAATGCGCGGCGCTTCGGGCTTGACCAGGTTGCTGTGACGAGGATGAGGATGAAAACGGCTCGCCGCTCTCGCGAACTGGGGGAGGCCCGGACGTGTGTGTTGGCGAGTCCCCTCGGGGTGGTGCTGATCGATAGATTTCAAGATCGCTCTTCTGTCTCGAATGCCCTCGTCGTCGTCGCGGGGGGGTTGACAAGTGCGCGGTTTGGGTGGGCGGAGATCTCAGACGCTGTGCCGCGCCTGGAGCGGGCGCTGCTAGCTGCGGGCCTGTCGCCTTGCGCTTCCGCGGTGATTCCACTGCAGGCGTGAATTGGTCACGTTAGCCCCCCGCCTCCAAAAATTTCTCAAGAGCGTGATCTCGTCTTGGACGAACCTGACGGTGTGGCGGGTCGATGAGACCCTTCTGTGGACCCCCCCGCCTGGGTCGCTGGAGGCTGCCAATGGTGGAAGTATATGGTCGGCGAAGGCTGCGGTTCTTGTTGCTGCTGCACGGAGCCCATGATGGGGTGCGATTGTGCCCCGATTGCCCCTCTAGCGCTGGGGTGAACGTTGGTGTTCAGCGTCGGTGGATTTGGGCCTCCAAGCGGGCGAGCCATTGGTCCAGGCATGCTCTGGCCCCTGGGGCGTGTCGGAGAGCCCGGGTATGCAGACACATATCCACTAGACGGTCCCTGGGCCGATCCCGGCGTTGAAGGGACGCCGGGGCCCGGGTAGTGGCCAGGCGGCTGCGCCTGAGAGTCGCGTCGGTGGTGCGCTGGTGGTAAGGCCCCGGCGGGTACGGGAGCGGGTGGCTGGGGTTGCTGGCCCTGCGGATATAGATACTGCTGAGCCCAGTCCATGGCCGCCTGGGGAAGAGTTCCGCCGCCCATCCCAGCAAACACAACGGGGATCATTGGTGGAGGGATGCCGCCCTGCAGTGATGTCCGGAGCATGTCGTGCTCCAACCTCCTCTGCTCGAAACGATAGCTCTCCTGCCGAGTCTTTTCTTCCTCCTGTTTCCGTTTCTCCTCCTCCGCCTTTGCTATGAGGTAAGTTCTCATGGACTCCTCGGTGACCTGCTGCCACGAAGGGGGCGGGGGGAATTGCCCATGCGCCTGGGCTTGCGGATGATGAGGTTGCGGAGGACCTTGTCCCAGCGGTGCACCGGGCGGAGGCGGCTGCTGCGGTGGTGCCAAACCTGGGGGCGGCTGTTGGGCATGGGTCATGATCGCCGGAGGTGGCAAGCCGCGGTGAGGCGCGGACATGGGCTGGTGTGAGGGGCTTCTGCTGCGAGGGACTGCGGGAAGAGCTTTCTGGCTGGGTTCCTGAACTATCAAGGGGGGGGAGGGTCGGGATGTGCTCGGCGGTGTTGGTAGATCATGGACGAGTCTGTAGCCGAAGTGTGCTGGCTGGTTGATGGTGAGCATCCTCGTGTAAGTCGACGGAGGGAAGAGAACGGGAAGACGCGACGTGAGGAGGTTTAAAGGGAAGGCACAAAGGAAGAAGGTTGGAAGGTCTGTTATTGGAACAAGACCGGGGGGTGGGAGGAATGTGGGGGGGGGGGAACAATATATGAAAACAGAAGCCTGAAGGAGTGCCAAGGCTTTGAAGAAGAACAAGAAGCAAAAGGCTTAACAATAGGGAAGGTAAGAAAAAGTGAAAATAAATCAACCTTTTTGCAAAGAGAAGCTGGAGGTGGCGGGCCAGCCCAGTAGTAGTGGGGAGTAGCTATGAGGGAAACGGGCGGGGCGTGTGGTGATGAAACGTCGAATAGAGAACGCCCACCCTCATTTGGCCATTGGTGCGGGATGGGGGAAGGCAAGAAGCTTGCCCAGGTGGGAATGGTGGAGTTGGCCGATGTCCTAGGATGTCCAAGGCAAGTAGTAGAGAAAGACCCCGGAGCGGCGCGGGAGAGGCGAGGGGAGCACCCTAGCTATGTAAGGTAGGAGGTACCTTAGATAGATATAGGTCCGAACTGGTGATGGTCAGCCAGCCAGATGTGTCTGGCCCAAGAACCAGTGGTGGGCAGTGACTTAAAGACGTGAGGACGGGAGAAGGTAAATTTGGAATATGATGACAGGGTGTTTTTTTTTTTTTTACCTCCCTCCCTCTTCCCTCTTTTGCTTTTGTTATTGGTTTTTATTTTTTATTTTTTTATTGATTTCCCTGCTTGTGTCCCGGTTCGTTTAGGCAAGCAGCGGAGCGGAAACAACGACGTTATTTCATTTGGAGGCAGCGCGTATCAGAGAAGTGATTGACACAAGGATGCTAGGGGATCATGCCCGGGAGGGTACACAGAACCGCCCTTGGAAACCCAGCCTGAACCTGGATCTGGGGGCGTGGAGCTTGGGCTGACTGGAGGAGAGACGACAGTCGGGAGACTAACAGAAGTCGTGACAAAGGACAAGTATAAAGTGGTTTGGCAGCAGAGCGAGGGGAAGCAAATAAGACATGGAGAAGAGAAGAGCAGAAAAGAGTGGATAATGGCTTCAGCTAGGTTCCTGCTCGTCCACCTGCCTGCCTGTCTGAAGTTGACCCAGCTGGTTGGTGTTTGAGCGCGCAGACAGATCTTCCAGACCACCGGGATGACAAGGCTGTCCACTTGTCGCTGGCGAGAGGCGGAAGAGCAAGGTCAGCTTTTTTAGGTCAGATTCGTTTTTCTTTTTTTTCCTTTTCATATATTTTCCCTTTTCTTTTTTCTCTCCCCCCCTTTCCTCTTGTTGCAAGTTACAGGCTTGGACCGTGTGAGGATGGGGGAACGGGCACAGGGTCCAGACAGGGGAGGGGTTTTTTCCTGGGCGTGTGTGCATGTTCGAGTGCGAGTGCTTGTGTGTGTGTGTGTGTGTGCGCGTGTGTGTGCTCTCTCGTCGATGCAGGGTAGATCCTTAGACGGGACAGGAAGAGGCAGGGGTTGAAGCAACGAATCAAGGCGCCTGTAGGGGGTGTAAGTAAGGCGATGGGTCTTGACGGGTCCAGACGCATCGCAGAATGCGCCCGCATCCACACATGAACGAGAGGAGCCCGACACGCGGTGGTTAGCACTAGGCTTTTGCCAGACGCATGAGCTGCCTAATGCAGTCGAGACACGAGGAGGACGCGCCTGCAATTTGGGTCAGAGAACCAAGGTAAAGGCAATAACAGGCGGACGGGGGGGTAGTAGGATCCGGCCGGGAAGAGGAGACAGACTGTTGGCCTTGTCCATCATCGTATTTCCCGCTTTAAGGTTCCCGTCCACCAGTGCGTCTAAGGCGTTGTGACATTCCGAGTTGGTCTGTCCCGCATGGAAAGCACGGTTGGTCGATTAGTGAACGCGGTAAATTCCATAAGCGGTTCGCGTATGTAGGCGCGAATGGTGGGCGGAGACGCAGTTCGCGATGATCGAGCCGGTCTAATGGCGAGCCAGGACGTGTCTCCATCAGCGGCTGGTGTGTGTGTGTGTGTGTGTGTGTGTATGTGCGTGTGCTGGGGTCTGGTGCGGGCTGGGATCAAAGCAAGAATAGATGAAGGTCCCTGCCCAAGCAAATGAAGACAAGCCGAGAACGGATTATGTGTGTCTCGGCGGCTGGACAAGTTGGGCGTGAGGAATGAGGAGACTGAATGGTAGCACCGTTCAGAAATAGAATCCTGGCTTGTTGACGGCAGGCAGCGCAGGGGGGAACCAACGAAACAATGGAACCGATCGCGCTTCCAGCCCGCGGCTCGTTACGTAGGTAGGCAGGTACCTGCAATTGTCACCTCGATCAACCGTACAAGGCTCGGAGCCAGCAATACCTAGGAACTCGGGAAATGGCCTAGATTGGCATTCCCGCAGCGGCGGGCCGAGTCCCTCGCCATGCGTTCTAATTAGGTAGGTATTTCTGTCCTGCTTTCTGCATTCTGCCTTTCGCGGTCTCTTGTCAGAGACATCGGGGGCTAGGATGGAAGTCAGATAGGCGATCCTAAAGCGGTAAGGGCAATGATTTGGGGACAAGTGCACGAGCAATTATTAACTTGGACTGTGTACGAAGTACTTCGCAGTGTGGTTGGATTTGGAATGGGCACTCACTGGCTGGCATAAACCCGGAGAGGCAAGTTAAGGATGGGTGGGGTGTGTTAGGGTTTGTGCCATGTGAGTTGTGGCTGTGGCTGAGGACGGCCATCATCCCTGCTCGCCAGTAGGACCTTAACTCGATTGAGATCATCTCGACAAGGTTAAGCAGGAAACGGAAGCTTCCGAGGCATTTGAGTGCGTCACAAGCTTTCCATCGAGAACTTGAGATCTTTGCCGTCGTCATTCTTCCCTCATTCAAGGATTCAAATCGATCTTGACAATTTTGACAATTTGACACTGGACGCGAAACCAAGCCAAATCTAGATCTGCTGGCGCTTGGACGACAGGATGGCTATCGCTGTACCCGGCCTGCAGCTCGCCAGCACTATGGGCCCGCGAGGATGCTAGAAACGGATACCATCTCCGCGCAAATGCATTTGCTCCCCAAGCCCCATTCACTGCCATATAATGATTACTAATAGTGATTATTACACTATGCAGGTGGACAAGCAGCTGTCGGGTGTCAAACGCATAATAAGTTTGGTTTCGCTCTGCTTTAATCTGTGTCTTGACGTCGTCAGAATCAGGACAGCTGAACTGGGGTAGTGAACCGTGACTAGCCCGTTCGTGGTCCTGGCGCGGCAAAGAACCAGAGATTGTATTCTGTGGTTGAACCCAACTAGTCTGAGTCGTTTGCATACCCTGGACCCCTGGGGTCATGGGTGGTGGTGTGGGTGTCAAAGCTTGTTGGCTCCCTTGCCTGCCAAACCAGCCTGGCAATAACATACTGTAGGGATTTAATAGTTGGTAGGTATCCGTAGGTAGGTGGTTGTTCTAGGGTGTTTCGTTGAGTAGGCATCTACTAGGGTTAGGGTTACCGGTAGTAGCTCTCATGCAGCCTAGGACGATGGACTGTATTGGTCTAATGCGCCGTGAATGCCTGCATAGGAATAACCACCGAACCCAATGAACTTGAAAACCCAGCTGCCGAGTTAGCTGACACCAAGCAGTAGCTAGCTCAAGTGATGAGAAATCTGGTCTCTGCATCAAGGCGGCCGACTGTCCCTTCCTTTCCAGGGGCTGACACCGCTTCCTTTCAGGGAAATTCAGCCCCTCACAGAAAAGGCCACCCCATGGCCATGCATAGGTAGACCGTAGTGGCGCCCATGGCGCCATGGTGGCCCAGGACATGAAACAAGGTTTAGTGGGCCCAGATCATTTGGCCAAACAACCTTGGGTACGTACAGTACGATCCTACATGGCCCGTGCATCTTACACCATGTCGACACTCACCCGCTGGTATCCCAAGCTTGATTTTATGCCCGAATAGATTGCTGGATCGAGAGTCGGGTCGGCCAATTAATCTCCATGACAGGAGATAGCAGCATTAGCAGGATCAAGACTCCAGGTTGGCATGTACTTGCTGCCAAGGTCGGGGGGGAGGGACGTTTCTTGTGAACGAACGCCTTGGCGGTAAAAAGAGGCAGAATCGGGCGCACGGGCGAATATTGTATGCGGAATGCGCCGGCGATGATACCCCATTCAAACTCCTGTGTCAAATTACGGTTCCCATCGAATCGAGACACACTCCAGATTTAGCTTATTATTTTTGGATCCCCACTAAAAAAGAAGCTCGTCAAGCGTCTGGCGCGATGTCACACCGTGCGAGTTTTCCATCCTGCTGTTATTGCTTTTGGGTCAACTGAATCTGCCAAGTTAATATTCCCCTGCCGATTTTTTTCGTTTCCTCCCAATCTGAGAGCACAAGAGCAAAGCCATGCATAGTTAGCCCGAGAGATGGGGTAGACAACGTGTGGACGGCATACATGGAAGGGTTGTCGCAAAACGTCCGGTTGGTGAAAAGCATCCATGTTCGTCCTGAAAGGGGACATCAAACTCGCGATCGGTCTGTTGGGAACCTCTGGCAGTCCAGTGCAGTGCAACCCCCGGCGGTGGCGCCTCTCGATGTTCTCTTTTAGGCCTTGTGCAGTCACTAACTACAGCGCTGGCTGCATTTTTGGGGGGGGAGGGGGGGATTTGGGACGGGGCACCAAGGCCGCCCAATTGCTTCTCGAAGGAACGCCATGCAGCCTGCAGACAGCTGTGAGAGACCCCATTGGGGGGGCAACCGTATGTACATTCTTGCCGTGCATGCTAACGGTGCTGAGTGCTATGCGCATACATGCGTATATACTGCCCCCCGGTCATCTCGAATATATATTTGCCCTTCGAAGCTTGAACCATGATGTGGAGCCGGTCAAGTGGTATCTCGTATTTCGCCGAGATATATCTTGATCTCCTTGATAGAGGGAGGACAGCTAAGAGGCCCCATGCAAGTCGCAATAAAATAAACAAAGCGAGCGAGCGAGGGTGCGCCGTGATGCCGAGCCCAGAGCTTCCAGAAGAAATCGAGTGGCTGGTTGATCGGACTTCCGAGAGGCAACCTGGGGACGTCTGAAAACAAGCTACGGCCAGTGGCCGAGAGCTGCATACATGATGTGTTCTGCCGTATCGTCGAGGGAATCAGAGAAGAGAACGGAACACGGCATATATATATACACACACACATACAATATGAACCCGGCGTCTAGCTTCGACGATGGGATGGATGATGGTTGCTCAACACTCGTTCTTCAACCAGGGCGGCGGGATTCGCTAACCCTCCCACCATCCCCCCCCCCCGCCGTATGCCACTTGCCTCCCGTCTGCGGCGAGAAGCAAAAAGGAATGGAAAGGATGCAACCAACGAACTCCATGTAGGCACCCTTCCCACAACGTCTCCTGTTTCCCGCCCCCCCTTCCCCCCATGCGCTCCTTTTCCTCCGCGTCGCCGCAGGGCTTCCAAAACTGCTCTGGAACCGGCAGCTCGGGGTGGCTGCCTCGAACTGCCTCGACCTGCCTGCTGGTTGAAGGGTACTGTGCACATTAGCTTGCTTGGCCATGGGTGTCGCAGCGTCAAGCGGATAGCTATGGATTTGTCCAAAAGAGAGCCCCGGGCCGGGGCAGGGAAGGGAACGAAGCCGTGCTCTACGTCGTGTTGTGTTTATTGCACATGTCTTTAGTTTATCTCTTCAATCTTCTCCCGGACCCCTGAACACGAGCAAGTTGCATCGCCTTCTAGAACCAGTAGGAGTAGCTCCACCCCCAAAGTAGATCCATGAGAGTGTGGCCACCGGCGACATGCCGCTGACGGTGTTCAAAATCTATCTGCAAATATGATACGCTACATGGGCAACCCATCCCATCCATCCGCCCGCGCAAAATATCATCCAGGACCGCATATATGTATACGTCTCTGACCCCAGTGCCCCTATTTTTGAGCGTCGCTTGTCCAAATAATCGAAATCCCGGGGCCCCCAGGTATAATCAACAAAAATGGCAGTGCTAGAAAAACCCCGTATCACCAATTCACTAAAATGCTCGATGATTTGTCACATAAATGCATATCAGTCTGTCTCCCCCACTCTTGAGTCCGCTTGGGCCCTCGTCGGTGAGTGGGATATCGTATCGGGCCCCCTCTTATATCACCTACACTGGCGGCGTATCCTCCTGGTTGTCTCTGGCGGCGTCGTTATCTAGGGTTGCACTCTGCCGCGAAGAGTTCTTCTTCAGGAGAACAGACTTGGGCCTCTCTACATTCGTGATGCTGTTTCCTCGGCTCTTTGTCAGTTTCTTTGGTTGACGTTTGGAGGGCGGCGTTTCGCCTGTCGACACTTCTTCAGTCAACGGATTATCGCTAGAAGTCCGGCATGGAGGAGCTGGCTGCTCTGATGGCGTGCTGTGCAGGGCATCGTCCCGAACTGGCATCGAGGATGTGACTCCATTCGTCTCGTTAGTCTCGACGGGTGAGTCTGGATTGACTACCGAGCTGGGAGGCGGATCGCTCGTCCTTCGCTCTTGGAAGTGCTTTTTTATTTCGTTTGTCAACACACGCCAAGCAATTCGGTCTCAGTTAGCAAAAGGTCGGCCTTACCTGAGCATCGATACCAACATAGCTGTCCAGCTTCTTCTTCAGCACTTCCGAGCGAACCGGCTTGGCAAGGTAGTCATTCATGCCTGCAGCGAGGCACTTCTCACGGTCTCCTTGGATGGCGGACGCCGTCATGGCAATCACCAGGATATTGCGCACCGCCTGGTTGGGGTCGGTCCGAATAAGCTTTGTCGCCTCGTAGCCGTCAAGCACGGGCATCTGTACGTCCATGAGAATGATGTGATACGGCAGTCCCTCCTTGGCCTTCGTCCGAAGACCGTCAACCGCCTTCAGGCCGTTGTCATAGGTATCGATCCGGCTATACCCCAGCCTTTGCATATACTGCATCGCAATCTTGGCATTGATCGCATTATCTTCGGCGATGCAGATGCGTAACTGGTCCTTGGGGATCTGGTTGAGGAAGGTATAGACATTCGGGCTGACCGAGTCTACCATCCGCGACCGTGGTTCCGGCAACCGGGGAGGAGGCGTCGTCTGGGCATCGCCCGCCACGACCTCGGGCCGCGCTTTATCGAAGGTAACCGTGAACCAGGCCTTGGTTCCCTGTTGTTCCTGGCTTTCCAGCCGGATCTTGCCCTTCATCATGGTCTCAATCAAGGACTTGCAGATGCTCAAGCCAAGGCCACTGCCGCCGTATTTCCTTGCTGTGCTCGTGTCCGCTTGGCTGAAGGGCTGGAAGAGCTTGGCCATCTGCTGGGTTGGTATGCCGATACCCGTGTCTTGGACCCAGAAGGCCAGCGTCGCCTTCTCCTTCGTTTCCGAGTCAACGCGAGCCCCAATTGTGATCGACCCGTCTTCCGTAAATTTCAGGCTGTTCCCGATCAAGTTGCCGAGCACTTGATGGAGTCGGATGGGGTCGCCGTAGATCAACATGGGCGGCAGGTTGATATCCTGTATGATCTTGACGTTCTTCTTCGAGGCCTTCTCCCGGTTGCTGTACGAGACTGCCCGTACCACCTCCCGGACCATCTCCTCCGGGTTGAAGGCAATAATGTACAGCTTCATCTTGTCCGCCTCCATCCTCGAGAAGTCCAAGATGTCGTTTATCACGGTGAGCAGTAGGTCCGCCGAGACCCTGATCGAGTCCGCCATTTCCTGCTGCTCCTTGTTGAGGTTGCTGTCTCGAAGGAGCTCCGAATTCCCGATGACACCATTGAGCGGAGTCCGCAGCTCGTGGGAAACATTTGCCAGGAAGATGGCCTTTGCCTTCGCGGCCTCTTCGGCGAGCTTTACGTTCCTCTTAGCTTCGGCCTCGGCGTCTTTGGCTTTTGTCTCCGCCTCGATCGCCTTTGCGAGCGCACGCTTCTGGAGGGCGACCATCGACACATTCTCGGCGGAAACCTTTTCGACCGCCTTCATGGCGAGGGCATTCGAATAGCTGATGCCGATCTGGTTGACCAGGAGCTGCAGGACGGTGACGTTGCGGTCCGTAAAAGACCCTGGAACCCCTTCCAGGTAGAGGACCCCGAGCAGGGGTGTAGACCCGTGACAGATGGGGATGGCGATGACTGCTTTGCTAAGAGGATTTCTCTGCAGCCATTGATCGCTGACGTTGCCGAATCTCTCGTCGCTGACGAGGTCCCGAAGGAACACGACTTCGCGGAAGCGCGTACAGTAGAGTATGACATTTTCGGCCACGAGGTGGGTTCCGCTCAGGGGGATGCCCGGCATGTGCGCCTCGGCTCCACGTTCCGGATCGCCGCTGGCAGCAACGCACCAGTCAGGCGAACCGTCTTCCTGGACGACGATGGCGGCCAGCGTAGCCGAGCCTCCACACGTCTGCAGGATGACGTCGCACATGGTCTTGAGCAACTCGTCCACCCTCAAGACAGACGATATGACTTGGGAGGACACGAGGATGGCGTGCAGATCAATCATATCGAGGGCAGGAAGCCCCGCACCAACTTCTGTCTGCATCGAGCCTCTCCACGTCCCGAGTCGCTCTCCCTTGAGCTCTGCGATGCCGGCTTGAGTGTCTTCCGCCTGGTCCTCAGTCTCTCCGCCGTCGACGTTCGGGAACTGGACCGAGGCCGCATCTCCGGCAAAGTCGGTCTGTACCCCGGCATCGGCGGTTCGGTGATACCTAGTTGGAGCATGAAGCAGATGGGTATGCTCGGCCTCGATACGGTCAGCGACGCCGATGGCGCCGAGTTGGCGATAGAGACTAACGGCACCTCTGAGGGCTGACCGCGCTGAACGGGTCGCTGAACGTCGAATAAAGAAGTTTGCCATTAAATAGTTCCCCAGAGCCTCCTCGAAGATGAAATTGTGTTCTGAAGCATGGTCTAAAGCTTCCTCATAGTGGCGGATGGTAGTGCCGTGATCGCCCAACAGATCTGCGACCTGGGCGTCGAGGAGCTTCGACCAAGCTAGGTAGTTGACATTGGTGAAGTCCTGCCAGGCCTTGATGCTCTTGTTGATGTCGTTGACCTGCCGCACAGTCTCTTCAACCTCGGATTCAGAGTCGCCAGTCAAGGGCTGTGGGCGTTGCTGCTCGCGAAGGAGTTGCACGCCTGCCAGCGATAGACCGTACACCAACATGGCCAGTCTCGTGTTACGAGCCGACCATATGAGAACAGAGTTCTCGCAGCAGGCCTTGCCGATCTCGATGGCCCGTTCGTAGTGCCCGTAGACGAAAAGGGCCACGAGCTCCATCGTCTCGTAGAAGAGCAGTGATCGGCCGCCGTTATTGGTGTGGGACCCCAGCCAGCCCTTGTAAGTGAGGGCGTTGTGCTGCTCGTCACTTAGAACCTCGAGCGGGCTTGATGTTCGAGTCTTCCCCTGTAGGGCTCTGCAAGTCTGTCTCACAGCGATGAGCATTGTCCCGCCTCTAGTGTCCAGCTGCCAGTTCTGGATCTCCTCGCAACCGTATCGGCAGAACGCTTCAAGGTCGGCGCAGTTCTCGCTCGCGAAGAACCTCAGCTGAGCGCACAACCCATAACTCAGAATGGCCGAGATCCGGTCGCCAGCAGCCGCAGAGCACTCGACCGTGCCCTCTAGTTGGCTGAGAGTGACTCCGATCGGGTACTGGACGTGGCTCACGAAGTTGGCAAAGATCATGTAACCCCTTGCCATTGAGAACGGGTCGCGATATTTATCCAGTAGCTCCAAGCACACTGCTGAGAGGTCCATGGCGAACTGGATCATGTTGAATCGAGATAGCGCAATCATGGCCACGTGGAGGAACGCCATCCCGGATTGCGGGAAGGCCCCGCGGTCCAGATGGGTGTTGAGCATGAAGAGCGAAAGGCTGTAGCAGTGGAGACGATCACTCCACCAACTGGCGCTGACGGTCTCGGCTAAAACCGCACCCAAGGAGACCAGGCCGTCTCGATCCCTCTCGGGAGGGTCCACGAGGGTCCTGCGATCCATGGCCCGTATCCTCACCGACAGACGCTCGAATTCGGCATCGCACTTCTCATAGGTAGGTTCTTCGTCGAGGTCGACACCCAGAGCTCCCAAGCACTGCTTCAGGGTCTCTAGCGCCTGCTTGGAATCTCCGCCTTGGGCATGTATCCGGGACTGCAAGACCCACGCCGCGGCCTTGTCCAGCGCAGTCCTCGCGCCGGCGAAGATGGCCTGCAGCAGAACACTGGCGACGCCGTGGTGGCCCATGTACAGGTAGCACTCGGCAGCCCGTAGGTGTAGCTGGACGGTCTCGTTGTAAGATACATCCTCGGCATCGTCGATCCAGGGATCGGACTGGAGAAGGGCGATGGCGTTGCTGTAGTACTTGGCCGCGGTAGGCCTTGCGCCGCTCTCGGTAGCGACTTCTGCACACTCAAACAGGAGCTTCCGATATGGTAGCCGGTGTGAAACCCCCGTCTTGATGAGGTCGGCGGCTTCGCAGATGTGCGAGGCAGTGCTGTCCTTTGACTTGGCAGTCGAAGAATAGTGCTTGAGAAGGGTCTGAGCAATAACGAAATGCATCTTTCGTGAGTTGCATTCCTCTAGTGCAGCTGCTGCCTGGATGTACCGGTCGTGGGCAAACCGGAACCGGTCGTCCCTCTCGCTTGGGACGATGATGTATGCTTGTATCGCGGCTTGGAGCCCCGCGACGGCGTCTTGCTGCGAATAGGTCTTGTGGTACTGCTCGCCATTCGGCTCTGGGCAGAGCTCATCAACGTCGTAGAACCCCCCATTCATCAATTTGCATATGAAGTCGAAAGAGAATGTCTGCCCGAGTAAAGCAGCCCAGGCAAGTATCGACCTTGAAGCAGGGGGCAGCTCGCTCAGCCGACGGGTTATGAAGGCCGTGTCGAGGACATCGTAGTTCTGTTCGCTCTGAAACTGCTCGAAAAGCCTGTCCAGATCGTAGCGCCATTGGCTGTCCTTGTAGTCATACCATACACACTTCTTCCGGTAGCACGCGTTGAGCATCTCTCTCATATAAAACGGATTGCCAGCCGTCTTGGATTGGATGCCTAGAGCCAGGGGCAGGACCTCCTCTTTTGGCCTGCAGAGCGTCGCAGACACATACTGAACGATATTCTCCTCGCTTAGCGGGGAGAGAGTTATCTTGGTGATTGTCGGGCCCCCGACCTGGGGGAATTCTTCCGACTCTGGGGGGGTCATCAGCCTCTGGACCTTCTCTGCGGGAAATTCCTCGGGCCGGTAGGTGATGATGATGACCATCCTCATCCTTGCTCCAATGATCTGGGTGATTAATTCTAGAGACTCGTCATCGGCGAAGTGGAGGTCGTCCAAACAAAAGCAGATGAACTTGTGATGGGTGAACATCCTGAGGACGTCGAGGAATGTGTTCATGAGACGGATAGACTTGGTCGACGAACCTGTCCGGAGGAAATCCTGGGGGCTCTGAGCGGATACGTCTGCCGTTCGCATTAGGGAGGGGCCAGGCGAGCTTTCCGGCGACGAGCCACGCCTTTTGATGGCAGTCCGGACGCTCTTGGTACGGCTAGAGTCTTGGGCAGTGCTGGAGGGGGACCTGGCCATCGACGGGTCTACAGAGCCGAGCAAGAATTCAGGGAGACCCAGGACCTTGTGCAGCATCGGCCACACGGGGCGGACGTATTGCTTCAACGTCTGGTGGAAAGGGGTCTCGGTGTTCCGTTCGCCCCACACTTGCCGGAACAAGGAAGAGAGGAGATTCAGCAGCGGACCGTAGGCCGTCCTCCTGGCGTTGTCAAACTTGGCCGTCGCGCAATAGCCTCTCCTACGGGCCTCCGGGAGCACCGACTGGACAAGACAGCTCTTTCCAAGGCCGCCCGCTCCTTCGATGGCCACAATCTCGCAGTGGCCACGCCGGCGGAACTTGGCCGACCCAAGCTGCCTTGATAGGCTTGATGAGGAGTCGGCTGCCGTGCTATGCCGCGCCGTGTCCAGCCCAAAACTGTCGGCCACGCTCCTGGTCTCCAAGGACACCGACTGATGTCGCTCCCAGTGTCGCAGGCGAATTGTGCCCGGTGCGGTGGAGTTGCCGGAAGAAGATACCGTGTCGCCCGATATAGTGGCCGAATCGGGCGCGAAGGCGAATGGAGGGTTGAGGTTGCCCCTCAACTTGGGATCAGCGGAGACGCTGGGAGTGAACGACCCGCTTCCCCGGTTGGCACCCTCAGTCGAGCTCGCGCCCTCGCTTGAGAGCTCGGCACCGTCAAGCAACTCGTTTGACATGCTCGAGCCATCCGAGTACCGGTTAGGGAGCCCCTTCTGATTGACAGCATGGCTCTTCGCAAGCCTCTCGATGACCCTCAGCAAATCGGCCGTCTCCTTGTCGCGGCCGATCATCATGGTCGGCAGCATGAAGAACGAAGAGATGTCCCTCGAGGCGATTTGCCATTCCTTCAGCGCCAGATAGTCACCGTCGGCGAGAAACTGCTGGACTTTGACCAAGTCATAGCGCAAACCGCTTGCCGAATGATACCGCTCGTTGACATTCTTGGATGTGCATTTCTGAATTATCCGCCCTATCACGTCGGGAACATCCATGCGGATGGCGGAGACGGAGGGTATTCGGCGCCCGAGGACACCTTGGACGATGTCCAGGGGCGACTCACCTTCGAACACGGGCTGCTGGGTCAGGAGGGTCCAGAACAGGACGCCGAGCGAGTAGATGTCGGTGCGGGTATCTGGTTCGGCGGGCATTCGGCCAGTCTGCTCCGGACTGATATACAGCAGCTTGTTCTTCGCGCCCAGTTCCTTGGAAAGCGCCAACCACCCCGTGCTGGTGAGTCCGTGCTCAAGTGATCGCAAGCCGGAGCCGAAAGAGACGAACTTGACCTCGCTCGTATCGACGTTGAAGTGAAAGGCGTCCCCGCGTATCTCGGCATGGACGATGCCCTGGCCATGGTGTATCACCTCTAAGCACTGACTGGCGCCGATAGCGAAATCGAGGAAATGTTGAAGGCTGATGGCGGGCCCGAGCCGAAAGGTTTCTCTTCGGCTAGCCTCCCACCTGTCATCGACCTTCCGCGCGTAATAGAAGGCCGGGCCGAGATCCAGCACCTTGGGGATATAGTTGGGCCCGGCATGCTGGTATATGGCTACGATGATGGAGCCCCGGTCTCCGGGTAATGGGGCGAGCCGGATGAGGTCGATGGGCTTCACAAGGTGCTCTCCCTGGACATCCGTAGTGGAGATCAGGCTCTTGGCAATGTGAAAGCCCCTTTCCTCGCGGAGGACGTGGAGCGAGACCCTGGCGACGACGGATTCCTCCTCGAACGAGGCATCGCTGGTCGCGGCGGTGGCGGGTGCAGGCGATGCGGCCCCCGGAGAATGATCAGAGCCCACCTCGCTGCGCGGGGTGGAGAGACTCGGAGTGGCTTCGCCAGGATGAGCCCAATGAGTGGAACTGATCTTTGCCAAGGAAGGCGGGCTCGCGGGGTGATACGCCGCTGGGGGGGATAGAACGGTCGTGGTTGTTCCTGTTGTAGAAGGGTATGGCGACACGAATCGGGTGCCGAAGAAATGCCTGGGCAAGCATGGTCAGAGTCGGACAAGGGAGGGCAAGCACCGACGGAGGTGCGATGTGCGAGGGGCCATCCATCCTACCAGTTATCATAGCTCGAATGAAAGGGCGGGAGGGACTCGTCCCAGGTGTATCCGGCGATCTGGCGGAGTCGCTCAAAGATTCGCAACGGAGGGTCGAGCTGGTCGTCGGACACAACAACTGCGGGCCCGTCCATGGTCGCAGAGAGAGGTCATAGACCCTTGACGGGCTCAAGGATTGCTGGATCGTCTTCTCGAATTCGCTGTCGGCGGTCGGAGCGGCATGTTTCGATAACGGTGACAAAGGCGAAGGGCCGCGACTGGAGCACCGGAGCGGTATGACGGCGCAAAACCAGAGAAGCTACCTACTCCGTCCGAGAGGCGAGGTTAGGTAATGTTACGGGACAGCGGCATGGGACCCGCAACCGACTTAGTGGAGGAGCCGGACAGCCAACCACGCTTTTATTTCCGTCCCAACTTTGGTTTGCGGCAAAACGTCACTGCAGATGCTCTCACCTCATCACACCTCACTTTTTAGTCAGGTACTGGAAATGTTTAGGCAGAGAGAGGATGGACGAAGGCGGCCATTTGGGTTTAGGTTTGGGCTTGGCTTTCTGAACCACCGCAAAAAGCACCGAGTTCTCACACGCTCACTGACTCGGCACTACACTAGGGAGGTAATCATGGTTAATTATGGGCGGGTTTTCAATCCCCATCCCGCCTACCACCTACCACCCTAATATTGTCTGGAGATCCCTCCTATTGACATGCCATGTCGCCTGTTCTGTATCTAGGTAGGTAGTGACACCTGCGTCACAGGATCCTTTACCTCGTCACGCTGCCCTACGATTGATTACCCCCCTCATGCTTCCCATGCGAACTCTAGTTTGGCATGCCGTGGATTCGAGAGTCGAATAGGAAACGTTAGCCCCCCACCCAGTTTTGCCTTAGGACCGTTTCTGTCGCAGCCAATCCCGTCTGCGTAGGTGCCACCTACGTCAGAGCGGCGAAAAGATATTCCTGCCGCTCAAGCTTCATAGGTGGAACCCCCTGCCTGCAGCCGTGGACAAGACTAGGTACCTACAGTACCATACCTGAAAGGGGCAAAGGAATTCCAAGTCAGATTCTTATTGCCCCTGAGTGAATGTACATTAGTCGGTTACTAGGCGGAATAGATAGGCCAGGCATGCGAGCAAGCTCTATAACGGTCTATCAACTCTCAAACTCTTTAATATTCTAGAAGCAACTTTGCGGCAGCAGCCATCTCTCTTTCTCCAGCAACAGCCCGTATTAACGCCATTGCCCGAAATGGCCATGTGCTCTAGGAGAGCCAGATTAGAACCCTTGGTATTCCCATAACGATGGGCCAGTATCCCTGATTAGAAAATAACGACATCATCTCCTTGCTCTAGCCAAATGCCGAACCCGCTGAAATTTTATTCCAGCAACTATAACCCGTAACGAAGTGAGGGCAGGTGTTCTCAGTTGGCTTGCCGCGATACCTTGCGGGTGTGGGTGCCGCTGGACACCTTGGACGACGCCCGCTCTCTTGCAGGAATATCCTTTGCCTCCTTGGTGCCGTTGGCAGTGGCAGCAGGGGTGGCAGCAGCCTTCGCCATGTAAGAGAAGCTCTGCTCGAGCGTTCGCTCGGTATTCTTACGCGAGTTGACAAAATCGGGGTAGTTGAGCGTTAGCTCCACAGCACCAAGCACGATGTTGTCTGCTGCCTCGACGCCAAGCATGAACGAGTGATCTTGATTACCGACCTAGAAAATATTAGCTGGGAAGCTCGTCTAGACGGAGAGGACTCGTACCTCGTATCTCCAGCTGCCGAAACGGCCGCGCGAGTAGATGTCCATAGCTTGCAACTTCGGCAGAAGTTCCTTCAGAACGCCCTCTCGCTCCAGCGAAGGGGTAGGATAACCTTGGACAAACTTGCGGTGATAGGTTGAGACGATCTCGTCTTCAGGCTTGATCATGTCGGTGTTGATCAGTCCTTGGATGCAGTCTTTGAGGAGGTTTTCCTCATCGACTGGCTTCATAGACGACTGCGAGACTTCGAGCATGATTGACCAGTACGGCCCCTCCTTTGCTTCGCTAGAATCCGCCTTACTACCATCGGCCAGGTACAGAGTTGGTAGCTTGACGTCAGACTGCGGCTGGTTGTAGGGTGAGTAGTTCGAGAAGATAGTCGCACGGTAGAACGGGCAATTGTCTTCCGGGAAGTAGAGCTGCAGAGATAATCAGCATGGCGATCGATCTGATGCCTTGAAAAGGGGCCCATTCATACCCAGCACTTATCGCCGATTCGCTCTGGTCGTTCTCCACGAATGCCGACTCCGATGACATGAGTTGAAGAGTAGAAGAGTCCCTTGGAAAGCTTGATGAGATCTTGGTTCCCCATCTTCTCGACGAGATGGTCGACAGCCATGGTGTTGATCAGCTTGCCATAGCCGATCGTCTTGCCATCCTTAAGCGTAACGACCTTCTTCTCGGCGTCAACCTTAACAACCTCGCCATCCTTACCGTAACGCTTGTTCTGCTCTGGTAGAGTGTTGGAGACGGCAATCCAGATACCTCCCGTGCCATCCCGGGCGGGGAAACGGAAGGTGGCGTTTGGGCCCCAATTGCCGGCGACCTTGTTCAGGATGACATTCTTGGTGACGAGCTTGACATCGGGTGCAGCCACACGTTCACCAAGCCATTCTGCTTGCATCTGTTGAGGGTCGTGAGCAGGGAGTCCTAGGACAAGAACATGGAGCAGGCCCCTTCTTACCTGAGTTGTCGGCACAGCCCAGACCTTGTAGTTGTAAGGCCTCATAAATATGTCGGCGACGCCTTTGCCCGTCATGCGCAGAATCCACTCGTCGAAGTTCTTTGGCTTCGTGTTCGCAACACGGCACTCCAAGGCGGCATCGATCAGACCGTCGATACACTTAACTTGATCATCCTTGGGCAGCATCGAGATATTGTTCTGGAATGGGTATGGTACCCAGAGCCCCTTGTAGCGCACATAAGAGATGCGCTGGTGGGTATACCAGTCATCCTCCTTCGGCAATGCCTCGTCGATGCAGTCATCGAAATACTTGTAGTGGGAGAAGATAACGTGGCCACCAACATCATAGAGCTGCAGTGGTCCTGATCAGCAAACCCACACATTTCTCGTCGGATAGTTCGTCGACGGCACGTACGAAGCCTTCGGGCGTGACGTCGGTTGAGGCAAGCCCTCCTGCCTTGTCATTCGAGTCCAAGATCAACCATGACGGTCCATTCTGCGCCTTGTATTAGCCAATCTGGGCAATCGGGCGCTGGGGTGACATGGGCGCGCGCACGATATGGTTGAGACGTTTGGCAGCACCCAGGCCAGTTGGGCCGGCGCCAATGATGAGGATATCGACATTACTGTGAAGTAAAATGTCAGTCGAGTGAGCCTAAGCCACGGCGCGCAATTTGCCAAGACCTACATGTCGGCCATGTTGGGCAAGTCGGAGCGTGTTGTCGACGAGTCTCAAGTGTCGGCTAAGTGATACAGCAGCAGTGCTTGAAAAGGGAGGTTCGGCGCGAGACACACAAAGCGCTCCAGTGACAGTTTCTTGAATGGTGGATTAAGATTCCAGAGACAGGCCGATTTGTTTTCGGTGGTTGCTGTGGTAGATTAGGGATTATTTCTCCAGTATGGGGCTGTAAGAAAAAAAGGAGAGCTTGGGATGCACCTTTGGCGGGGCTAAAATTATTTTGGAGCAGGGGTGTGTTCTACAAGGGCAAGATTGTGTAATTAGCTTAGGTACGTGTAGGTAAGTCTCAGGTACCAATTTCCCCTTCCAAATCCTAGCTCCCTCATTCGTTTGGTTGCTTCGAAGGTGCAAACGGGGGGTAGGGAGCCCAGACCCGAGTCCATTGCCACACGAGCCGTGGTTGCACTGTAACCTACTGTAACCCAGAAGGCCATGGATACACGTGTACACACCTCGGCATCCGTTCTCTTCCATCTTTCCTCACGGATAGTTGCAGAGCCTCGTCTTCTTCCCTTGCCTGACCAGAGACCTGGAGGCGAGGCTGGCGGGATTAAAAGAGAAACTTACGTCGTGTGTCCCTTGCGAATCATGTCGGGGGGACCAATGGTGGATACCTTACCGTGCTTTCCTTACAATGCGGTACGCTGGGGCGTACCAGGTACAGTAAATTTACGTCAACAGCTAGAGGTTGCACGTTGAGGAACCATTGGGAAGGACGCAAAAGGCAAATGTCCCCTGCCCGACTTCCATGTTAGTGCCTGGCCACCGACCTCCACTGACCATCCCGCGGTCTCCATCTCGACCTTCCGGTGGGGGTTCCAGTTGTTTCACCATAACGATCAGCATCGGCGCCAAAACCGATTATCGTTGTTGCGTACGCAGTACGTCTGGACATGTGGATAGGTCTCATCCAAGTCCTTTGAAGACTCATCATAACTACCTACCGGCGACACGCCTATCTGAGGCAATTAATTTGTCGCATTGTGCGTCCCACCTGACAACCTGGGTAGGGTACCTACCTACCTACCTAATCCGTACTTCTACCTGGGTTGTTTCACCTGGCGAGCAAACTTCAGTGGGGTTGCCTCAGAGCTGAATCCGTCGCACTTGCCAACATCGAGTGAACAGGGATGGTGGTACGTACAAGGATTCAGATCAGATTGGGCGCTCGGCACTGACTCGGTCCACCAGGCTGAGCACGATTCAAACAGCACCTCAATCGGGCTCCAAAAATATACGGATTAAAGGCCACTTTTATTTATACGAATGTCGAGACGCCATGGGCCGTGCGTGGCAACTCGCGATATTCCGTTGCCAAATGGACAGTGGTGCATGATGCCCACAGATATGCCGTCTGGAAGGCGTCTAAAAGTACGAATCCATACACTAGATCCAGATACCCATTCTGATTAGGATTAACATATCCAGACTAGCCAATGTCGTCATGTCAAAGTTAAATATACGAAGGGGCACGCGCAGTACCGGCTTCCACCGCTATCAGCACCTTCAAGCGATGATGCTACGAGCTTCCACTCCCAGACCGGGTTGATAGTCAAGGTATCGCACACTTAATCTGTGATGCGCCACAAGGGACATTGGTAGTTACAATAGTATGTGATAGCCGACCCGCGACTGTGTGATGCTGAAATCCTGCAATGTTGAGACATGAGGTTGCCTTGAGAGAAAACAGGCACATGCACGTACGCAGTAACCAAGGTACCTAGGTAGGTTAGGTACCGCAGCCACGCCCAGGTAGAGGTACAAGACATACGCCAATCTGCCTAAAGTTGTAGCACTAGGAGATCCATGGATCTTGCATATCCATTCCCGTTTGCTAGTCGCCCTCCAGTGCCTGACCGAGACAGATCTTTCTGGACTGCCACAGCCCTGCCCCTTGATATGGCGAGCAGAATTCAAAGTTTTCCTTACTATGGAACTTCTACCTCAGGGGCTTACGTACCTACCTCTCGTGACGTTCAGTAGAAGGAGCCTAGGGGAGGACGGGAGGTTTCCATACAGTCTACAGATTACGCTATTTTCATTAGCGAATAAGAAGGCCACCATGCGCTGCAAAGCCAGCACTGCTGTTGGCTGATCTAGCGACCCTTTTACTGAGGCCAGAAGCCCCTGTTAATGTTAATCCCAATTCTCCAAAAGTCGACAATAACCTACCCGTGTGGGGCGGGATCAATTACGTGGCGGTCCACTAGCACAAGGTACGAGTACTTCTGCACGCAATTGCTTGTACATGCACCACCTAGGCTTTGCTGAGCCCACTTTTCTTGCCTTGATCTGAAGAAGCAAGGTGGTTCTGGACGCGTAAAGCAGCTTGCACTACCAATAATCCTCTCGTATTACATAGGTGAGGTACCTACTGTACCTGCCAAAACCAGTCCTAGAGTTGAAAGGGAAAAAGAAAAAAAGCCACCCCTTTTCCTTCCATCATTCCCTACCACTTTTTACTATCCGAACTGCCTCCGAACAGGTCTCACCAGCATCGCGATCAACGTCAGGCCGTCGGGAGCCAAGTTCTCAGAGGACGCACATGTTCTCGGCTGCAATTGTGGTTTAACCCTCCATTAAGTGGTCTCAATAGGCTTTGGCCATCCGCTCGTTAGATTTGCTTGTTCACGCCCAATTCTTACCTTCTATCTGGATCCCCCGCCCAAAGACCAGAACCTTGGAATTGAGCGCCAAAGCCAGCCGCTTTCCACTTCGATTTCTTCGACCTGCGCCAATTCAGACAAGATGGGCGTCGATGAGAAGGTTAGAAACTCGGGCGATTCGCCGCGAGACCAGAGCGGGCCGGTCCTCCCCACGGTCAACCAGGACACGGAGAAGCCTCAACCACCAAAGGCAACCATGCACCCGGCGCTCTATGTCGTGTAAGCCTTAGATTCCCAGAGTGCTTCTCCACCAGATGTGGAAGATTGTGTGCTAATAGCGCCGAACAGCTTCTGGATCGCATTGAGTTCCTCCGTCATCTTGTTCAATAAATGGATTCTACACACATTGAAATTCGGTAAGATATCCGGCACGGTGCTGCGGACCGCGTTCCTTGCTAAGACGAAGCCAGAATATCCTGTCATCCTCACAACCTACCACTTGACGTTTGCAACTATCATGACCCAGATCCTCGCCCGGTACACCACGCTTCTCGATGGCCGAAAGACAGTGAAGATGACGGGCCGGGTGTATCTGCGCGCCATCGTGCCGATCGGCTTTTTCTTCAGCTTGAGTTTGATCTGCGGTAATCTGGCATACCTCTACCTGAGTGTTGCCTTCATCCAGATGCTTAAGGTTGGTTTTGTCAACCCAGGAATCTGGACCACTCTGGCTAACATGGGGTTCAGGCAACTATGCCCGTCGCTGTTCTCATCTCCAGCTGGTCACTCGGCGTCTCGCAACCGAACTTGAAGGTCTTCCTAAACGTGTCTATGATCGTCGTGGGTGTCGTTATCGCCTCGTTTGGCGAAATCGAGTTCGTCGTGGTCGGCGTTATGTGGCAACTCGGGGGCATCGTGTTTGAGGCTCTCCGCCTGACCATGGTGCAGCGTCTTCTTAGCTCCGCCGAGTATAAGATGGACCCCTTGGTCTCGCTTTACTACTTTGCACCGGTTTGCGCGGTCATGAACGGCGTCATTGCCCTCTTGTGGGAGGTTCCCAGGGTTTCGGCCGAGGACTTCCAGCGAGTTGGCCTCCTCACATTCTTCCTGAACGGCCTTTGCGCGTTCCTGCTGAACGTCTCTGTTGTCTTCCTGGTAAGTGTGAAATACTTGGAATCAAACGCCGTGCCTCGTGCTGACTAGCCTGCCCATCAGATTGGTAAGACATCGTCACTGGTCTTGACCCTCTGCGGCGTTCTGAAGGACATCATGCTCGTCGCGGCATCGATGATTATCTGGGGCACCCAGGTCACCGGCCTCCAGTTCTTTGGATATGGCATTGCCCTCTCCGGCATGGTCTACTACAAGCTGGGGTACGAGACGCTGAAGGGCTATGCCGGCGAGGCCGGCCGCCAGTGGGCCGAGTTTGGCAACAACCGACCCGTTCTCCGCAAGATCTCGATCATACTTCTCGTCCTTTTGGTGCTGTTCGTGGTGCTGGGCGGTCTGGCTCCTCCTGAAATGGCCCCCCGCCAATACTTTAACCAGGCCACGAACAAGATGGGTATTTCAACCGATTGAACGCCACAAGAGCACTATTTTGGGCGGAAAGGGCTTTACCTTTACCTTGCCTTGATACCGAATTAATGCGGCCTGAGTCCCGATTTCCTTGCTTCGATGTACCCTAATCTGGGCAGCGTTTCCAGCCCACGGGGGACAAGCTGCTTATCATCAACGGGGTCGGCTTCTACGGTAGAAGCATGACAATCACTTCGAGTACATATTTGCGCCATCTTGATGCATCCGGCTTCCAATCATCCTGCGCCGAGCAGCAACAGGTGGATTCTCCGTTTCTTACACATTTTCTGAGGAGACATCGCTGGGATTGAGGCGAATTCAAATCAAAGGTCTCCTGTTCATAGATCGCAAACACGGCGTCTAGCAAAAGGGTTCGGGTCAGGGGAGCGCGCGCATTACATAACGGAGGATTGACGTGATGTACGTTTAGACAAGAAGCATGCCTACTTATCAAATAGACATGCCAGTAATTTCAAAGTCCGCGCCTAGCGAAGGTTGTTAGTCGATCTTGATGGGTGAATTCAGAGTAAGTGAAACTTCCGCTGGCTTTCTTCCCCTTCGAGCTACATATATCAGCGCGTTTCTCGACCTGGTCTGCCACGTACGACCACAGGCACTGGAAAACTCATGGTCCAGTGAGCGCACGGACCCGGGCCGAATCTTCTAAAAATGGAGCCGATGTGGCCGCCCCTTTTCCGGAACCGTTAATTACTTGAAAGGCGGAGAGGAGCGCCGGTCCTCTCGGATCCGCCTCCCACCCCTCTCTGCCTGTCCACCGTCTCCCCGAAAGATCCCACTCAGCTCACATCATGGCCAGATCTCTTCTTTTTCACCCCTACCGTGGGCCATGGAGGAACCAGACCTTAGGTACTGTAACAGATCTGCGCTTGCTGCACACCTACCGAGGCGGCGACGTCGCTGCCAGTTCATGGTGATGTAGGGCCAATAGCTTTGATTCGGGTACCATTTTATGTCCCGTGTCTCATGCACCAGGTTCAACACAAGGCAGGTACGTGTTAAGAACGCAGCCAAGAAATCAGTCTATTCAAACCATACGAGTAACCATCACTCCAGTTCGATCGTGCCTACGCTGGTTAGTATTACATGCGTGCGGGGACATTTAGGAGGAAAAGAGGGGGGCCGTCTTACCGGGAGGCTTCGATGTTGTATCGTAAACAACCCTCGCAATGCCGTCGACTTCGTTGATAATCCGCCTAGTGATGGCCTTGAGGAGACTCCACGAAAATTCGTACGGCTCGGCGCTCATCATGTCCAAGCTGGTCACAGCTCTCAGAATGCATATATACCCGTAAACCCTGGAATCTCCCTGCACACCCACGGCTACGGCACAAACCTCAGTCAGCAAACGTCCCATGTACAGGTGTGCTTGATATGGCAGCCGTGCTCAGGTTTAAGGGCAAGATAAAATACACACCTCTGTTCGTATCAAGCCCAGCATAGGCTTGGGTGATCTGTCTTCTATTAGCAATTCATCTCAGGAACGGTGGGGTGTTTACGCGAACCTCATTGTAAATACCAGCCTCTTTGATCATTGAGATGAAGATGAAATCGGCCTTCCTTGCGATCTCGACTCTTTCGGGCGTGATCTCCCCTATGATACGCACCCCGAGGCCCGGGCCCGGAAACGGATGCCTCATGACGAGATCCTCGTGGATTCCCAGCTGGCGACCAAAACTCCTCACCTCGTCCTTGAACCTTTGAAACAAATTAGCAACCGCGACAAGGGGCTTCGGCGATGGACCTACAGCTCTCGAAGGGGCTCAAGCAGCTTAAGTTGCGCCTCCTGTTGTCACGTTAGCCACAATCTCCACGAGCCCCGCGTAGTCCGACTTACGCCGTTCTGCATTCGCGCTGGGAGACCCCCGGCGTTATGGTGGGCTACAAGAATGTTAGTCATGGTTCTCTAGGGCGCACGGAAGCGGCTAGACGGACACTTGATCGTAGCCGAAGGCCCCTTGAAGCTGAGACTCTCTATGAGATCGGCTGCGCGAATATTAGCTACTCTGACCCTACAAACGAGCAGATAGATTCGATAACTAACCGTAGAGGGTACCTTGGAGAAACCATTCGACCTTACCGGCAAGAGGTGTGTTCTCTGCTTCTTTTTCAATCCTATAAGAGTTTTTTCTTAACTCTCCACAGCTTTCTAGCTGAGTTCGATCAAGTGCGAGCTTACCGGAGTGCCTCAATCTCGAAGAGGTCGATGACTACCCGAGTCAGTATGATGAGCCAGCAGGCTTCCAAGGTGATAACTCACAAGTCCCGCCGATAATCTTCCGCTTAGTCTCAGGTTCCAAAACTCCGGCAAGACGACCAAGGAAGAGCTCAGACCCATCCACAATAGCAAGGTTGATACCTAGATGCTGCTCCAGAGTTTGCTTAACTTCCGCGCCTTCGTTCAGACGCATCAGACCTATAGGGGGGGAATTAGAGAACCAGTCTTATGCCTGTGTATGTCCTATTGATCCTGTCTCTTACCTGTGTCCACGGCTATTGCATGGAACCTGTCGCCGATGGCTTCTTGCATCAGTTTTGCGGCTACTGTACTATCGACACCGCCGGATACGGCACCAATCTGTAGGCTAGTGAGTAAGTCACCTTACAGGCTGGAGTAGGAAGAAACACATACAACTTGCGCGGTGTCTCCGACAAGCTTCCGGATCCGAATAATCTCCTTCTCGGTAAAGTTCTCCATCTTCCAATCTGCACGAGCGCCACACACCCTGAGAGCGAAATTACTGAGGATGTCGGTGCCTCGCGCTGTGTGGGAGATCTCGGGGTGGAGCTGGATCCCTGTCGCCGATACTTGTCAGCTCCTTCTTAACCAGTCTGACACGACCGGGAAGTACAAACCAAAGATGGGCTTCGACTGATGGGCAATGCCAGCGAACTCAGCGTTCTTCGTGCTAGCGATGGTCACGAAGCCCTCAGGAAGACGAACAAGCTTGTCGAAATGGCTCATGAAAACTAGCGAGTAGTAAATGTCAGATACACATAAGCCCTAGCCGGAAGAGAGTCGTTTTCATGTAGGGGTAGACGAACCACGTAGGGAGTCCCCAAGGCCCTCGAAGAGCCGGTCGGCGTGGTGGGAAACCTTGTGGATGGCAAGGTCCGTCTCACCATACTCCCGTGTAGTACCGCGAGCGACATTCCGCTCGTCAATACGCCAGGCGAGTTCCTGGCAGCCGTAGCAGATACCCCTTGGCTTATCAGCGGACCTTGCACCCGTGTCAGTGGCCCCTGTAGCAACTTACAGGATGGGGACCCCGAGATCGAAGACTGCAGGATCCACATCTGGTCGCCATTAGACAATTGACTGGGACTGCAATAATGCAAACCACTTACGGGGAGCTCCTTCATCGTAAACAGAGGATGGACCTAATAGGTGTTAGAAAGCTGGGCTTGTATCGTGCCTTGGACACAAAGAACACATACCTCCACTAAGAATGATGCCAACAGGCTTCCAGGTAAGATCCGCAAGCTTGGTGGAGCAACTGAGCATTTCCGCATACACATTGAGCGACCTCAGACGACGGAGTATGAGATGACTTGTCTGAGATCCGAAATCGAGCACCAAGATAGTCTAGGTATTGTACGTCAGTGGGAAACTGACTGAAAGGCGAACAATGAGGGCTTCGGCATACATACGTCAAAGGTGGTATGCGGCGCAGCCGCTTCCGCTTCAGTGATGTCGCTCATCATGAAATAACTATTTTATCAGAAGGCCCAAAGGTAAGTAAGCAGGCAAGCTGGGTACAAATGACTGATGACCTGACAAGGAAATCTTTTTTTTTTTTTTGTTCTCAGCCTTGTCCTACAGCTTGCTAGGCTAGCACGGCTAGGTACCTAGTTTGCATGAGGGGCAGTTGGCTGTTGGGGGCAGGGGTTCTGTGTGGGGCAAGTGGCACCGGGTCGGTTGTTTTCTGCCAGATGTCCACAGGTGCGATGGCGCTCTCGCCAGCCGCCGCCATTGCCAGTATCACCGCCATCGCCAGCATCGCCGCTATTGCCGTCGTCGCTGCCACTGCCTATATCGCCGCCGTCAACGCCGTCGACGCCGTTGCTACTGCCGCTGCTGTCGCTGTTGCCACTGCTGTTGCTATTGCCGCTGCTTTCGCTGCTGTTCGCTGTTATTGCTGTTGTCGCTGCTGCTATCACTGTGAAGTTCAAACAGAATAGCGATAGCGACTAATATAACTTCAATTGGTAACAGGCTAATGCAACGGAAGTATCTGGCGGCCTTGCTAAATCTTTAGCAGTTGGTAGAAAAATACCTGGTGTTGTACGTATTGCTTTTGCTTTTCATTCCAACTTCGTTTTGGTCTCTCTTTTTTTGGAAGCTAATTAATTACTGGCGGAGCAGAGCACAACATTGACTGGTACAGCGAGCTGTCGCTCTCACATACGTATTTGGAAGGAATCATAGACAAGACTGAAGACGAACACGGTCACAAAGGGGAGCATGCGAAGTGACTACTAGGGCATACAGTGGGCAAATTGGATACCCCGAAGATATGACCTAAGAGAAACGCGGGAGATTCGAGGAATGTGCTCAAATCAGTGCTCCCATTCCATTCTTTTTGCTTGGATACCGAATCGAGAGAGGCATAGCTAGGTTCCTTGGTTATCAATGAACGCCCAGTAAGTGACTTGTGTGTCTCAGAAGCCAGTCGTGAAACTTGTATTCCACAGGCAGTCAGAGCCCGGTGAGGTGTCATTCAAATTGCCATGAATTCAGCTATGACCTTCGGTTTTAAGCCGATCGATGCTGTATACATCCCAAAACCATTCGCCCCGCCCCAGCCGATGAGGAAGAAATGATTCAAAATCCTGTTGGCGCGCCAGGTTAGTCATTGTTCGGAGGATAGACAGTACCACCCATGATGGTTTCGAGGGGAGACATACTCAGAGGAGTGAAAAACCACCGGTTCTTGCCGCTTGTGTAGCGCTCCTCCAGCACCTTCTTGACCGACTTCTTGGCGTCCTCACGCTGGCTGACCTCCTTGAAGGTGTCGGTCGAAACGACACCCTTGAGGCCCTCAAGCTCGAGAGTGTAGCGTGTCGGCATCAGGTGGTTGTAGTTGACGATCTTGATAAAGGGCTTGACCTTGCTCCGCTTCTCCTGCCGTGCCTTGCTCATTCTCCGTGTGATCTTGCTCGGGTAGCGCTCGATGCCGGCGACGAGTGCGTGGCCGTACGGGTGGCTCTTGTTGCCGGTGTCGATCGGCTGGATGATGACGACCTATGCAAGAGAGAGAATATCCAGTCAGCCTTCCAATTCTTGCATTCTTGTACTCGAGTTCTCGCAATGCCCTCCTCGCAACTGTGGTTGTCCTCTTATTTTTTGGTCCCGCATCGCATGTCCTGCAAATGAGGGCCAAAAAAGATCGGGGTTCCTCACCTTCTTTCCGGCATATCTGCCACGGGTGATGATGGCAACTCGGCCAACCTTGAGGAACTTCATGTTGTTGGTCGCGACGTGAAGTTGTTGTTGAGGTAGAGAGGTCGCTTCACGGCAAGCGGAGGTCACTTTTTGTCAGTCGTAACCAAAATTAAAGTGTGCGATCCGAAATTTCCAGCCAAGCGACGTGGGGCCCTGTGTGACTAAGCGTGTCACGTGATAGGTATTTCTCGGCCCCTTGAGCTCCCCTGCAACCCTCTGTAAGGTCACTCAATCCCAATCCCCAGATCGGAACGAACTCACTCATTTTGCATTTACGCAATTCCCGACGTATAATCAGGCAGCTTATAATGTCGCCTCCAGCCTACATAATATCGCGGGTCGCAGACCCCATTTTCGCCGTTTTCATCGGCCTCTCCGCCGCTGCCACGAGGATAAACAGAGAAGAGAAAGGAAAGGGAAGGACTACAAATGAGACAATTGAAGCTGCTCGCCGGTATGATTCCTTGGGACTTTTCATTGATATGGAACCTTCGAATGATGATCCTCTGCTAACATATTTATTCCAAGGCGCGTTGGGCTCCCAAAGGCCGGTCAATGACGTGTTTGCCCGTTGCCTCGCGCTCTGGCCCATGATGCTCCCTGCCATCTCCCGACAATACGCGCATATTTCCGGCATTTCCATGCTATCATACGCACAGGCGTGATTGCCATCTTCAGCTTCAAATATATATATTCAACGACCAGCCTGACTCACGCTGCGAAGGCAGGGCCGTATTCTTTCTTCATCGCCTCTCTCACGATCTGACCGCAAAGTTTGGCTGTCGGGTTTGTGCTAACGGCAAGCCCTTTGGCGACGTCGTTCCCGTATCTTCCGCCCATTGCGAAGTCCCTTGACGCTGCCTCCTCGAACTCGAGTTTCTTCCACTCCCGCTCCCGTCGACGCGAGTCCACCGACGGCGATGCCGAAGCCAGAAGTTTCGCCGTTGTGTGATATATGGCAGCTCGTTGGGTATAAGCCATTGACAGGGTCCTCGCGGCCTGTTGGGAAAGGGAGCCGTGTGGTCTGGGCGAAAGCAACGCGATCGACTGATCGAGATCCCCGAGGAGTGTTGCTGCTGCTTGCTGCCTTTCGGCATCACCAACACTCTGAAGCAACGCCTGAGGAAGGGATTGTGCCTCCGAAACCAGAATCGAGTCTCCATACAGGCGTCTCAAGACCTGCGCCCTGTTGTTTCGCGCACTCGCATAGTCAGGGCGGTCGTTGATCAGGTCATCTAGACTTGATAGAGCTTGACGATACACATCGACTGGACCCTGGTCTGACTTCGGTCGGAGACCAGCAAGTTGGAGCTCCACCTGTTGCACCGAAAAGACAATCTCCTTCTCTCGTTGCGAGACTTGCAGATATGTGGACTGGTCCAGAATATGAGGATCGCTTGGCAGAGAGGGATCAATCGAAATGCCAGCAGACGGGTTGGATTCTGGGTCCCTGATCTTCTCGAGGACGTTGGTGTCGCGTTCGCTCAATGACAGATCGGCCATGGCGGGGAGTCTGGGACAGAATCTGTCTTCACCTAGCCCTTGAGTCCGGCTTGTTGATGGTTGAGAAAGAGAATAATTGTTGGTACCCTGGTTCTCAGCAACTAATGGACGAGTTCAATGCTTTCCCGTGAGTTGTGATTGTTGGTTGTTGATGCAGTTGATGATGTGGCAAAGAGTGGTGGCCTCCATAATATGAATTGCTCTGCTTACGAAATCTCCACAGAAACAACAAGACCGGAGATAGGTACTTACGAATGAATCTTGTGATCATCCATTCCAATGGCTATCACATCAAGGTTGAACCGAGTTCCTTGCAAAGCCGCTCAAGGTTGCGGTTGATAAAACGCTTGCAAGGATGCGGCTGCCGGTCAGCGTCGGCTTACCTCGGTTTGCGGAGGGATTAGCCCCACGGCTGAGTTCCGCCTCAAGCCTGCGGCTTAAGCATACGCAAACATGCGTTCGTCTCACCCCCAATCTAGCTCGATCGATACCATGAAAGCATGAGCTAGACATGTTCAAATGGTAAATAGATGCCAATTAGAGCTTGCGGACTCATACCTTTGCCAATGCCAGCCAGTGGGAGATGCCCATGGCAAGCTAGGCCCCACCCCCCCTTGCCTCATACCTGCCTGCGTGCCTGCCATCCTCCTGCCATGGAAACATGAATGGGTGACCGCATTGTCTACTATAAACGATACCACCAACAGGAAAGGAAGGTGAATACCACCTACGTATTCGTCTCCTACGCTAAACTTCCGGCCTCCCGAGCGAGCATCTGATTAAATACCGCCTCTCCCCCTTTTCAGAGCGGCTTCCCCTTCCACACTGTGGTTACACTTCTGTACTATCAGCATCCTCTTTTCAGGTTCTGATATCATTTTATACACCAACTGAGTCACCTACTCTAGTTCAAGAACACCCATCCCATCTTCTGAGTGAGCATGCCACCGTCAGCTCTCGCGGACTCTCCAAGAAATTCAACCACTTATACCAGCACCTCCGAGGCGGATGAGTATGCCGTTCAGGCTCCTCCCTCAAACTTCAACGGCTATGACCACCTAACCTGGTGGGTTGGCAATGCCAAGCAAGCGGCCTCATACTACAACACGGTCTTCGGCTTTAAGACGCTCGCATATCGTGGCCTGGAGACGGGGTGCCGTTACTTTGCCTCGTATGTTGTCGGCAATGCCGATGTCCGCTTCGTCTTCACATCTCCGGTCCGATCTGCCAGATGCCTTCCCGAGGAAGAGCCAATATCTCCAGAAGACCGAGAGATGCTTCGTGAGATCCACGAGCATCTGGAGAAGCACGGCGACGCAGTCAAGGATGTGGCTTTCGAGGTCGACAACGTCGAGGGTGTGTACTTCAAGGCCGTCGCTGGAGGTGCTGTGGCGGTCCAACCTCCCAGGACCGTCCACGACAAACAGCACGGTCATGTGACGACAGCCGTCATCCGCACCTACGGCGACACAACCCACACTCTGATCTCACGACTGAATTACTCCGGGCCTTTCTTGCCCGGATTCCGAGCCGTCAAGAAGCAATCGGCCACCGTCTCGCTGCCCGAGGTCCAGCTGGCACGGATCGACCACTGCGTCGGCAACCAGGACTGGGACGAGATGGTCTCGGCGTGCGCCTTCTACGAGCAATGCCTGTCGTTCCACCGCTTCTGGTCGGTCGACGACTCGCAGATCTGCACCGACTTCAGCGCGCTCAACAGCATCGTCATGGCGAGCGCCAACAACGTGGTCAAGATGCCCATCAACGAGCCGGCGCACGGCAAGAAGCGCTCGCAGATCGAGGAGTTTGTCATCTTCAACAGCGGCGCCGGCGTGCAGCACATTGCGCTGCTGACGCCCGACATCATCTCGACGGTGTCGGCGCTGCGTGCCCGCGGCGTCGAGTTCATCACCGTGCCGGCCACCTACTACGACACCATGAGGCAGCGGCTCAAGACGGAGAAGCGCAACTGGCAGCTCGCCGAGGAGTTCGCCGTGCTCGAGTCGCTCAATATCCTCATCGACTACGACGAGCAGGGGTACCTGCTCCAGCTCTTCACCAAGCCGCTCATCGACCGCCCCACCGTCTTCATCGAGATCATCCAGCGGAACAACTTTGACGGCTTCGGCGTGGGCAATTTCAAGAGCCTCTTCGAGGCCATCGAGCGCGAGCAGGAGGAGCGGGGGAACCTGTGAGATGGTGAATCTTATTTTGTTCGCGTTTTGCATCATAGGGGTTAGCATCGTGTTCTCCAGTGCAGATACATCCAGTTGCAAGTGCGTCGCGCGTCTCTCTCGTGACTCGGCACTCGTTTCTTGTCAGATAGCTTATGCAACGCGACGAAGGCATCATGAACATTGCCAGCTTGGACGGAGTAGCAGCGGATGGGTTTAAGAGTTGTCAAATTAGGCGTGCCAGACAAATATCGTCAGCACATGGCGATGGATGGATGAAGCAGACGAGAAAAGCTCGCGAGGCAATATAGTCCGCCAGCGAATACTAAAACAAAATGCAAATGTAGCTTGCCATTCCTGTCCCATGACTTTTGTGTGATGCACCCAATTTCCATGTTTCCCCCTTAACAACAAAAAGGCATCTAACCCGCCCTCAACCCCACGACGCCGTAGCAATGAATCATCCCCCCTTAGTCAGAACAAGCCCCCCCTTTCAGGTGATCGATGGATGGGAACCCGAAGCCCTATCAATATACGTATATATGCACACCCATCCATCAACCCACTTGCGCGGCTATGTAGGCACCCGCGTTCGGCGGATCCACAGCCATCACCCCGTTCGCCCGGCCATCCCCATTCGCCTCCGCCGATGCGCCGGCGTCGCCGTTGGCGCCGGCGGCCTCGGCCTCAGCTTCGGCGGCCTGCCAGGCCCGCGTGTCGCTCTGGCACCCGGGGCAGTTGTGGATGACCTCGTGGGCGAACACGTCGCAGTCGATGCAGAAGTGGTTCCCGCAAACCTGGCAGGCGTACCGGCCACTCTCGCTGACGCCCCTGACCTCCGGCGCGGCCGGCGCCGGCGCAGCGACGCCATGCCCTTGGGCCTGCTGCTGCTGCTGCTTCCCCTTGCCTTTCAACCTCGCTTTCGAGACTGGCGGGAAGGGGTCGAGGCACGAGTGGCACGCCACCGACCGCTCGGCGTCGACCCACGGCACCTCGACCCAGCTGCGCAGCGGGAACAGGTGGTGGTACGAGCGGGCGAGGTGGGTGCTCAGGATCAGGGTCAGGCCGCAGGACGGGCACTCGGCGGGGAGGCGGCAGACCTTTGCGCGGCAGCGGGTGCAGGCGTACCCCTCGCGGCCCGGCCGGTTGTGGCAGGCGCAGACGGTCACGTGGTCCTCGGGCGCGAGCGCGCGGCTGGGGAAGCCCATCATGAGCAGGCTGGCGTGCTGCTGCTCGGCCGACTGCGTGACGGGCGGCGTCGTGGCCGCCAGGAGGAGGTCGCGGAAGTGCTGCTCGTGCAGCGCCACGGCGTACGACCCGTCGTCGCCCCCGTTGGTCTTGCTGCACAGCTCCTCGCAGATGGCCACCTGCGCCGAGAGCCCGATGACCGAGACCCGGATGCGGTCGGTGATCAGGTTGGCGATCGTGTCGTGGATGTCGCCCGGGTCGCTGGAGAGGAGGGCGCCGTAGATGATGAGCACTTCGCGCGTGCCGTGCGAGGGTGCGTGGCTGTGTGGCAAGTTGCGAACCGGTTAGCCAGATAGCTTTCTTTCCAATCGTTCCCCGAGGTAGAATGGCACATACAATAAAGCACCGCGGCACATCTCGAGCGCATTCTGCAAGCTGGGGTTGCCCTGAGGTTCCTGCTCCTCCACCCACTCCCGCAGCCGCTCGATGTGCTCGGCGGGGTTGCCGCCCATGTCGCTAATCCTGACGGCCACGCCGTCCCTCAGCCCGATGATGCCCATCTGGCTGATCGGGTTCTGCTCAAAGTATTCGCGGACGAACTCGACAGCGTAGTTGAGCGTCAGGATGTATCGGCTCGGCAGGAGGTCCTTCTCGGCCATGGCGAAGCTCATGTCGATGACGAGCATCAGGTGCCTGATGATGCCTCGCTGCAGCGGCGTCGTATCGCGCAGCAGGCGCCGCCTCTTCTCGGCCTCCAGAAGCCTGCCTACGCTGATGCTGCCGTCCGCCGTCTCGACCACGTGCTCCCACGACCGTTGGATGTCTTCCCAGGCTGCCCTGCTACGGCCACCGACCCTACGGCCACCGTTTCTGCTCTTTGACCCGTCGGGCCGCGGCCCCTTGGAGCGCGTCCCATAGCTAGACTCGACTGCGGAAACTCGCTGGCCGCCGATATCCTCGTCTTCGGAGAGGTCCTCGACGTATTCGCCGTCTGAATCTGCCATGGGCTCGATCGAGCTAGGAAGCTGGCTATGTTTTCGGGTTAAACGACGACGATTGAGGTAACTGGTGCGGGGAAGAAGCACAGGTCGTAGGTTGCTCCGGGAAAAAAGGAGAGGCGCGAAGTGGTGAAGAAGACAAAAAAGACAGGCCGAGATGACAACTTGACAAGGCTGCCTCAGTTTGTATGGACCAGACCAACCAAAGCTTGCTCAGGTCAGCCTCGCGCACCTCTCGACTTAGCTCTAGCCTTAGCCAATCATAGTGCTTCGAATGCCGATCGCTATGATGCACAAAGCTCTAGAGGTAATTACTTGGATGGATCACAAAAGAGGAGTGATCTGTCAAATTTTATATGTAACGAGTGTAAATGCCCAAGGGCAATTGGATTCTCTATCATAAACAGCGACTCATATGCATTAGTCGTTTGACTGGGTATAACTACTACTGAAGGCATGCTTCCGAAACCGTGATAAAGGGTGTCATGACCATTACGGCATGCAAAGCAACTCCCAGCACCTCCTCTACCCGCACCTCCTCTCCTCCCTCATCAGTCCTCCTCCTAGCCGCTATGCCAAAAGCTCTGCAACGAAGCCAACATTACTCCTTGCAGCTATGAATTAGGTAGGAACCAGGTGCCATGTACCATTAGGATGGTCGTGGTACGCCGTTGTGGCCGATGGGCGGCGGGCCAACGCTATTTTCCCCGCCGACTCATGGAATGTAAGTTACTTTCAAACCGTAAAACTCCAATTTTCCAATGTAAATAGAATGGGTCGGGTATTAGGATCAAGGATATGCGGTCCCAGAAGGCATGGGCCAGTCGTCTTCCGTAATGCTGGACCAGAACACCCATACCAGTACGACCGAGATGAGGGTGAAGAGAGTTTCGAAGAGAGCTCCGTCGATCTTGCCAGACGTACCATCGCAGATGTAGCGACTGACAACGTAATTGAAGATCTGACCAAGGGCGAACGAGACTGCAGCTGACGTGAGGTAGATCATCGGCCGGGATTCCCCCAGCACTCGGAGGACAAGAGCGGCTTCTAGGATGTAGAAAGCAACCAGGAAGACAAGCGGCGCGAGCTGATACAGCACATAGAGTGCGATGTTTCGGTTCGGAGCCTGGTAGCTGTCATCCCAATAGCCAGTCCAGTGGAATCCCGTATCGAGAGTGATGTAGCCGGTCCCAACCAGCAGCATGAATGCAGAGCCGGCGATCAATGCTAGGGATACTGGCGTCCCATCATCAATAATCTGGTAGCCGACGATTGCATTGAGCATCAGGATCCACGTCGTGGCGACGATAAATGCCAGATGAATGCCAGTGAAAGCCTGTCGTAGCGTCAGTAAACGGCATGCTCGTTTGGAGCTTAATATGAATCGCAACTCACAATTCGAACTCTATCACTCAACGGGAACTCCCCTACTGTGAAGATCTCGCATATCGAGATAACAATGTACCCCGCAAGAAAGAGTTGCATTTCCCTGGGAGGGGTTAGCAGCCGTCAGGATCAGGGATCAGGGGGGGTTGGCTAGAAACAAACCTGCGGCCAACAGCAGCCTTCTTCCTCTCAGACCGGAAGATGAGATATATAGACGTCACGATAGCTAGAGCACATAGCAATATCGAGCCTAGCGACGGTCAGTATCCTGCAAAGGATAAGCTGGATCCACATGCGAATGCGACATACCAAGGTTTCCAAGGATTTTGCCTTTACCCAAGGGTATTCCGGTCAATTCGCAGCCGCCCCATGGTCCCGACTGGTCATGCTGATCCGACAGCACCTACAAATCGAAGTCCAGTCAGTAAAGACAAGCCTCCTGCTGAATTAGGCCCTTGGAAAACCTACATTGCAGACCGGTAGCGTGGAATCTCGACAGAAATGCTGCGTGGAATCCCGTTAGCCTCGCCCCGGTTCAAAAGTGAACCGTCGCAAACATTGGCGAGTGGAGTCGTACCTCGAAGTTCCCGAATTGAGTCGACCCCATCGCAAACTGTGGTAGCACCGAGTGCTAGTGGTGGCCTATGGCACGGAATCGACGGGCTTTGGTCTCGTTTCCTTCCGCGGGCCTTCGAGACCACTTGATGGCAATTCCAAGGAAGCCCACGGCCAGAGTGTACTTTCGAGATGTCAATCGCCTTGAGGAAGTCTCCGATCGTGTGCGGGAATAAGGTTGTTGGGCAACGGATGCGGTGTTGTTCGCGATGCGACAGGATCAGGGGCGTCGGTTCATGCGACCCGTCCCAGCATTCCCATCTAACTCTGGCTGGCTTAATGATCAATTGGTTGGCCCCCTCTTGTCCAGCGTCGTGTAGTTCGCTAATCCCTCTCCTCCTTGGAATACAGACACAATCGATTGGGGGCGTGTGGTGGGCGATATGGTGTCGGAATGGCGGTTTGTGAGGACTGTTGTTATGGTGATGAGGGAGATGGATGCAGTGGGAAGCTTCCAAAACTTCCAAGGCTAGGAATGGGGAAGAAAGGGCAGCTCGTCTCCGCAATATAAAAGTCAATGCTGGCACACCAGTCACGGCAGGAGAACATTGGAGGGACAACTTGTTTTAGTGGCAGGTTGGGGGGCCCCACACATCTCTGCCAGCAACGCGATTGGCCAGGTGCCTGGCCAGGTGCCTGTCCTGTTGCCCGTATTGGAAGCTAGCCAACGCTTTCCCGAAATGACTAGGCCGCTCAGCACAGTTCTATTCATCCATTCGCAGCTTTAGATCGGGGGTTGGCCAGAAATGACCATAACGGCCGTGGAAGGCCGCGTACAACGCAGTAGGACGGACAATAAAGGGCTCGGAGAGAAGCTGGCAGGGAGGATAGCACTTTTGATAGCCTGGCGGTGTGCGAGAAACCAGAGGCAGACTACAGGTAGGTATTGCAAGACCAACCTAGGTACCTAACAAAAGGAAGCAATCGTTAGTCTTGGGGGTCTCTGGTTTCTCAAGGTGGCATGGAACCTACCTCTCCTACATGGTAGATACCTGTTTTCTAGGTCCTACGTAGGTAAATACTAAGCAAGGTTTAATACTGAAACTGCGTAGTACTCAGGTAAGAGGTACTTAGATAGCCATGACTCGCGCCTTTGGTTGGCAAATTGGGTGATTTAATGCACAGTGTATTGCTCCTGCCACTCTACGCAGTAACCACCTGCCACCTACCTACCTAGCTGACCCCCGCCCCTCCTCAGCCCACCTAGCCACCAAAAATGAATGTGGCTAGATAGGTTCTCTTGGTCGATCAGGACCTGCCAGGTACCCGGCGTCATATCCCGTACAAGTTGGCGCATCAGGTCATCATCCCCCTCGAGAACAGGTCTGAGAGCACATGCGAATAGTCCGGAGTACCTAGGCAGGCTTGATGTGCAGTGCAGAGGCTATGCCCGTCATCTGGCAGTTGACCTCAGCCATTGGCTCTGCTTAACATTTGCAAGACCGCAGACCATTTGAATTTCATGCGACATCCTGGACACACGGGTAACTTACCATGGATACCCGCGTCAAGCAGCGATGTCGTCCTGGTACGTGCGATGCCAAACCGCGCCTACCTTTAAAGGGGTCCCATGGTGCGCCATGTCTCAATTATGCCCTGCGTCATCCAGCCGATCCAAAAGATTGGCACCTGCACTTCTCAGTGAAGTTGCTTTGGGGGAGGGGGTACGCCTCGAACCCCAAATCCCCAGATTTCCAGCCCTTCATCCCTACGCATGTACGATGATTTGCTGGCAAATGGCCCTGCTTTCGGCGCCTCAAAGCCACCGGCATCCCTGACGTCGCGCAAGGAGACCTGCATGTTCGACAAGGGCCCATGCACAAGGGAGGAAATTGCCTCCTACGTATTTTATTACGGTCCCGAAGTGGCGCAATATAGAAGGCCCTCAACTTTTGATGACGCTTGTCTTGAATATCGTTCTTACGGATATGCCCTTTACGGCTATTAAAGCGCGATCCTTCCAGGTCATGGCCGTACTCAGACAAGGCAAAGCTGTGGCCGAGGTCTCGGGATTTTGGGGGTCAGGTTCAGGTCCTGTTTCACCCAGTAGCTGACAATTCCTGCGCGGTGGCTGCGCAGACGGCAGTTGCTAACAGCAGCATAGCTTCCAAGTGTGAATCTACCAACCGATCTAGCATCTTGTAACTTGGGAGACTGATTTGATGCCGTTTATTTAAAAATAGACAGGCTCTAATTTGGCGCCCGCAAGCCACGAGGTGACAAGGTCAACACACATCACACAAAGAATCTCGTGTCGTCATTTGCCCATTCCGTCCTCAGTCAAAAATAACCTTGTCATACTGGTGCGGGCCGAGATGGTTATGCAAAACACCTTGCAATGCGGCTCTGCTCTTGGTGATCGCTGGTAACAAGTTTCCAACTAGACGCAGATTTCCACGCATACTCTCCACGTGGTTCCCTAGTTGCCGGGACAAGGACCTTATTTCCTCGTCTTCGATGCCCTGCGGAATATCAGCGTCTGTTTCCGTGACAGGAGAGGGGGGGAGGCATTTAACAATAATGCCTACCTTGAAAATGCCTGCCGATGGCCTGCGCCCGCTTTTCAGGACCTCCAATCTCGCCTCACCCGTCTCATTCCGTGCCTCGTCCACCCTGCTGGCCTCGGGAGCCAGGGTGTGAGCTCTTTTTGCCCTTTCCTTCCAGCCTCTGATCTCCGCTCTCGCATTTGCTTCGAGCGTTCGCAGAGTCTCATAGTCGTTTTCCAAAGCTTCCTCTTCCCTGTCTTTCTCGCTCTTGAGCAGCGACACGGAGTGTAGAAGCGGGTTCAGCGTCGTCTCGAGTGACTGGATGGAATTGACGGTTCGTTCAAAGTCAAACTCCTCGACGTGACTCGTGCTGGTCTCGGGGGCATCCGACTTCGCGTTCTTGGCAGGCGCTGTTCTCGTTGAGGGAGGCGGGAATGGAATCCCTTTGCGCAGCTTGGCATGTACCCGCGATGCGAACGCTCGGAGAATATTCTGCGCTTGCTGGTGACGCTGCTCACGGCCTTGCAACCGCAGCAGAATAGGGCGATAGGTGTCCGAAACCAGGGCAGCGACAGCGCTCACAGAAGCCTCGTCTAGCGGCGTCCACTTGGCAGATATGGTCGATCGAGGGATTTGACGCGTTCGTGATTCGATATGTCGATATTTCGCCGGCGGGACGGCTTGTGAATTCTCCATATCGTCCTCATCAACGGGCCCCACGTCAAGACGATCACCAGCTCTAGTGGACCGGCGAGCTTTTGGCCCGGAACCTCTCTTGTTTCCGGCCGCGTCGGTAGGCTGTAAAGGTCGCTGTCGCTTCGGCGACTTTGCTTGGGACGTCGACTTGGACGTATTTCCTTCATTTGATGTTCGTCTCCGACCTTTGCGCTTGGGTTGAACCTCCAATTCGGCTGGGGACTCTTCAGCTGGCCTGCCTCGCTTCTTTTTATGTCTCTCATTTGCCACCGTCTCTTGATCCTCAGGCGGGGGGTCTTGGAACAATCGCCGGGCGCCCTTATTCGGTTGGACGGCGACCGCGGCCGCTTCCCCTACCACTGGTTGATTTCCTGGAGCTGAAGAGTCGCCCGGACCCGACACCCACCATGGCTGCGCATCTGCAGAACGCCGCTCGCGCTTGCTCCGGCGTAAAGAGCCCGATTCTCCACGGTGTCCCTCTTCTTCGTGATGTTCGTCGCGATTTTCAGGAACATTGGCGCCCTTCTTAGATCTTGGCGCTGTTCGGGGGTCGGGTTCGGCTGCATCGGCGCCATCCTTTCTTGTCCGGCCTCGTTTGGAGGGTCTCGGGTTCGCATCCTGATCGGCTCCTTCGGCATGCGAGGTTGCTTCCTGCAATGGGTCTCGTTCGCCGACTCTAGGCATCCGGGCGGCGCGTCGCGACGCGTCGGCGGCCGCTGCAACTGAGCCAATCGGTCCAGCCCGTTTCCTCTTCGAGTTCGAAAACTCTGGCGCCTGGGAATAGTTAGCAAGGCTGTTGGCGGTAAGAGCGATTCACGTACCATAAATGATATCAGGATATCTCAATACTAGGGGAGTGTCTGTGGTGTCTGACTGCCGCAGTATTATTACCAGTACGTACCCCGTACTTAGAGGGGAACAACGCGTATGGCTGGTGGGGGAGACCGGGGTAGCTAGTAGTGAAAGCAAGAACAGCCAAGCCCGACGCGGTTAGACCGCCGGCCCGAATATTCCACCGGTGTGTACAATAGGTACCTAGGTACTGCTACCGAACATTAGTGTACGCTAGCGTACTGCATTATTAGGTGATTAGGATTGCAAAGTGCGAAAGTACAGATTACCAGGAGGAGTTTTACCGGCTCCCTGGGCAACCTGGTCGTCGCAAGGATTGTTGGCCTTGGGCGCTGTTCAATAATAAAATTAATAAAATAGTCGCATGTCGCTGATGCTACCGTCCTCTAGATTCATTCACCTTCGCCAACACCTCTCTGAAGTGTTGTTTGGATCTCGAAGCTGTTCAACTTTCTCCTTCAACCCCCTAATTGAGCTTATACTTGAGCTTACTCCGTATACTTTCTATAATTTGCCTTTGGGTGTCTTAACGCCTGCCCTTCCCCTCATTCTCCTCACATCATCTAAACCCCGACTTTGCCATCCTGTCAAAGCTCCAACATTGCGCCATTCCCTTCGCAATACCTGCAAATACCTTTCTTCCATCACATCTGTAACAATGCGCTTCTCCGCAACCGCGCTTCTGACCCTCCCGCTCCTTGCGGCGGCGGCCGAGGGTCCCTTTGATCAGTACAAGGCCCAGTTCCAGAACTTCCTGAGCTCCTTTGGCGCCGCTCAGCCCGAGGCGGCTGACGGACAACACGTCCCGTCCTCACCGGAAGCTGAGGTCGACCCTGAAAATAAGATACATGTCTTGACACTTCACAACTGGAAGGACACCCTCTACAGCCCTGTCAAGGCTAGTGCCACCAAGCCAGAGGAGTGGTGGCTGTTGGCCACTGGGGGTAACAAGACTTGCTTCGGTTAGTGCTATCATCCGCAATGCCGTCAAACTCGAAAATATACTGACATGAGCCATTTCCCAAGGACACTGCCAGAAAGTCGAACAGGCGTTCAAGGAGGCCACCAAGACGCTCGCCAAACTCCCAGATGGTCCACACGCGGCCTTGATCAACTGTGATGACCAGCCGGTCCTTTGCAACAGTTGGTCTGCCACCAGTGGCGTCCTCTGGGTGATCCAGATGCTTCCCGAGCCAGCGCCCATCGACATCTATCTCAGACGCCTCAACCTAACCACGACCACGTCGCAAACCATTCTCGACCTCCACGCCCAAGACCTCAAAGACAAAACCGTCTTCCACCACCATGAGGGCTATTTCCACCCCTTTGACGGTCCCCTGGCCAAGAACCATGTGGCCGTTCCGATCGGCTATTTCTTCTGGCTCCTCAACGTCATCCCCAGCTGGGCCATGATGCTGGGTGTCTCCTTCCTTAGCCGGTCCATGATGTAAGATCCCTCCTGTCCTCCCCCTTTGGTCCACCAAAGGTAGTTTGCTAAAACAGTCTGCAGGTCGCGCCGCATGAACAAACAGCAAACCCGCCCCGCGAATGCCGGTGCTGCTCCTGCGGCCCCGCGTGGTGCCCCCCCGGGAGACGCAAGATCATAAACTGCATGTGAGGCACTGGTCCCACGGACCTGGCCCCGTCGGTATTATTCCGAGCAGACGTCTGTTTTGTTATCTATGTAGTATGGTCCAGGCATGGGGCGCGTCTCCCCGAATAGCCCGCTGTGATTAGACCACTTGTGGTGTGTCTGTATATGGCGGGCTTGGAACGGCAGGTCGAGACCCTGGTTGGCTGGGATGGGGTATAGGTAGATACTAGGCAGTGTCAAATGGTAATCTCCCAATGTAAATTTGGGTTCCTCCGCACTCCGCAGCTCTATATCAAGTCGTTGTCGTTTGTTTGCAAGCCTCTTGCAAATCTTGCAAGCTCTCAAGCACCTGTTCGGGGAGCTGGCTATTGGCAAGGCGGCCGTACCGAAGGTCGCTGAAGGTGCCAATACTCTGGCTCACCGAGTGACGCAACCTAGTTTCTTCCTCCTCTAGATGCTTGATCTCACTCTCGAGTTCATTGACAGCCGTTTCCAGCTCTGGTAAGACCGAGTTGAGATCATGCTTGGGCCCGCTAGATCCGGAAGCATTACCAAAGAGCTTGGGGTTGTATTAGCATGATGCGCGGCTAGACCTGGCAAGGTGAGAGAGAGCATTTATCAGGAATTACCGTTCGCTCGATCTCAATCTCGTCGTCATAATCCTGACTCTCGGCTTCCCTTCTTGCCCTCACAACTGCTCGCCGCAGACCCTTGGCTCGCTTGACCTCAGCCTCGATGTTGGACGCGACCAGATCTACGACAGCGTTTCTTTGGCCTTGCAGGTCCCGGTAGAGGGCTCGGACATGTGGAGACGATTGCTGCGGACGAGGGAATAAGGCAGTGAATTCCTGCAGTGAGATGATGGCGGGAAGCTGAGATGGGACTAGGAGGAAATTGTTCAGAATTGCCGACTCACTGGGGGCCATTTTATTCGGAATGAGTAACAAGGTGAAGTTGAGGGTAGAATTTTTTATTTTAATTCTTCGAGTTTCTCTTGCAGAAACGGGTATTGTTTGTTGCTTTTAAAGTTCCCCGGCCAGTATTTGGGTTTCACCAAAAACTCGTCGACGCGTCTCTTTGCGCGGTCTCGTGACTTCCCCCTTCCATACCACTGACCCCAAATCCACACTCTCATCATCATTGTGCCACCTCATCCTCACCCCACATTCCCATTTGCATCTCAATTCATTCTGCCCGCCTCTCTTTCGTACTCGAGGTTTGGAAAGAATACACGAACCTGGTACGCGAGCCAGTTTGAGGAAGTATCCATACTCCCACCATGGCGCCTCCAAGGCAGGCACAGGCGCCCTTCGCCAAGGACGAGCGCGTGCTCTGCTTCCACATGGAAATGTTGTATGAAGCAAAGATACTGGACGTGCAACAGAGCGAAACTGGAGAGGGATGGCAGTACAAGATCCACTACAAGGGCTGGAAGAGCAGCTGGGATGACTGGGTGCCCCAGGACCGAGTTCGCAAGTTTACCGAGGAGAACAAGGATCTGGCCTCCCACCTCATGGCCACATTCAAGATGCTTCAGTCCGGCAAGGCTGGCAAACAGATCAAGAAGGGTGGTAAGACTACCGGCTCCGACCTCAGCTCCACGCGCGGCAGTGAAGAGCGCATGCCTGGGACGGCGATGCAGACTGGCAGAGGTCCGCGGAGGGCGAGGGATTATGACCTTGAGCATGTAGGTGATATATATTCCCTCTTTTCTTATCCACCTTCCTTGCTGCGATGTCTTTGCTTGGTGCAATTGTTATTCCGGGCTTGATGTAGGCGTTGAAACAGCGTATCCTGCTTGCCAAGTGGTATCCAGATACATCCCCCCCCCCCCCCTCCCGGTACGATCAACAGCGACAGTGTAGAGCCACTGGCAGGCTGCCTACGTTACTCTACTTAGATCGTGAGGCGTGGCAAAGTTAGGTCGCATCACACCAAAGCCCGGGTTCTGGATAAGGTTCACCCTGGCCGGATGGTTTGGTAGTACCAATATTACTTACCACTAGAAGCGGTGGGGGTGGTTCCCGAGGTGTTCCAACCTTCTCCTCAATTCCTGTCTCCCAAGAACAGCCCAGAGTCCCATCTCAATACTTGAGTGAGTTCGGGTGGGATGGGGACGGATGGGGACTGGGGGTGAGAGCACTGGCTAGGTACACACTCCTCTGGTTTGGGACCCTGGGGGTTGGCATAATACGAGGAACAATGGTGAATAGAGGGAGACGGAGAAAGTATTTGAGTTTTGGAAGGGGTGGCAAGTCGACCCCTTTCGAAGAAGGCGGGAGAAATTGCCGAACCCAAACAATCCCCTTTCCAACAATACTCTCACCTTCACATCCCCGCCACACCTCACTTTTCACATCCTAACCTCACCTCTCGCCCTCACCTCTCTCCGCGATCGATAATCTCCTTTCCACCGTTTTATTTCACAAGCCCGCGAGAGCACGCAACTAGAGCCCAACAGAAATACTCCTTCTCTCGGATTTTTTCCCATCAGCTTCCTTCCATCATATTCCTTTTGCATTCTACGATGGGGGTGAAGCGTCACGACGCAGCCGCCTTCAAGAAGGCGGAGTGGAAGTGGGCAAGCCTGAGTCGACGGAAAGATTATTTCTTGGAAAAGCCAACTCGGAATCATCGCTACGTCAATGACAAGGGGGTGGCCGTGTTTGACGACCGCTACGACTACACCTCTCACTTGGGCAAGCCACAGAAACCACATCCCAAGATCGTGGCCGCCATTAAAAACCGAACCATCACCCAGCAGCTTCATGTCTGGTACCACGGGATCCCACCTAAAATCAAGATCCCCATCGCGGGCAGCAGCAGTTATGGTCTTGGGTGCCTGCCAATAGACAGCTCTGTTGTGAGTAGCTCACACACAACCACCTTCTGGAGAAGTCTCCCATACATCACGGATTTGATACATTCATGAAGCTCAAGTGGGCAATTCGCGTGATACCCAGTGGCAGCATGGTTCATCTTGCCTCGTTTCTTGATTTCTCCCCTTCACGCTTCCGTCATATTGAAGGCATTCTCTAACCCCCAGACCAGGAGGATTCGTTCCACTCTCGTCCTTCGATCAAGCTGGTTATGCCAGATCACCTGAAAGCTCTCCTGGTTGACGACTGGGAGAACGTGACTAAGAATCAGCAACTCGTGCCTCTCCCGCACGCCCATCCCGTCGACGATATCCTCAATGATTACCTCGCCAACGAGCGCCCAAAGCGCGAGGAAGGGAGCGCTTCCATGGACATCCTCGAAGAGGTCACTGCCGGGCTTCGCGAGTATTTCGACAAATGCCTGGGTCGTATCCTCCTCTACCGGTAAGTGGGGACATCTACCTCCTTGGCCAAAGCGTGTGGCAGATACCTAGCCATTCCTGTTCAGCCCCCTTGACTGACGGACCAATCGGCAGATTCGAGCGAGCGCAGTATCACGAGATGCACGAGCTCTGGGTCTCTGGCGACGCCGAATCCAAGCACAAGAGCGCATGCGATACCTATGGCGCGGAGCACCTGTGCCGCCTCCTGGGTAAGTTCCCTATTCCCTGACTACCTGCGTCATATTTCTTCCTTGCGTGTCTAACCATGTTACCAGTTTCTCTCCCAGAGCTCATCGCGCAGACCAACATGGACCAACAGTCGGTCAACCGCCTCCGCGAGGAGCTGACCAAGATGACGGCCTGGCTCGGCAAGCACGCTACCAAATACTTTGTCAATGAGTACGAGACTCCCGGTCAGGAATACGTGGACAAGGCACGAAGCGCTTAGGAGCCGCGGAAGCCTTCCAACGGTCTGGAGGGGCGCCAGGCTTAGCGCCCGCCCGCTCGCCCGTGTGGTTGAGAGGGGTCCCTCTCTTAGGAAATCTCGAGCTGGGCTTGGGTCTCTCACAGCCATCGAGGAATATGACAAAGGGATGGAGTATGGTCAGGCAGGGGACAGGGCCTTTTTTTTTTTCCTTTTCCGTTCAAGGATAGTACATGGAAACACTGCGGCTGGGTGGGGTTGGTTCTGAGGATGATTTCCCCCTTTTTGTCCCCATTTGAGGCAGAGGTAGATCGTTTTTTACTACACCACAAATTCGCTATAGTCGTAGCTAGGTGGCAGGCAGTTCTTACCAGGCCAGGGCACAGAGAGGTCGGAACCTCGCATGGTATCCCTTAGGCCATGAATACAGAAGACAGAAAATTACCTCGACGCAGCCTAGGTTCATTTCACTGATTGATGTGCATCAAGAAAGCAGTCAACTAGCTTGCATTCTCGCTACGTATTGGTTCTTTACAGGTCTCAGTGACTGGGCGCAGAGGCCACAGTGGTATTTGCTGGGTAGATTCATCCATATCGAATCCTCTCCAGCCCTCTCCAAAATAGTACTTGTACACTGCACAACAGAAATAACAACACGAGCCCCGTGTCATCCTTGGCGGCCTATAGCTTCGGTTTGGCCGAGGCCTCCGCCGCGATCTCCTCATACATGCGATCTATCTGCGCCCTGAAAGCCTTTGCCGTCTGCGGCCGCTTCAACTTGAGCCTGGTGCAAGGGTTAGCCGGGTCGGAAGAAACCACAAAGAGGAGCCGAAAGAAAACTTACGTCGGCGTGAGGAGCTCATTCTCCATGGAGAAGGGCTCGATGTCCAGGTAGCAGTTGCGCACACGCTCGTAGCTGTTGAACTTATGGCTCTTGCCGATGCCGTCCAGCAGCTTGAGGAAGGCCCTCCGGACGCGCGGGTCGTCGGTGGCGGCCTTGACGGCCTGCCTGTCTGCGGCGTCGACGGGCCGCTTGAGCACGCTGCTGGCGAAGGGCGCGAAGCTGTCCGGGTCGACGCCAATGACGGCGACGAGGGCCGACTGCGTGGGATCGCCGTGCACGTAGGCCATGGCCACGAGGCTCGAGCTGCCCATGTAGACGTTCTCGATGCGCTCCGGCGAGATGTACTCGCCCTGCGCGAGCTTCAGCACGTTCTTCTTGCGGTCGATGATGCGGAAGCGGCCCATGTCGTCGACCTCGACGATGTCGCCCGTATGGAACCAGCCGTCGGCCTCGAGCGACTTGGCCGTCTCCTCGGGGTTCTTGAAGTACTCCTTGAAGACGACGGGTCCCCTCACGAGCATCTCGCCACGCGGGTGCGGCTTGTCGTCCACGGTGTACTCGTACTCGGGGACCGACTCGATGCAGACCTCGATGCACGGCAATGGCGGTCCGATGTTCCCGATTGTGAAGTCGCCGGGCAACTGGACAGTTCCGGTGGCATAGGTCTCAGTCATGCCCCAGCCCTGGGAGAACTGGTTGCCGAAGGCTGCTCGGATGAAATTCTGCACGTCGGGGTCTAGCTGGGCACTGCCGCTGATCATGGTACGGGCACGCTCCAAGCCGACCCCCTTCAGAACCTTGGGTGTCCATATCTTGTCATAGAGGAAATGAGTGTTGTGGGCCTGTCCCGGAGGCAGTTTCATGGAGGCCTTCTTGGTGTTGACAACATGCCGAGAAAGAGCCCCCTTGATACCATCCGCCTCGATCGTTGCGGTCTGGACCGCGGCACTGATGCGGTTGTACAATCTGGGCACGGACAGGAGTCCGGTGGGCCGCAGGATCTTCATGTCCTCCACCAAAGCCGTGATGTCTCCATGGAAGAAGCCGAGGCGGGCTCCTGCGGCCAAAGCAGTCTGGTCTCCGGTCCGCCCGTAGATGTGCGCCAATGGCAGGTAGGATATGCCAATATCGTCCTGGCGCACCATGTCAGTGAACAGAGCGCTCGTAACGCTGGAAACCGCATTGGCGTGGGTGAGCACGACGCCCTTTGGGTCTCCGGTGGTGCCCGAGGTGTAGTTGATGGTCAGGGTATCGTCCCGATGAGGCGGCCGCATGGGCCGGCCGGACTGGGCACCAATGGCTTCAACTCCTTCCATTGAGTAGATCTGAATGCCAAGCTCGGCGGCAGCATTATTCAACAGGGCAAGCTTAGAATGGCCATCGGGTTCTCCGGCGTCGAGTGGGTCCAGGGAGATAATAATCTTGAGGGAAGGGACCCGGGGAGCCAGCTTCAGCAAGGCGGGGACATGCGGCAACGAGCAGATAACACAGGCCAGCGACCCATGGTTGAGGATATACTCGCTAGCCTCTGGCCCTAGTGTCTCGTAGAGGGAGACGCACCAGAGCGACTGTGAGACGAGCGCGAGATCTGGGATCCCCTGTCAGCACCAATCCATAGTAACGGGGGTTCGGTATGTGAACCACAATTGACCATGACTGACCAGTAATCTGCCACTCGGGCCTGTTCTGCGCCCAGAGACCAACACCGTACTTGTCCTGGGTGATTCCGGCCCTTTGGTGCACCTCGACGATGCCCGCCCCGAAATTCTTTCTGCGCTCTCCCACCTCCCCGTAGGTTATCCAGACATAGTGTTCCTCCCAAGTCTTCGTTGCCGGGTTCCAAGGTCTCCAGCCCAGGCACTGCTTATTACGCCGCTTCGCCAGAGAGTTCTCAAAGAGGTCGTGGAAAGTCTGTAAGCTGGGGTGGAAGGTCTCGAGCAGCGGGCCGTTTTGAAAGCGCCAGTGGCGGTAGACGGGCGAGCGGCCTTCGCGCTCGGTGCCAGGGACTGGCAATGCATACGGAGAGCCGGGGGGTGGAGGCTGCTTAATCGCCTTCATCAAAGCCCCGGCATCGTACGTGGGGGACATGGCTTCTTTGAAATGGCGTGGGAGGAGAATGGGAGAATCGGAGTAGAGACAGCTGCGGTTTGAGAGGGGAAAAGGGATACAAGTCGAGCGCTGAACGGGGAAGGGCGAGGTAGGTGCAACGGTTGAGAAAGAACAAGAGCACCCGGTAGCAGGAAGTCGAAGAGGTTCAGAAAGACCTTCTTAGTTTGGAAGGTATTATAATTAGACGAGAGCCGGTTGGTGACACTTGAGCTGGAAGCGTCGCGGCCAAGTTCCCCAGGTCTCGGCATATGGAGAACTTGCCTAGCAGTGCCTAGGCACAAGGAGACTGGCGCAAGTGGGGGAGCTTGGGCAGCCCCACTGGGTCGCCGAGGGCCTCGGCATAGGTTCAAACATGTATCGATCAATGAGGTTGCTAGCACGGAATGGGATAGATCTTGCCCTTTTCTCTTACGCTTTTGGTCCTCTTGCGCCATTTATCTACTCGGTCTCCGTAATTCCCTTGGGGTCCGGGGCAGCGTTGAAAGCCGAGTCGGCGCGCTCTTGCTAGCTTTCAAGAAGTTCGGGGTACCTCGTTATACATACAAGCGGGATGAAATGCCAAGTCTTGAAGCGTTGAGCATGTGAGAGCTGATCCTGGTCACGTGGCTTACCCTCGCCGTCGGAGTATAAGCCCAGAAACTCCCGTCCATCCATGAGTGGAAGGGCAAAATGTTTATTAGAACGAGAGCCCATCCTCGCAAAGGAGAGAGAATGAAGAAGGTAAGAACGAAAGAAGGGATGAAGCAGCAGAGGGAATCAGGACTTATGAACAGAACACAGTGGCGTGACGGGGCGTGCCAGGTGCTAACAGACTGCCTGGTCAAATTCCTGGCAGGTGCCGAGGTGCAATGCGGTCGGCATCAGCCTATTAACGGGCAGGATGGCCTGCTGATACTTCCTACAACCCCCGGTAGTTAGCACCTGGCGCCCACAGAAGCGTTCTCTCGAGACCCCAGAAACACCAAAGCCACCAAGAGGTTGAAGAGCTGAAGACCTCCTGAGCGTGCGGTGGTGATACTCGCCCGCTTCGATATGCCAAAAATATCACCCGGTCCTTCCTTCAGCCTTGCGATGGTGCATTCGATCGTCTCGCCCTACTCTTGGCAGAAGTGCGTGGTTGGATGGGCACCATGAGGAGACCATGAGCCCCGGTTCAATCCGCGCTGTTGAGTGCTTTGACAAACATATTGGCCTCTTCACCACGGTTTCCGATTGACACAGTTGGACAATACGGTATTGGATGGGGCTCACATTTGCCAAGCTCTGCCACGTCGGATCGACTGCGATCCGCCCGTCAGTCAACTGATGTTTCAGGTCGGATTCAGACTTGACCATCCAGCATACACCCTTCCATGATAGTCGATCAAACATGGTGGGCTACGGGCTGATAACCATGTCGACCAAGCATAAGTGATGTGACTTCCCTGCGTCGAAGGTCGTCCAAGATCGAACTTCTTCTCCTTGCCCTTTTTCTCCTTTTCCGTGTCTCTAAATTTCTCTTCGTTAGCGCACCAGTTTGCAGCTATTGTCGAACATTTTATTTTCGTTTGCCTACTTCTTTTCGAGTTCTTTGAATCCCTCGTGGAAAGACCATCAAGATGGGTTTCGGAATTGTTCCCGCGCTTCGCATCGGTCAGGCCGTCCTAGCTGTCTTCGGATTGGCCATGTCTTGTTATGGTACGCTCGGTGTCTCCTTGGAGGGAGGAGAGAGGCACGGGAGAGGTTCGAGAAGTTCGAGAATTCCAGACTGACCGTGTCCGATAGTCGCCAACTGGTACAATGTCGACATCTCCGCAGCCTCGCCGTCCCAGGTCAACTTCTTGATCTTCGCCTCGATATGGTCTCTAATCTCCCTGGCCGTCCTGGAGATTGTGCCCAGATTCGCCCCCCGAGGTAAGGACAATCATACGGCTGGAGCGGCGTTGATGTGCCTGGAAAGAGAAATGCTGACCCGACCGCGAAGCATCCCACCCGTACAGTGCTCTGGCATTCGAGTTCACCAACGTCATCTTCTGGTTTGCCGGATTTATCGCTATTGCCGTCTTCCTGAGCAGGCTGCTCTTCTGCCGAAATGCCGTGTGCGGCGTAGCCCAGGCCGATGCGGTCATTTCAGCCTTCCAGTTCGTCATCTGGGGTGTCTCCATCTTCTTCATGGCAAAGGATGTGTTCAAGGGGGGCCTCCGCAGGCCTGCAGCAGGCCGCGCCGGCCAGTCGATGAAGGAGACCGTGGCCTAATCTGTATCCGCCATTACACGGACGAGCCGAGGCTGCTATTTGGAACGCACGATGCAGTGTCCCCGTGCCGGTCGTCTCTCTACCTGGTGCGCAAAGAAAATATCAGTCGCTTGGGACCCTCCACAACTCGGATCTCGGTCCTTTGGCAGGAACCTGGTTAGGAAGCCATTTGACTTGGGGGCAAAACCACGCGAGGGCTGGGTTTCGATAGGAGGTCGGAGAGACAATTTCTCACGCTATAGGCATGCGTGGGATAGACCGTATAGTGCGGCGGCGATTAGGAACGCGCGAGGGAGGCTCCGTACCCGTTGGCCTAGACGGTCAGCTAGGCAAAGCATCCTCTTGGGTCTTGGCGTTTGGTATAGCAAAGCCGGGTGCATATGGATTATGGATAAGGCGAATTGCTTGTATATATTACCGGAGGTGTTCATAGAGCTCTCACAAACTACCTAGTACCTAGTCTAAAGACTCTGATAACTTACTGAGCCTTGATATTCCATACTGGCCTGGCCGGCTCTACTCCGATGGAAAGGGGGCCTCAAGACTCGAGGCTGTGATCACTTGATCCGCTCCTGCCCACGTCGTTGATGAATTGGCCAATTGGAGAAAGGAGGGTTCGTGCAATGCCGAGTTAAGATGGCGCGGGGAGTTGTGCATTCAATCCACTAGTAAATAAATACCTACCTCCTATCTCGGACATCTTCTGGCGATCAATGAGGTAGGGCATTTTTGCTCCCCTCTCAATAGCTGAATATACCTCATTTCGAGCCATTTCGAGGCTACCTCGTGTGACTATGGGCAGCTCGCACGTAATTTGGTGAGAGGCATCGGCCTGGCAAGCCATAGCTTGAACCTGGTGTATAGGGCATTCCCGAGGTGGTAAGTAGGGAGAGATGGCCCCTCATCTATCTGCACATCCGGCTGCCAAGCACCCCCGCGGCTTTGGCGACAATCGTGACAATCGCTGGCTTGCGACAAGGACGTCAACTCCAGCAATCTGCGCGGGTGCCAGAGAGAAAAGAAACGAAAGGGCCAATGCCCCACTCGCCGAGTCGAGCTGGCGATTGCGTGCTTTGGGGTTCACCCCACCATTTCCTAATCGGGGTGCTCGACTCTGGTCTAAGTGCGGGCTGGGTGCAAGGCGGACGCCTACTTTCTGGACTAAAAATTGCGAAATAGGTACAGGGTTGTCGGTTAGGGTACAGCTAGCTTGGGAGCGAGGGAGGGAGAGAGAGAGAGAGTAGAGGACGAGTGTTCATTGCGACCTAGGTATATATATGGTGCGAGCGGGAGGTCAACATCGTCCCACAGTGCTCCGTCATACTCCCCCCCCCCAACCTACAACAGCAGGTTCTCACTCCTGCCAGTCAAACCCTCCCTCAACCACCTCTCAATCAAGCTCCCCTATCCCCTCTAGCCTTGCCTAGTAATCTCTCAACATGTCGGATCTGAGCAAGAACTTCGAAACTCTCCAGCTCCATGCGGGGTAGGCGCAACGTTCCTTCTGCCGATCGCGGCGAAACAGTTCCCGACTAACGTCGAGATCAGCCAGAGTCCAGACTCAGCTACGTCTTCGCGAGCTGTGCCCATCTACGCTACCACTGTCAGTATTGGTCTCCCGGTTGCTGCCGCGAGGTGCTAGTCGGACTTGGAACATGTGCTGATTAGGCTTGTGAAATAGAGCTATGTCTTCAACGACTCGGCCCACGCCGCCCGGCTCTTCGGCTTGAAGGAGTTCGGAAACATCTACTCGCGGATCATGAATCCGACGGTTGACGTCTTCGAGAAGCGTATTGCTGCGTTGGAGGGCGGCGTTGCAGCAGTGGCGGCCGCCTCCGGCCAGGCCGCCCAGTTCATGGCCCTCACAGCCCTGGCCCATGCTGGTGACAACATCGTCTCGACCTCCAACCTGTATGGCGGCACATACAACCAGCTCAAGGTCTTCCTCCCGAGACTCGGCATCCACACCAAATTCGTCAATGGCGACAAGGCCGAGGATATCGCGGCGGCAATCGACGACAAGACCAAGGCCGTCTACCTTGAGAGCATTGGCAATCCCAGGTACAATGTCCCAGACTTCGAGGCCATTGCAAAGGTCGCACACGAGAAGGGCGTTCCCCTGATAGTAAGACACCACGCCCACATTGGGAGCTCCTAGCATAACTAACCCGACGGCAGGTCGATAACACCTTCGGCGCGGGTGGCTACTTCGTCAGGCCGATCGACCATGGCGCCGACATCGTTGTCCATTCCGCGACCAAATGGATTGGCGGCCACGGCACGACAATTGGTGGCGTGATCGTAGACAGCGGGAAGTTCGACTGGGGCAAGCACGCCGCTCGTTTCCCGCAGTTCGTTGAGCCGTCCGAGGGCTACCACGGTCTGAAGTTCTGGGAGACCTTCGGGCCGATCAGCTTCGCCATCCGGGTTCGCGTCGAGATTCTCCGAGACTTGGGCGCGGCTTTGAACCCGTTTGCTGCTCAGCAGCTTATCCTCGGCATCGAGACTCTCAGCCTTCGTGCCGAGAGGCACGCCCAGAACGCCCTCGCGCTGGCGAAATACCTGCAGAAGAGCCCATACGTTAACTGGGTCTCATACCCCGGCCTGGACGATCACCCTTCCCATGAGATCGCCAAGAAGTATCTCAAGCGCGGCTTTGGCGGCGTCCTGAGCTTCGGTGTGAAGGGAGGAGGTGCTGCTGGCAGCCAGGTCGTCGACGGCTTCAAGCTGATCTCCAACTTGGCCAACGTCGGCGACTCCAAGACCCTTGCCATCCACCCGTGGACCACTACCCATGAGCAGCTCTCGGACGAGGAGAAGATCAGCTCTGGCACGACTGAGGTAAGTCGAACCGTGAAAGCCCGGGAGCGAGCCCGAACCCTGTGGTAAAGTGCTAACTTATTTTCGCCTAGGACCTCATCCGTATCTCTGTCGGGACCGAGCACATCGACGACATCATTGCCGACTTTGAGCAGTCGTTCGAGGCCGCGGCCGCCGCGACAACCAAGGAGGCCGAGGCGCCGAAGACGGAGGAGGCGGCAGAGGCGAAATCTGCCGATGCGCCCACGGTGGTTTAGGGAGCTTGTTTGGAAAATACCCCAAGAGAGATATGCTGGAGTTTACTATAGCATGTTTAGTGACGACATGAAATGGCAGTTCGAAATTTGATGACACTGAAATATATGAGCAGCCTGACCTATCTGCCTTCCCATCCCCAAGCTATACTCTTGTGCGAAACTAAATTTACCTAACTGATGAAGCAGACTTGGGTGAAAACTTTTGACACAGCTAGATGTTACGACTCACTCTCCGCACCACATTCAAGCAGACAAAATGTCGACTCCTTCGTCGCAACACAACCCAGATCACTTCCGGCCACGAAATGCTCAGATACCCTAATCCGACGTGCTTGCATGTTTCACGACAGTGAGGGGACCAACCGGCCAATCAATTCCGCCTCCCGGGCCAAGTTCCCACGGCTTCCCAGTCAGGGATTAAGGTATACGAAGCTAATCGTCAGCACTACTGTTGGCTGCAATAAAACCTTCAAGGAAAGGCTTTCTAATCACTGCCTGGTCACTCCTTATGACTCTAAGTCAGCTCCTCATGGCCAAGTTCATGGCCAAGATGCAGCCCACGTTTGCTGCTCACCTCCAAGAGAACATCAACACTGGCAAGGATTTAAAGGTGGACAGATAGAAGAAGGACATCTAAATCGTCGCCGACTGGAGTGCATCGACGTTGTTGGCCGCACTCGGAAGAGCAGGATGACCTTATAGCTGCTGCCGCGGGTGGTGCCTACTGAGTGGACTGAAGCTGCGTAAGTGTTGGGAGGTGGGAGGTGTACTTTACGGCCAATTGACTAGAACAAGCACTTTTATATCCACAAGGTTGGGTTTCCCTATTAGTTGGAAGAGTATGTCTCCGAGCCAGAGCTTCGCCGTCGCCAGAGTAGGGTCGTTGTTTCTGTCGCGAACGAGCATCGCCGTCGCAGTCGCCGTTGCTACTGTCCTTCGATATTGCAGGCGGAGACATGCTTATAATTGGAATTGATTCCTGTTGCTGGCCCGAGTAGTTGGTGCAGTTATGTAGTGATGATCTTGAAGGACATGGTAGAGGGTGGAAAGGCGTGCACAGAGCGAGACAAGCAAGGGCGTACGTCTAGCAGAATTCCGCAGTATCACGCAGGCCCCACATTTACAGAGCTTCAGTTTCTCCAAGTTCCATCATCGACTTACCTAAGATCTATGACAACAGGCGAGCCTCAACGAGACCAAGACCTCTTACCATCCCCGATGCCAGTATAGACCTCAAAGACCCAACCTCCCCCGCAACCCGCACCCAAAAGCCACAATGAAACTATCCCCATCAGCCCTCCTAGGGCTCCTCCCCCTCTTCGCCCTCTCCGCCACCGCCGCGACGACGACGACGACGACGACGACAGTGACCTTCCGCGTTCCAGCCAGCCACGCCCTCCCGAACCCGAACGCCCTCCCGCCCTCGACGCGCGCGACGCTGTCCTCGCCGGGCGAGGCGCGGTCCGCAGCCCTGACGGCCGACAACTCGTTCGTCTTCCGCAACCTCAGCGCCGGGTCGTACCTCGTCGACGTCCACTGCCCGACGCACGCGTTCGCGCCCGTCCGCCTCGACGTCGGCGCCGATGAGGCGGCGGCGTGGGAGTCGTTCCGCGGCAACGACTGGGATAACAGGGGCGAGGCGCTGCTGGTGCTGGATGGTGGGATGTTTGAGGTGCGGGCCCTCGGGGCGAAGGGGTACTTTATGGAGAGGAGCAAGTGTAAGTTTTTTCGCCCTGGCTCCGAATTGGTGCGGAGGCCGGCGGGCGGTGCCGGGCCTGCGTGGCTATGATTATGTTTGCTTCATGGGCATTTTTTGTCATGGAAGGTGGAGGACTGGCAAGTTTTGTCAGGCGGGCTTCCTCTTGCTAACCTTACAACGTTTCTAGTCTCGATATTGAGCATCTTACGCCAGCCCATGATCTTACTGGGGCTGGTGAGCATGGGCATCTTCATAGGCATGCCGTATCTGGTCGACAACAGTAAGTCTCCCACCCGCAATCGCACTTCCGGTTGCCGCCTTCTTCCCCCCTTTTTACCAGCTAGGTAAAACGACCCATCGCTGACCTGGCCGGCACGCCGGTGATAGTGGACCCAGAGATGCGGGCAGAATGGGACGAGAGGCAGAAGTCCAACCCGATGAACGGCATCATGGGCTCGGCGACAGGCCAGCCAGGCGCGAACCCCATAGGCAACTTCGACATGGCCGCCTTCCTGGCGGGGTCGTCCAAGAAGGACGACGCGATTGCGGCACCTTCGACGCCCTCCGGAAACGGCGGTGGCGGCAAGAAGAAGCGGTAGTAGGGCCTGCAGCTGGGGATTAGGGTTTGGATTGCGGGATAGAGGCATCGTCGCTGTATAGTAGGTTCACGCATCGCAGGCACGTGTCACTCTGATTTTGCAGACACCGGCACCAAAGGTGGGATATGTCTGCTAGGACGACTCTTGAATAGAGGCGGTACACATAAACTGCGAGCACTACAGCTTGGTAATTTCATCGATTGTCCACGGCGCATGTTCGCTCCCACGTGCCTGGAGGTACATCCTGTATAGGCATGTGAGTCTGGCATAGAGCAGAGAATGTATCGGTGATGAGTAGGCATTTCTTGTATTGAGCAATATGAACCGGTTTCCATGGGATGCTATGTAGAATTTCGCTTCATCATCATCATCCATAGCGTTTCCGCCTCTGGTTCATGCAAAGTTTATCGTGATAACTAGGAATTCAGTCTCGGCTCACACACATCGACCTTTGAGATATGCTTAGTGCTGAGAGCACCAGTGCCGCACAGATAGTTTGGCAGGAAAGGAAGCAGAACGGGATACCAAGTTCAAGCAACAAGGCCATTCGTCCAAGTTTAGAAGTCACCACCTCCCATGTCGTCGCCGCCTCCTCCATCGCCACCATAGTCATTGTCCTGGCCGTCCTCTGTGAAGGCCCAGGGGTCAGCAATCTAGAGTTTCTAGGGGGGAAAAAGAAGGAAAGAACAGCAATAGAGATCAGGTTCCACTCACGGTATCCATCCTGGTAAGCGTCATGCTGCGAGTCGCTGATGGCGTTGCCTATCAACGCGCCGCCGATCATGCCCGCGCCGAGACCCAGCGCGGCGCCCCCGGCAGCACCCATGCCACCACCACCGGTCCTACCGGGGCGGCCGTACTGCTGCTGCGGAGGAGGGTAGCCGCCACCGCCGTAGTACCCGCCTGGCGGGGGGTATCCGCCGCCGTATCCCTGCTGCTGCGGGGGATAGCCACCGTAACCCTGCTGCGGCGGGGGGTACCCGCCGTATCCGCCACCCTGCGGAGGCCCGTACCCGCCACCCTGCGGCGGTCCGTACGAGGGCTGGCCGTAACCCCCTTGCTGGCCGGGGTAGCCGCCCTGGGCGGAGTTCTTGCCCTTGCCAAACAGCTTCCCCAGCAGGCCCCTGGACCCGGGGGCGCCGCCGCTATCGGGCCGCGGCGGCAGCTGGTTCGGGAACTGGTTGTCCTGGGGCACGGGCGTGCTGCCGTACGTCGCCGCGGCCCCGCCGGGGCTGTGGCTGGAGCGGGCCCTCGCCTCCTCCTCGGCCTGCAGCTGGCGCGCGAGCCTCGCGTCCTCGTCCTCGGTCGATGAACCGCCACCGCCCCCGCCGTCGCGGTCACCGTAGGGGTTCGTCTTCGTGTCAGTCGGCGCGCTCCCACCCCCGGGCGTGTACGACGGTGGCGGGCCGGGAGGGGCGTCGTCGCCGGGCGGCCGTGCAGGTGCGGTGGGCTTGTCCCATTGCGATTTCTTGGTGTAGGTATTTACGTAGAACCTGAGGAGCGGGGAAGGTGCAAGCTTAGTACTCCGTACTCTGGGCTTCTTGGGAAATTGGGAACGTTTCTAGGATGGCGGGGTAGCCATGGGGAAAGCTTACCATTCCTTGTACTGGTCGTTCCATCGCGCAACCCAGCCTTCCGGCACTTTGGGCGGCGGAGGCCCCGAAGGAGCATCAAAGTCGGCCATGCCCGTGTTGGTTGCTGGTGGGCGATTAGTGGTTTGAGGTTTCTGAGATGCTTGTGAGTCTGGGGATAGGTAGATAGATACCTAGTAGGGTGGGTTGAGAGAGGATAAAGTGGGTTATATTGTATGGGATGGGTTTCGAGTGGGGTTTGCCGAGAATACGTGCTCTCGAAAGACGGACAAATAGGTGAGTAAAACAGGGCGATGAATTTATACTAACTTTCAATGATTCCTTACGACGGCAGTGGTAGGAGGGGAGGCACCACCTATGATCTTGACAGATCTAGCTAGACTTGAATATGGTTGAGCGCAACCGAGGAAGACCCCGAATCGTGTCACACGGGCGGCAGCACAGTCTCCCGCAGTTCCCGCAGTTCGGTGGGCGGAAGTAAGAGAACCGACGAAACGACTAGCCGGGGGAAGCTTCCAGGCACTTGTAACAGCTCTCGCCTCTCCAGAGGCCGCCACTTTTTGCTGTGCCTAGGTACATGTACATGTACAAGCACTGAGATTGCGTGTCCAATACCGCTGGGGCAAAATTACGACAACACAATGTTCACTCCCTGGTGGCCTCATCAAAGTCAATTCCGCCTAGAGTTCCCAAATACGAGATCTCGCCACAGGCGCGTAAACAGTACGCAGTATACTTGTACCTATGTGCCGCTATCTCAGTTGGCAATCTAAGCCGAGAATGGAGCTGTTGCGAGCTGTTACAAAGTACAGCATAACGTCCTCCCATGCGCTCAAATTCGACCCTCTTAACGCCGCGCAGTAAGTAAAAATATCAGTAAACCTCATCGCGGCCGCGGTCGTCCCCTCCGCTGCTGCCGCCGCCGAAGAGGGCTGCCGCCTCCATGCAATAGCCACCCCCTCCGTTGCCCATGCGCTTCTCGCTGCCGTAACATATCACGACCGCATCGACGATGCCGCTGAGGATGCCCTCCATCGCGCCGAGAATGCCCCATCCGATGAAGCTCGCGATCAGCCCAACAACGTACGCGTACGCGCTTCCCTTAATACCTGGCCCGTCAGGGACCTTGACCCGGAGCTGCCGTGCCGTGATAACCCATCCTGCAAAACCCAACGCCGTGGCCATGATGAATCGCGTTGCGTGGAGAATCAGTTTGGCGAGCCGATAGGGGAGAAGAGGAGAGTGAGCACTTCGCCTCGACGAAAAGGACCGTGGAGTGAGGGTAGTGGTGGGCGCCTGGGGAGAGAGAAAATCCATGGTGCTCAAGCCCCTAGCCGCTGCCGCAAGTGTCTGACTATGGATAGCGGTATAGGTGAGTGTCAGCGGGTTGGTGAGCGTAGCGATGGGCGTGGGGATGAAGGAGTAGGCAAACATGCTGATGATGTTTGCAAGGCGCCTCGGGAGGATCAGCAACGGGAGGCGGACGGCCAGCGCCAGTAGTGCTGATAGGCTGATTGAGCCAAATATGGTGGTCGCCGAGTGGTTCAGGGCAGCAGAGACAATCTCCCTCGACGACGGCGCTGTCACCACATTGCGATGGAAATACCACTGTGACACCGTCGCGGCCGTCGTCCCGCGTTGGAGCCCCGAGATGATTGATATCGTCCAAATGTACATGAGGACGAAGTAGATGCCCAACCACCAGCTTGACGCACTGATGATGAACCTGGCCAGCCTGGCAGAGAAGTAACCGCCGAGGAAGACCCTGGTGAACATGGCCAACCAAGCCCACGTCCACAGCACGACGGCTGTCAAACTTGCCAGGCCGACGAGAATCAAGGCAGAGTTGGCACTCAGGACGCGGCTGGAGAAGTCGAGGATATCAATCGCCCTCCTAACTGCGTGCCGCCCCTTCCAGGTGAGGTAAATCCACACACCGGCGGCCACGCCGGGGACCACGGCGGCCCACCTCATAACCCGGTCTTGGAACCCCTGGCCGCCACTCGGTCCCTCATAGCTCGATATGAAGGGGTAGAGCGAGAATGAGAATAGGATAACCGGGACGGCGATGAAAATCAACGTAACTAGTGGCCTGACAAACGACCGGAGGGCTGCTAACCAGACTAGCGAGACAATCACGGCCACCAAGGTATCAACGGCCAGAAGGTGAAAAGAGGCCCTTAGGGTCGTATATATCGTGTCGCCCCATGGCTTATTCCCGCTGGGGGTGGAAGTATGTAGGAAGACGAGGACGAAGGTCGCCAACATGGCAGCGAGGGCTATTAAGTAGATCCATGCGAAGAAGGCGTCGTGTTTGAAGATCTCGCCATCTGATGGTGTCGGGTTTGCCGATGCCAAGTTCAAATTGGTGTCGACAGAACTCGGGGGCTGACTAGCTCCCTGCTCTGAATCCCAGGTCGCCTCTCTCCGAGCAGCAAACCGGGTAGGGCTGCCGGAAGACTTAAACTGTTGAAACGCCGGGGGTGTGCTGTCTGCCGGTGTTTCCATAGTGAGATCTTCCGGAGGCTCGTCGTCTTCCATCTGTGAGTCCAACCCGACCTCGACCATCTTGCCACCCCCCTCACGATGTCCAGACTCTTCAAGTGCCTCCCGATTCTGCCCTCGTCGGTAAAAGCTCCGTGATCCGTTCCAGCTGCTTCTAATACCCAGGCCGTGACCACGTCCTGTAGATGAGTCGCTCTCCCGCTCTTGGCTCTGGTCTAGAGACGCATGGCTGCCATCGTGTTCAGTTTCGGTGCTGTCCTCGAGGCGGCTCGCCGCGAAGACTCGCCTCGATCGCTGTAGCGCATATAGATCGGCTGCCTCCCGGTCCCTCTCTTGCTCGTCCTCCTCCTCCTGTTCGAGGGTAGCTTGGAATAAAGGGGCATCCCGGGACGCGTAGCGAGAGCCGAGAAGATGGCTGAAGCGTGACCCACTCGGTTGATATGGGTTACCGGCACCATACCCTCTGCCAAGAAAGGAGCGACCTGCTAGGCGAGGGCCTCTTGGTTGTTGTTCCGCCGAGTGTTGAGAGGGCCGGTCGTTGTCGAGCTGGCCGAAATTCGAGAGCCGTGACTGTGATTGAGCAAGGAACCTGGAGGCATCTACAGGCCCGTCAGTTTTACATTCAGTGGTGAGGTGTGCAACTGTAGTGTAATAGATAGGTCGGACTTGGACAACTCGGACAACTCAGGGGTCAACATACATTCTGAGAACATATTGTGAGCTCTCCAGGCCACTCAGACCAGGCCAAGGATCCAGATCAGAGGGACCAGGTAGGGAGGAGGTTGCCTGGTGGGCAGGGCTTCGGAAGCCCGATATTCGGGAGCGCCAGTGGCTGCACGACGAGATGATGATGCGGGGTGATACAGGGTGACTCGAACCGAGAGTAAGGTGCACTGCCGTGGTTGGGAAGGCCCACAGGCCGAACTATATAGCCTTGTGTATCAGTGTATAGGAGCTGGATTTTGGAACTGGTGATAGTAGGCCGAGTAGGGTCAGAAAAGAAGCGGTAAGAAGGGAAGGGTCGCTATGTAGGTTTAATGGTCAAGTGAGGCGGCCGGCATCAGGCAGGCGGCCTTGGTTACTCATTAGCTCATCGCCGCGCTGCATCCGGGTGTGGGGCACTGCAGCACGCACGGTCATCAAGCCTTGCTACGTGGATTAACTTCAGCTAGTAGTCGACGCATCTACGGATGTACCCCCTAATTTGCTTGTTCATGATGTCCCAAGCTTTTCATAAAGCTTTTCCAAAGCTATATCACACTATTCACTACCTAGCCTGTGTCAGTGTGAGCTTGACGTAGGATGGAGATTTTTGATTTTCCATGTTCCCTTAAGATAGCCTATATGCTGGAAGTTGTGTCGTCTGACGTACATCACCTGCCACTGTTAGAAGAAAGGCTCCCGTCGCAGAAAGGCCCCTAAAATACTCATGGCAATTACCAAATTACCCCAAATCACCCGGGACTTGTTGCGTCACCGACAGTTACAGACGGCATCAGCTGGAAGCCAACAGCGGTCCTGGGTCCTGCTCGGCTGATCCACTTAGGCCCAAGTCCGGGTACCTAATCATTGGAGCCGCAAGTGCCCACATCACCTGCGAAACCCAAGTGCCTCCTCTGTATGTCGTCTCTGCCTTCCTGTCTGTCTTCTCCAACTCTGGAGATCCCAATTTACCTATACTCGAAATCCCGCTACATCACAGCTACATACGGCGGGTAAGACTCTACCTACCTTACCTACCCATCGCCACCAGCTTCTCTCCACCAGGCAGGGCCATAGCAGGGCCATAGCAGGGCCATAGCAGGGCCATAGCAGGGAGGAGTAACCACGCCCCCCCATCGCTTGCCAAGCTCAACCACACACATGTCCTCCCCATCCTGGGACTACATAGCCAAGCTCGTGTGCATCGGCGACTCGGGATGCGGTAAATCCTCCCTGACGGTGCGCCTCTGCGAGGGCCGCTTCGTGGCCCACCACGACGTGACCATCGGCGTCGAGTTCGGCTCCCGCATCGTCCCCGTCGGTCCCCCCCACACCAAAGACGCACCTCCTCTTCTTCTCCCACCCACAGAAGCATCATCCGGACATCAACAACAACAGCAACAACAACAGCAACAACGACAGCAGTCGTCCCCCCTCCCCTCCTCAGCCCCCACCCCCGGCCCCGCACCAAACGGCCTCCCCGCGCCGCCTCGGAAGCCACCCCCGGCCTCGGCGGCAGCGACGGGCCCGCAAAAGTACATGAAGCTGAGCCTGTGGGACACGGCCGGGCAAGAGACGTACAAGAGCGTAACGCGGTCCTACTTCCGCGGCGCCTCGGGCGCACTGCTGGTCTTCGACCTGTCGCGCCGCCAGACCTTCCGACACGTGACCGACTGGCTCAACGACCTTCGCCAGATCGCCGAGCCCGACATCGTCGTCGTCCTCGTCGGCAACAAGGCCGACCTCACCCAGCCCGACGACGGCGGTGACGGCTCCGGGGGCGGGGAGAACAAGAGGGAGGTCACCAGGGAGGAGGCGCAGGACTGGGCCCGCCGCAACGGCGTGCTCGAGTACGTCGAGACGAGCGCCAAGAGCGGCGAGAACGTCGAGAGCGCCTTCGTCAGGGTCGCCGAGAGGATATACCAGAACATCCAGGCCGGCAAGTACGACCTCAACGACAGAAGGTCCGGCGTCAAGGGCCCCAGCGCCGGGGGAAGCCGCCAGGTGAGGCTGACCGGCGACGCCGGCCGGGGCTCCGGCGGCGGTTGCTGCTGAGCTCGGGCTGGGGTTTTCTCTCTTTCATGTACCACCATCCAGGCAATAGGGGTCAGGGAAACACGTGTGTGTGTGTGTGTGTGTGTGGTCGTGGTGATACCCCCGGATCGCTTCGCATCTGACTTGTCATGTCGGGAGCGTCATTTGGCTACCTAGGTACCTACGATAGCCTGTATGTACACAGTAATATGGACGTAATTAAGACACCACGGCAATAAGATAGAAAAGTGAAAAGTGCCGACAACTTTGGTTACATGACAAAAGAAATCTCTTTTCGTATTACGGATGGGATACTGTTCTACCTCAAGTTTATATCCCCTTCCCCCAAGTGGCATGAAACCGCAGCCAGAACTCCCCCGCCTCGCCTTTGATACGGCTCCGCCCGCCCGAACCCTAGATGTAACACATGAGAAAGAAGGGGAGATGTCCCAGTTGCTAGCATAAACTGCGTGCCCAACACCAGCGATATTCGGGTTTCTAAGTCCGAATATCACGCAATTATTGAGGCCCCCTCTGACCCACTCCTCCTCCAATTAACCTCGACCGACTCTCTAGTCCGACACCCTCCAGCTGTCAAACCACTTCATGTAGCTGTACTGCCTGTTCTGTCCGGTCATGCCCCAGCAGATGGGCATGAACAAAACGTATAGGCCTACAACGACGGCGTACAGGACGGCGTAGATGCCGTACTGGGCGGCCTTGGCCTGGTTCCGCAAGAACCAATCGGTAAGGAAGCCGAGGGTGAGGATGGCGAAGTAGAGCGCAGGGTAGTAGTGGTGGACGTAAGTGACACGCGCCATGATGACAAACGGCAGGTAGTGAAGGAACCACCCGGCGACGGGGTAGAAGCCGGCGAAGTGGATATGGTCAATATCGCCCTGGGAGAGCTCCTTGTAGCCTCGCTGCCAGCGGACCAGGTACCAGGCGACCAAGAGGCCGAACGTACCGAGCGAAGCGGTCGAGGCCCAGTAGACAAAGGGGTTGCCCAGGAGGAAGTATTTGACGATATGGTCATCCCAGCCACACATCCTCAAGCCTACATTCAGAATGGGCCACTGCCACCATTGCGAAGCGAGGTCGTCCTGCTTATCAGGATCCGGGACGAGGGCGTTGTTGGAGGTCATCATGGCAACATTCTAATACGAAAACATGTCAGCATCATGGCCGCCAAGTCATAAGTAGAGCTGAGGGGCGGGAACAAACCAGGTGGATGAAATCCTTCAAGAAAGGAGACTTGTACTTTCCAGGGTCTCCGGGAGGCACTATTGTCATGTCAGTGACTGTTTGAAGAAATGGTCGAGCGGGAGGCGCGTAGGAACTTACACTTCTCATTCGTGTGAGACTCGATATTCCCTGTCGGAGTCGTCGTCAGCAATGCCGCGACGGGAGAATAGATGATGAAAGACACTTCAAGAGCCACACAGCTGCAGAGAGGTTTCATGCCTCCCAAGCAGCGAACACCAGAAGAACTTACAATGCGTGTATGTGTCGCGAGGCTTGTTCTCCTTGGTGCACGTAACTTCGATCTGCTTGAAGCCCCATTGCGGCAGGTTGACGTTGCCAGCCCGCAGATAGCATCCCAACACCTCATGCTTGAGACGGAACCCTGTAGTGAGCGTACGGAGATGGCTCCAGTCGCGAGAAGCGGCGTCGTTGACAACCTCGATTTTCCAGTGATCCTTGTTGTCACCGACGGTCAGATTGCCGTAGCAGGATACCTCCTTATCGGCCTTAGTCACGGGGGCAGAAATCTCATGCGAATGGAGGTTGCGACCAGTCTGGGCGTGGATCAGGCGGATGGTATCGCCGTTTCCAATGAATCGGGGATCGGCTTCGGCATCATAATCCGCATCGCCTCGGTTGGGATAGAAGAACCAGTCATTGTTGGCATCCTTGTGATGATAACAAGTAACCTGCTGCTGGGTTGAGCCTTCGGGGTACCTGTATAGTTGATCAGTTCGGCCCTAGAGGCAACAGCGAACAGCGACGAGAACTTACGTTTGGACGTGACTGTCATCAAGTTAGCTACCGTTACCATGTATGTTCAAAGTGAGAGGCGTGGGCCGACTACATACCTGTGGAGCAAGCCGCCTCCATAGCCCATATTCTTGATAGTCACCCTTGAGCCGAGGGCAACCTCCAAGGGGCTATCTCGGCCGACTTCGGTGCCCCTGAGATTGGCCTGGAACAGGGACGACATTTGAGCGTCGCCAGGTCCGGTGTTTGTGAGCACGGCAAAGTGGATGGCAAAGCTAAGCAAATAGACCAGGAAAGGGAGGACGATGAGCCCAATAATCCGAGCGGAAACGTGAGCAGCCAACTCGATCTAGCAGGAAACCCTCGTTAGCATTCAGTAAACGCCGATGTGATCCAAGCTGAACTCACCAGAGGCATCTTGGTGTCACCAAACTTTCTCCACAGGTCCTCGACGGTATACAGGCCGACAAGGGCGGTCACGAAAAGGCCCACCAACTTAATGCTGGTCACGAATCCGATGCTCAGACCAGTCATGAAGAGCCAGAAGAACCACTCAGGCTCGAAGCTCTTGGTCCGCTGCGAATGGAACTTGACCCAGCACAGCGTTGTCGCCACTGTGCCAAAGAGAAGCATGGAGTCGAGAAGGATGAATCGGCTGATGGTGGTGTACGAGTTCTCACACAGAACCATGAGGGTTACGAGCCAGACTGCCGGTCGCCTCAGGTTCATCTCTTTGGCCGTCCAATACGCCATTGGCACACACACAGCGCCCCAGAAGGCATTGAACTGGCGCATAAAGGTATAGTTGACCTCGGCGGGATACGTCTCGCCCGACTTGAATTCGAAGGACCCGTTGTATCCAGCAAGCCATCCGCTCAGCCCGACTAGCAACTTTCCGGCAGGAGGGTGAACCTATACTTTTGCGTTAGTGTCGTTGCGCGGGAGGATTGGGGTAAATTGGGCCATTGGCAGACGGACATCGAAGTAGAACTCTCGCTTCAGATAATGGCTCCCGAACTTGCCAAAGCTGTTGCGCGCACGTAGGTGGTTAGCATCTGACGCCACGAGAGGATAGGTTTTAGGTTGACTAACTGTGCCTCGTCCCACGTCACTATGGGTGATAGGCCAATCTTGTAGAACCTCGTGAAGAAGGCGAGGGCCGTGAAGATGATAGGGGCAATGAGCCATTCCCACTGGCCGAGCAGCTGAAGAACGGAGGGTTCCTGAGACCGGCTAGGGTCAGCGAGAGCTGCGCATTTCCCAAGCAAAAGACAACTTTTGTCTCCCAAAGCTACGGGGGGAAGTGATTCAAACCTTCTTCAATTCCTTCTTGTTATCCTGCGGCTGCGGCTTCCCAGCTAAAGCTTGTTGAGGAGCAGGGACGACATTCCGTCTCCTGAGGGTGTCGGCTGTATCGGCGCCGGTGGCGACTGCCGTCTTGTCGTTACTCGACATGGTGATGGCGGCTTCTCAGTCGAGATCAGAGGCACTAGCTGAAGTACGGTAGGATCGCGAGGCTGGAAAAATAGGAGGTAACGCGGGTAAAAAAGAACGAGACCAAACCCCTGGAAAGAAGCCAACGACGGTCGTTCGATGGAAACTCCGCCTCTATCGGAGGATAAAATTTACTGCTAAAGCATCAATCCAGAGAAAGGAAGACGGTCAGGGCGAGGAAGAGAAAAAAACTATCACCCTTAGAGTCTCGAAGAAGTCGAGCTGAAAATCGGCAGGAAAAAGGGAGCGAAGCTTCAATGAATGCCTTTCGTGGCCTTTTCCGGTTTCCCTGCCAAGCCACACATGGGAGCTAGCGGCCCACACATAGCAGCAAGGGAACGCGAGCCTCGCCCCCTGGGCTGGGCCTGCCAATCCGAAGTGATGAAAGCACCCCCGGGCTTTGAGCTATAAATGGATTCAACACGAACTCCGGCCCCACTGTTATTATTGCTGTGCATGCCTGGGCAATTTGCTCCATGTGAGGCGGGTCTGCTTATTACAGGTGCTAACGGGTTGGGCAAATCCTCAGCCAGGTGCAGATATATTATACCAGGCCTAGGCTGCCATTCTTGCTTTCGCTGCTATGCGCCTGGCAGGAGTTAACCAGCCTGTTGGCACCTGTTACGCTGACCCTTGCACGCTGAGTAAATTGCCCTTGCAGGTATCATTTCCGTTCTTCCAAAGCGATTCCAGAATTCTAGGGGGTAATTAGTGCCTGCTAGGGATGATGGCAAGGGATCTTCCGCGTAAAGCTCCATTCCAAGGAGAGAGCCGAGCCACAATTCTACATACGCGGCGATCAATCCTTATTATTGAGTGTGCTTCGTGATGACCTGGCGCGAGCATGTTTATTCATACATACCACTTTTGGCTTTGTCTCTCTCCAGAACCAAGTTCTGTCCAAGTGCACGTTAAAAGCTAGTAAAGGCTCCAGGAATGTACCCCAATATGATGGAAATGCCCGGCCGGGACCATGCCAGTTGATTGCCGATGTCTATCCAAACAAGATGCAAAAAAATTGCTTAATACATACAGGCCATGCCATGCTACCAAGGACAGGAGGATATCATATGCTCATAATCGCTTGCTCGCGTAGCTGGAAGAAACGAAATGCCGAAGTCGACAGACTCTAACAGCTCCCACACAGTTTGACCATCTCTCAGTTCCAGACGAGCCTGGCCTTCAAGTCCACCGTCGGGCTGGCAGACCCAGAGGACGTCGTGGGGGCCGTGCCATTGACGGGGAAGGGAACGACGGTGGCCGTCCTCTCGGCGGTCACAACACCAGTAGGTGAGTCTCCCGATTCGGTGACGGTAGCATCAGGGGGGCACGCCCCATCCTCGTCGTCGCCAGCGTCCTCACCATCGTCATCGACGTCGTCACAGTTGTCATCCAAGTCGTCGCCGCTATCATCATCACCAGCGTCATCACCAGCGTTGGGTCCAGAGCCGGACCCGGCGGGGGACTTGGAGCCGGAGCCGGAGCCAGCCTTAGACCCAGAGCCCTTGTCGCCGCCGGTTGCAACATTGTTGGTGTTAAAGAGAGTTGGCTTGGGAGCAGCTTCAGTAACGGTGATGAAGACGGTCGAAGCAGGCATGGTGACAGTGACTTGGGCGGCGCATTCGCAAGCGGCGCAGCCGGAGTCGGAGCCAGCGTTGCCACCCGCATTGCCACCAGCATTGCCGCCAGCCCCGACAGTCGCGGTCTTTTCACCCTGAAGGGTGACGGTCCTAGTGCCGATCGTCGTCTTGGTCTGGGTGGTGGTGCCCTTATCCTTGGAAGCGCCAACACCAATCGCCTTAGCAGAGCTGGATGCCTCGGCACCGGTGTGGTCAACCGTCACAGTGACGAGAGCAGTGGACTCGAAAGTGGACAAGATGGTGGTCGTAACCACACGGCCGGTCTTGTCAAAGCCTCCGCCTAGGGTGAACGTAACGACCTTGAAAGTGGAGATCGTGGTTACAGCAGTCGAGGTCACCGTCTTGTGGGCAGGTGCAGCGCCAGCCTTGGTCTTGGATGCGGTCAAGGTCACCCCGGTAATGCCACCAGTCTTGTGGACCGAGATGACACTGGACGAGATTGAAGAGGCTGCAGTAACGGGACAGGTGGTGGTGGTAAGAATGATGGTGTCAGTGACGATCACCGTTGAGAGAGCGTCAGGGGGGAGAGTAGCCCTGTCCTTTGCGTTTGCTGGGCAATCCGTGATGGTGGCAGCACAGGAGGTGACGGTGCGGACGGATGTTGCTACAACGGTAAGGGTGGTGATGCCTCCGAGCGTTCCGTTCGTGGCACTGAGAGCACTGGAGGGCAATGCGGTGGGGAAGGCAGTGGCTGAAGCGACGGGGAAGGTGGTGGCTGAAGCGGCAGCCAGGCCAGTGCCCAGAGACGCCCCCGAAGACACATCCGACGACGTATCGGCCTCGGCTGAGAGGGTCGACGTCGAGTTCAGGGCCCGGAAATGCAGGCGGCGGTGAGGAGAGTAGGCAGTGGTAAGGGTGGCCAGGAGGCCGAGAGCAACAGTGGCGGCCTTCATCTTCGATGGTTTGAGGCGGTGGTGCGTGCGAGGTGTTGGTGGTGTGTATGATAGGATTTGATCCGGCTTGACAAGTTTATTGTTTGTCTTGTCGTTTTCCAAGCTCTGACTCTGTTCTCTCCAACGCGTCTCTCTCAAGGCTGAATGAAGGTAGTTCTGTTTGTGAAAAAGAGCGAAAATCGACTCCGCGAATGGTTGGCAGACACAGTTGCTCACTGAAGAATAGAGTATAGGGAAAGAGAAGAAGTGAGGCTGCTGACTTGCAGGAACCGTACAAGCAAAAGGAATGGTGCTTGACTAAGAAAGACCGTGACAGTAGAGAGCAGAACAAGAGAAGGTAAGGAGAGAAGGGGAGAGTAGGTGAGAGGCGACTATCAAGATATTGGGGTTGAGAGCCCTTAATACTCTCCCCACCCAGATCATCAACTGGGCCCCATAGAGCCGGGGGGGGTTGGAATTTTGCAAAGGCCTTGCTTTGCAATTGGCATTGATAGTGGAAACACAGCCGCCTTACCCACAGACAGAACCTTGGTCGACTCTTCAGAACCCCACAGGGATGCTAGGTGGTGGTGATGTCGACAGGAGACGGGGTTGTGAGAAACGCAGGAGGTGCAAAAGGTGCAGGGGTCAGGGTAGGGAGATGCAGGAACGGAAGTCCTTGGAAGTGTTGTGACGGAGCAGCCAACCAATGGGCCGCCTCGGTGGACACACAGATCTGGGTATGTCCATGTTTCCAGGGAACATGGCCGCGTTTCATCCCCATCCGTTCTGGTGTGTAATGGTAGTGAAGTTTGAGGGGAAATCAGAGAAACAAAAAATGATGTGCCTTAAGATTTACACTGCGATGTCCATCGTCCGCGATGCTGCGCCCGGGAACAGAGCTACCTGGAGACCTGGCCAGAACAGATCTGCCCGTGGATGCATCTTTGCTGTTAATGCCGCCCATCTCCAAATGGCATCTTGTCCACCTTGTTGGAGCTTTCACAGTTGAATCAAAGTGGTAGCTGGAGGCCGTGTCACTTTCTAGAAGTGCCTTGGGAGTCGCTAGCAAGGTCACCCACTCACTGTCTTGGGCATCCATGATCCCTCCATTTCCAAGGTGGCACAACTCTCTCTCTCATTTGCGAGAGTTTCCCGCCGGTGATTGTGAAGACTTGTTGACTGCGTGCACAACCGAGTCCATGAGAGGAGGTTGGAGATTAGTGGGTGTTTCACTAAACCAGACCCTCGATCCACTGCCGCAACTCTCCTCCTGCATCGAAGCCAAGCAGCTCCACGGGAGCCGCTGTGATTCGTCAATCCTCTCTTGACCCGCCGCCTGTTCCCTCAGAACAACCAGGGACGAGCCGTGAGTCCGGGACAAGCCACTCTGACCCCTGTAATGGTCAAAAACCCGCGTGCTCCCGTCGCAGAATTAATTAAGGGGGGGTCAGAGACCTGAGGGGCCGAAGAATTAACCTTCGACCTCAATAATATACCCATAGCTCATTCAGCCTCCTCAAGATCCTCGAGGGTGCTTGTTGATCGACATTAACCTTTTGACGCTCTCTCTGGCGGCAGATGCAGCCGTCCTACTTTATCCTACTTCTTCTTCGCAAGTAAGAGAACCGATGCGGTAGCCACGGTAGCCAACTTATTAGGCCCGGGTGTGGCCTCCCCTTCCACCGTCGAGTCTGCCCTGCATAGTAGTCTTAGGGAGTTGGTCCATCAAGGGTCGTCCATGCACTCGGGTTTGTCGGAGCTTCTCTTTAACTGTGTAGAGGGATCCCTGGTCTGCTGTTTGCTCGCCAAGGGTCGCTTCAGCAGCTACAGAGGCTCATCAAGAACCCTGTAGATCTGCGCATGCCATTGGCATAGCCCCTTGGCAGGAAGTGATAATACCACGCAGTCCCTACCAAGGATTAGCATTGTGGACGGTCTCGAAGCCATGGGTGGAAGCAACAGCGGACCCTTGTTCTCTGTCTGTGTCCTTCCATGGACCTGGGGCTATGCTATGAGGGTAGACGGCGGTGCAGCTCGAATGAACTCCGGTGTCCGAAATTGCCCTTCACCACCCGCCTGACTTCCCCAAGTCTTTTCTTTATCTCCACTAGGAACCTCTCGGGGTGTATCAGATGCCAGAGAAATCGGCAGGTGGGGAGACAACTGCCCATCTCTCCAACTACCCTCGGAACGAGATGAGGTCATGTTCACAATTTGTAGTCCCCCGAGCTCAGTAGGATACCTTTCATTATCATTGGACGGCATAATCTAGTAATCTAGAAAGGCATCTCGAGCTTCTAAAAGTGCGAGTGACAAGCTACCAGGAGACAGATGCCATGTCTCCCTCCCCTCACCGCTAAAAAATAATGGGGGAACACAATCCAGCAAGGAACAGCAGCAATGAACGCCAACCACAACAGCGCAGCACAGAGGGTTAAGCAAGCCTTCTTCGTGTGAGGGAAAGATTATAAACAAAAACATGAGTAACCTCTCCCATGACACCATACAGAACGCAAAGAGGACGCCGACCCCGCTCTATCCGAAGGCCTGACGTCTATCATTGCCAACATCGACTCGTATGCCAGATTGCCTTCCTGGCCATTTGTGCATGTCGTGGCAGAAACATAATAAGCCAGTGTTAACACCATCAATTACCAGTAACCGTGACGCCGAAGAAAACAAAGCAAGGTGGTACATGTCGGTTATGGTACAAAGAGGTTGTTTTTTCTTCTTCTTTTTGAAAAGACAGAGGACGGGGTAAGGGGAGGAGGTAGCGAGGAGGGAGGAGGAGCGGGGTGGTAGAGAGCTCCGAAAGGAGTATTCGGAAAGGGGGAGGTGGAGAGAGAGCCCGCGAAGGAGGAGGAAGGAGAGGTGGAAATCAAGACCAGGGTTGTTTCTAGTTGTTCCTGTCCACAGTCCTCTGGGGCTTGTAGTCGGGCAGTTCGTCGAACGAGCCTTGTTCTTCGTTGTACTTGTAAGCGTGGAAGTCGATACCATAGGGCTTGGGCTCTATAGCAAAGACCATGCCGAGTGGGACGTCGAGTTCGGCCGTATCCTCTCTTGTAAGGTCCATAAAGTATGCCATGAGAACTCTGCACACAGAGCGATGGCTGATGATGAGGACATGGTCGGTGATTCGCTCGATCTCACGCACCATGTCACGGAGACGACTAATGACTTGGAGATAGCCTTCTCCGCCGACCCCGGGATAGATGTACGAGAGCTTATCTCCAGATCGCTTGCCATACTCGTCGGGATATAATCTGGCAATCTCCTCATACGTCATGCCCTCGAAGATGCCCGCATTCAGCTCGTTGAGCATCTCCCAAGCCTTGACATCATAATCATCATCCGCGTCGAAGTATTCCGCTGTCTCGATGCTACGCTTGAGCATCGACGTCCAAACGCAGAAATTCTTCTCCTCGAGCTCCTTGTTGTGCTCGGGATATGGAGGCGTGTGGTCGCCCGGCTGTGGGGGGAATGACGACTGGGCAATTTTGTCATTCTGGCTGATCAGCCACTCCTTCCGCTTCTGCGTTATGAACCGGTAGAGGGCGAGTCCATAGTAGTGACCGCGCTCAGTCAGCTCGGAATTACCGCCGAGCTTCTGGAGCTGGTTATCCACGCTTTGTCCGTGTCTCGTGATCCAGATCTGTCTCGGCGACAGGTTGAAGGTCGTCAGGTAGGAGGCGATGCCATCACTCAGGAATCCCTTGAGCCTGTGATGGATGATTTTGCGTCCCACGTCGATCATCTGATTAGGCCTAAGCAAAGGGCCTGATTTTCCTTCACTGAGACAACATCTTACCTGTATATACTGCAAGTCATGCTCTTCCTCATACTTCCCAAGAGGCTCGTACGCGCTCTCGTAAGCTTCGACTCGCTGCTTGAAGTCCTCGAGAGACTTGACAGGGTCTTTGTCCTTATAATCAGGACCCGAGAGCTTCAAGCGTATGTTCGCCTCGAGGAGCTAGATACCAAGCACTGTTAGAGTGAGTCCGATCAAGGCGCGATTCAATGTTGAGCACATACGTCCTTATCATGGCAGATACTCTCAATGAACAAAATGCCGAGCTTAGGCTCCCGGTCTCTGATATGCTTGACAAGGAGATTACGCCGGTGAACGGTGCTATTTGTGGCATCCAGAATGCCAACGGAACCGTTCTGGTGAAGCAGGTAGTCGAGGAGCTCGTCCAGAGTATCCAGAGCCACTTGCTCTCTGAGTTTCGACGCCGATTCGTTATTTGGGTCGAAGAACTTGGCCGACTGATCAATCTTTTCGGGCGGCTCTGGAGTATTCAGGTTCAGGTCGGTGGGCTCCTCGACTTTGGGAGCACTAACGCCATTCAGGAGGATGGCCGCTGCTTGCATTGGGATGTCGGATTCTGCCGGTGCATCCGCGGGCGAACGGTGGACGGTGACGCCGGCGGCGATGCGCCTCCGATTCCCAACATTGAATATCCGGCTGTTGTGCTGCTGCCAGGAGAGATAGCGCTGGATTTTCTTGGTGATATACGACTTGCCCCGAGCGGGCAGGCCAACCATGATGATAACTAGCTTCGCGGCTACATCTCTTTCAGCGATTCGCCCATCGGGAGATACTCTCGATCGAGTCATGCCCGGAATATTCAAGGTTGTGGCATGTGGTCGAACGCGCGGAGTATGGCTGCCCGAGTTTTGCCTGACCGGGGGGCTATCAAAACCAGTTAGCAGGGCGGGCAAGGACGATAGAACGGGGTTGGTTTCCTGCTCACATTCGCGGCGACCCAGGTGCAGTTGACGGAATGCTTCTGGAATATGGAGAGTCGTAGGTTGGCCTATTTCGCAGGAGGGCGGCGGCTTCGGCACTGTCAAGCGACTTCAGGGCATGTGCGAGGGCAGCATGAGGCATGGCGGGGGGGGGAAGGAGCCCGTCCTGATGCCTGGCGGTGGCGGACGATTTCTCTCCATTGGCCTGGATGGGCGGTGACGAGGATTCTGATGCTGATGCTGATGCCGCAAGATGGCTATTCATTGCCAGCTTTGCGAGGTCGCTGGCCTGCGATTGCCACTGCTTGCGACCGAGGTCTTCTCCGAGGAGCGTGGAGTTAGCCGTGATGCTGAAAGGCGCGCGGCGCGCGAATCGAAGGATGTGACAACAAAAGATGGAAAAGATGGGAAGTAAGGGAGTTTGATGTCAAGAAAGAGGTCGAAATTAACCTTTGAATTCGCCTGACCTCGGGCTTGCAGCAACAAGAGTCATGTGGTGAGAGAGAGAGAGATGACAGGGTTCAGGCGGATGATGTTGGCGATCGCTTTCCAAGTTTCCCCCCGCTGATGGAAGATTTGGGGGCAGCCAATCAAAGCCACGCAATCAGACCCCTGCCCACAAGCTTACTTGGCAGCCGCAAGTGGGAATGGCAGGTGGAGCTGCAGGGCGGACAAGCAACAGACCGAGCGAGTCGACCCTAATGTGTCGTCGCCCAATAAAAAGGTGCTGATTCTGTCAAAACTTAGGAGTGAGGTTGTCGAAATATCGGGATTGCTCTGTGGAGAGTAAACAAGTAGATGGCTGCTTGTATCGAGGCTGCGTTGGGTCGGAGATCGGTTAGGAGGCTGAATAACTGTCTGTGTAGGTACCTAGTCGTCAGCTCTGGTGCTGGTGCAGGCGTAGGTGTAAAGTGGCTTGCTGGGATAATTCAGGCGAACGATAAATCCAACTTGGCTATGCGAAGGGGATTCTTATAGATTGAGCCATCGTTGAACAAGCTCGGAGGCAAGTTGTAAAAAGAGGCATTCGGGAATTATACAAACCTTTTTCAATGGCTTGAACCTTTCTCCGGTGATGCTAGTGAGTCACAATGCTCTCGATGGTTTGAACTTGGAAGGTGAGGGTTCCAGGTTGGATATATTTTTATTTTGCAAGGTTTAAGTTCCTGAATCCCTCTCTGTCGCAGCCGCTACTTATGCGTAGTTTAGGCTTTGCAGGACAGTTGGGGCGCCAGCCCATTTTGGGTGTGAGTGAGGTTGGATGGAGGGTCCGTCATGACATTACTTACGTGGTTTAAAGAGTCATAGAAATTCTGCCATATCTGGGCACTTCCCAGTTCCCGTCTAAGATGGAAGAGATTTACAAAGTACGTATTTTGACCGAGTTACCTCCTTGTGGATCCCGTCTCTTGTCCTGCATTCGGGGCTACAGTGGGTGTGGGTAGGACCTGAAATAAGACAAAGTAAAAGTAAGAAGATTGAAAACACAAAAAAGGGACAAACCTACCTACGGCATAAGGTGCGTACGAAGGTGAGGGTACCTCCCAACTCTCCGCCTCAATATTCGAGTTGCCCTCTAGGGCCGTGTATTTCTTTCCACGAAAGAAGCAGCTCCAACGGAGCGGCCCTTCTTCAGCTCCCTTCCATTCCCCACTCGGGCTGTCTCGTCTCCGTCATCGGATATCCGGCGCCGACGGGCCAGGCGGTGTCCCCGGCTGTCGGGCGGCCTGGTTTACGAAAAACCAGCATCTCCGCCTTCCGCCTTCCGCCCATTCAGCTCCTGCTCCAATATGTCGACCATTGGGTGCCCTTCGAGCAGCCACGGCCCGGCGTATGGGCCAGCAGAAGCTCTTACCTGTGAGTTAGGTTCAATCCGATATCGCGGAACCTGTACTTTTGAAAGTCGCCCCAAGCCCCGCCGAGGAGGCTGGACCCCCACATTGGATAGTCTGATGGAGTTACACTGCATGAACCAGCTCGCCAGCCTGTCATCATGGGGTGTGAATTGTCTGTGCGATCAGTCATTGGCTACTGGCGAGACAAGAGTGCGGTTAAAGTTAAACACACCTCCTGTAGGTACCTACCTCAATATACCGACCCACGTACCTACCTAGTTATGTGGCGTGTCGCCCACATGTTCCGGCACTCCGGCGTGGAGCTATACCTACCTAGGTAGTCGAAGGTTCCACGCTAGGTAGCCCATAGAAAAGAGCAAACCCGCTGGGCAACATCGGTCATCCTCCAACAGGTGGCCGTAGTGGTGTTGTAGTGGTGTTGTAGTGGTGTTGTAGTGGTGTTGTAGTGGTGTTGTAGTGGTGTTGTAGTGGTGTTGTAGTGGTGTTGTAGTGGTGTTGTAGTGGT